TTCTTCAGGATCTATCGTATTTTTTTTTTCGATAAATCTGCCACGCATAGCAAACATGATTTCATTATGGGCACCGCCATTTAAGCGTACCAAAAATTGCTACAGAGTGATTTCCTTGGTCAGGGTAAATCTGGCGTCACTTAATAAATATTCAATGATTCAGTCGCGAGAACGAGAGAATTTGGTAGGAGGCAGCCACGGGTTTGTGGAAATAGAATGGACACAAAACCCGTGGCTTGCGACGATGATTTGTTTCGGTAGATATTTTTGTCTTTAATCGTGCTATTTAAACGGAAGACCTTAAATAGTGTCTGTGGCTGTCACTATTTCGGTGTTTTTCAGAAACTTGATCGTAGAATTAGTCAAAGTCCACAACTGGACAATAAACTGATAAATCGGCTACAGTATATTATCTGTTCACAGAAACGACATATTGAAACTGGAAAAAAAATAATCCAGCAGCAATTCATTTCATTGAAATTCTATCATGAATATTTTGTTTTAATCGATGGACTCGATAATCAATAAAGTGACCGAAGGAAAAACGTTGCACGTGCAGTAACATTCTGTACGTTTTTTTTTTATTTTACATTCTACTTGCATAATACATGCACATGTACATGTACATATATATTAAACAGAAACATAAATACCAAGCCCGTCGGCATTTTAAAAAAAAGTAATAAAACATAATTTGATTTGATCTATTTTATTTCATTTAAACTCTATTAATTTGTTTTAAAAGTATGATTGATCTTTTTCCTTTTAATATACACTCAGGGTAAAAAAAAAGTATATATTGACTCGCGTAACTTTCATGGTTGTAGTTACATTTGAAAATGAAGAAATAATGAAATAATGAAATAATGAAACGTTGAAGGGACTGGTGTGTTGTATGGTTAGACAACGCCTTGCACATGCAGAGGAATTTACCACAGGTACTCTAGGACAGGTGTGAAACCCCTAGGGCATGCCGTTTCCTGCTCTTGCTCTGCTAATCCCTATACACAGGAAATGATCGCGACTAATACTTAATACACAAAGAAACAGAATATATTCAAGTAAACTTGGCATTGATTTTTTTTTCTTGAGTATTATTGATAATAATAAGTTTTAGTGATATACCCCCCTCCCCCCCCCCCCCCCCCCCCCCCCCCCCCGTTTTAATTGTTTCGTGAAGTTCATCACCATGCACATTCCATCTTCTGTAATTGGAGAAATGTTTAAATTAAAAACAAACCACTGTTTACAAAAGAAGTAAATATCGAGGGGAAACAAATTGTTATATTTTATTGATATCTTTTATAACGTTCACGCGCCTACTCACTGCAAACGCTCACCATCGAATATTACAGCTTTCCGGTCATTCGACAATTTCAGGGAAATGCTTGCACATTAATACAGTAAAGTGAAATTATTTAAATGAATTATATTGTTCTAAATTTGGTAAAAAAAAACAAACATGAACAGTATATAGATATATTTTCTTCCTCATAGGAATGCTGAAAACTGTTTATCGGAACTCGCACTGACTATTGTTTAGCACGTGTATGTAACATTGCAGTTCGCATATAATTTGAAAAGAGAAGTTATTAGAACTTATATTTCCGACATTAAAATTTGTCACGTTAAACTCTCAAATGACTCAGCTTATAAATAGTTTTCTTGATACTATTTAAAAAAAAGATGTCGCTTTAGTATTGATATATAACTTAACAAAATTAATAATAATAAATAAAATTTTAAAAAAAAACGATTAAATATATTCTGCTTTACAATTTTTTTTTTTTTTTGTTCATTCATTATTTTCACCTTTTGCGAAATACAAGAAAATACTTTCATAAATATACATGCACTGCGGGATTTTAATTTGTTTTTTTTAAAGAGGGAATTTCGCAAAATTCCTGTTCGGGGAGATAACTCCCGTTTGTTTACGATACTAGTTGATCGATGATTTAACCGCGGCGGGGACAGGTAGGTGATGAATTTCCCGCGGAGGGAACGCGGTTTACCTGTCTCACCTGGCCAAATCCAGCGTTGTGTTTATACCGCGACAGGGCGCGGGAAATACGGGATCCGCGTTGCCTTTACTGTACATGTATAGTCAATCAGATTAGAAATACAGCGACTATCAGAATTTCGGGCCGTAAAAAAGATCTGATTTTGATTAGATTTCAGGTGTAGGCGAATGTGTGTGTACTTAGGGGTTAGTTAATTCATTCAAGATTTATTATATTGTTCGTTTGGACGAAGGCTTCATAAAAATATACACACTGCTTGTACAGGTACACATCAATGAATGTTCAGATTAATTCAAAAATCGGCAGACATTAATTTATTTCAGTTATCTAAAGGCAATGTTATTTCCAGAGACATTTGTATTTTCTGTTTTTTGTCTCGGATTTTTCTTTTTTGTGATTTACCGGTTTACAAAGGCCTGTGATTTAACAGCTGTTCATAAACGCTGTCAATTAATATATGATCAGAGAAAACGAGACATCTCCCGGTAATTCATTTCTTATGGAAAATATATGGATTGACATCTTAGTATTTACCTGTGTAATTACGATGTTACAAACCGTGACAATGACTGGCCAGAAGGACTACCCGTTATGAAAACAACTCATGATCAACTCAGCGGACCTATAATTGACTTTAATATATGCTGTAAATCAATAAAATCATTTCAGTTTAACCGATATTTTATTGCAAAGATAATGGGAAAAAAAGACTTGGGATTTAGAATTTTTCTGAATTTCAAACGCTCGATATGCATATATTTGGGGCGCTCTTGCATATGCACTTATAAAACGTGCATGTTCTGTACTTGCATGCGTGTACATTGTATGTATCCGTAAAACCTTAAGAGAGCTGATAAATGTGTTCTGATTTTCAGAAAAAATAATGGGAACCTATAAATAATTACATGTTTATCATTTTGTTCGCATACAATAACAAGTTTAGTAGAAAAAAATAATTTGTTCAAGGTTAGGTGTCTAATAAATTTGTAATATTCAAATACAGTTACGCATGTATGTCTCATTCTACATATTTTGGAGGCGCGTGTGAATGTGGGATTTTGTATTTCCATACGCTCGATATGCATATATTTGGGGCGCTTTGTATATATACAGTTGTACATTTTAAGGGCGTCGACAAAAGAACGTATATTAGATTACATACATGTACATTTAAGTTTCAAAAGTTCCATTACTAGTAGGAATTAATTAAGGTTACATATTTTGAATTTTATTATGAATAAAACAGACAATTAACTCGATGTCGAGAAATAAATTGTTTATAAAAATAACTATGCAACTTTCCTGTAATTCAGCGAATAAAATATTAAATAAAATACATTAGCGATTTTATCAAAGATATTATGAAATAATCTGAAAAATTCAACATATTTATCCACTCATGACTTAGTTTACAAAATGAATTTGGAATGGCCATTCTATGATTTGTTTTGTGTATGACTAGGTCGCTGGATCACACACGCCGATTGATCCCCGGTGACCTTCTTTGCCACGCGCTATCGAGGGAGGTGTTACATAACTGTAAACACACAAGGTGAATGTAAAAGGCGCACACTTAATGGGTGTAAATAGTCTATGCTTCAAAGTTATGTTTTATTTTCTCAGTATATTGTTTGTTTTTATATGATAAGAAGAAAAGGTTATCTTTTTTCCCTTTTTTTAGTAGACTGGCTTATTCGACTTTGAAAAAAATGAAATAAAACGAAAAGTTGTCAAAAAATAACTTGGAAATAAAGCACAAAACACTTCAAGAACCTTATTCTAAAGAATATTAGCATCTAATGTAGCCAGATTTATTATTTATAGTAAGTTTATTTTAGTTACACGCATGAAAGCTCTCGTTTACTTGCTGAATGAAAACAGTTACCTGTATATGGGTCAAGCTTCTGGCGCATTTAAAACACAAGACTCGAACAAAATAACATTTTCATGAAATCAATAAAATGTTAAAAAACAACTTTTTTTACGACAGCCATTTCGAAATATTTACCGTTTTTGAGTTATAAAGCAAAAACTTTAGAGGGCTCCAGATCCCTAATTTGAGGGGCCAACCCCATTTTAGTGGTGTCAAATGAAAGGCCTTGAAATTGTGCACAACTTTTATTCTACATGTCTTATCAAAATATTTTTAATTTTAAAGATACAAAGGAAAATATGTCTAAATTTTCGCTCTTTTAGGCGTTCTAAATTTTGACCCCTAATTAGCGCCATTTTGAATACAGAAATCAAAAAACAAAAACCGATGTGCACAACTTCAATCCTTCTATTATCTAAATTCGGTAGAATTTCTGCTCCAGCTTTTGTAGTCTCGGAGCCTTTGTCTGGAAATGAAGCCTAATAAATTTTCATTTAAAGGGCAATAACTCATAAGCGGAAGTGACTTTTTGAACTGTTTGACAGCATTCTGATGGAGTTTTGTAACATCTATAAACTCTGCAAATTTGAGCAAAATCCGTTGAGAAATGAGCGAGATATGAGGTCTCAAAGTTGGCGTCTAGGAAAAAGAAGAAAAAAAAAAAGAATAATAATCTTAACCATCAGAATCAGTAGAAGGTCTTCCGTTGGAAACGGAAGACCTTAATTATGAGAAAAAAGACAGTCCTACAACTGGTTTAGCACATAATATTAGCAGTTAATGGTGCAGCATATTCCTAATTAAATGTACACATGTTTAATACTGTTACCTTCTCTATCATCTTTTTTCATTCTAATATTTATATTAGATATATATTTATACAAAGGCATATTTTTTTTTTAAGAAACCAAAGACTGTGATTGAATCTCGCAGAAAAATGAATGCATTAGCTACTTGTAACAGAGAATGCAACTACACAGGCTAATTGTGGACACTGCAGTTTAATGCATTAAGAAATGATGGCATTTGAAAGGTTTCACTGTATGAACATTGCTTTTAAATCATCATTTTACTTAGTATGTGTACTCTCTGCTTATTTCTTTCAGGTATGATTCTTCATATAGACAGAGAAGACAAGACTTTACAGTTGTATGCCAGTGACACATTTTCATACTACAGAGCAAATGCTATTGTGGTTAGGAGAATAGGAACACACAAGATCAAAGTACTGTTTCCTTCTGGTAAGAATTTGCCAAAAAAAAAAAATGGATTTGAAGAACTAAAACTTGTTGTCAACTTTTTATTGGATGTTCAAATCAAAAGCATACAGTGCGTAAATAGTTAATAAAGATCCTGATCCTAATAATGAATTTCAATCCTGGTTCGCAAACTTGATCAGGATCAAAGTTCATTATGGAGGCCAGGGATGGGGTCAATTACATAGGAAAGTAATTAATTAAATTACAATTACTTGCCCAAAACCTTCAATTAAATTACCATTACCATTACAAGGATTTTGAAATGTAATTAATTAAATTACAATTACTTTGCAAGTGTAATTAATTAAATTACAAATTACATTAAGAAAAAACATATAAAAATAAACAATGATAAATAGTCATGAACGTTCATTTATATTCATATAGATTCAGTTACTATTTTGTACATTAAGTAAACATTGTTTAGATGTTAATGAAATTTTTAAATATCATGTCCCCTAACCTACATCCATCAGGTTTAAAGATTTTTCTGCCACACTGAGTATTTCACACTGGGGCATTTGTGACAGGAGTACATAAATACTGACTAATAGCAATTTAAGTTTCAGGGCTTAATTGACCCTTTTTGGTACAGGGTCCTGTACCCTTTTAATTGTGAATTTTTAATCGAAAAAGTGGCAAAATTGGGAAATGTTGTTTGCATATGTTGTTGACATATTTATTTGTTGATTAAAGAGTTAAACAGTGGACTTGTTCCCCATATACACATGATATATATCTTTAAAAATGATTGAAATTTCAAAACATGTTATTTCTATATATAAACAGCATCAAAAAATTGAATTTGGTCATAAGTTGGGAATTGTTACCTGAATTTTGGGGAAAAAAGAGCCAATTTTCAACTGGGACACGGTCCTTTTACAGGACCTGGATGCTGTTTTACCTTATTTCATGTGTCCGTTTTTAAGCTTTCTGATATATATATTTATGCAGAACAATGGATGCGTTTTGCCTTGTTTCCTGCTTTTTTCATCATCCTAAGCTATACATCTCAAAATGTTATAGTATTTGACATATTGTGTGTCAAACTACTGTCTTTCCACAAATTTTTGTTAAAATAGAAAAATTGGTGTTATCATTCCAAATTATATATTTAAAAAAAGATTTGTGAGAAAACATAGTCAGTGTGTATGTACAAAACTACCATTAGGTAAAGTCATCTCTATTTAAGGTAAGTGTCAGTATGTACATGAACCAAGGGCACTAATTGGCACCTGTTAATCACTTCATACACAAGCTGTAGGTATGGCAAACTAAGGATTAGAAGCCATTGGACTGGATATTTCAAGTGTCAATTCATAAACAACTTAATCAAAATTCTTAATTTTATTTGTACATTATAAACAAGGAGATAAATAAAATTAAAAAGTTTTGATGACAATGCATTTTAAGGAGGAAACAGCAATTCACTAAATAAAGAATATATATAATTATTTTTTCAATTTATTATAGAGCATTTTGTCCTAAAAATCAGTTAATCTTTCCTGAATTAAGTATATGGGATTGGAAAAAAAAAGGGGGGGGGGGGCTATTTCTCATTTATTTTTAAACACCAGTGTAATTGAATGTAATTGAAAAGTAATTGTGAATTACATGCTTTTCTCAAAAGTAATTAATTAAATTACAATTACATGTAATTGAATATTGGACCAATTACACATTACTTTCAATTACATCGAAATTTGTAATTAATTACTGTCAATTACCATTACACATTACCATTACCCCATCCCTGATGGAGGCATTACTTTCAATTTTGAACTTCGATTAGTCGGATGGATCAGACAAAGTTTTGGTTTTCGGTAGGAAAGCTGGTAACAAAAGACAAGGGTAAAACAGGCTCATTTTAATTTACAATTTTTTTCAAGTTAATTGCCAAAAAGTTTTTTATTGAAAATAATCGGACAAGTAAAAATTATTTTCGGACAAGTGAATTTCATTGTCACTTGTTCAAATGTACAACTAAGAAAATAATGTTAATGTAGAGCCCTGAATGTCTATATGGGTAATATCTATGTACAATATAATATTGCAAAACAATTTCAACTCCTCTTGTAGAGCCATAGGATGAAAATGTGTGAATATGAGTCAACATCTGTACATTCCTTTCTTTAACAATTAAGGTCCGACAATGGAGTTTGCTGTTAACTTAGGAATGATGGAGTTGACAGCATCAATTCCAGAAAGTTTGTCCTCCTCCACTATCAACAGTGGACTTCTGGGAAATATCAATGGCAATATGACAGATGATCTGATAGATCCAAATGGAACCATGCTATCTACAAATTCAACAGAACGAGAAATATTTTACAGCTTTGGACAGCAATGTAAGAGTCATTTTAAAAAAGAGAACCATGCAAAATTTGTAAATTTAATAATGAAGATTGAAGTAATGAAACAGCTAGTTGTCATTACCAATGACAGCATGTTCATTTTGCTTTCTGGGTTGCTCTAAAGAGCTATATGTGGTATATGCATATATTTGCCCCCATAAAAGTAAAATTGTGAAAAATTTTTGAAATGTACTGAATTGTATATATATTGTATTAAACAAATCTGAATTAACAAAAAAATATTATAGTTTCAAAGTAGGTTATTGGCAATTTTTGTTTATATATATATATGTCACAAACTATTTGGATTTTGCATTATTTTTCAGAAAGAGGACAAAATGGACAAAATTAGTTCAATTTTTACTATATAATTTGTAGAGCACAAACCTGCTCTATAACAATATTAGGGATGGGTATCAGCAAAAATTTCGTATCGTGATAAATCATGATTTTTTCCCAAAAATATCACAATAAATTGTGATATTTTTACACATAATTTTTACTAATATTTTAAATGAATTTCCTTAATATTTCTTAAAAATATGCTATAAAAAACATAACTTAACTTTTTAAATTTTTATTCATTTAAGGTCAAGATCTAGTAAATAAAAGGAGCCTACAGATTTCTCAAATTTGAGAAATAAATTCCTTTAATGAAGCTTTATAAGTATAGCTTGGTCAAATAAGGTGTTTCGGGGCATAATTTGTAGGTAGACAAGATGAAAAATCATATTATAAACTGTCATTTTCATTGAAAAATTAAGATAATCAGTCATGAATATGGGAGTTTTTTCCATATCAGACAAATTAAATGTATCCAGATTGCCTACAGTCTCTCAGAAAACGGTAATTTGTATGTTCTTAGCCTCTTCTTTAAAATAATATTAAATTGAATATAGGTTTCGGGATTACTTTTCACATGATTTCAAAACGGTAATTTGTATGTTCTTAGCCTCTTCTTTAAAATAATGTTAAATTGAATATAGGTTTCGGGATTACTTTTCACATGATTTCAAATTGAATTCCAGGAAAATACTTTATTTTCTACATAATTCTATTACAGCCGTAAAGTGCGGGAAAAAAGAAAGTTTAATTTGATTATGACATCATAATGGATCTAGCATAAAAAATGCAGTCTAAAATCATTTACTAGATCTTGACCTTAATATAAAACATGTTTGGATGCCGTTGTTTAACTGTTTTCAACATTTTTTACACTTCCTGTAATTGTCATTTAATAGTGTGAACAAATAAATGAGTAATTTCTGGAATTTATAGTTATGTACCAAATACTGGTATTTTAGTCTCCGTATCACGATACGTATCACGAAATAAAAAATCACGATATACCAGTATACCGATAAAATCTCGCATCCCTAAACAATATTCACATATTTCATTGGTATTATCACTTTACACATTATATCGAAACATTGAGTTAGAGCAGACCTCGTTGACTTTTACTCAAAATATCGATGTAATATATTGTTACCTTTTTCTCTATAAATCATGGAAATTTTGAATTTACATCATTTTCCTGACATCATATCTACGCAGTACAGTTAAGGTGCTAAATGGAAATATCGGCAAATTTTTATACTCCCCGCAAACGAAGTTATGGGGGGTATATTGGAATCGGCATGTCCGTCTGTCTGTCCGTCCATCTGTAGACGAGATTTTATCCGGACCATTTCTTGGAAACTGTTGCAAGGATTTGTCTGAAAATTTGTACACTTATTATTCGCCATATGAAGGTGTGCACCTGGTATTTTCATCATGATTGGATAATTTTTTTTGCATTTTACAGGTGTTTTTTTCCATTTTTATTATGTGGTTTTGTCTGGATCTGTTCCCAGAGACTATTGCCTAGATTTGTATGAAAATTTGTCTAATTTGTACACTTATTATTTACCATATGAAGATGTGCACCTGGTATTTTCAACATTATTTGATAGTTTTACTGCATTTTACAGGTTTTTTTTTTTTTTTTTCATTTTTATTGATTTAGTCATTTTGGGTTAATGTCTAAGGTTTGAGACATAGAATCTAGAACATCTGTACAAAAATGTGAACTACAGCTTAAAACTACTCTTTGGAACTAAATAAAAATCACAAAGTATTAAAAACAGTTTTTACATTACACAGCAGATAGTGTAAATCCATTTGTCCCTTGGGAGTAATGAGTGGACATGCATCCAGTTAAAGATTAATTAATGAGTTCAGTGTGGGAAGCTGTTAGGGCATCTCTGATCAAGCAGGTCTTATCTATATCTCCTGGGAATGGGGCAGAAAGAAATAAAGATCTCTGCATGTTGTCTAAGTCTCTTGTACTTTATGTCTGTCAAAATACATAGTTACTGGAACCAGCCTTTTATTTTTAAAATGAGTTTGACAAATAGGTATTAAAATAAATTTGATTTTGTATAATTAAGTATGATATTTTTTTTCAACAATCAATTTGCAGAGTGTCATGTCTCACAAAGATGACAGATAGTTGCAAACTATTTTGTCAATGTAATAAAAAACACTGTAATTATTAGTATTGATGTTTTATTAGGCTGCACCTTAGTTTCATTCATTAAAAAAATATAACGAGTAATTATATTTTCACTCTAAATGTTTAAGCAAATTGTGAACACCTCTCACATCTAGAAAACATTAGTGATTTGGTACCTTCTCTGAAAAATCCAGTGGGGGGTATTTGTCCCTTTTGAACAGTTCTAGTTTACATAGAAAAGACATTCTTAACAAGGATGAGCGATTCTTTTTAGGACTTTGCTATTATCATACAAATGTAATGTGGTTGAAAACTACATGTTGAGGACAGTTAGATTTCTTATTTAGACTTGCCACGTAATGTGGCAGTCACGTGATTTTAGCAAATATACCTGCAGTATTGAGGTCTTCTATGAATTCCAATATTGCAAGGGCATAACCAAGTTAAAAATCTAAATTTAATTTATCATTATTTTCAACACTCTTTGTAGTTTGTGAAAAGTGCTGCAAACCTATATAGATTCTACTATCTAATTGCTAAAATTACATTTGTTAGACTGTATGCTGAATATTTTGCTGGTCAAGTACATTAAATATAGATATAATTAATTCATTTGCAAGATTCATCAGGTTCGCAGCACTTTTCAAATATCTTCATACCTCTTGAGTTTATGTGTAAAAGCTTGTCATAATTCATTGAGGGTATGCCCTTGCAATATATCGAATTATTATGACCCTTCTATTACCCTTCAATGAATCTGCATACAAATATTTGGCAGTATCGCTTGTCTAGGGAATGTATGGGGAGTATATGAATAAAATCATAAAATAGACATTGCATCCAAGTTAATGGCCTCTTATATGTCTGCAAATAATATTTTATTTAATTACAAAATACATTTTTCATTGTATAAAATACTACTTGATACACCTCTCACTGCATACAAACTGTGTCAAATTTTATGATATGACGTCACATTGACAAGTGCATTGCGATCAGTGAATTGTTTATAATTATATTGCTGTGTGGGATTTAACCAATGACAAAAATACATGCAATAGTAAGTATTGATGTAGTTTAAAGCTATTCAACAGTTTAAAATAGAAAATCATTTCATTTTGTGGTAATTTAAAGAACATATATTTTTGTGTGATGTCATAGTAAGCATTTCCCGTAAAAATTACGCCCCTCCTCCTTATTGTAGCATTAACTGTGCTGCGTAACATATGGCACCATAGCTGTTGAAAATTTTTATATTTACATTTGCTGTGTTTTTCTACTAGGCCAACTGTGCAATTGATTTGGAAGTCATTTTTGTGTATACTCACCCGTAGAAATATACACGGTGAAACTCGCGCTAAAGTGACATCACAATGAGGCTACAGAGACGTAAATAAAAATGTAACAATATAGGGCAGCAAGAAATTCAAATATTGAGTATATTTTTGGAGCTTTTAAACTTGTAAAATGTAAATATAAGGAATGTTTTTAAGTTTAGTGTGAATTATTGGTGTGTAAATCACACAGACTTGCAGGTAGGCATATTTTTCATGAAGCGCTAGCGCGCTTCATAAAATATGCCTACGTGACAAGTCTGTGTGATTTACACACCAATAACTCACACAAAACTTAAAAACATTCCTTAAAATGATTTGTAGTCTGCAGATATACCCCTGGTTTAAAACATAATTATATATTTCTCTGTCAAAGTTTGATTTTAGGAGCAAATATTGGTCATTACCGAATATAGTCTTTTACTGATGTTGACATCTATAGACCAAGTAGAATATGTTTTGTTCTATGATTTTTGTTTTAGAAGGTATATGCAAAATCCTGAAGTATTTTAATTTTTTTTAATACCTTCTTGCCAGAAATGAGAGTGATTTTTGGATATTTTATACAGTTATGAGCCCAGTGACTGTCATTGTCTCAAGCCACAGTTCGGAGTCTGCATATACAGTTCTCTCCTACCCAAGGCTGCTTGATCACATAAATTGTCGTAATCTTGAATATTTATCTATGCTGTTACATCATGTTCAGCCAATGACAACATTTGTTTCCATCGCAATTGAAATCAACAATTGACATCATCAGAAAACAGAAAATATTTCGTAAACTGGGATTGGGTATTGAAAGGTCGTGTGAAAGTTCATTTTCTGACTATGCTTTACTCGCATTGGTCAATATTTTAATGAGCTACGAAGTATTTTCTTCTCATTCAACCACAGCCAGAATGGGAGAGGATTGTATATTTTGGCCGTGGTTTGCAACGATGAGTGACTGTGAGCAGAAAAAATATAATGCTGAGTGTTTAATTGCTACAGGTACCATCAATATGTCTGAATAATGTGAATATGCTTAGAGGGGCTCATGGGGTTGTAATGAATATTCTAGGTGACCTTCACTTCTGCTGTAGGTACGGTATAGGAGTCACCATCCGTATGTGTGTTTGTATTTGCAGGGCAAATTGATTGTGGTGCCTCCCTCTTTGTGTATCGTGATGATTCTAAATGTGAGGACTATCTGCACTCGGACTTTACTCCATTATTTCTGGATGATTTTACAAAAGAAGAGAGAGATAGAGCCATTGCTGTATGTGGTGGAGCAGATAAGATGAACTGTATTTTTGACTATCTAGCTACCCAGAATTCAGCAGTTGCTAACCTGACAAAGTCAACACATGCAGCTGCAGAAGAAGAAGCTGTGTTGGCAGGTAAAATGTCAGGCTTTAACAAGTAATTGTAATACCCCCCCCCCCCCCCCAATAAAAAATCTATAGTTTCTCAGGCATCAACACAGGTCAAACACTTTGAAAAGGGGGAATAACTCAATTTTTTAAGAAAATGAGTAATTGCTGTTTTGCACCCATACTAGTACAAGAATAGTAATTATAAGGTTCAGTTGGTATTATGATTTGTTGACAATGGAGAGAAATAATTCTTTCTTCAAAAATCAAAAGAAGAAAAAGGAAAACCTGCCTGCTGCATTAAATTTTGAAATTTTTGGCTTGAGAAACTAAAGATTAATTTTTTTGCCCTAGTATTATTTTTTTTAAATCTTCAAATAAGATGGAAAGGGGGACTAAAGGAATTAGTTTACTGGTATGTGTCCATGCATGCAGTTTCATCTCTAAATTTTATTTTAGAATGCTAGTATATGCATATAGATTATTTGTAAAATGCTGTAGAAAATATCAGTGAAATATTTTGTTGATATATGATTTCTTTGCTTGCCATTATTGAGCTAGGATTCTGTACTGTTTATTTATATACAATTTTCCATTACTTATATAGCAAATAATCTGCCCTCTATTGATGGGAATGGTATCTATTCCATTGTTGGTCAGCCAATAAACATCACAGCTACAGCTACTGACCAGGATGAAGATAAAGTGACCATTGTAATGGTGTCTCCTGTTAATGTTCTGTCATTGGAAGGGACAGGAAATACAAACTTAGTTTATCAGTGGACACCACTCAACATGACTCCTACACCTGTAGAGTAAGTTTGTGATTACTGATATTAAAATTAGGGGGAAAACGCAATCTTCTTTTTGTTGGACAGTTTAGTCTTGGTTAATAGGTTCATGTAATTTCAATTTTTAATGTATAATTTTACTCCATATAGTCACTTTATAGACATGGTATTTGACATGCTTGTGCGTGATGTTGGACAATGCAATGGGTATCATCCTGACATTCAACCTTAAACTCTGAGCTTATGGATATTTATTAAAGACAAATGTAGGGCCTTGTCCTGAAAGATGAGTAGGCAGAGCATGTGTGTGAAGTTCAGGGGACTTGGGTTTGAGTCCTGGTCTGGTCCATCACATTTTCTCTTTTCCTGTGTCATTTGGTGTCATAACCAGGATCTAAATATAATATTGACCGGTAAAAGACCTGCCACGGAAGAGTCTGGGTTGGTGTCTCTGGGGCAAAGCCATTCACGGGCATGGAAGTTGACTTGTTAGTGCATGGTATTTGATAATTGGGTACCATCCTGACACACAAAATTAAACTTTGACCTCAAGGACATTAAAGACAAATCTGGCAGTTAGGCAAGTTTGATTGCCAGTGGCCAGGTAGCGCAGTTGACAGAGCGCCTATCTAGTTTCAGAGGGCCTGGATTCAAATTCTGATCTAGTCAGTTGCATTTTTTTCCCTTCCTTTTCCACAGACAAGTAATCTTAACCAGACTTAGTATTTTTTTTCTTCTGTAGGCTTTTGATATAAGCATGATCAAGGACAGTCTTAAATGGTTATCTAAATGTACAAATGTTCTACACTTTACAGGTTATATGCCACTGATAGCAAACATGGAATATCGGGTTTGTTAACATTGAGTGTGTACCTGTGTTATGGTTGTAACAACCATGGCAGCTGTAATTACTCTCATGTCATATCCACCAGTGTATCTACATTCTTCATTGTTCCCTGTTCATGTGACAATGGATGGACAGGTAAATGTTTCACATACTGTAGAAGTACATGTACTTTTCCCTGCATGGTATTAATTTAGGCTATGTACATGGTCACAAATAATCCACAGAAATTTGTCCCAGCATACTGAAAGTACATTAAATGCATATAGTGGCATACTTAGAAATCTGAATGATTTCTACCTGCGGATTGTACACAAATTGTGATTCCGTAGAATTTTGACCTTGTGGAAAAAAATATGTTTACAGTACTCTTTGTATGCTTTTTGCTCCTTCTTAAATCTTAAGCTTTTATCAGAATAAATATCTCTCTTTAAGGCATTTTTGATTTGTACATGTATGAATGTATCTATATAATACAGGTGATTCTTGTGAGATTGATATTGATGGCTGTGCTGGTTCCCCATGTGATCCCCTCAGTAACTGTACAGACAATCCAGCAGCTGAGCACCAGTCAACAGGAAGGGCATTCAAGTGTGAAAACTGTCCTCAAGGATACCAGATGACAGAGACTTTTAAGTGTATTGGTAAAGCAGAAGTTTTAACTTTGAAAAGCACAATAAGATATAAAATTTCATTAATGATAATTTTGTTTTAATTTTTCAACCATTTCATATGCTAAATGAATTGAATTTTTAGCTAAACTTTCGGGGGAAAAAAGTGAGTCAGGAATAATTCCATCATAATTATACCTTAATGCTTTCAGACATAGATGAATGTGCAAACAATACCTTAAATGATTGTGACCAGATCTGTAGCAACACTGAGGGAAGTTTCACCTGCTCTTGTAGGACAGGATTCAGACTCACGGGTCATATGTGTCACGGTAAAACTCTTAATATAAATGACATTACGTAAGGTTGTAGTCAAAGTAAAGGGCAAGGAGGTGTAACGTTGATAAAATGCTCTTAGTGTGATGTAAATATGAAACACATCTGTGTAGTGTGACTCATAACCTAAAGGTGGCAAAATCTTGACTCAAGCTAAACCTATATTGGACTCTGAAACATTATTGTTGTGACACATCTAGACTAGGTTATGTCTTGTAACACGATTTAAATGAATTCAAATTTTAAGATGTAAATATGATATTTATACGCCGAAGGAGAGAGGGGTATATGTTTTACCCTTGTGTGTCTGTCTGTCTGTGTGTCTGTCCATAACAAATTTTTCGTCAGTTTTCTCAGCAACTACTCATTGCAGAAGCTTGAAATTTAAGCACACACTGTTGAGGCATGCCATATGGTGGGATTCATTTCTGTACGAATCTGATGTCAACTTCCTGTTTATCTGTGCGTCTGTCCGTACCATACATATCAAATTTTGGTCGCAGTTTTCTCAGCAACTACTGATTGCAGATGCTTGAAATTTTAGCACACTCTTTGATTAGGCATGCCATATGGTGGGATTCATTTTTGTACGAATCCGATGTTAACTTCCTGTTTATCCGTGCGTCTGTCCGTACCATACATACAAATTTTGGTCGCAGTTTTCTCAGCAACTACTGATTGCAGATGCTTGAAATTTTAGCACACTCTTTGTTTTAACTGCAATAATGTAGCCCTCTCCGATTTTTTTTTGGGGGGGGGGGGGGGAGAGGGCTACAACTCCTTAATATCTCCGTAATGGTGCAAGTGCGGGAGTGATTCACTACCGCACAGATTTCGGCTCAAAGGACAAGTGCACTTAAGCAATGCTTAATGGGCCCTTTTCAGTGCCGTATTACTTTAGAATATATTACCAAATTGTTCTCTTTTTGGTAATAGTTAAACACAAGTGGACATTTCTAATTAAAATCATGTTAAAACATCACCTAAATCAGCATGGATTTGAAACAAATGAAGTTTTTTAATGCATATAGACACCCCAAATCCGGAAAAGTCGTACCGAACCTATTTTGAGTTTCGTTTATTTAAATCAAGGGGAGGAGACATTTAAATTGGACACTTGAACAATCTGATGGTGGATCATTGACAGGTGCGTTTGCCGAATGATACTTCTTGCGTTATTTTACCTGAGAAAAAAATCGAATGAAGTTGTATAGATGCCTGTAACTATAGCGTTCAAACTAAGAAATTTGCACGCTTGCATTTGAAATAATACAATAAGTATTACCATTAGTTCCTTTAAATTTTAAAATGAAAAAAGTGTATTTAGGTGGCTTTCAATACCGGTACCACTGTCTTGCATGAATGTTAAAAATGTTTGACGCTTTTATTTATGATGACATATTAACGACACTAAACTCTCCTAACCTTCCTGTGATCCTAAAACCAAATACATACAAACTTCTCTATGTGGCACGACTTCGATATAATGATACAAAACGTGGCTATCTTTTACAGTGAGCATCTTTGAGGAATGTTTACCTGGGTAGAACTCACGTGACAACCGGTATTTTAAATAATTTATTCCACGGGTGGGTTCAACATAGGTCATACAGGTAAATATCTCTCGCTTGCTATAGGAAAAACATTGAACTTTTCATACAATTTTAATATTTTAAGTACAAGCCTAATCTTGTACAAATTTCCTACTTTCACACAAGTTTTGTAAATGTATAATGCGTTTTTTGTAGGGATGTCAAAATATTTATTTTCTTTAGTCGAATAGTCGATTGCATTATTTGAACGATAGTCGAATATATTCGAAACTAAAATTTTATTTCAAACTCCACTTATTTAACCCAAAATCCCCCTTTTTTTTAATTTATTAAAAAGTTACGTCAAATGTTACACACAGATGTTCACATGGACCTAAAATGTGGATAGTGTGTTTTTATTTACTTAATATAGACTGCTAATTTCTCCAAAATGCATGATTTCTCCGTCAATCATGTTCATAAATTGGTCTGTTAAGTCGGTTTTTTAGGAAGCATAAAAAATGACTGTGTGATATATCTTTTTAAAGCTTATTAAAATGATTGGGGGGGGGGGGGGGGGGGGACACACGGTGTCTGTGATAATGTTAAATATTTGAATATACTTTTTGTACCAACAATCAAAATGTCTTTAAAATATGTAAAAGAATATTAATTTTATAATAATAACCGTAGTGTCCAAACATGTCACGGCTATAATGGGTACATGGTATGGTTTGTTCCCATGATATGAGATCAAGTCCAATTAATAATTTTACAAAGAAAGCGCAGTATAGTGAGATAATTTTAGTACAAAAACAACACATTAATTGACAAATAATTCTCGCGGAAGTAAAGCATTTCCAATCACTGTACTTTCTACATGTAAAGTCAGCAGTTTTTAATGAGGAAAATTATCTTATCGACTGTGTCTGAGGAAAGACGGTTTCTCAATTTTAGGATGAGAATTCCATCCCTTTATCACTCTTTTATTGCATTTAATTATTCGAACGTCGTTTTGTTATTCGATCGTCGGCCCTTTCGACTGATAGTCGAATAGTCGACTATTCGTTGACATCCCTAGTTTTTTGTCAATTGCACAAGTTTGTACAACGTAAGGCTGACAGTAAACAAAAGCTTCGAAGTGAATGACCGCCCTCGATTTACTATAGAAAATCACGAATGTCGACTGACCCCTACCACATTGTATGGCTTTGCTCTTTGTATATTCATGAATTTCAGCGATAAAATTTGTTGAATCTTATGGTTTAAATATCAATTAATGATCTTAGATGGAAAATTATGCTTGATTTGATTCTTCATTTTTAGCTCTACTGGTCAGAGACCAGAAGAGCTTATGCGATAGTAAGGTGTCCGTCGTCCGTCCGTCTGTCTGTCTGTCTGTCTGTCTGTCTGTCTGTCCGTCTGTCTGTAAACAATTTTTCAAAACGCTACTCCTCCTACAGTTTTGGTCGGATTTCAATATAACTTGGCACACAAGTAGACTACACTAAGATACATAATGTAGTGCATCGGTTTTTGATTTCGATGGACGGTGTTGCCATGGTTACTAAAAATAGAAATTTCTGTGAAATTCCTTTAAAACGCTACTCCTCCTACAGTTTTGGTCAGAGTTCAATATAACTTGGCACACAAGTAGACTACACTAAGATACATAATTTAGTGCATCGGTTTTTGATTTTGATGGACGGTGTTGCCATGGTTACTAAAAATAGAAATTTCTGTTAAATTTCTTTAAAATGCTACTCCTCCTACAGTTTTGGTCGGATTTCAATATAACTTGGCACACAAGTAGACTACACTAAGATACATAATTTAGTGCATCGGTTTTTGATTTCGATGGAAGGTGTTGCCATGGTTACTAAAAATAGAAATTTCTGTTAAATTTCTTTAAAATGCTACTCCTCCTACAGTTTTGGTCGGATTTCAATATAACTTGGCACACAAGTAGACTACACTAAGATACATAATTTAGTGCATCGGTTTTTGATTTCGATGGACGGTGTTGCCATGGTTACTAAAAATAGAAATTTCTGTTAAATTTCTTTAAAACGCTACTCCTCCTACAGTTTTGGTCGGATTTCAATATAACTTGGCACACAAGTAGACTACACTAAGATACATAATTTAGTGCATTGGTTTTTGATTTCGATGGACGGTGGTGCCATGGTTACTAAAAATAGAAATTTCTGTGAAATTCCTTTAAAACACTACTCCTGCTACAGGTTTAGTCTGCTTCTAATATAATTAGGCATACAAGAAGACTATACTAAGATACATAATTTATTGCATTGGTTTTTGAATTCGATGAACAGTGTTGCCATGGTTACTTAAAATAGAAATTTCTGTGAAATTCCTTTAAAACGTTATTCCTCCTACAATTTTGGTCTGATTTCAATCTAATTTGGCACACAGTTAGAATACACTACGATACGTAATATGTATTTTTGTATTTGGGTGAGTGGTGTTGTCATGGTTACTGGTACTAAAAATAGAAATTTCCGTGAAATACTTTCAAAATGCTACTACTCCTAGTTTTCATTTGATTTCAATATAACTTGTCACAAAAGTAGACTACATTAAGATACATAATTCTATTTATTGTTGCATGTTGCAATGTTTCAAATCCAAGTGCTACTTTTCTTTTGTTATACAAACAGACCAGTAGAGCTACAGTCTCATCAGAGACTTCTGGTTTCACATTTTACCGGGGCCCATAAGTGCACTCGTTCTTATCAGTAAGTGGGTATTTTATTAACATATCTTACCTGAACTCATAAAATGTAGTTATGCAAGACATGAATTGATCCAAAAATATACAGAACAATCTGTATATCGGTTATTTTTCGTGTATGTCAACATCACAACTTGAATTTATCCGCCATGTTAACTGACCTTGATCAATTTTATTTTGGGACAACCAATGAGAATACAGGATCTAGGGGAGCGGATCATTGAGGATTTCCCTTATTTTAAGCATGAATATCACTGTTTATGAAAAAATATCCCATGGAATGCTTTTATTTATCGATGTTTAGTTATATCATACAACACAAATATTTATCAACACCGACATTTACTTTATCAAGTGATTCTAAATTTCAAGCGCAAGTCTCAATGCATCATGCGAGAACTGTCATGGCTGCTGAGGAGAACGACTGGTAAACACGCAGTTTTATTTTACTTGGTTTTCGCGTATAAAGGGCTATGATGTTGAAAGTGAATAAAAATTCCGTCTCATTGGAAGTAAGTTGAATGCAAAAACAATTTATTTTGCCTGCAGTCGCCCGTATCTAAAAAATATATTTGCACCATTACGGAGATGCAGTGGAATTGTAGCCCTCTCCTGAAAATATCAGATTAAAAAAAATCTGAGAGGGCTACATTATTGCAGCTATCTTTGTTTAGGCCTGCAATATGGTGGGATTCATTTTTGTACGAATCTGATGTCAACTTCTTGTTCATCCTTGTGTCTGTCCATAACTGAACTTGTACATTCACATCACAAGCGGGGGTATTAATAGTGAGCATTGGCTCACAGACTTCTTGTTATCCTTGTATAATGTAAATGCTGCTGACAAATGTCTAATGTAAAATTGCTTTTTCAGATATCAATGAATGTTCTGAAGGTACCAACATGTGTGAGCAGAAATGTCATAATACCCAGGGTTCATATTACTGCTCTTGTATGCCAGGCTACAATCTGCAGCCCAATCAAGTTTCCTGTGTTATGGAAAGTATGAAGTTATTCTGACACAAATATTGTTTCTGAAAACAAAATCATGAGTCAATTGATGTCAAATATACATATACAATACAAAAGATTATTAAATAGAATTTGGTCACCTGCGTGGCGCAGTGGTAGAGCGTCTGCTCTAGAGTCACGGAGTAAGGAGTTGATCCTTATGTCGTGGGTTCGAATCCCACTGTGGGACGTGGAGACCAGTCCTTTGGATGAGACCGTATGAATTGAGGTCCCGTGTCGCAGTAGGTGCTGGCACGAAAAAGATCCCTCACTGCTCAATGGCCCCGAGTTCTAAGCATAGGTCAAAATTTGCAGCTCATGATATCGATCTCCACTGGCAAGTGGTGGCGTCTCCATATGAGTGAAATATTCTTGAGAGGGATGTTAAACAACAAAACAAACAAACATAAATAGAATTTGCAGTATTTTTATTTTGAAAAAACTTTAAATTGAGAAATATGACTTTTGCTTCAGGTCCTGATGTGCTGTGTGCTGATATGAATTGCTCACAAGAGTGCACTGTAAACAGCACCGCACACCCATACTGTTTTTGTAACCAAGGATACAGCCTGCAGTCAGATGGAAAGAACTGCACAGGTACACTGTAACTATTATCTAAAAAATTTAACTAGTTTAGAAGAACTAAGCAAATGTGGCGAGTGTTGCATTATGGCCTATTGGTGCAATTTGGATCTATAAATACAATTATATTTAGTTTAAGTACAATGTATATTCAGTTGAAAAGCATATTGTCGCAGAGATACATGTAAATAAAATAAGTGAAGTTTTCTACTCAGTTCATAAGTTTTTAGGTCACCTGAGTTACTCAGGTGACCTATTGCAATCTGTTTTCATCCTGTTGTCATCTATGGGTAGAGAGTGGAGAGGACTTATATAGGCAGTGCCTGCTGTCCAATCCAGTTATGTTTAATCATAATAAATATTGTTTAAATTAAATGGGTAGAGAGGAACATAAACTGTGAATTTCATGGTCTGCAGCTTGAAAATTAATGCTATCTTTAAACACTTTCTTCTTTACTAAAGGATATCAAACTCAACTTTTTGGCATGATTGTAATAAGCATGGAGCCCTCTACCAAAAGTTTGAAATTCATGGCCCCAGGGTCAGAAGTTCTGGAGTTAGGGTGGGGTTCTATTGATCATATTGTGAAAATGCCATTTATTCTCCAGAAAGCTTCTTCTCTCCTCCTTTATATTGAGCAGACAAACTTAGTGTATGATTATCATGAGCAAAGATACATGTACCTCTTCAAAAATTGTGAAATTCACTCCCCCCCCCCTCCCCCAAGTCAGGGGTTTAGGCATTAGGGCAGAAATCTATTGATTATAGAGTGAAAATACATTAATTTTTTTAAAAAAAATCTTCTTTGCTCCTGGGCATCTAGGAGGCAAAAAGAGTAGTGTTTTACCAGATTGTTTTGGTGCTTGGGGAGGGCTCTCTTGATCTTTTAGGAAAATTTGTACTATATTGAGAGAAGTTAAATTATTCCCATTTGCTATTCACCTGTGATAATTAAAGTAATTAATGTAATTGATAGGTCAGTTGAGTAAAAGAATTATACAAGAATTTTTAAGTTATAATACAAAAGTAAGTATTTGAAATCATAGTCTTTATAAATATTGGTCAGATAGACTTGTAAATAATAGATTAAATAAAATTGAGACAAAAACATCTTTGCACATTAAATGTTCTTCAAATACCAAGAGAGACCAGTGTGAGATGTGATGGCTTTAGGTTATGTGCTCAAGCACTATTGTTTTGTAAGACTGCATGGTGCTAGTGATAAATGGGAGTGTATTAGCACTGGCAAGTACAGGCAAGTAAATAGATCTACCTCATATGTTACTGAGTACTAGGCTATTTTGTTGATATCATCCTATTTCTCTTACTTTTGGGCAGCATATTTTCTGTCAGTTTGTTTTATTTTATACTTCTATGAATCCTTTACATTGTTGTATTATACTCAGGTGTCTGTTAAGGCCCTTGGGCCTCTTGTTTATTCAGAGGGATCTGTTTGTTTGGGTTTTTTTTGTAACTAACTCATATGACATATAATCTATGTAACACTTAGGTAACATTGTACATGTTACAAATCTGCTTGTAGTGTCATGTCTTCAACAGTTTCATTGACAATTTAAAAATAGATGTGGATGAATGTCAAGATGCCACACAGTGCCCACAAGTGTGTTCCAATACAGATGGTAGTTTTACCTGCAGTTGTTACATTGGATACAAGCTGCAAAATGACAAAAGATCTTGTCAAGGTTTGTATGTATTTTTATATGAATTGTGTTATATCGTTCAAGAAATTAAAAGAAATTAATCTTTATCAACCAGGACCACGTTTTATAAAAGAACGACTGAGACCAAAAACTTAACTTCATTGTAAAATCTTGCAAAATTGATTATTCTGTTTTAAATTGTTTGCATAAAAATATCATTCAAAATTCCTTAAAAAAAGATAAAATTTTTAAGCTAATGTGAGGAGAAAAATTATTCTCAAAATTATATTTTGGTCATAGTTGTAAGTTCTTTTTGTAAAACGAAGCCCTGTTCTTTCAGTTATCAAGGCAGTTGATGAATTCCACTCTTTCAAAATGATTTTTTTTAATGTGCATGTATTAAAGTCTATCAAAAAAGACTAACGAGTGCTTATTTCTAAAAGTTCTTAGAAATAAAATTTTGCTGAAAGAATCATGAACACAAATATTTAATGTTTGTATAAACAATGATTAAGATATCTTTAAGACACATTGGTAACCTTCTGCTATCTTTTTTAATATGTAATGCATCATCCTTAAACTTTTCATATTTAATTTTTCCTAAAACTTCCACAGGTGTCCTTGGGTGATAGGCCCAGTTTGTTCAAATGAGGTCCAAAATTTTTCATGGAAAAATATGCAGAAATCTTCTAAGATTTGTAGTACAGATCTATGAAATTAAAATTTATATTTTGACTTATATGCAGGTACCCTCACATAGTGTAGATTCATCTCTGTTAAAACTATGGTCCTTTGAACAGGGACAAAGGAAAAATCTGAAAAATTTAATCTTAAAATCTACAAGGCCACAAAGAATTTTAAGAATTTTAAGAATTCCCCTAAAAAATATGATGCTTCAACCTACCCAATTGCAATGAAAGTCTCATGTAGTATTAAATACAGATTTGTTTACCTCATTCCCTTTAATTACACCAAGTGGGAATAAGTTAGGGCTCTCAAGTTTTATAAAGAAATAGGCAAGACAGAGGAACAGTTAAAAATCATTGTAACTCTCAGGTGACTGTTAAGCCCATGGGCCTCTAGTTAACATTTTGTCAAGGATAGAGAAAAGCTTTTATTAAGTACTTGATCTGATGTCACAACTTGACTTGTTATGTAGGTTGTGATTCCCTGCATTGGGGGTACAATTGCGACACATCATGTGACTGTTCCCAGAATGCTTTGCGTTGTGACAGTGTAAGAGGGTGTGTCTGTAAGACTGGTTGGACAGGAACCCTGTGTGAGACTAACATCAATGAATGTGTGGATCCAAGTTTGTGTTCAGCTACAGAGGTGTGTGTAGACAACCCAGGATCCTACAGCTGTCAGTGTGTCAGTGGATACCAGAGAAATGCTTCACAAATCTGTCAAAGTGAGAAATAGCTTTGTTTTGTTTATCATTAGATCTCTTCTTTATATTTATTTATATAGGAGTAACTTCATGTACAGTACACATTTCTCATGTATCTAACAGTTAGTAATTCAAATCCCACTTTAATCTGTTCCTTTTTTCTGTAGATGTGGATGAGTGTAGCTCAGCCCTCCATAACTGTACCTCCACAGAGATCTGTCAGGACATACCAGGTTCATTCCTCTGTCCATGTCAAGTGGGATACCAGAGAAATATCTCCTCTGGGGCATGTGAAGGTAGAGAGGGTCGAATCTTTATTTATTTATAATTTATGACTTCAGATATGAATATCTTTACTATTAAAACAATGTTATCTCCAAATTTTGAGTGACATTTTGACTTTTAGATATTGATGAATGTGTGGAGGGTACTGGCTCCTGCTTGCAGAATTGTCACAACACTGTAGGGAGTTATTATTGTACCTGTTATATTGGATATCAGCTACAAGACGACAGGAGAACATGTGTGAAATGTAAGTATGATATCTGATATGATATCTGATGACACCAGTTACATTGGATAATATCTTCAGATGACAGGAAAACTTGTGTGGAATGTAACTTTGATATCATATAGCAACTGTTACTTTGGATGAAAATGTGTGAAATGTAAGTAGAATAACTGTTATTGATTACATTAGATACCATCTTAAGATGACAGAATAAATTGACTGTGTGAAATGTAACTTTGATATCTGATAGCAACTGTTACATTGGATGACAAAACTTGTGTAATATGTATGATATCAGATATCACCTGTTACATTGGATACCATTTTAAGATGACAGACGAACTTTTGTGAAGTGTTATGTTATCTAATATCATCATAGTACCTGTTACATTTAATATCATTTAAAAGGTTGCAGGAGATTGAGTAAAATGCAAGTATGATATCTGATATCAGAAAAGCATGTTATATTGCCAAGAATAAAAACATTACAGAAAAATCAAATATTGAAAATCAATTTAAAATTAGTCTTTAAATCATGAATAAGCATAGCTGATTAAAGAAAAAAAATGTGCCAAATTTATAAAAGTTTGTTAAATCTGCCATTTATTGTTTTGCCTTGAGATACATAAGAAATATTTCTATTCTCTTTAAATATGGGGGCCAAAATTCCCTGTATACAGTGTTTATGCATGTATATCCATCAAATTGCCAAATATGTGCAATCACTTTGGTAAGTATATAATAACATGGTTGGTTTGTAGCCAGAAATCCCTGTCTCGGAGCCAGTGTGGATGGAACCTGTGACACAACTCATGGAGGATGTACCGTCAACTCCTCCAATGTAGCCTATTGTTTCTGTGACCATGGATATGACCTCCAGGTCAATGCTTCAGGATTCTCGCTCTGTATAAGTAAGATATCACATTTTTAGATATGTCACCTTTTGCTTGTTTTGTCTGGTCAGTGTTTGGTTTTATGACTAAGTATTGATGATATTCATAAAAGTTGCACTAAATTCTGTAGAACTTTCTGATTTTGCTATCTATAATACATGCATCAATATCAGTGAGTTTTGCAGTAAATTCTGTAGATGTTCTGGTGTGACTGATATCTGTTGATGTTGTAGATATCAATATTGTTGTAGATATCAATATTGTTGTTGTAGATATCAATGAGTGTGTGACCAACATCTCTGGCTGTTCCCACATCTGTAATGATGTCAGTGGTAGCTTCTACTGTGATTGTCCTGATGGATACAAACTGACAACGGATCACAAAACATGTGAAAGTAAGCTTATTATACAGTTAGTAAAAATATCAAAAAAAAATCTTTTCAACTAACTGCGCATCTTATAGACTGAATCTTGAGATCATAATGAAATGACTATGGCATTCTTCTTTCCAAACAGGTTGTATTGAGACCAATACATGGGGACCAAACTGCACCACTCCCTGTAATTGTGCAGTGGGGGCATCATCATGTGACCCCATTCAGGGCTGTCTGTGTCACCTGGGCTGGACTGGAATACTGTGTGATACAAATATCAATGAATGTACAAATGCAACCTCACCTTGTAATGCAACCCAAATATGTGTTGACACCCCAGGATCCTACACTTGTAAATGTGACACTGGATTTCAAAGTGACCAAACAGGAGGATGTCAAGGTATGGAACTATTCCAAAGTTTATACAAATTTATTTTTGCATTTAAGTATTTAAAATTTATCAAGTACAAAGCTGTTTTGCTTCTTTAAAGTTAGGAGCCCCATGTTAAATTGGCCTAATTTGAAATTGATCCATTTTAGAGTAAGTACGAAAATGATGAAAACAAAAGCTGGTTTGTTAATCTAGTAATTATGCAGTCTTTTATGTCTGTCTTAATATTTCCAGAAGTAATTATTTTTTATGGCATAGACCGAAGGTTATAAGCCATACTAGCGATTGTAATGTTCTTGGCTTTATGAAACCAAAGGTATCAGTCGATGCATCTGCAAAAGAAAATGGAACATATCAATTTCTTTTGAAAATGGTCACAATGAATAACTTGAAAATAAAATTGCATCAAGTATATCAACAATTAATTCTTTTACAAAGTACAGATACTGTATTTATTCTAATCATAGAAAAGTGGGGACCTTACTGATAGCTTCTGTAGATTAATTTCTAAATAGTGAAGTGTCTAATTACATGGATCGATTTTTGGCAGGAAAAACAAATTAAAAGAAAATAAACAACAATGCAGTAAAAAAAAAAAATCATGAAACTACTTGAATGGGCAAACAAGAGTGTTAGAAACTTTGACTTTTAAAGTTCAATCTTTACCATTACAATTTTACAACTAATAAATTTTACCGTAAATTGGATTTTGTAGTATACTATATACCATACCAGATCATAGCTCGTAGCTATATAGTGCAATCACTGAAAATGTGTAAGCTAAAAAAAAATTTTTAGAAAGTGACACTTAGACAATTGACAAGTAGAATAGTTATAAAATAAATCCTTCATAGCACTTCAGCTGACAGAAAAGAAATGAATTATTCAACAACATGGACAGGCTTCAATGTTTGTTTACTTTCAACAGAATGTGGTGAATTAGGACCCTGATGAATTCAGACCTTGGAATAAAGCCCTCACCTATAATTGGGATACTTTGTTTACATTGTTTAATTTTATAATTAGAAGAACTTTTAAGATTGTTTTTCATGTTTAACACCATCAAACCTTTAAGGCTTTTCATTTATTAATAACTTTTTACATCTTGGAAGAAAACACAAAAATATATTTTGATACAGGCATTTTGTGGCCTATATTATTAGTCTTAAGAAAAACGATTTTTGAGAAATGAGTGATAGATATTTACTGATTTCCCATGCATTTTTCTGAAGTTGAAATCATTAATGTTAAAATCTTGACATTGATTATTTATAACATTTTAACCCAATCAGACTCAGCTGTTATCTGTCATTTTAGATGTTAATGAGTGCCTCAGCAACCAGGACAATTGTCAGCAAATTTGTATCAATACTGCTGGCACCTTCAACTGTTCGTGTCGATCTGGATATGAGTTAAATACTGATGGATATTCATGTCAAGGTAACTGTTAAATAACTTTTAAGGACTGACTTAGAAATTGTCCACATGGCTGAACTTGCTTTTCATATGTACTAAATTTCCTTTTAAGACAAAAATGAATGCTTACCTGGAATGATTGGGAACACAAGCTGTCAACAATTTTGTACAAATACAGAGGGAGGGTATTTCTGTTCCTGTTCTCAATCATATGAATTAGGAAATGACCAAAAAACATGTACACTAACAACCACATCAACCACAACCACCACCACAACCACCACCACAACAGAAGCTCCTACAACCACAACAACAGAAGCTCCTACAACAACAACAATAGAAGTTCCTACAACCACAACAACAGAAGTTCCTACAACAACCACAACAGATGTTCCAACACCCACAGCAGAAGCTCCTTCAACCACAACAACTAGAGAAGCTCCTACAACCATAACAACAGAAGCTCCTACAACCACAACAACAGAAGTGCTAACATTTAAAGCAACAGAAGCTCCTACAACCACCACAACAGAATTTGCTACACCCACAACAATAGAAACCCCTTCAACCACAACTACAAAAGCCCCAACAACCATGAGTACGACAACAGAAGCTTCTACAACCACAACAACAGAAGTTCCTACAACCACAACAAAAGAAGCTCCTGCAACCACCACAACAGAAGTTCTTACAACCAGAACAACAGAAGCTCCTACAACCACCACTACAGAAGTTCCAACAACAACAACTACCACTACAGAAGCCTTGACCACTACTACTGAAGCACCAACAACTACCACAACTACTGAAACTCCAACCACTACAAGAACTACAGAGGCACCAACAACTACCACTACAGAAGCCTTGACCACTACTACTGAAGCACCAACAACTACCACAACTACTGAAACTCCAACCACTACAACAACAACAGAGGCACCAACAACTACCATCACAGAAGCCTTGACCACTACTACTGAAGCACCAACAACTACCACAACTACTGAAACTACAACAACTACACAGGCACCAACAACTACCACTACAGAAGCCTTGACCACTACTACTGAAGCAACAACAACTACCACAACTACTGAAACTACAACAACTACACAGGCACCAACAACTACCACTACAGAAGCCTTGACCACTACTACTGAAGCACCAACAACTACCACAACTACTGAAACTACAAGCACTACAACAACTACAGAGGCACCAACAACTACCACCACAGAAGCCTTGACCACTACTACTGAAGCACCAACAACTACCACAACTACTGAAACTACAACAACTACAGAGGCACCAACAACTACCACTACAGAAGCCTTGACCACTACTACTGAAGCACCAACAATTACCACAACTACTGAAACTCCAAGCACTACAACAACTACACAGGCACCAACAACTACCACTACAGAAGCCTTGACCACTACTACTGAAGCACCAACAACTACCACAACTGCTGAAACTCCAAGCACTACAACAACTACACAGGCACCAACAACTACCACTACAGAAGCCTTGACCACTACTACTGAAGCACCAACAACTACCACAACTACTGAAACTCCAAGCACTACAACAACTACACAGGCACCAACAACTACCACTACAGAAGCCTTGACCACTACTACTGAAGCAACAACAACTACCACAACTACTGAAACTCCAAGGACTACAACAACTACAGAGGCACCAACAACTACCATCACAGAAGCCTTGACCACTACTACTGAAGCACCAACAACTACCACAACTACTGAAACTACAACAACTACACAGGCACCAACAACTACCACTACAGAAGCCTTGACCAGTACTACTGAAGCACCAACAACTACCACAACTACTGAAGCTACAACAACTACAGAGGCACCAACAACTACCACTACAGAAGCCTTGACCACTACTACTGAAGCACCAACAACTACCACAACTACTGAAACTCCAAGCACTACAACAACTACACAGGCACCAACAACTACCACCACAGAAACCTTGACCACTACTACTGAAGCACTAACAACTACCACAACTACTGAAACTACAACAACTACACAGGCACCAACAACTACCACTACAGAAGCCTTGACCACTACTACTGAAGCACCAACAATTACCACAACTACTGAAACTCCAAGCACTACAACAACTACACAGGCACCAACAACTACCACTACAGAAGCCTTGACCACTAGTACTGAAGCACCAACAACTACCACAACTACTGAAACTCCAACCACTACAACAACTACAGAGGCACCAACAACTACCATCACAGAAGCCTTGACCACTACTACTGAAGCACCAACAACTACCACAACTACTGAAACTACAACAACTACACAGGCACCAACAACTACCACTACAGAAGCCTTGACCACTACTACTGAAGCACTAACAACTACCACAACTACTGAATCTCCAAGCACTACAACAACTACACAGGCACCAACAACTACCACTACAGAAGCCTTGACCACTACTACTGAAGCACCAACAACTACCACAACTACTGAAACTCCAAGCACTACAACAACTACACAGGCACCAACAACTTCCACTACAGAAGCCTTGACCACTACTACTGAAGCACCAACAACTACCACAACTACTGAAACTCTGACCACTACAACAACTACACAGGCACCAACAACTACCACTACAGAAGCCTTGACCACTACTACTGAAGCACCAACAACTACCACAACTACTGAAACTCCAAGCACTACAACAACTACACAGGCACCAACAACTTCCACTACAGAAGCCTTGACCACTACTACTGAAGCACCAACAACTACCGCAACTACTGAAACTCCAAGCACTACAACAACTACAGATGCACCAAAAACTACCACTACAGAAGCCTTGACCACTACTACTGAAGCACCAACAACTACCACAACTACTGAAACTCTGACCACTACAACAACTACACAGGCACCAACAACTACCACTACAGAAGCCTTGACCACTACTACTGAAGCACCAACAACTACCACAACTACTGAAACTCCAAGCACTACAACAACTACAGAGGCACCAACAACTACCATCACAGAAGCCTTGACCACTACTACTGAAGCAACAACAACTACCACAACTACTGAAACTCCAAGCACTACAACAACTACAGAGGCACCAACAACTACCATCACAGAAGCCTTGACCACTACTACTGAAGCACCAACAACTACCACAACTACTGAAACTCCAAGCACTACAACAACTACACAGGCACCAACAACTACCACTACAGAAGCCTTGACCACTACTACTGAAGCAACAACAACTACCACAACTACTGAAACTACAACAACTACACAGGCACCAACAACTACCACTACAGAAGCCTTGACCACTACTACTGAAGCACCAACAACTACCACAACTACTGAAGCTACAACAACTACAGAGGCACCAACAACTACCACTACAGAAGCCTTGACCACTACTACTGAAGCACCAACAACTACCACAACTACTGAAACTCCAAGCACTACAACAACTACAGAGGCACCAACAACTACCACCACAGAAGCCTTGACCACTACTACTGAAGCACCAACAATTACCACAACTACTGAATCTCCAAGCACTACAACAACTATACAGGCACCAACAACTACCACTACAGAAGCCTTGACCACTACTACTGAAGCACCAACAACTACCACAACTACTGAAACTCCAAGCACTACAACAACTACAGAGGCACCAACAACTACCACTACAGAAGCCTTGACCACTACTACTGAAGCACCAACAACTACCACAACTACTGAAACTCCAAGAACTACAACAACAACTACAGAGGCACCAACAACTACCACTACAGAAGCCTTGACCACTACTACTGAAGCACCAACAACTACCACAACTACTGAAACTCCAAGCACTACAACAACTACACAGGCACCAACAACTACCACTACAGAAGCCTTGACCACTACTACTGAAGCACCAACAACTACCACAACTACTGAAACTCCAAGCACTACAACAACTACAGAGGCACCAACAACTACCATCACAGAAGCCTTGACCAGTACTACTGAAGCACCAACAACTACCACAACTACTGAAACTACAACAACTACACAGGCACCAACAACTACCACTACAGAAGCCTTGACCACTACTACTGAAGCACCAACAACTACCACAACTACTGAAACTCCAAGCACTACAACAACTACAGAGGCACCAACAACTACCACTACAGAAGCCTTGACCAGTACTACTGAAGCACCAACAACTACCACAACTACTGAAGCTACAACAACTACAGAGGCACCAACAACTACCACTACAGAAGCCTTGACCACTACTACTGAAGCACCAACAACTACCACAACTACTGAAACTCCAAGCACTACAACAACTACACAGGCACCAACAACTACCACCACAGAAGCCTTGACCACTACTACTGAAGCACCAACAACTACCACAACTACTGAAACTCCAAGCACTACAACAACTACACAGGCACCAACAACTACCACTACAGAAGCCTTGACCACTACTACTGAAGCACCAACAACTACCACAACTACTGAAACTGCAACCACTACAACAACTACACAGGCACCAACAACTACCACTACAGAAGCCTTGACCACTACTACTGAAGCACCAACAACTACCACAACTACTGAAACTCCAAGCACTACAACAACTACACAGGCACCAAAAACTACCACTACAGAAGCCTTGACCACTACTACTGAAGCACCAACAACTAGCACAACTACTGAAACTCCAAGCACTACAACAGCTACACAGGCACCAACAACTACCACTACAGAAGTCTTGACCACTACTACTGAAGCACCAACAACTACCACAACTACTGAAACTCCAAGCACTACAACAACTACACAGGCACCAACAACTACCACTACAGAAGCCTTGACCACTACTACTGAAGCACCAACAACTACCACAACTACTGAAACTCCAAGCACTACAACAACTACAGAGGCACCAACAACTACCATCACAGAAGCCTTGACCAATACTACTGAAGCACCAACAACTACCACAACTACTGAAACTACAACCACTACAGAGGCACCAACAACTACCACTACAGAAGCCTTGACCACTACTACTGAAGCACCAACAACTACCGCAACTACTGAAACTCCAAGCACTACAACAACTACAGATGCACCAACAACTACCACTACAGAAGCCTTGACCACTACTACTGAAGCACCAACAACTACCACAACTACTGAAACTCTGACCACTACAACAACTACACAGGCACCAACAACTACCACTACAGAAGCCTTGACCACTACTACTGAAGCACCAACAACTACCACAACTACTGAAACTCCAAGCACTACAACAACTACAGAGGCACCAACAACTACCACTACAGAAGCCTTGACCACTACTACTGAAGCAACAACAACTACCACAACTACTGAAACTCCAAGCACTACAACAACTACAGAGGCACCAACAACTACCATCACAGAAGCCTTGACCACTACTACTGAAGCACCAACAACTACCACAACTACTGAAACTCCAAGCACTACAACAACTACAGAGGCACCAACAACTACCACTACAGAAGCCTTGACCACTACTACTGGAGCAACAACAACTACCACAACTACTGAAACTACAACAACTACACAGGCACCAACAACTACCACTACAGAAGCCTTGACCACTACTACTGAAGCACCAACAACTACCACAACTACTGAAGCTACAACAACTACAGAGGCACCAACAACTACCACTACAGAAGCCTTGACCACTACTACTGAAGCACCAACAACTACCACAACTACTGAAACTCCAAGCACTACAACAACTACAGAGGCACCAACAACTACCACCACAGAAGCCTTGACCACTACTACTGAAGCACCAACAATTACCACAACAACTGAATCTCCAAGCACTACAACAACTATACAGGCACCAACAACTACCACTACAGAAGCCTTGACCACTACTACTGAAGCACCAACAACTACCACAACTACTGAAACTCCAAGCACTACAACAACTACACAGGCACCAACAACTACCACTACAGAAGCCTTGACCACTACTACTGAAGCACCAACAACTAGCACAACTACTGAAACTCCAAGCACTACAACAACTATACAGGCACCAACAACTACCACTACAGAAGCCTTGACCACTACTACTGAAGCACCAACAACTACCACAACTACTGAAACTCCAAGCACTACAACAACTACACAGGCACCAACAACTACCACTACAGAAGCCTTGACCACTACTACTGAAGCACCAACAACTACCACAACTACTGAAACTCCAAGCACTACAACAACTACAGAGGCACCAACAACTACCATCACAGAAGCCTTGACCAGTACTACTGAAGCACCAACAACTACCACAACTACTGAAACTACAACAACTACACAGGCACCAACAACTACCACTACAGAAGCCTTGACCACTACTACTGAAGCACCAACAACTACCACAACTACTGAAACTCCAAGCACTACAACAACTACAGAGGCACCAACAACTACCACTACAGAAGCCTTGACCAGTACTACTGAAGCACCAACAACTACCACAACTACTGAAGCTACAACAACTACAGAGGCACCAACAACTACCACTACAGAAGCCTTGACCACTACTACTGAAGCACCAACAACTACCACAACTACTGAAACTCCAAGCACTACAACAACTACACAGGCACCAACAACTACCACTACAGAAGCCTTGACCACTACTACTGAAGCACCAACAACTACCACAACTACTGAAACTGCAACCACTACAACAACTACACAGGCACCAACAACTACCACTACAGAAGCCTTGACCACTACTACTGAAGCACCAACAACTACCACAACTACTGAAACTCCAAGCACTACAACAACTACACAGGCACCAAAAACTACCACTACAGAAGCCTTGACCACTACTACTGAAGCACCAACAACTAGCACAACTACTGAAACTCCAAGCACTACAACAGCTACACAGGCACCAACAACTACCACTACAGAAGTCTTGACCACTACTACTGAAGCACCAACAACTACCACAACTACTGAAACTCCAAGCACTACAACAACTACACAGGCACCAACAACTACCACTACAGAAGCCTTGACCACTACTACTGAAGCACCAACAACTACCACAACTACTGAAACTCCAAGCACTACAACAACTACACAGGCACCAACAACTACCATCACAGAAGCCTTGACCAATACTACTGAAGCACCAACAACTACCACAACTACTGAAACTACAACCACTACAGAGGCACCAACAACTACCACTACAGAAGCCTTGACCACTACTACTGAAGCACCAACAACTACCACAACTACTGAAACTCCAAGCACTACAACAACTACAGAGGCACCAACAACTACCACCACAGAAGCCTTGACCACTACTACTGAAGCACCAACAACTACCACAACTACTGAAACTCCAAGCACTACAACAACTACACAGGCACCAACAACTACCACTACAGAAGCCTTGACCACTACTACTGAAGCACCAACAACTACCACAACTACTGAAACTGCAACCACTACAACAACTACACAGGCACCAACAACTACCACTACAGAAGCCTTGACCACTACTACTGAAGCACCAACAACTACCACAACTACTGAAACTCCAAGCACTACAACAACTACACAGGCACCAAAAACTACCACTACAGAAGCCTTGACCACTACTACTGAAGCAACAACAACTAGCACAACTACTGAAACTCCAAGCACTACAACAGCTACACAGGCACCAACAACTACCACTACAGAAGCCTTGACCACTACTACTGAAGCACCAACAACTACCACAACTACTGAAACTCCAAGCACTACAACAACTACAGAGGCACCAACAACTACCACTACAGAAGCCTTGACCACTACTACTGAAGCAACAACAACTACCACAACTACTGAAACTCCAAGCACTACAACAACTACAGAGGCACCAACAACTACCATCACAGAAGCCTTGACCACTACTACTGAAGCACCAACAACTACCACAACTACTGAAACTCCAAGCACTACAACAACTACAGAGGCACCAACAACTACCACTACAGAAGCCTTGACCACTACTACTGAAGCAACAACAACTACCACAACTACTGAAACTACAACAACTACACAGGCACCAACAACTACCACTACAGAAGCCTTGACCACTACTACTGAAGCACCAACAACTACCACAACTACTGAAGCTACAACAACTACAGAGGCACCAACAACTACCACTACAGAAGCCTTGACCACTACTACTGAAGCACCAACAACTACCACAACTACTGAAACTCCAAGCACTACAACAACTACAGAGGCACCAACAACTACCACCACAGAAGCCTTGACCACTACTACTGAAGCACCAACAATTACCACAACTACTGAATCTCCAAGCACTACAACAACTATACAGGCACCAACAACTACCACTACAGAAGCCTTGACCAGTACTACTGAAGCACCAACAACTACCACAACTACTGAAACTCCAAGCACTACAACAACTACACAGGCACCAACAACTACCACTACAGAAGCCTTGACCACTACTACTGAAGCACCAACAACTAGCACAACTACTGAAACTCCAAGCACTACAACAACTATACAGGCACCAACAACTACCACTACAGAAGCCTTGACCACTACTACTGAAGCACCAACAACTACCACAACTACTGAAACTCCAAGCACTACAACAACTACACAGGCACCAACAACTACCACTACAGAAGCCTTGACCACTACTACTGAAGCACCAACAACTACCACAACTACTGAAACTCCAAGCACTACAACAACTACAGAGGCACCAACAACTACCATCACAGAAGCCTTGACCAGTACTACTGAAGCACCAACAACTACCACAACTACTGAAACTACAACAACTACACAGGCACCAACAACTACCACTACAGAAGCCTTGACCACTACTACTGAAGCACCAACAACTACCACAACTACTGAAACTCCAAGCACTACAACAACTACACAGGCACCAACAACTACCACTACAGAAGCCTTGACCAGTACTACTGAAGCACCAACAACTACCACAACTACTGAAGCTACAACAACTACAGAGGCACCAACAACTACCACTACAGAAGCCTTGACCACTACTACTGAAGCACCAACAACTACCACAACTACTGAAACTCCAAGCACTACAACAACTACACAGGCACCAACAACTACCACTACAGAAGCCTTGACCACTACTACTGAAGCACCAACAACTACCACAACTACTGAAACTGCAACCACTACAACAACTACACAGGCACCAACAACTACCACTACAGAAGCCTTGACCACTACTACTGAAGCACCAACAACTACCACAACTACTGAAACTCCAAGCACTACAACAACTACACAGGCACCAAAAACTACCACTACAGAAGCCTTGACCACTACTACTGAAGCACCAACAACTAGCACAACTACTGAAACTCCAAGCACTACAACAGCTACACAGGCACCAACAACTACCACTACAGAAGTCTTGACCACTACTACTGAAGCACCAACAACTACCACAACTACTGAAACTCCAAGCACTACAACAACTACACAGGCACCAACAACTACCACTACAGAAGCCTTGACCACTACTACTGAAGCACCAACAACTACCACAACTACTGAAACTCCAAGCACTACAACAACTACACAGGCACCAACAACTACCATCACAGAAGCCTTGACCAATACTACTGAAGCACCAACAACTACCACAACTACTGAAACTACAACCACTACAGAGGCACCAACAACTACCACTACAGAAGCCTTGACCACTACTACTGAAGCACCAACAACTACCACAACTACTGAAACTCCAAGCACTACAACAACTACAGAGGCACCAACAACTACCACCACAGAAGCCTTGACCACTACTACTGAAGCACCAACAACTACCACAACTACTGAAACTCCAAGCACTACAACAACTACACAGGCACCAACAACTACCACTACAGAAGCCTTGACCACTACTACTGAAGCACCAACAACTACCACAACTACTGAAACTGCAACCACTACAACAACTACACAGGCACCAACAACTACCACTACAGAAGCCTTGACCACTACTACTGAAGCACCAACAACTACCACAACTACTGAAACTCCAAGCACTACAACAACTACACAGGCACCAAAAACTACCACTACAGAAGCCTTGACCACTACTACTGAAGCAACAACAACTAGCACAACTACTGAAACTCCAAGCACTACAACAGCTACACAGGCACCAACAACTACCACTACAGAAGCCTTGACCACTACTACTGAAGCACCAACAACTACCACAACTACTGAAACTCCAAGCACTACAACAACTACAGAGGCACCAACAACTACCACTACAGAAGCCTTGACCACTACTACTGAAGCAACAACAACTACCACAACTACTGAAACTCCAAGCACTACAACAACTACAGAGGCACCAACAACTACCATCACAGAAGCCTTGACCACTACTACTGAAGCACCAACAACTACCACAACTACTGAAACTCCAAGCACTACAACAACTACAGAGGCACCAACAACTACCACTACAGAAGCCTTGACCACTACTACTGAAGCAACAACAACTACCACAACTACTGAAACTACAACAACTACACAGGCACCAACAACTACCACTACAGAAGCCTTGACCACTACTACTGAAGCACCAACAACTACCACAACTACTGAAGCTACAACAACTACAGAGGCACCAACAACTACCACTACAGAAGCCTTGACCACTACTACTGAAGCACCAACAACTACCACAACTACTGAAACTCCAAGCACTACAACAACTACAGAGGCACCAACAACTACCACCACAGAAGCCTTGACCACTACTACTGAAGCACCAACAATTACCACAACTACTGAATCTCCAAGCACTACAACAACTATACAGGCACCAACAACTACCACTACAGAAGCCTTGACCAGTACTACTGAAGCACCAACAACTACCACAACTACTGAAACTCCAAGCACTACAACAACTACACAGGCACCAACAACTACCACTACAGAAGCCTTGACCACTACTACTGAAGCACCAACAACTAGCACAACTACTGAAACTCCAAGCACTACAACAACTATACAGGCACCAACAACTACCACTACAGAAGCCTTGACCACTACTACTGAAGCACCAACAACTACCACAACTACTGAAACTCCAAGCACTACAACAACTACACAGGCACCAACAACTACCACTACAGAAGCCTTGACCAGTACTACTGAAGCACCAACAACTACCACAACTACTGAAACTACAACAACTACACAGGCACCAACAACTACCACTACAGAAGCCTTGACCACTACTACTGAAGCACCAACAACTACCACAACTACTGAAACTCCAAGCACTACAACAACTACAGAGGCACCAACAACTACCACTACAGAAGCCTTGACCAGTACTACTGAAGCACCAACAACTACCACAACTACTGAAGCTACAACAACTACAGAGGCACCAACAACTACCACTACAGAAGCCTTGACCACTACTACTGAAGCACCAACAACTACCACAACTACTGAAACTCCAAGCACTACAACAACTACACAGGCACCAACAACTACCACTACAGAAGCCTTGACCACTACTACTGAAGCACCAACAACTACCACAACTACTGAAACTGCAACCACTACAACAACTACACAGGCACCAACAACTACCACTACAGAAGCCTTGACCACTACTACTGAAGCACCAACAACTACCACAACTACTGAAACTCCAAGCACTACAACAACTACACAGGCACCAAAAACTACCACTACAGAAGCCTTGACCACTACTACTGAAGCACCAACAACTAGCACAACTACTGAAATTCCAAGCACTACAACAGCTACACAGGCACCAACAACTACCACTACAGAAGTCTTGACCACTACTACTGAAGCACCAACAACTACCACAACTACTGAAACTCCAAGCACTACAACAACTACACAGGCACCAACAACTACCACTACAGAAGCCTTGACCACTACTACTGAAGCACCAACAACTACCACAACTACTGAAACTCCAAGCACTACAACAACTACAGAGGCACCAACAACTACCATCACAGAAGCCTTGACCAATACTACTGAAGCACCAACAACTACCACAACTACTGAAACTACAACCACTACAGAGGCACCAACAACTACCACTACAGAAGCCTTGACCACTACTACTGAAGCACCAACAACTACCACAACTACTGAAACTCCAAGCACTACAACAACTACACAGGCACCAACAACTACCACTACAGAAGCCTTGACCACTACTACTGAAGCACCAACAACTAGCACAACTACTGAAACTCCAACCACTACAACAACTACACAGGCACCAACAACTACCACTACAGAAGCCTTGACCACTACTACTGAAGCACCAACAACTACCACAACTACTGAAACTCTGACCACTACAACAACTACACAGACACCAACAACTACCACCACAGAAGCCTTGACCACTACTACTGAAGCACCAACAACTACCACAACTACTGAAACTGCAACCACTACAACAACTACACAGGCACCAACAACTACCACTACAGAAGCCTTGACCACTACTACTGAAGCACCAACAACTACCACAACTACTGAAACTCCAAGCACTACAACAACTACAGAGGCACCAACAACTACCACTACAGAAACCTTGACCACTTTTACTGAAACATCAACATATAGTGAAATGTTAGTTTCTACAACTAGTGCGAGTCCAGTGATTCTAGGTATTTTTGTAGCATCAAATATTTTTCCAATTATTTATACATTTAACAAAAAAGGTCACTTACCATTTTAAGGTAGAAAATAAAATTGAATATCAAGCTTTAAAAATTATTTCTGAACATCTTTTTTTAATTAGTGATCTCCCTTCTGTTTTTTTTTTCTTTGTCAGTGTAAAAAATATTCAGAAGACTTATTCTGACTTTACTGAATAATATTTGAAGAATTATGTTTAATATATGTGATATTTCATCCATTTCAAGTTGGTGGTTCAAATGTTTGCTTTTCAAAGTAAGACTGTACTATCCTTTTAAGATTTTCTGCAATATGGAGAAAATTTTGGTGATGTCCGAGGATCCTATGGAGATGATTTGTTGTTGGCTAAGGTAGAAAATCCAGTGGGGTTTACATGTGGATCTTCATTGACTCATAAAATTTATGTAAGTTGCAGAAAATTAGTACAGGTGTTTATCAAAATTTACAGAAAATATTATACACTTTATTAATCTTTATTTTTGTTTCTACTTTTCATAATACAGGGGAGAAAGAGAGATCTTTCAGGATTAAATGCCTGCTATTTTTAAATATTTTTTGAAAGCGTAAATAACACAGAAAACAGATGCAATGTTTGTTTAATTAATTTCTTCTGACTGGAGACATTCTGTTAAATTATTGAAAATTGTGTGACACTCATTCATCTCATGCAAATGAATGATTCCTGGGGAACTGGAGTTGTACTCTAAAACTAATATTTTATTGGTGTGCACGTTGCATGCTGACGTAACCTCCCTAGGAAAAAGTATTTTTTTGAAATACATCTCAAATGTTGAATATTTTGACTCTAATTGTATTATCCTAATTCTGCAGGGCTTTATTGACTCTTCTGGAACAGGTTCCTGTGCCCTTTCAGTTGGAATTTTAAACCGAACAAGTGGCAAAATTTGAAATATTGATGACTTCTGTTATGTTAAAGTGTTGATTAATGTTAATCCCTCTGCTCATTCATATACAATTTGTCCGTAATGCTTATGATTATCCAAAAGAAATCTAATTTATAAATAAAGTGCACTCAATTTCAGCATACCTTTGACAGGAACTTCCTGTTAACTTGACAATTTTATAAAGGAATAATAGTCATTTAACCCATTGTGAGTTAATCTCTCTTTTTAGAGTATTGATGAACCTTATATAAAGTTAGATTGTAGACATTCCCTATTTACATCTTTATGAATTGTAATCTCAAAACATTGGCAGATTTAGAGGGGGGCCTGGGCCCCCCTTTTGTGTCCAAAATGTACATAAGATTTAAAAAATCAATTTTTTTTTGTGTGGCCGTGGGCCCCTACCCCGACCCCAAACTAGTTGCCCCGTCCCCCCCTTTTCAAGATTCCTGGATCTGCCACTGCAAAATATGTTAATTTTATATGAAAAGTACTGAATAATTCAATTTGCTTGTCATTTGGGAATTTTTACAAAAATTTTGGGAAAAAGAGCCAATTTTCAATTGGGACAGTTTCCTTTTACTGGACCTGGATACAATGGATATTAAGCCCTAATTCTTCTCAAATAGCTTTTATATATAATAGAATTTTTAAATTTTGATTGTTAAATTAAAAAAAAGAACATATTTGAACAAGATATATGGATTCTGAAATTTTTATACGCCCGTCTTTAGATGGGACATATTATGTTATGGCGTTCATGTCCGTCCGTCTGTCCATCTGTCTGTCTGTCTGTCTGTTAGCTTTTCTCGTGTCCGGCTCATAACTTTAATACTATTAGGCCTAGGATTATCAAACTTTGTCAGCTGATACTTCTTGGGTAGAAGGTGTGTCGCGCACTAAAAGTAGGTCGTTCTGACCTTTAATTAAGATGCTATGGCCAAATATGGAAAAATCCTGTCCGGCTCATAACTAGAAAACTATTAGACTTAGAATCATCAAACTTGCCCAGTTTATGCATCTTAGGGAGAAGGTGTGTCGCGACCTATTTCAAGGTCACTGTGACCTTTAATTTAAGTGAAATTTTAAAAAAAAAACTGTCTTTTTACTATTAAATTACACAATCCCAAAAAATGTAAAAGTGTTGCAGTATCCTTATTAAAAAGATGTTAAAATCAAGAAATACTTATTTTTTTCATTATATACTTTACAGCAATCTATAACAAATATAATGTTACAAGAGAAATTCCACCTCTCCCATGGGTGTAATTGTCAAGCACTGGTCAAGGAGAATTTTGATAACAGAAAATTGCATGTCAAATTAGAGAGAAATTAATGAGTTTAGTGTGAGGAGCTAACTGGTAGAGCATCTCTGATCAAGCAGGTGTTATCTATATCTCTTGGGAATTGGGCAGAGGAGTCAGCCATGTTGGATTAAATAGTTTTTGTGGGCTAGCCTAACTTTTAAAATGAATTTGGTGAAAAGTAATTAAAACTAATTTGATATTGTATAATAAACTAATTTGATATCGTATAATAAACTAATTAATTAAAACTAATTATACTCCGGGGGGGGGGGGGGGGGGGGGTATGATATTGGAATTAGCATGCCCATTGTCCATATGAATTGCAGCTTAAAACCAGTGTGACATTGAATCTAAAAAAAACAACAAGTATTTAAAAAAAAAATTTTAATTATGGTAGATAGTCCCTACAAATCTAAGAGTCAAGCTTCTGCTTGACTCTTAGATTTGTAGGGACTATCTACCATAATTAAAATTTTTTTTTTAAATACTTGTTTTTTTTGTTTCAAGATTACAATATTTTTTCTTTTTATAAATCTTTGTAACAAATTAAAAAAAAAATCTTTGTTTTCAAATTTAATTTCAGAATGACATAAATATGCATTTTAATTGCACTACCAAGCAGATAGCGCAGATCCATTCATCCCTTGGGAGTAATGAGTGGACATGCATCTAGTTAAAGATTAATTAATGAGTTCAGTGTAGGAAGGCAAGCTGTCTCAATCATTTCTGTTAGAGCATCTCTGATCAAGCAGTTCTTATCTGTGTCCTTTGGGAATTAGACAGAAGAACTGCTGGTCAGTTTATAGCATATGTCATTTGATGGCCAGTCTTTTATTTTAAAATTAAATTGGTATAGATTAAGTTGTTAAGACTAAATTGATATTGTTTAATAGGATATTTTTATTTAATTTTTTGAAAATATCAACTAGTAAATTTCAGAGCATCATGTCTCACAAATATGAAAGATGTGTGTGTGTGTCACTGTGTGTGTGTGTGTGTGTTTGGGGGGGGGGGGGGGGGGGCTGCAGATGGGCATTTGTCAAGCTCTAACACTACCAGTTGAGGATCTATAATGTAATATTTGTTATAATGCCTACACCACATGAAATGTATAAACAACAATTATAAGAAATGGAAAAATCTTGGAAATCCTTGTATCAAGGTTGACTTGATTTTCTTGCACTTTAAACTGTTCGTGATAATTGAACAATATTTGACGGGCGTATCATGCTGTGGCGGGGCACTTTATTATTCAATGAAAAGATTTTTTTAATTGTCTTCTAAAGATATGTCTTAATTAATAACATGAAAGCTGCCAGTACATGTATATGTAGAACTGCAGATGGTTTTGCTATGGACAAATTTAGGCACTAATTGATTTAAAGATCAAGGAACCATTTACAACGTTCACTTATCCATTTTCCAGATCTACACAAATGGCTATATTACTCTTGATGGTGACTTCAACAGTGGTAGACCTCATCTGTTTTCAAATCTGAATGAAATACAACCAGGCTCTATGGTTGCTCCTTTCTGGTCAGACATTGACATGACAAGAGATTCCAGAATTTGGTATCATTTCTACAACAAATTCACGGCAGAGTCCTCAGTTCTGAGCCAGGCCCGGTCTCTGATTGTGGAGAATTACAGAGACTCAGCTACAGCCTCTAGTTTTAACCCTAATACAGCTTTAGTCGTGACATGGGAGAATGTTCATCCTGCTCCAGTGTCATCATATTCCTCACAGGTAGTGTACTAATGTGTACTAATGTACTTTTTTCCACAGGGTCATAATTCAGCAGAATCAGAATTTCTGTTCAATCTGCAGGTAAAAAATTACGCAGATTTCTTGAACTGCCTTAATGTCTTAGATGCTGCCTTTAAGTTTCCTCAAAAAATTGTGACCGGTACGTAGCATAAATTAATTCCACACTGAAAAATGTACATCTACAGTATTCTGAAAGCATGGATAACTAAATGTTTGAAAACAATCAAATTTGTGAGAAACATTTGCTTAGGGATGATCAGATTTGCTAGTTGTTCATTAGAACTTTGCTTTCTATTGTATATAATATTATCATACATGCTTAAAAATCTGATTACCTTTTTTAAAAAAGACATATATTTTTTTAATAGAATGCCAGTTTCCAGCTTCTGATAGCCAGTGATGGAGTGACCACTTATGCAGCCTTTCTGTTTAAACAGATGGACTGGATTCCTCCTAAACCTGCCTTACTGGGCTACAGGTGTGGGTCAGATGACCTCTACAGTCACCCTGCTTCTCTGACCCATCACATTCTACAGGATGTCATTAACAATGGTTATAACAGTAAGTTTGACTTATTTTTCATAAAAATGCATTTGTATATAAAATGTGTATAGAAAAGCATGTAATATTGCACACAACAGAAATCACTAATATTCTGTTTTCTTTAATTATACCCCCAGTGTGAAATGTGGGGGATATATAATGCAGGGGTTGTCTATCTGTCCGTTACACTTTGGGGTACCCACCCCTTATCTGCAACTCTTACTTCAATGAAACTTTCAGAAAATCTTTATTACATAGTGGCCTTGTGCATTTCCTATTAAATGTTTCAATCAGACACATTCTTGAGGTTTCCTACAAGGCAAAATGTGGACACTGCAATTCTTTCTATAATATTTGGGGTATACCCATCTCTTACCTGCAACTCCTCCTATATCACTGAATGAAATTTAATGAGACTTTCATAGAATTTTTATTACATAGTGCTATTGTGCACCTTCTATTTAACATTTCAATTGGACAGATATTTGTGGTTTCCCATTAGAAACATGGTGTTCGCCTTTCTTGGTACACTTGGGGTTAGCCATAACTTATCCTCAACTCCTCTTACACCACTGAATGCAATTTAATGAAATTTTGGCAGAATCTTTATTACATAGTGCCATTTTGCAACTCCTATTTTATGTTTCAATTGGAAACATATTTGCGTTTCCCATAGCTATACATAGACTTTGCCATTCTTGATTTAACATTGGGGTACCCATTTTGATCCACAACTCCTCCTATACCTCTGAGTAAAATTTAATGACACTTTCACAGAATTTTCATTACAAAGTGCCTTTGTACACCTTCTATTTTACATTTTTATCAGACATGTATTTTAGGTTTCCCATAGGTATACATTAACTATGCCATTATGCACAATAAAGAGGGTACCCATTTGTTAATGCAATGCCTCCTAAACCCCTGAGTGAAATTTAATGGAACTTTCACAGAATCTCAATTACATACTTCCAAGAAGTGCACTTTGCCATTAAAATCATATGGAAGCAAGGGGGTGTCAATTCACAGGTCTCTAGGACTTTGCTATAACCGTGTTTTGCTGCATGGAAAAGTACAATATGTATTATTATCTTCTTGTATTTTGCATAAAATATTTTGGTATCCTATGATTAATTTGTTTTTGTTGATTTTCATTTTGCAAAGAAGAAAAAAAATTGATATAAATCAAGTGTAAGTGTACATTCTGCATAAAAATATTATGTGTTAAATGAATGCAAAACACTTTCTAGCTCTTAAATCTCGAGAAATAATGAAGTACTTAATTAATTCTATATAGAACGATGCCAAAGGGAATTGTATTAAATCATCATGCTTTATTTCTGTGTGTGATTGTTTTTTTTTTACATAGATGGAAGTAAACAAGGACTATGGGTTTATAAATTGGACAGAATGAACAACTTTATAAACTTTGCTGAAAAATGCTTTACATGGATGCAAAACTCTGGAAATCCAGGATTTTTGGCTGTTGTTTTGGCCAATACAAAATTAACAAAGTGTCCCTGTAGTGAAGACAGGATACAAAAAGATGGCCGCTTTGTTCAGTACCGAAAGGAGCCCAACTGTTATGTATTGAAGTTTTCACCTTCTGCCGTAACAGGGACAAGGGTAATGTCATGCATATATTAGGATATGGAGGACACATGGTCACATGACTTAATTGAAATACTGTTAAAGAAGTTAAGTAGAATACACAGCCAATTATAATAAGTCTACATTCATGGGCTTTGTAAATATATCTCTGCAAAACAAATGTTAAAGTATCAATGCATTCATGAATCTTTAAGAAGTTGTTGTATCTCAACTTCATGAAATTAAATATATTGCTCATATTTTCTGAATGCTTGGATGAGTTAGAGATTTTAGGAGCAGGTTGATTTGCCCAATTCAGACCAAATTTGTTTGGATGTTGCATCAAGGGATGTACATGCACTACCAGACTTGCTTTGGATACCAAATCTGGCCTATATTATCTGGATGCTTGAACAGATTAGAATTTGGACCAGGTTCATCCTGACTAAAACTTGCATGAAGTTGCATCCAAGATTGCATTCTTGGACTACCAGACTTGCTTCAGATGCTTTATCTGACCTACATATTCTGGATGAGTGGTTGGGTCAATATGCTTTTAATACTATACATGTACTCCTTCTGCAGTGTAAATTGATTTTCCAAAACTTGGCACAAGTTAAGAGTACATTAAGATGCATCATTTTGTAATGTAAAATTTAAAGAGAAATGTTACAAAATCATGAGAAAATTTTCTCTTGCAATGTTAGAAGTTACGGTCAGATGACACATTCCTTAATAATATATAGTTTTTTCTAAGAATTTGTTATTGAAGTATTGCTGCTTTAATAAGTTTCCTCACAAAAAATTAATGTACCTTAATATCAGGCATTTGTGCATGATACCAGAAGATGTTATTTGCTATATAATCCTATCAGAAATCACTACCACTGCCAATATCACAATTTTTTGGTGTTTATATCTACTTAAACACTTTAAAAATAGTTTAAAAATCACAATATAATGATAATTATGATTTACTGTAAATCAACTTTTATTCACGTGTGAGAAATATTGGTGAGTTTCGCGACCTACATTTACTCGCAAATATTAATCGCCGCAAACCATTTATTTTACTTTGTATTTCTAGAGGATGTTTCCTGAGTCGCGGAAATTAATTGTCGCGGATTAATTTTAAACTGACGAATTGTGAATAAAAGATGATGCAAATAATAGTTGGTTTACAGTATTTGTTATATATTACGAAGAGATAAAAAATAGATATTCAAGCAAAATTGTCGTCAGACCTTAATGCAAACCAGGTTCTCAACAAAGAGTTCCAGTATTGCAAGAGTGGTATGGTCATATATACATTTAGAGTGCTGTATGAATTTTTTATGCCCCCGGATCGAAAGATCCCGGGGATATATTGTTTTTGTCCTGTTTGTCTGTTTGTCTGTTTATCTGTTTGTCTGTTTATCTGTTTTTATGTTTGTCTGTTGTCAACTTTAACCTTGCCCATAACTTTTGATTGGTTGGAGCTATGACTTTCATATTTCACATGTGTATTCCTTGTGACAAGACCTTTCTTTGGGTACCATCTAGGGCTGTCACGAGTACCCGAAATAACCAAGAACCGTGGTCCAAGTTGTTCGGTTCGGTTCCGGTTCCATTTTTCCGGATTTCGGTTCGGGTCTGATTTATATATTAGAGTCTGTTCAATACAAAAAATGGCGTCGAAATCAAAGGAATGATGACGATAATGGTGATAAATAAACATCACACTTGAAATCTACTTCATTCCATGACAAAACACTAGTCAAGGAAGTATTAGATAACTATCAAAACGAGCAGGAATAGTCAGGTTGTGGCTAACAGTAGGCCAAGTCACCGATGTCTAGACGTTCGCATGGTGAAGACTTGTTTCCAATGTAAATTTATTGTAACAAATAAAGATTTTTCAAGTTGAATTCATGAAATTAAGGTTTAAAATAGATGTAAATACCCGACCCGAAAAACCCGAAACCAAACAGAAAATTTACAGAACCGACCCAACCCGAAAAATTTTGGAACCGTGACAGCCCTAGTAAAATCATACTTGACCTTTTGACATGGACCTTGGAGTTTGACCCACTTTTGAAAAATTTTATGAGACTTTAACCTTGGCCATAACTTCTGAACAGTTGGTGCTTGGGGTTTCAAACTTCACATGAGTATTCTTTGTGACAAGGCCTTCCTTTGGATACCAACAACTTTGACCTTTTGTCCTTGACCTTGGAGTTTGACCTACTTTTGAAAAACTTTAACCTTGGCCATAACTTTTGAACAGTTGGTGCTTGGGGTTTCAAACTTCACATGTGTATTCCTTGTGACAAGACATTCCTCTGGATATCAACCTCTTTGACCCTTTGACCTTGACTACTTTTGAAAAACTTGAACCTTGGTCATAACTTTTGAATGGTTAGAGCTAGGGCTTTCATACTTCACATATGTAATCCTTGTGACAAGACCTTCGTTTGGATACCAACAACTTTGACCTTTTGACCTTGACCTAGGAGTTTGACCTATGTTTGAAAAACTTTAACCTTGGCCATAACTTTTGAATGGTTGGTGCTAGGGCTTTCATACTTCACATATGTAATCCTTTTGACATCACCTTCCTTTGGATACCAACCACTTTGACCTTGACAGAGGAGTTTGACCTACTTTTGAAAAACGTCAACCTTGGCCATAATTTTTGAATGGTTGGTGCTAGGGCTTTCATACTTAACATATGTAATCCTTGTGACGAGACCTTCCTTTGGATACCAACCACTTTTACCCTTTGACCTTGACATAGGAGTTTGACCTACTTTCGAAAAACTTTAACCTTGGCCATAACTTTTGAATGGTTGGTGCTAGGGCTTTCATACTTCACATATGTAATCCTTTTGACAAGACCTTCCTTTGGATACCAACAACTTTGACCTTGACCTTGATGTTTTACTTACTTTAAAAAAACTTTGACCTTCGCTATAACTTTTGAACAGTTGCAGCTAGGGCTTTCAAATTAAACATTTTTTTATCTTTTGGCCTGGATTTTGACTTGCATTTGAGAAACTTTAACCTTCGCCATAAGCTGCCATACGGGGGCATCAGTGTTTCACAAACACATCTTGTATTACATGACAATATGAATTTTATTACAAGACACAGTATAATTTTTTTCTTTTTGAAATCAATCAGAAATGCTGTTACTCAAGAAACTCCACCCATTCCAATTTGATCAGCACTGGGAGAGAGGCTGGTTTTATTTACACAGAGCACCCCATACATAATGAAGCCGTGGCCAATCTGAAGGATGAAGAACCACACAATTACTGCTGTATACAGTCCAACCTTTGTAGTGAATTCCTGAAGCTGAGAATTTCTGATACCTGTGAATTTTACAGTCCACTCAGATCAGGTTTGGATTGTGTTAGACTTGAGTTCATTTGATTCAGAGAAAGGACTTTATGTGCTAAAGGCATATGTCTGCCCCCTATAATAAGTGACAGTAAATTTTAAAAATCTCTTAATATGTATACTCTGATTATTTAATCCTAACTTACCTAATGCTTTATGGGTGACACTACAAAGCAGTATTATTTTGTATAAGACTATTATTTTCTGTTTCAATTTCGTTTGTTTTTCCTTCCCAAGGATCTTCCTTTGGAGACCCCCATGTAAGAACACTGGATGGTCTGACCTATACATTTAATGGACTGGGAGAGTATGTGATGCTGACTATGGTAGAACCAGGAACAAACATCACCCTACTGGAGATACAGACTCGTACAGCACAATCTGTCAATGCTAATGGAACCAAGATAAATGCCACAGTCTTCCATGCATTTGTTTTCAAGGAAAAAAATGGAGGAGAAGCTCAGGTAGAAGTCAATCTAGCAGAAACAGGTATGTGCAGATATTTTCTTGTTGCTTTTAAGCCCCAAGCATACAGTCTTGATAATGAGCTTAAGTTTTTCAAAGGAGTTCATGCCTTCTTTGTTCACCTGAGCTGAAAGCTCAAATGAGCTTTTCTAATCACATTTTGTCATTCATCTGTCTGTCTGTACATCTGTAAACTTTTCACATTTTTGACATCTTCTCCAGAACCACTGGGCCAATTTCAATCAAACTTGCCACAAAGGATTCTTGGGTGAAGGGGATTTGAAGGGCCACAACCTCTTTCAAGGGGAGATAATTAAGAATTAGTGAAACAATGGTAGCATCGTTTAAAAATCTTCCCCTCATGAATCATACGGCCAAAAAAGTTGAAACGTATGTGAAACCTTCATTACAAAGTGTAGATTCAAGTTAATTCAGATCATGACCCTCAGGGGTAGGGTGGGGCCAGAATGGTGCATCAAGGTTTTATATATGAATATACATGTATTGGCAAAAATCTAAAAATCTTCTTCTCAAGAATAGTAAAGTCATGATTACCTAGACACATTGCTATGGAATCATCCTTAGGTAGTGTAGATTCAAGTTTGTTCAAATCATGACCCCCTGGGGTTGGGTTAGGCCACAATGGGAATCAAAGTTTTACATAGGAATATACCGTGTATACTCGCCTATAAGTCGGTTTTTTGGGAGTTTAATTTTGGTCAAAAACTCTATGTCCGACTTACAGGCGAGTCATAAAAAGATTGGTATTTTTCTGGATGGCGAGATGTAGTATTTCATATACATTTCCGAAGATTATCATTGAGCAAAGTCTGGATAGAAATAATCATTTTTGTATTCTAAGATTATACATTAAGTACAGATATTTACATATTTTAATAATTTTATTTTTATCTTAAGTATGCATCACTTATTTGTTTAATGATTTAAATTTGAATATCGGTATCATTTCTAAAAATATTAATTGAAACCAGGTTAAAACATCAGTGCATTGATTTGAAATTTCAACCAATTCTGGCAAAAAGTTGTACCGACTTATAAGCGGGTCAATGGCAAATCCATCCAAAATAACCTCAAAAAATACAACTGACTTATTGGCGAGTATATACGGTATACACTGTCATGTAGAAAAAAAATCTGCTGATAAGGAAGAACAGGGCTATATTGACTCAGCTGAAGGTTGTGGCCCATGGGCTTCTTGTTCTAGGTTTTGAATTTGTATTTCAACTTAATTTATACCATTTATTTTCAGACAGAAACTCATTGGTTTTGTTTATTTTTCTCTTTTTCAGGCATGATTTTATATGCAGACAGAATAGACATCACCCCACAATTCTATTCCAGTGACACCTTTACATACTACAGAGAGAATTCTATATTTATAACAAGAACAGGAACTAACAGAGTAAAAATTCTCTTTCCTTCAGGTACTTCAATTTTAATGAGAAAATGTTTTGCTGCTTGAATGGCTTTGAAATATTTGGTGATTTTTATAGAAATATGATCATATGTGTTGATTTCAAATAAACACTGATGTGTTTCAGTGAATAAGCAGGCTAGTGGATTTCAGCATGACTTCTTTCCACATTTTAGGTATTACTTTTGACATGTCTTTGAATCTTGGAATGTTGGAGTTAACCACTGGTATACCAGATTCATTGTCCTCGACTACAACAAACTCTGGCCTTCTGGGAAATGTAAACGGAGACATAAATGATGACCTGAAGACTCCTAATGGAACTTTTCTTCCTTCAAACTCAACAGAGAAGGAAATCTACCACAACTTTGGAGAGCTCTGTAAGATCTTAATGGTGATATTCTTACCTTTTAAACAAGCACAATATTTCCCTGTCTGATATCATTTAAGAAGATAGTATACTTTGTACTGATCAAGCTATGTGAAAGATAAGTTTTATTTTGCCAACAAAACAAACTAGAGTTACTTCATTCTTTCAACAAATTCAGTACTTGGACACTTTTCTCATCCTTTTTTGACAACATGTATACATACGAATTAGACGGAATTTGAGTTTCAATATTTTAAGTTACAATTTTTTAGTGTTTTACCTGATTTTAATTGCAGGGAGAGTTTATTGTGACAAGTCACTCTTTGTCTATCAGCATGACTTGACTTGTGCCTCATATCAGCAGACAAATTTTACACCAATATTCATGGAGGACTTCACTCAACAAGAAATAACCCGAGCTCAGGAGGAGTGTGGGGGTTCCCAGAACTTTAACTGTATTTATGACTTCCTGGCCACGGAAAACAAAGCCATTGCAAATATTACTAGAATAGTTTATCAGACAGCTCTACAAGAGGAGAGAAGTGCAAGTATGAAATGCCTGAGTTTCTATATACATGAATATGGTTTCTGATATCTGAATTTTGCAGATACTATATACAGGTAATTTTTGCCCTATCACATTTGAAAACAATTTTGCCCTATTTTAAATTTGCCCAAACACAGTTGTAATTAAAAGACAATGCTGTTTTCTTTGAATTTGCCCTGTTTTAAATTCGCCCACTTGTGACAAGGGCGAAAGGGTGAAAATAAAATGGGAGCAAAAATTTCCAGTATACAGTATTAAAATTATAAAAATAAATTGGTAATAGTATTCACAATGCATTTGTGACCTAAAGTATATTGAATCTTTCGTTTTTCAGCCAACACTAGGCCTGTCATTGATGGATTGGGTTCTATCTATACAGTAGTTGGTCAGAGCTTCACAATTACGGCCAATGCCTCAGATGTCAATGGTGACAATGTGACTATAGTTATGCTGAGTCCAGTAAATGTGACCTCTGCTACTCTACCTGGAAATGTGTCCTTCTCCTACACCTATACCCCACAAGACATGACTCCTTATGCTGTGGAGTAAGTTCATTCTGTAATGAAAGTTTGTAGCATAATTTGTGAATTTATTGATACATATAAAGTCAGATTTAAATTACAACCTCTTCTAGTGGGGTTGAAAATGTTTTCATCTGCATCTGTTTTAGTCCTATCTGTTTACAAGATACTTCAAAAAATTTTGAGTGGTTTTAATGGAATTGAACAGAAATTAAGGGTGAGTTCTGGGACACCCAGAATGAATCAGCTAGATTTTGAGGTGGATTTTGGAAATGTTGTAGATGATTGTATTTTTCTCATTATTTTTTATTGGGTATCCCTAACTTTGATGAGAAAAGAGAAATATTACTTAAATATGTACATAATTGTAGCTGACATGAATTCTTAGATAGATATGCTTTCTGACTTTTGAGTTACAATAACGATGTATTTCTCAGTGACTGCCTCCCCCTCCCAACCCAAAAGTGTGCTATGTGATGCAATAGATGCCTTTATGTGATATTACATTTTACATTATATTTCAGATTGTATGCTATTGATTCTTTGAGTGGAGTATCCAAGGTATTGTATGAGCAGGTGTACCAGTGTTATAACTGTAGTAACCATGGCAACTGTAACAACTCCTTAGCAACAAGCACCAGTATCTCATCGTTCTTCATTGTACCATGTACCTGTGATCTTGGATGGACAGGTGTGTGTAAGAAGAAACTTAAAAGAGATCAAGATATTGGCATTAGAGTATAGACACCATAGGGACACTTGTTCCTTCATCTTTCCATTTTTCCATTGTTTGTCTGGCAGGTGTCAAACTTTCAAAAAGTAGATCATCTGCAGCAACACGTATTCCATGAGCATTTAATTGCATGTACATGTATGTATTTCGTCGTAGTTGGTGGGGAAAGTATAGAATGGAATCACCATACTAAGACTATATGTATTATTATTATATAAATTAGATTAGAGATGTCATTTAATTAGGCCTGCATTAACCTTACCACTGATGTGTATTCCTAAAACCGCTGATAAATGTGCAGTATTTTATAGCTAAGTGGGCTGTTCCATTTACCTCCCAACAACATTTACACTTGGTAATTTTACTGGTAAAGCAAAAAAAGCAACAATTTATTTTGGGGATGGAAGTGTAATACAGGTGAACTTTGGTCATTGAACACTGACATCTCAAATACCATGGATATGTTGAAGTGATCTGGAAGTCCCAACCACTTATTCTTTAAGTATTTTATTAATACATGTATCTCGAATCATCAGATATTGAGAAGTTTTTTCTCGGTCACATTGACTTTGAGTTTGACTGTAGTAATGTACTGGGAATATAAGTCTTGTTTAGGGTAGCTAAGGTTTTTAAATTCCATTGCTTGTTTGAATTGTCCTACAGAATTGTTTCCTTTGGAGTTTGTAAAGATGGCAATAAAGAGAAAAGTTTGCTTTAATAGGTAACTCATGTGAAACTGATATTGATGGTTGTGCTGGTTCCCCATGTGATCCCCTCAGTAACTGTACAGACAATCCAGCAGTTGAGCACCAGTCAACAGGAAGGGCATTCAAGTGTGAAAACTGTCCTCAAGGATACCAGATAACAGAGTCTTTCAAATGTTTAGGTATAAAAATTTTGGAATCCTTTTTAAATGTAAAGCACCTGTGAGGAGTAAAGAAACTGGGGGGATAAGCCGAGCCATATGCCTACATAACGATCGATAAAAAATCAATAAATTCATTTTACAAAAATTTCACTTTTTGTTGAATTAATGTAATGCTTATTACCATTTGCATATAAATTTGACAAAACCTGAATACTGTAACAGCGAAAATGATTCTGATTAACACAACAAAATGGCATCACGCTCAATTTTCACAGAAACTGACATAAATTGGATGATATAACTACTTTTTTTAAATAGAGTGGGTCATCGTACCATTTTTTTGAGAACGATTAATGAAAGGCAATGGAAAGATGTTGCTTTTTACACTTGCAAAAATTTTGTATGAAGACCCACTCTACATAAAAAATTAAGTTAACTTACATAAATTTTCACAGTGGTCTTAAAAAATTCTAAGTCCAAAAACGCTTGCTAAATATAGAGAACTGTATGCTATTTAAATGAACATGTTAGTGTGATTCCGTGGTCTAGTGGTTAGCGAGGAGCTCTTTAAAGGGACGTTTATTGAGGAAAGTGTTCGAGTCATGCTCTGATTTTTTTTTTTTTTTTTTTTTTTTTTTTTTTTTTAATTTTGTTTTACTTTATAAAAAATGTCTATAGGAATAACATATTTTTCACTGGAAATAAAATATATACATGTAGTAATGAACTTATTTACAGTGAATGATTTAAAATGCCGGATAAAAATTATAATAGATATTTGAATACTTTTATTCCCGTTTTATTTATTTTAAATAAAAGCGCTTCTAGATCACCATTATCATTATATACGATGTTAACATTTTTATAATATCTCCACAGTAAGTGTAAACACTCAATATGCAGATTAATTAATAGAAGTCCTTATCCATGTTAGACATTTGTGACAGTAAATGAAAGTCAACTGTTTAGCTTGTTTAGAATATAAATATCATTTTGAAAACTACGGTAAACATTAAAATGCTTAAGTAAATTCGAACAATTGAGAGATTTTTTCCAATAAATGTTCTTGCATAGCCGAAAAATGGGCATGGGCACATGGCTCGTCTTATCCCCCCAGATTCTTTCAGTTTTTAGCTCACCTGAGCTGAAAGCTCAAGTGAGTTTTTCTGATCACATTTTGTCTGCCGACTGTCTTTCTAGCTGTCTGCCTGACCCTCCGTAATTTTTTCACATTTTCGGCTTCTTCTCCAGAACCACTGGGCCAATTTCAAGCAAACTTGCCACAAAAGATCCTTGAATGAAGGGGATTAAAGTTTGTTTAAATAATTAATAATTAAAGAAAAATTAGTGGCATCTTTTAAAAATTCTTGAATCTTCTCAAGAACCATTGGGCCAAAAAAAATTGAAAATTAAGTGAAACCTTCATTACATAGTGTAGATTCAAGATTTTTTCTAATCATTGAAGGGGGGGGGGGGGAATGGTGCTTCCATGGGGGATCAGAATTTTACATAGGAATGTATATGAAAAAATCTTATTTCTTCTCCTATACATACATTAAAACTCGTTTAGAACATGTATATAGCAAATTCACGTATATAGCAAAGTTTTTTTGAATCCCCAGCGAAATTCTTAACAAATCCTAGGAAAATACTATGGTTATAACGAACTCTGATATAATGAATTAATTTTACGGATATAGCAAACTGATTTTCTGTCCCATAGAGGTTAAAAATATTGAAAATTACATCTTTTGAAGCGAATTCTCAATATCTTAAACTTCAAAATATAAAACTGACACCATTTTTTTTTTTTTATAAATATTAAGTATTTAGATTTGAAATTCCATTCCTCAGAAATATTTAGTATTCAAATAAACTTTTTTCTTTAATACCTCCCAGAACATATTTGGTAGTCATACTTGAAGGAAAAGATGCCTGTTGCGAATTCATTATGGATACTTTAACAGATTCGTTATACGGAATCCAATATAACAAAATATGGATATAATGAAGTAAATTCACAGGTCCCCAGGACTTCACTATAACCAAGTTTTACTGTATAGTAAACAAGTTAAATATAATTGATAGTTGAGAAAAATATGCTGATCATACTGTATATACTTGCCTATAAGTCAGTTGTATTTTTTGAGGTTAGTTTGGAGGGATTTGCCATTGACCCGCTTATAAGTCGGTACAACTTTCTGCCAGAACCAACTGACAAGTTCAAATCAATGCTCAGATCTTCTAACCTGGTTTCAATTTACATTTTAAGAAATGGCGCTGATATGTAATTTTAAATCATTAAAAAAATAAGATTTAAAGAAAGTTATTAAAATATGTAAATACTAAATGTACTTTAACGTGTGTCAATGCATAATCTTAGAATACATAAATGATATAAAATATCCTGATAATTGTCAGAAATGTTACGAAAATACTACATTTAGCCCTCCAGAAAAATACCTATCTTTTTATGACTCACCCTATAAGTCGGACATAGATTTTTGGACTAAAATTTAACTGAAAAAAAAAAACGACTTATAGGCGAGTATATATGGTACTTCAAAGGTTGCATAATATGACCCAATGTTTTGCCTAAACAACAGACAAATACATCATATGAAAGTTTCTGATTGAAATATTTAGTAAATTTCTTCAAAAAATATTTTCTTCTGAAGAACCACTGGACTAGAAAAGATGAAGCTTATATGAAGGCTTCCTGAGGTGGTGAAGATTCCAAACTATTCAACTCATGGCCCTGTGGTTAGGTTGGGGCCATACTAGAGGATCAAAGTTTTGCATGGAACTAAATTTAAAAAAAAATCAAAAAGTCTATAGAAACACAAAAGACATTAATTTGCAGACATTCTCATGCCTGAATTTAATTTTTTTTTGGTTTTAAATTATGGATCCAGGGTTAGAGTTGGCTAAAATCAGGATCAAATTTTACATAACGCATGTATACAGGAAGAGAATTTTCTTCTCCATAACTGCAAAGCTATTTTAGTCATATTGATATTGAAGCATCCCCATGGTATGTGGATTCAGAAACCCCTTATAGTTATGGTGGAGCTATAACATTAGGGTCAATTTTAAAAACTTTTAAAAATCTGATGAAGAATAGCAGGGCTTAAGTTACTCAGGTGAGCATTGTGGCAGTGAGCCTCTTTTTTCCATCTGGGTCATGATTTAGCAACATGGCCTAGATAAAAACTGCATACTGAATCAATAGAAACTTGTGTGTTCCAGATTTTCTTTAATGGATTTAAATAGTGACTATAAGTCAAGGTCATTAGATATCGAGTATGAACTTAAACAAGCCTAAGAAATGATGAGTTAAAGGAGCTTAACTTGGAATTAATTATTTAGATTGGATTTGATGATTCTTACAGATGTAGATGAATGCTCCAACAATTCTGTGAATGGCTGTATCCAGATCTGTACAAACACAGAGGGAAGTTACTCCTGCTCATGTTATCAAGGATACAGATCAGCAGGGACATCATGTTTAGGTGATAATTAATTTAGATATTAAGAAAAAGGAACTTAGGACTTAAGTTAATTCATATCAAATTTTGGTATTTGATTAAATCAAAGCAATCAAAGATTTTTTTTTCTCCTTAAATATAGAGTGGGTATTAAAGTACTAAAAAATGATGTATTTTAAAACAGTACTTTATTTATAATATGATAATTGTGATTTAAATACAGTTGAACTTCGGTATCTTGAACACTGATATCTTGAATACCATGGATATGTTGAAGTGATTTGGAAATCCCAATCGCTTATTCCTTAAGTATTTTACCCTGGATATCTCGAACCCTCGGATATCTCGAAGTATTTTCTGGGTCCCATCAGGTTCGAGATAACGAGCTTTGACTGTATTGTTATTTATATATCCCTGCCATTGATGGGGGTTGGGGGTGGGGGGTTTTAACTAATGTACATTTTCCATCTGTCCTTCTGTCTGGTTTCCACATAGTAATAAATATCATCAGGTTGGATGTTCATGTGTACAATATGATCAATTTGATTTGAGGAATGGAGATCACTTATTTGATTTTGGGATCACTGTGTCAAAGAGAGTGGATTCTGTTTCTAAGAAATAAATAGTTTGTTTTGCATGTTCATATTAGTATACACATTTAATACATATATTAGACACAAGACCAAATTCTATTTTAAACAATTAATGTCAGATTATTCACTCAAGTCCTATAATATAAAAATATTGAGTTTTGATCTGTATTTTCCAGACATTGATGAGTGTACAGAAGGAACCAGTAACTGCCAACAACTCTGTGTGAATGCTGTAGGTTATTACAATTGTTCCTGTGTTGATGGCTATTCTCTCCAGTCAGATGGATTCTCCTGTATTATACAAAGTAAGTGTCATTGGCAGAATTTTTGTATATCCCTGGTTTAGAAACCTGTGGGAACAAAAATCAATTTCGTCTGTCCATTCAAAGTTCTTCATTGAAAGTTTTCACAATGTTAAAACTTTATACTTCACAAAGTCAATGTATAGGTTATTTCTCTTGTGTTAGGCTACAATGGGCAATGTAATAGTTCACAAAACATACATGTATTACGTTTTTGTATGTAAATGCTATAAATTAAACAATCTTTCAAAATGTATAACTATTCTTACTGATAATGAAAAGATTTTAAAATGAAGATGTACCTTTATAATAAGAAAGGTCCATAGCATTGCACGGGAGACTGTAGAGTCTATCTTATTTTTAATTTAGAAGTGATTGTGAAATCAAAAGTTCTCTAAGGAACATTTAAGTACAAAATGTTCATTCAACATATTTGCTGTTATGTTACAGATCCACAGCAGTCCTGCACCAGTATGAACTGTAGTCAAGGATGTTCTGTCAACAACACAGGTTCTCCATATTGCTTCTGTTACCAAGGTTACAGTCTGCTGCCAGATGGACAGAATTGTACTGGTGAGTCAAGTTTTGAAGAAGAAAAATCTTAAGTTTTTCAGCAAATCTGTAGATGTAATATGAAGCTTTAAATTATGTGTTTTTATGTTGCAATTGTAGATGTGAATGAATGTCAGAATAGTGGCACATGTCCCCAAGTGTGTTCAAACACTGACGGCAGTTTTACATGTAGTTGTTTCGTTGGTTACAAGCTGCAAAATGACCAAGTTTCTTGCACAGGTACTGCCATTTTTTTTGTCAAGATGTTTTTTGCTAAGTAAGTTCATATCACAGTATTGTGCCTTTTGTTTGTGAAGTTAAACTTGTCAGTGAATGATTCTTTAAAGGTTGTGATTCCCTGCACTGGGGGTACAATTGCAACAAATCATGTGACTGTTCCCAGAATGCTTTGCGTTGTGACAGTGTAAGAGGGTGTGTTTGTAAGACTGGTTGGACAGGAACCCTGTGTGACACTAACATCAATGAATGTGGGGATCCAAGTTTGTGTTCAGCTACAGAGGTGTGTGTAGACAACCCAGGATCCTACAGCTGTCAGTGTGTCAGTGGATACCAGAGAAATGCTTCACAAATCTGTCAAAGTAAGAAATAGCTTTGTTTTGTGTGTCAGTAGTCCTCTTCATCATACTTGTATCATGGTAATATGAGTAAGCTAAATCCAGATTCTGATCTTTCAGTTTTTTGATTTAAAACTTAAAATTTCTCCTAGTCTAAACATCAAATGTTTCTTTTTCTGTAGATGTGGATGAGTGTAGCTCAGCCCTCCATAACTGTACCTCCACAGAGAGCTGTCAGGACATACCAGGTTCATTCCTCTGTCCATGTCAAGTGGGTTACCAGAGAAATACCTCCTCTGGGGCATGTGAAGGTAGATTTATATCATTTATAGTAAAGACTTCAGTCATGGGGGATGATTATCAGGGGTATATAATTTATCAATTTTTAAAACTGTAGGCAGTATTGAAATAGTACAAACTTTTAAAAAGTTCTATTGATTTCCAGATATTGATGAATGTGGAGAAGGGATAGATTCCTGTAACCAGAATTGTCACAACACTGTAGGGAGTTATTATTGTACCTGTTATATTGGATATCAGCTACAAGACGACAGGAGAACATGTGTGAAATGTAAGTATGATATCTGATATCACCTGTTACACATGCATTGAATACCACCTATATACAGAGAGGAGAACATGTGTGAAAGTATGATATCACCTGTTATATTGGATATTATCCACAAGAAAACAGGAGAACATGTAAGCATGATATTTGATAACACTCATGTACCTGTAATACTGGATATGAGTTACATGTATATGATGCAGGAGAAGATGTGTGATTTGTAAGATCATATCTGTTAAATTGAGTGTGAGGTACAGGACAACAGAAGAACATTGGTGAAATGTAAGTATGATATCTGATATCATTATTATACCTGTTGTGTTAGATATCAGAGAAGAGATGACAGGAGAATATCTGAAATGTAAGTGGTATTCATACATAAAGGAAAAATTGCATCCCAGTCCCTCATCTCTACTTTATATCATTCTGTCCATAAATGCCTGGAAAATTGTCGAGAGACCAGTAGTTTTATAAAGGTGCAAAGAAATTGTTTTAAATATTCTTTGTCGTATTACCTTTTAGAAGGTTGTGCAGTGTAATGGTATTCTAGTGTTTGTATTTGTGGTTTGTAGCCAGAAATCCCTGTCTTGGAGCTAGTGTGGATGAAACCTGTGACACAACTCATGGAGGATGTACCGTCAACTCCTCCAATGTAGCCTATTGTTTCTGTGATCATGGATATGACCTCCAGGTCAATGCTTCAGGATACTTACTTTGTACAAGTAAGATATCAGTTTTCAAATATCATTTTAGCTCTGCTGGTTAAAGACCAAAAGAGCGTTTGTGATAGTAAGGTGTCCCTCGTCCGTCTGTCTAGTTGTCTGTCTGTAAACAATTTTTCTCCTACAGTTTTGGTCTGATTTCAATGTAACTTTGCATACAAGTAGACTACACTAAGATATATCATTCTTTGAATTGGTTTTTGATTTGAGTGAATGATGTTGCTATGGTTACTAAAAATAGAAATTTCTGTGAAATACTTTTAAAACACTACTCCTCCTACCTGAACCAATTTTAATCAACAATGGTATTTCATCTATAGGTAATGGGGAACATAAATTGTGAATTTCATGGTCTTTACATCCCTGGGGCATGAGGGGTGGGGCCAAAACCATCATTGATACAGTTATTAAGATTTTATGTATTGAATCTGATATCAGTTGATGTTGTAGATATCAATGTTGATGTTGCAGATATCAATGAGTGTGTGACCAACATTTCTGGCTGTTCCCACATCTGTAATGATGTCAGTGGTAGCTTCTATTGTGATTGTTCTGATGGATACAAACTGACAACTGATCACAAAACATGTGAAAGTAAACATTTTTTATGATGAAAAACATGAAAATTTGAAGTATTGTTTCATTTCTGTTATATTTTCATGGAAATTTCAACCTTTGTTCACAATTTAATTATTTTTATTTTTGATTAGATTGTGTGCTGTAACACTTAAAAAGTATCACAGCCAATATTTTTTTTCCCTCAGGTTGCAGTGTAACCAACACCTGGGGAGCAAATTGTACCACCCCTTGTAACTGTGGGGTAGGAGCCTCATCATGTGATCCCCTGATTGGTTGTCATTGTCTGCCAGGATGGACAGGAACACAGTGTGAGCTTAACATCAATGAATGTTTGAACAGGCCATGTAATGCTACCCAAATATGTGTAGATATTGAAGGTTCCTATTTGTGTAAATGTGATTCAGGATTTCAGAGTAACCAAAGTGGTGGCTGTCAAGGTATGGCAACAATTTGTCTTGATGAAATAAATTGACTCACTTTTTAAATGTTTTTGAAGAAAATTATAAATTAGTTTACAGTAGCTTAGTGTAGAAAATGCAACTAAAGCTTGTCTAGTTTTAACAGCTGTGATGATTTTTTAATGTTTGCTTGATTATCATGTTCCTAGATGTTGATGAATGCAGTGATGGCCAGGCTAGTTGTCATCAACTGTGCACAAATACAGAAGGAAGCTACAACTGTTCTTGTAGATCTGGATTTGAGCTGAAGTCAGATGGATTCTCCTGTCAAGGTTCTCATTCGTCATGGTTAAAATTTCAATTTACCTAAAACATGAAAGCTTATCTAAAAAATGAAAGTTTACATGTGAAAAACATAAAAGTTTTCCTTAAAAATACACTGAAAATTTGCCATAAAAACATTATAAGTTTTGAGTATGCACTGATCTTAAAGTTTGAAACATACATGTAATTGAATGTACATTGGCAACTAGTCATTATTTTACAACTGTTCAGAATGATTTGTTTACAGATGTAAATGAATGTGCAACTAACAACCACAACTGTAGCCAGGCCTGTAGTAACACAGAGGGGAGTTACTTCTGTTACTGTAATCAAGGTTATAACCTGGCTAGTGATGGCAAGACTTGTGATCTTATTATAACTACAACAATAAGTGTAAGTACAACCCAGCAAACTGCAGTAGCTACCTCTACAACTCAGCAGTCTACAACTACCACTACAACTCAGCAGCTTACAACAACTACTACAACTCAGCAGCCTGCAACTACTTCGACAACTCAGCTGCCTACAACTACCACTACAACTCAACAGCCTACAACTATTACTACCACACAGCTGCCTACAACTACCACTACAACACAGCAGCCTGCCACTACAACACAGTTGCCAACAACTACCACTACAACACAGCAGCCTACAACTACCACTACAACTCAGCAGCCTACTACAACTCAGCAGCCTATAACTTCCACTACAACTCAGCAGCCTACAACTACCACTACAACACAGCAGCCTACAACTACCACTACAACTCAGCAGCCTACTACAACTCAGCAGCCTATAACTTCCACTACAACTCAGCAGCCTACAACTACCACTACAACTCAGCAGCCTACAACTACTTCAACTCAGCAGCCTACAACTACCACTACAACTCAGCAGCCTACAACTACCACTACATCTCAGCAGCCTACAACTACCACTACAACACAGCTGCTTACAACTACCACTACAACTCAGCTGCCTACAACTACCACTACATCTCAGCAGCCTACAACTACCACTACAACTCAGCTGCCTACAACTACCACTACAACTCAGCTGCCTACAACAAGCACTACAACTCATCAACCCACAACTACCACTACAACTCAGCAGCCTAAAATTACTTCGACAACTCATCTGCCTACAACTACCACTACAACTCAGCAACCCACAACTACCATCACAACTCAGCAGCCTACAACTACTTCAACTCAGCAGCCTACAACTACCACTACAACTCAGCAGCCTATAACTACCACTACAACTCAGCAGCCTACAACTACCACTACAACACAGCTGCCTACAACTACCACTACAACTCAGCTGCCTACAACTACCTCTACAAAACAGCTGCCTACAACTACCTCTACAACACATCTGCCTACAACTACCTCTACAACACAGCTGCCTACAACTACCACTACAACTCAGCAGCCTACAACTACTTCAACTCAGCAGCCTACAACTACCACTACATCTCAGCTGCCTACAACTACCACTACAACACAGCTGCCTACAACTACCACTACAACACAGCTGCCTACAACTACCACTACAACTCAGCAGCCTACAACTACCACAACAACTCAGCTGCTTACAACTGCCACTACAACACAGCTGCCTACAACTACTACAGCTCAGCAGCCTGCAACAACATCCTTAATGACTGAATTGTCAACAACCTCAACAAGAGGGAGTTCTACAACTATGGCAGTTTTATTGAGTTCAGCTCTCACTTCAACTACACCAAGGCCAACTTCTACACAGCCAACCGTAGAAACCTGTAAGTTGAACTGTAATCCTTTAAAATGCATTATGACCTGTGCATTTTATACCAATTCTGACTTCAAACTAATGATAAAATTCAGAATCATGCCAGTAGTATCTTAGAATAATCATCTGGTCAATAAACAGTATCTGAGTAAAATATTCTAAGTCAACTCAAAATAATACTTGGTATGTAGAATTCCCATAAATCCTGATTCTAATATGGTGATATACTTACAGTACTGCTACCTTATGGATCAGTGCATGGTGACTATTTAGCCAGCACAGGAGATGATGCTTTACAGGCAGTTGTGTTTAACCCAATAGGATTCATGTGTGGCTGTTCAATCAGCAGACAGATATATGTGAGTCAGTTTATTTCTTATTCTCTGTAATTGGTAAAGTCATTTCCCGGTAAGAAATATTTTTAACCAAGGACCAGAAGTAATTTTTATGCACTTTCTATGAAATAGCCAAGGCATATAGTGTTACCTCTTTCTGTCCATCATTTTCTCACAGTTTTCTGGACTTTTTTTTGCTATGTTTTTAGATAATGAGGTAATTTTTGCTTTGTTTCTTGATATTGGTGACTTTATTGATCAATTGGTGACATACGGATCAAGTTTGAGTTACATGTTGATTGGCCATTTTTACAAAAGTTATGGCCCTTAGATTTTGAAAATTCCTAATAATTCACTGTTTTCTGCATTTTTGTTTGGTTGTGCTAGTAGATGATGAGTGAATTTTTATGCCCCCGTAATCGAAGATTCGGTGGCATATAGTTTTTGCCATGTCCGTCCGTCTGTCTGTCTATCTGTCTGTCTGTTTGTCCGCAAGAACTTTAACCTTCCCCATAACTTTTGATTGGTTGGAGCTATGGCTTTCGTATTTCACATGTGTATTTCTTGTGACAAGACCTTTCTTTGGGTACCATCATATTTGACCTTTTGACCTTGACCTTGGAGTTTGACCCACTTTTGCAAAATTTTATGAGACTTTTACCTTGGCCATAACTTTTGAACAATTGGAGCTTAGGCTTACAAACTTCACATGTGTATTTCTTGTGACAAGACCTTCCTTTGAGTACCAACGTCTTTGACCTTTGACCTTAACCTTGGAGTTTGACCTACTGTTGATAAAACTTTAACCTTGGCCATAACTTTTGAACATTTTGTGCTAAGTCTTTCATACTTCACATGTGTATTCCTTGTGAAAATACCTTTCTTTGGATACCAACAACTTTGACCTTTTGACCTTGACCTTGGAGTTTTACCTGCTTCAATTTTGAAAAAATTTTCACCTTGACCATAACTTTTGAACAGTTGGTTTTAGGTCTTTCATACTTTGCATATGCATTTTTTGTGACAAGACTTTTCTTTAGATACCAACAACTTTGACCTTGAGCTTTGAGTTTGACCTACTTCTGAAAAACTTTAACCTTGGCCATAACTTTTGAACAGTTGGTTTTAGCTCTTTCATACTTTGCATATGCATTTTTTGTGACAAGACCTTTCTTTAGATACCAACAACTTTGACCCTTTGACCTTGAACTTGGAGTTTGACCAACTTTTGAAAAACTTTAACCTTGGCCATAACTTTTGAACAGTTGGTGTTAGGGCTTTTATACTTCACATGTATATTCCTTGTGACAAGACCTTCCTTAGCATACCAACAATTTTGGCATTGACCTTGAACTTGGAGTTTGACCTATTTTTAAAAAATTTAAACCTTGGCCATATCATTGAACATTTGGTTCTACGGCTTTCACATTTCATGATCATGTGTATAACTTAAGACAAGACCTTCCCTTGGGCACCATTTAACTTTGACCTTACCGTTTTACTTAATTTGAAAAAAACTTTAACCTTCACCATAATTTTTCAACGGTTTTTTACTAGTAGGGCTTTCATATTTCACAGGTATATTTCTCGAGACAAGACCTTTCTTTTGGTTCCAACATTTTTGATTTCTTGACCTGGAGTTTGAGTTGCATTTGAGAAACTTTAACCTTCGCCATAAGCTGCCATACGGGGGCATCAGTGTTTCACAAACACATCTTGTTTGTATGTCTCTTGGTGCTGACGACTTGCAGATCAAGTTCGAATTTCATGATGAATGTCCTATTTTTACGAAAGTTATGGCCCATAGACTTTGAAAAATTCTAATAATTTACTGTTCCAAATTTTTATGTCCCCGTATCGAGGATTCAGGGGTATATAGTTTTTGACCTGTCTGTCCGTCTGTCTGTCTGTCTAGCTGTTTGTCTGTTTGTCTGCAAAAACTTTAACATTGCCCATAACTTTTGATTGGTTGGAGCTATGGCTTTCATATTTCACATGTGTATTTCTTGTGACAAGACCTTTCTTTGGGTACCACCACATTTAACCTTTTGACCTTGACCTTTGAGTTTGACCAAGTTTTGCAAAATTTTACTTTAACCTTGGCCATAACTTTTGTACAATTGGTGCTAGGGCTTTCATACTTCACATGTTTAATCCTTGTGACAAAACCTTTCTTTGGATACCAACAACTTTGATGTTGACCTTGGAGATTGACCTACTTTTGAAAAACTTTGACCTTGGCCATAACTTTTGATCCATTGCAGCTAGGGCTTTCATACTTCACATATGTTATCCTTGTGACAAGACCTTTCTTTGGATACCATTAACTTTGACCCTTTGACCTTGGAGTTTGACCTACTTTTGAAAAACTTTAACCTTGGCCATAACTTGTGAACAGTTGATGGTAGGACTTTCATACTTCACATATGTAATCCTTGTGACAAGACCTTTCTTTGGATACCAACAATTGTAATCCATTGACCTTGACCTTGGAGTTTGACCTACTTTTGAAAAACTTAAACCTTGCTCATAACTTTTGAAAGATTGGTGCTTCAGCTTTCGTATTTCACCGGTATATTTCTTGTGAGAAGGCCTTTCCTTAGGCACCATTAATTTTGACCATTTGACCTTGACCTGGATGTTTGACTTACTTTTGAAAAAAACTTTAACCTTTTCCATATCTATTTAATTGTTGCTGCTAGGGCTGTCATATTTCACAGGTATATTCCTCGACACAAGACCTTACTTTGGGTACCAACTATTTGATTTGCATTTGAGAAAGTTTAACCTTTGCTATAAGTTGCCATACGGGGGCATCAGTGTTTCACAAACACATCTTGTTTTTGCTGTACTTATAGATAATGATCTTTGGTTTGTGAAAACCATTTCACACATCTTATGTATTTTTTGGTATAGACAACTGATTACAGAAAGCAAAGCAGAGTATGAGATTTTATTTTTGTGCCATTTTTATTATTACACTCTTGGACTTAAATATATTTAAAACTTGCATGTCAGTGGGGGGATTTGTTACATCCAGACACAGCTATTTCTAAACTTATGTGGAGGCATTAATACCATATTAAATTTGTACATGTAGATGTAATTAATTTATTTGCAGATTTATTCCAATGGGTACATTTCTATTGGTAAGAGATTTGATGATGAAAGACCAATGCTTCTGTCAGATACGTCAGGATCCATTGTTAACAACAAGATTCTGGCCCCTTTCTGGACAGACATTGACCTGTCCAGCGACTCCCGTATCTGGTATCAGCTCTATCAGAAGTTTGGAGACCAAGATGTTACAAATGTTCTTACAATGGCTAGGGATCTAGTTGTCAGCAATATAAGGGATGAAGAAGAAGGGAATTCATTTGATCCCAACTCAGCTCTGATTATCACCTGGGAAAATGTAGTGCCCTCTCCAAGGTCCCTATATCCAACAAAGGTGTGTATAAGCATTGATTTGCTATGATTTAAATTTTCTGATGAAAGTGTTCATCTTCAAAAGAAAATCAATAAAGATATTGGGAGAATCGGTATAAAGTTGATTTTAGTAGTACTGATTTTGAATTAATTCATTGTTTTAATTACCTTTGTAGCTCTATAACTAAATTATACCCAGATCTATTTGTCCACTAAATCAAGTAATCCTATTTCAGAATGCCACATTCCAGTTGGTTGTTGTCAGTGATGGTGTTGTTACATACACTTCCTTTTTATTCCACTCTGTTAACTGGGACACCACAAAGCCAGCAGTGATGGGGTATCGGTGTGGAGACACTCTGTCTGATACCTACAGTCATCCAGCCTCATTCTCCAGACAGATCTACCAAACAGTCATATCCCAGGGATACAACAGTAACTTGAAATACTTTTGATGTATTTCTGCTTAATCTAATTTTATATGCATGTCCAGTAATGTTTGTCATCTTCAACTGTTTCCTTTGTTGATAATTGTTTTAGCTGTTAAGATTTCCACTCGGCTACAATAACCATTAAACAATGTTAAATGTGAAAAAAAAATAAAGTACTGGTATACTCCGTCCCTTGGCATTCACTAATCAATTCTTAAAATTAAATCTATCAATGAAGAGCATTAATGTTTCAATTAGTGTTAATGCACAAAATGAGTGTATTTTTCTGATTGTTTCCCCTGTTTAATTTAGGGAACAATGTAAGTGGGATGTGGATATACAGACTAGACACCTGTACTCAGTCAGAAGAGAATTACCTAGCTCGATGTTACTTGTGGATGTCGTCAAACAGTGTGACACAACAGAGCCTGGTGACACAGGCAGACTCCCTCCTCCCCTCTTGTCCCTGTAACACGGTACAGGCAGATCTGGACTCGGACTTTATTCAGTCCAGGACTGAGTCCAACTGTTACTTTGTACAGACCTCTCCAGAAAACACCAACTACACTAGGGTAAGTGGATATGCCCTTAATGCTATATTTATGCCCCCACCCCTTTAAAATGGGGGTATATTGCTTTGCATTTTCACTTGGTCAGTATGTCAAACAGTAGACCAAGTTTTGTCCACTAAATATGTTTGACATCAAACTTGGTACACTGGTATCCCTTGAAGAGAAGATGACCCCTATTAATTTTGAGGTCACAAGGTCAAGGGTCAAACTACTCTAGACATAAGAAAATACCATTCAATACCTTGAAAACCCTTTGCTTGAAAGACATCAAACTTTGTACATTGGTTCCCATTAAGAAGTAGAAAACCCCTATTGATTTTGAGGTCACAAGGTGAAAGGTCAAACAATACAGGAAGGTATTGTTCGCTCAGTATCTTGAGAATCCTTTGACAGATATCAAACTTTGTACACTGGTTCTCTTTAAGGAGTAGATGGCACCTACTGATTTTAAGGTCAAAGGTCAAGGGTCAAACTGGATGACCTTCAATATCTTGAGAACCATTTGCTTGACAGACATCAAACTTGGTACATTGGTTTTCATTAAGGAATAGATTACCCTTATTGATTTTGAGATCACAAGATCAGAGGTCAAGGGTCCAACTTCTCTAGACTTAAGAAGATATTGTCTGCTCAATATTTTAAGAAACATTTTCGTGACAATCAAACTTGATACATTGGTTCCCCTTTAGGAGTAGATGACCCATATTGATCAATCACTCAATATCCTAAGAACCCTTTGCTTGACAGGCATCAATCTTGGTACACTGGTTCCCCCTAGGGAGTAGATGAACCCTGGCGATTTTATGGTCACAATATCAAGAGTAACAACACAGACACTGTGACATAGGAAGATGTTGTCAGCTCAGTATCTTAAAAACCATTTGCTTTACCGACATCAAATTTGGTACACTGGTACCCTCATAGAAAAAATTACCCTGAACAATGTTGAGATCGGATAGTGATCAAACTTACCGGTAGTATTATGTTTGCCCCTGACTAGTAGTTGATCAATTGATTTCATATTCATTACAGACCTTCTAAAATTAAAGTAAGTTGTTCCCTTTCAATATTGCCACATTGGGGGCATATATGTTTCTCAAACATTTCTTGTTACTTGGATACGTGGAATTTTACTCAGTTGAAATGTTTATGCTGTCACTGAATGTTACAGCACATATTTTACAATATCATGCACATAGTACAACAATACATTGTTCTCTGAAAAATTTGGGTGAAGATCTTAGAGGGTAAATGTGCGTTTTACAAAGAGTTGTTTATTACAGAAATGCTGTTACTCCTCCCTCGGTTCTCTTCTGTTTTCCTCCCTGGGAGCTGGATATGTGTTCTTGTACAATCCCCTGACTTTCCCTGCTGAGACTGTGGACACTGATGTAAGCCCCTACATCTGGTGCTGTATTAAGGCCAGAATGTGTGAAGAATTCTTCATCCAACGTCCCTCCGACAACTGCAACAAATACAGCCCAGTTTCCCCAGGTAACTTGAAACCATTACTCTAAAGTTTTTAGCTCACCTCAACAAAGTTGGGGGAGCTTATGTAATACCCTCAGCGTCGGCGTCCCAGGTTAAGGTTTTTGGTGCAGTTTTCTTTTCAAGTACTTCTATGCCCTATATTAGTCAGAGATGCATGGAGGATGCTTGTAGTGTGTTTCATTTTACCAGTCAAGGTTTCAGATGCTGCAATTTCAGCTAAAGAATGACCAGGTTAATGTTTTTGGAGCAAGTTAAAGTATTTGGAGCAGGTTAAAGTTTTTGGAGCAGGTCTCATTTCCAAGTAACTATAAGCCCTATATTGACCAAACTTGCATGGATGATACATCTAAGGATGCACACTACTGGCCTTGCTTCGGATGCTGGATCTGACCTATATTTTCCGGATGAGTGACCTGGTTAAAGTTTTTGGAGCAGATGTCATTTCCAAGTAACTATAAGCCCTATATTGACCAAACTTGCATGGATGATACATCTAAGGATTCACACTACTGGACTTGCTTCAGATTCTGGATCTGACCTACATTTTCTGGATGAGTAACCAGGTTTAAGTTTTTGGAGCAGATCTCATTTCCAAGTAACTATAAGCCCTATATTGACCAAACTTGCATGGATGATACATCTAAGGATTCACACTACTGGACTTGCTTCAGATTCTGGATCTGACCTACATTTTCCGGATGAGTAACCAGGTTAAAGTTTTTGGAGCAGATCTCAGTTCCAAGTAACTATTAAGGCCTATCTGAACCAAACTTGCATGGATGATGCATCAAGGGACGAACAATCTCAAACTTGCTTCGGATGCTGGATTTGACTTACATTTTCTGGATGAGTGACTAGTTTTAAGTTTTCAGATAAGTCTATTCCCAAGTAACTGCAAGCCCTATCAGACCAAAATTGCATAAATGTTGCATCTAGGGATGCACAAGATTATTAGTTTAGTGTGGGACATTGCCTTTCTTAAAGACAACATTCGTTGAGGTGAGCTTTGTAATCTCTGATTACCTATGTTTTTTCATTTACAGCTGCAAGATAAGTTAATTAAGGAGACTCTTTTGAACATTCAGTCTAAAAGTATAATCACTGTCTCTTTGAGTTGCCTGACAACTGATAATTTATGTTTTGTATTGTGATAATTAGTGTTTTGAAAAGTCTTTTAATTATCAATATAGCTGCAGCCTCCCCAATGATAAGTTACTATCCACTGAGACTAACTGCTACAGTTGGAGAAATGGTGGACATCACAACAATAGCCCAGGTCACAGGAAATGATTATGTGAGCTTGATTTTGTCTGGATCAATCAGTGCCAATGTTACAGAGAGACAAATATCAGCCATTTTGTATAGATGGACTCCAAGGAATACCTCCCCTAAAAGTATACAGTGAGTGAAGTATCATTTTATACTTTGATGCCTGCATGATGGACATAGGGTTCACTTTATGTACTAATTGTCCCTACCTATGAGTAGAAACAGATTTTCATGTTATTCATGATTTTTCAATCTGTCATGCATGGTATTTTCCTCAGTAGTAGATTTTTTTCAATATGTGCATGTCAGAATTTATATACGTGTATTTTTAGGCACCTTCAACTTTTTCAGTCAACTGTTACCGTATATACTCGCCCATAAGTCGGTTTTTTGGGAGTTAAACTTTGGTCCAAAACTCCTTATCCGACTTATACGCGAGTTATAAAAAGATAGGTATTTTAGTGGGTCAATCCCTCTAATTGAAGCTTAAAAAATACAACCGACTTATAGGCGGACCGACTTATAGGCGCGTATATACGGTACTTCTAACATTTCTATGAAACAGAATTACTATTTTAGATTCTCTTAGTTCAGCAGTGACAGTCATGCAAATCAGTGAAATGTTTATTGATTAAAATAGAAAACTAGTCTCTGACTGACATAAGTACTTGGCAAGGTTTGATTATAAGTAATCTAGTGTACTCTGTTGTTGACAAGATCTAAGCTGTGGAGCGTAATCTAGTGTACTCTGTTGTCGACAAGATCTAAGCTGTGGACCATAGGTAATCTAGTGTATTTTGTTGACAGGATTAAAGCTGTGGAGTATATTATGTAATCTAGTTTACTCTATCGTTGACAAGATTTAAGCTGTGGAGCATATTATAAGTAATCTAGTGTACTCTGTTGTCAGCAGGATCTTGTCTATAGAACATATTATAGGGTGCTTTGTTGTTGACAGGATCTATGCCATGGATCAGAATTCCCTTGTATCTGCCACTGTGATCCCTGACATCATTCTGTGTCCAGGCTGTAGTGGGCGGGGCACCTGTAATTTTGACAATGTCATCCCACAGGAACAACCCTCCTTCTTTCTTGTAGAGTGTGAATGTGAAACAGGATGGACAGGTGAGATTTTCTGCCAGATTTGAGAGTATAACTGAATTAAATTTGTCAAAAAAAGAGTAAGGGATACATCATTTCAAGGTTGGGTACTTGTCAATGATTAGTTTTAAAAGTTTACAAAATTCATCATACATATACTGTCGATAAAATGCCAGTGCAGAATTTCCAAATTAATCATGACAATCAATTTTGGTATTAGAAGCCACTTAGTAGAAATACATGTATGTCAATTAATAATGTACTTAATTAGACTAACTGGGATTAACAGGTCCAACATGTAATATGGATGAGAATGGTTGCCTTGGTAATCCGTGTAACACAAGCTCAGACTGCCAGGATCTGACCCCCTCTGTCCAGAGGTCCCGGGGACTGACTTATCAGTGTTCTGCCTGTCCTGTGGGCTACACCTTGTCTAGCTCTCTTAAGTGTATTGGTAAGATGAGCATATTCAATTGATCTTCAAACTTGATCGATCCTTAGTTATACAGTCATGTATGTGGTATTGGAATTTCATTTCTATGAGGTTATGAATATTTCCAATTTGAATTATTTTGACAATACACAGAAGTGTAAAATTTCATATCTTACAAAAACGTCCTTGCCATCCCTGTTGTTGATGTAATGGATATAGTACTCATAGTACTTTATACTATTTTCAAATATGTTAACCATTCATCTGTGACATCCCAGATTTCCAAAAAAAAAATTTCTTGAGGAAACCCATATCGAAAATGAATACAAAAATAATACAAGAAAAAAATACTAAAATAATACAAAAAAAGTATATTTTTAATGACCAAATTTGGAACCCTCTAAATCTTGGTTCCAATTTAGGTCAAAAATAATAGACTTTTTAAAAGCCAAACACAGAAAAACATATTTTTAATATACTTTATTTTTTCGAAATAATACAGAAATGATACACATGACCTGTAAAAACGTATTGTTTTTGTACTTTTGTATTATTTCTCTATTTTCCTCTCCAAAGTATAAAAATAATACAGTCCATAGAAAAGTATAGAAAAAATACAGAATGTATTAATTTTGTATTAGCATATATTATTTTTGTATTTTTTCACCTTTAAGAATTAAAATACAAAAAAAAATATAGAATATATTAATTTTGTATCACATATATTATTTTTGTATTTTTTCATCTGGAACAATTAAAAATACAAAAAAGATATAAAATATGAAAATAATACAGTACACGAAAAAGTATGAAAAAAATATAGAATGTATTAATTTTGTATTAATATGTATTGTTTTTGTATTTTTATCAGCATGAAGGATTGTATTTCAAAAATATCAAAAAAGTACAAGAATGATAGACAAAAAATACATTTAAATGCTTAAAATAATACAAAACAGAGTTTTAAAAACTACTAAAATGATCATGGGCAAAAATTGTTATTTGAAGAAAAGGGGTTGGAGATTGAGGTTCTTAATAGCATCTACTGATTGTTATTCAAAAATCTTTTATTTATTTGAAATATTTGTTAAATAACAATTTTAGTAACTCAGTCAGATTACCTTAAATGTACAAATAGCTAATTAAAAAGTAATTAATGTGGCTAGGCTACTGATTCAGCTACCAATTGTAGTCTTGATCTTTCTTTTTACATATAATCTGCTCTTCAATAGTCTTGATATTTTTCACAAGTTTAACTAATCCTGTTTTCTTTGTACTTTTACCAAATGTTTCGATCTCTCTGCTTTGCTGTTTCTTTTGTATGGAAAAGGTAGAGGAGTGTTTACTTTGTTGCAGAAGTCCATCTTCAAATCACACAACCTGTCATCTCATCTGACTTCATCACTGTGAAATATAGAACAGAATGATAAAATAATAAAATTTAATGAACCATTACCTCAACAAAACACACATTTTAACATTCAAAATAATTCTATATAGATTTTGTTTAGTTCACACACCTGCAATACTTTCTTGAGAGGGATCTTCTTCCTCCATGACTTGTCAGCTTTTCTTCAATGTTCGGCTGACTGAAATTAACAATAATTATAAATTGAAATTCCAAAAGATCCAGCGGAGTTCACCAAATTCCATACAATTGTACCATTGAAATTACTTTTCTTTAATCTGGGGTTTCTTAGGGGACAACCGTTTGATTTGACAATCTGGAGAAGAAAAGGGGGGGGCTGATTTATAAAATATTTTTAAAAAAATATTTGTAATAAACAATCTGTCCTTGAAAATGTTGAAAGAGTAAACAAAATGTGTGCCCCAATGTTATTTAAATAAACTGCCCCCCCCCCGAACCCAACCTACCCCCCCCCCCCGAAAAAATTTGAGTTTATACAAATTACAGAATAGTTTTTGAAGGGAAAATAAATAATTCGTCTCTGGTAAACTTGAAAAAATTGGAATGAATTAGAACTAGGAAGCCAAAGGCTTGAAAATTACCCCCATCTTCCACACCTCCCTCCCCAATTAGAATTTATCACAAAAACCCTTGTTCCCCACATGGCCAATAACTGTACTATTTTATCTTTCTACAATACTACAAAATGGGTTAAAAAGTCAGTCTTTGTTCCTCTATCTTTGTACTAAGTTATTATTTAAAAAACTGAAACTTTAATGTGCTAAAATATACATAATCTTACCGCAACTGTCGTTGTTTACACCAGAAAAGTCCGGATATGATGCCTTAAAAACGTCAGTCTCCTTATGTATTTGCTTTCCTTGGTTCATATATATGATCCTGTGTACCATGATTATGCTGAACTTCTGTTTTTCGATCCATTTTACTCGCGAGCAAATGAGAGTTTATTCAAAATCACCTCCAGCTTTCTCAACACGTCCCGGGAAGAATTTTCAAAATGGAGTGGGTGAAATATTGTTGACCAATCAGAGAACAGCACGGAAGAGTTTTAAAATCTGACCAATCATATTGTGTCATATATACGAAAATTACCGATGTTGAGATCGGAACAGTTAGAGAAAACATATTTACATGGTTTTAAATATCTTGAATCAATTGAACAAACCTAAAATTATGTTAGAAAAAACGATGTTCAATTTAATCATCAGAATCATTTTTTATTCCTTACGGAATTTACCGATTACGAAACATCGTTATTTCCGGTCATCATTTCCGCTGAGAGCAGCCATTTTTATATTCAAGTTGACCTGTGAAGTAGACCATAAAGTTCAAATATAATGATCAAAACGAGCGGGAGATACATAATATATAGCCTTTTTGACGGACAACTTAACTCATACATACGGTACCAGAGATTGAAATAATGTTTAACAACTATCCTTTACACCAATTTCACAACATTTTCTATATTATTTTATGAAATTCTTTCGTAATAATTTCTTATTTAATTTTTTTTTAAAAGCGGATAATTAAATAGTTCTATTCCATGTAATTGTAATACGTAATGAATTAAATATAATGTATACTAAATTGAGTTGTATAGTCAAGAAAACATCGTAGGTACTGTAATTAGTGGAACTCTCCATGTTGTTTGTTTTTGTTTTGGTTGGGATGTGTTTTCAAGGGTAAATCATGTTATTTCTTTGAGTAGTATAACATGTACTCGTCTATTGTTAGCCTGCAGGTGGCCACCTGTGCTGTTGGCGATAGTTGTAAACACTCGGTTGTAAACACGCTGTAAATTTTTCAACACAAAAAGAAAGTCTGAAACTCTGAAACTTCAAAATTTACCGCGTGTTTACAAGTATCATGTACAGCACAGGTGTCCCCTCAGACGTATCTATCTCTTTCCAAATGACAATTTCACACCTAGTAAAGACATGTTTTAAAAATGAAATTGTTTAGTTAACAAATTTAAGCTACTGAAGTTTTCTGTTCTAAATAGCAATTAAAAATGTAAATAGTATAAAAGCAACCTTTATAAATATTAATTCCAACAGACTTATTGCAAGGACATTCTGTAAATTTTCCTAAGTTCAAAGAAATACAAATTTCAGTAAAAGAAAACACTAAGTCCAAAATAAATATAAAAAAAATACATACTGACTGTATAGTATTTTTTGAAAAATTATTAAGTCCAAATTTAATACAAAAATAATACAAACTAACTGTATGTAATTTTCTGTAAAATTACTAAGTTCAATTTTAATACAAAAATAATACAGATTAACTGTATGTAATTTTCTGTAAAATTACTAAGTTCAATTTTAATACAGAAAAAATACACTTGAAAAAAACTAAGTCCACAAAAATACAAAAATGATATACTGAAAATAATCTAAGTCCCAAAAAATACAAAAATAATACCCTGTAAAAAATCAAAGTCAGATTTTAATACAAAAATAATCTACCTATTTGTTGGTGATACAAAAATAATATATTTTTTCTGTATTAATTTTAAACAATATGAAAATGATTGTATTAAAAATATATTAAAAATATACTTTAATGTATTATTTTTTGATATGGGAAGCCTTTATGTTAAGTTTGGAGGAAATCTGTGAATATGCATGCCACACCTCTTATATAAAAGTGCAAATCCTTACCGAGAATGGCTCTGAAATATTATGAAGTCAATATGAAAAATAGCCCAATTTGAGAACAGTATCCAAGTCTGGGTATGAAAATCCAATAGGGATATTTCATTGACCTGATGTGCAGGGATAATCAATGGGTAACGTAGGAAACTTGATTTTTTTATTTTTAAAAGACACAGGTTTAACATGTGACATTCCTGCATCTTACTAACCCATGTACTAGAACTGTAGAGCTTGTATTGAAACTGAGATTTTCTCTGTCAAAACTAAGAGAAGTGCTGGTGCTGATGTTAAAGTATATATACCAGGAATTTGAACATTTTCAGATATTGATGAGTGTGCCCTACACACCAGTCAATGCAGTCAGAGATGTGTCAACACAGATGGGTCTTTTGTTTGTGAGTGTGAGACGGGGTTCAGACTACATGGTTACCAGTGTGTAGGTAGGTTCAGTCATCATTTTTTTTAATATTTCCAACATATTTAGCATTTTACTTCAGAGTGTTTGTAATGTTTTCATTAAAGAATAAAGTAATCTGCAATATTTATATCAAATGTAGAACTGCAGACATTCAAGTTCTAATGAAAATCTTGCAAATTGTTTGCATGGGGTCGCTGAGGACCACATTATAGCAATTTTAAATAGTGTTTTAAGTTCTTGTCAGAGAATTTTTACAAGGATATGAATATCTAGTATTTTAACCCCAAAATGTCACTGCAGATGTTGATGAATGTAGAGAGAGGACAAGTGGTTGTGAGCATCAGTGTGTAAACACCCAGGGGTCCTACTACTGTGTCTGTTCTACAGGGTATCAGCTACACACAGACAGACAGACTTGTTTTAAAGGTACCAGAGTTAATTCATGCAAATTGAGAAGAATCGATTAGTAATTGATGTACTTTCATTGAGTCGATTTGTTTATTTTATCTTAGCTTTCAAATTTAAACTTGTTTTTTGATACCTAGCCTCTGTAGAACCTCCTTGCGTTGTTAGACAATGTCCCCAGGGATGTAGAATTAATAGCACAGGAGATCCAGAGTGCTTCTGTTACCTTGGTTACAGAATGAAGGCAGACTCATCTTGTGAAGGTATATCCCACTTCCTGTTAATCTTTAGAATAAACTGATTTAATTGACAGTTTCATCAAAAAATGAATTAAAACAATAGTCTTTAAAATTTTATTTCAGCCATCATTGTTGTCATGGTGTTCTACTGAGTGAATCTGCAATATTCTTTCAAAATGCTACTCTGTTAAATTTTAGGTTTGACTTCAATAAAAAAAATTGGGAAAATCTCAGAAACCATCAACTTGAAAGTATAATTATGTACTTTATTCTGTAAATTAAAGTAAAATTTTTGAAAAAGGTAATAAGTCCAGGTGCAACTATAATAGTAAGTATAATTAGTAGAGCTACAGTCTTGTCAGAGACATCTGGTTTATACAGGGAGTATAAAGTTTCATAAAGAATAAGTAATTAATTGTTTACTTATTTTCTTAGAAATTGATGAGTGTCTTGATGCACCTTGCCCACACAGCTGCCAGAACACTAATGGGAGTGTGGAGTGTGGATGTTATGATGGATATACTATTCAGTCAGACCACAGATCATGCAAGGGTTAGTGTCCTGAAATTTAAAAAAAATATTAGGCTTTTGTTTTTGGTCTGCTTTTCATGGCCTTAATTGATCATACCCTTTGAACTATGGAGACTATGGATGTCAAGTTCAAAGTTTTATGTAATGTCAAGGTAAAAGAAAATCTAGTTTGCTGTTGTATGGAGTAATGTCCTCCTAAAATTTTCTGGTTTCCAAGTTATATTCAATTTTGAATAATACAAGCTTTATCTGCTATACAATTAAATGACTGTGTGAATTTGGTTTACAATAATTTATGTATACTTCTGAGTGGACTGTCAAATACTACCATGTAAAACCTACATCTACACTTTAAAAAATACACAGCTCATAAAATTTTAATTCATCAGCCTGTGACCTTGATCACTGGGGACAGAACTGTGAGATGTCATGTGACTGTACCCATCATGCCTTGTACTGTAACAATGTGATTGGCTGTGTGTGTAAGCCTGGCTGGTCTGGGAGGTTCTGTGACATTAACATCAATGAGTGTGAGGATGTCAGCCTGTGTCAGTCCCCTGAAGTCTGTACAGACACCTATGGATCATATGCCTGTATTTGTGAAAATGGCTACCAGAGGAATACCAGTACAGGACTTTGTGAATGTGAGTTTGTTTTGAGTTGATGATATAATCAGTTTTATTTTTGCAGTTCCTGGTAACTGTTGACAATGGTTCAACTTCATGTATTACTGTCCCAATTTTCTCATAAGTAACAACATGAAACAATAACATTTTCCCTTGGATCTACATTACAGATTCCAGTGCTTGCAATACCTGGGCTCTGAATGCCTGTACAGTAGATGAAGTTTGTGTAGACACTACAGACAATTATACCTGTCTGTGTGACAAAGGGTATATAAGGGTTAATGGCACTTGTCAAGGTAGGCATAAAGAATCTGTATAATGATACAATATTTTTCCCAATGATATATAAAGACTAGAATGTTATTATCCCCCCTGCTTGAAAAGTGGGGGTTTATAGTGACCGGGGGGGGGGGGGGGGGGGGGGGGGGGAGTCTGTTCCGAGGTTCATCCGTAACACATGGGGTACCCATCTTTTATTTACAACTCCTCCTATACCACTGAATAAAATTAACTGAGATTTTTCTTAGAATATTACACAATGACATAGAGCATATCCTATTTTATGTTCTTATCAGACAGATATTTGGGGTTTCCCATAACAAAAAATGGATTTCACCATTATACTCATATGGGAGTGGGAGGAATTGAATTGACTTGGAGTTTCCTGAAAAAGATACCATTCTTCTTTTCATTGCAGATTTGGATGAATGCTCCGATATGTTACACAATTGTCAACATGATTGTGTAAATACAATTGGAAGCTACAGATGTACATGTAAAACTGGATACAACTTACAGATCAGTGGAAGAGAGTGTCTTTCTGAGGGTAACTAAGCAGTATTGTAACCACTGAAGTTCACTCTCAAAATTCAAGTTAATTGCAGAAGATGTATGAATTTATGTTTAAGAGTTAAATATGCAGAAAATTGAAAACAAGATCAACAAAATAAATCTTGAAGTATTTATATTCATGAATATTGTGAAAAAATGGACCAAGAAAACATTCTATTTCACCATGGTAAAAGGACAGAGTAACTTTAAACATTTGACTTGATATGTATTCAACAAGTTCAAAATAAGAGAGAGGATTTGCTTATTACTGTATTTTCCATGCTTTTAGTGTCTAACCCCTGTAGAAGTAGTAACAAGGGGAACTTCTGTGACCATACCTATGGGGGGTGTACTGTGGATGGAGGAGGAAATCCTGTATGTTTCTGTAGGGCTGGTTACTCTCCTATACAAAAGGATAATTTCACTCTCTGTAATGGTAGGTGGAGTCCTTGGTATAGTTTATATCATATAGTATTCTAGACTTTATAAAATTAGCTGGCAACTTTAACCTTTATACTGTAAGCTAGCAATATCACCTATAAGAAACACTAAAAATTCCATATTTGGTATATTGTCCAGACCTTTCGAAATCTGCCAGTACCCAGTACATTACCTGGCTGAAATCATGATTGTACCTGCCAGTATTAGATGGAGAAAAATTTGTTAACATATTTAATTAAAATCGCTTCCACAAGATACCTCCTGTTTCTGTAAAAGTACCACATGTTTCTAATCTTTCTGAAAGCCCTGATTGTCTAACTATCTTGGGAACCAGTGATATGACATCAAGCTTAGAGAAAAGGACCATGACCTATCACCCTAAAAATATTAACCACCAGGATTATTGATGTTCATCTTATACAGAACAAATTGTTTTTACACTTCCTTCTGATTGCTCAAGGAGAAGTGTTGGATATGGCTAAGACCCATGTATAAATTTGTAGCTCTGGGGGTAGTCTAAGAATGTGTGATAAAAATAATTTTGTGGATTTGACATTGATATATTTTTCACAGACCTTCAGGAATGTTGGATGGGTATATCTGGCTGCTCTCACAGTTGTTCGAATACCTGGGGTGGATTTATCTGTGAGTGTCCCAAAGGATTCACACTGGACACTGATAGGAAGACTTGTATCAGTAAGAAATGCTAAATTTGTCTCTAATTGCAGTTGTTGCTTTTAATGAAGTATGGAAGTGTTAGTGTATAGTGCAAAATCTAATCTAAAATGATGAAAGAGATGTGAAATTGACCATCCCAGTTAAAATATTGGCCATATTAAATGAAAATACCTACAATAAAGAGCTAAAAGAAAGAGTTTTTTCGCTCAACTTGATGAATTCAAGGATAGCCTATGCTAAATGCCCTTAGTCTTGGGTAAAATATTTGGAGCATGTCTTTTGCTCAAGTCAGTGTAAGCCCTACCTGGACCAAATTGCATTGATGATACATCTTAGTATGCTTATTACAAGTCATGCTTTGGAGGTTGTGTCTGGCCAATACTGTATAGGGGGAAAATAACTCGCGGTGTTAATATTCGCTATATTCACGGTGTAAATAAATCCGTGAATTCAAGAAACAGTGAATAAGTTTTAAATATTAAACATCAATTTTTTATTTGGAAATTTGAGAATAGACTACGATAGGTATATATACGTGTACGTACAATACATGGTCATTCAGTAATTACGAGTAGTACTTGTCATTCAATTATCTTACATGTAATTATCACGCTTAACTTTAATTCAAATAAGCGCTAATAACCTGTATTTATTGTTAAAAAGCTGTTTTAATAGATACATGTTTCATCAATCAAAACACATGGGTCATGAGTTTTGATTATCCGTGCGTAACGTTACCACGTGTATTTGTTACCTGCATTAGCATTATGCGTATTAGTTTTTATGGAAATTTTGGATTAAAAAAATATCATTCGAATAACTATCGAACTTGCTGAAGATATGGAAGAATGTTACATGTATAACGTCTACCTACATTAATACATTTATTAGTGTCCAGTGTTTTTTTTCTCGTTGCGATGTGTATACCTTCGGAAAGATGTGTACACATGCACTCTTCGTAAAAGCATATAGGAAAATCATTTGACGTTTATAGTAAAAAAAAATTTAATAATGGCACTTGTTTTGATTAATCATCCATTAACTACTAAATCTAATCATTATTTATAAACCTACCCTGTTCGTGAAGTAAATACCATGAATACATAACGCTGATAAATGTCGTTCTTGCTATATTAGCTATGGATTACACGGAAAAGACAAGGGAGGTAACTTTAATTATACACTGATTCCGCGAATTCAACAAACCGCGGTCGTGTCCGATTAGAGAAAAACGTGAAAATTACAACCCGTGAAATTAATCCCCTATACAGTATTTTCTGGATGAATGAACAGGTTTAAGTATTTGAAGGGGGTCCATTGTAAGCCTGGACCAAACTTGCATGGTTGATGCATTTAGGGATTCAAAACCATCAAACTTGCTTTGGATATTGCATTTGACATATATATTTTAATTACACATGAGTGGCCAGGGTTAAGTGTTTAGAGCAAGTCCATTTCCAAGTAAATATTAGTCCTGCCTGGACCAAACTTTTGATACTTACCTATCATTTAAGGTTGTGCTGATATGGGAAAATGGGGAGATAACTGCACAAATTCCTGTGGATGTGGACGTGGTGCCTTAAGATGTGACCCTGTGACTGGTTGTGTGTGTAAACAGGGCTGGACTGGTCTCCACTGCTCACGACATGTTGATGACTGTAGTAACACCTCATGTGGTACTCATCAGAAATGTGTTCATGTCAACTTCACTCGTCTGTGTGTCTGTGAAGACGGTTTCCAAAGAGACTCCAACAATCTGTGTCAAGGTAGAACATTTCTCATGGAAACTAACGTGACTCAATGATCCAAAAATCTCCAAAATGTTTCTAAACACGAGTAAAGATACATTTTGATTCTTCAACTTTGATTTAACAATTTATAATGTTACCTTCTTCAAGATTCAGTGACTGGTGTTTTGGTGGTTGTTTCAGATATTGATGAGTGTTCTACTAACCAACACCTTTGCACACAGAGATGTTTTAACACAAAAGGAAGCTACAGGTGCTCCTGTACTGATGGGTTCCAACTCGGATCAGACAACAGCACTTGTGAAGGTAAGAAAAACATGGTGGTTATTATGAAGTGTAATGACTCCTACTCTAAATTTCACCAAAATAAATTTAAAATTCCCAACATTGATTTCATCAACAACAAAAGTATTAGATTCAAATGGGAAATGATCATATGAAGTATGAAGCAGTGCTTACTTTTTCAAAAATGATTTTTATATTTAATCATGATACAAAAAAAATTTGACACAGTGAATAAAAAGAGCAATGATTTATTATCACAACTTAAAGTAAAAATATGAGGTATATAATATTATGAAAATAATATTTAGTGTCATACATATTAAATTCATATCAGAATATATAATAAAGAAGCATTTCCCCATATATAAGAATATCACATTGTTATCTGCATGTGCTTTAAAAGATGCATCTATCAACAACGGTTATCTTTCTTTAAAATATCTTTTTTGGAAAGAAAATCCTAAAAAATTAAAATTCTATAACTGGTACATGATAAATTACTGCACTTTTTAAATTGTTTATTAAGAGGTGGTAATATTTCAATTTGTAACAGTTAAAAAAACGTGCAAATGGTTAAAGTCGAATGTTATTAATAAAATGTCAAAAATTAGGGGGGGAGGGGGGGGGGCTTGCATCTTAAAGTGGTTTTGATTGAAATTACTATAGAATGGTCTCCATTACTAAATTCTGTTAAGATAAACTATTGGACATTTCAGGATTATTGGGGATGTTATCTGTCTTATCAGAGAGTCATTCCACCTTAATTGGCATTGTTTTGAATGTAGTTTTAATCTGCATAACTTTACTTTTTTATCTCTTAGGTTGAAAAAAAATGAACTGGAAATTTAACACTATATTTGAACCTTTAATACTGATTACAGTCCATATATTTGGAAGACAATTACATGTAACCTTTGATTGTAGATGTTGATGAGTGTACACTAGAGACATCAGACTGTCAACAACAGTGTCTTAACACAATAGGAGGGTACTACTGCTTCTGTTTTGATGGATTCTATCTGACTGGTTCCAATCAGTGTATTAAAGGTAATCTCTCTCTCTCTCGTAATTTTTTGACATATCGGGGAAGTTGAAGCCTCAGTATTAATGGTTCAATTCAGTTAGTAATTCATTCATCCAGCTGAGAACTTGAAGTCAAGAAAGGTTGATTTAGCAAGCACATGTGAACACATTTTAAGAATTTTCGGTTTAAGGTTATATTAATGTATTATTATATGGAATATTCCTGAAAGATTTCTTATCAGTGTAGTGCTTTTTGATGGCATATCACCAATATATTGAATTTTCTTAACAAACAAATTGTTTGCAGATTTGTCTACCTCCCCCTGTGTTGCCATGGGTGATTCCTGTCAATATGGATGTAGAGTGGAGGGAGGACTAGCTTTCTGTTTCTGTCCAAACGGCTATACACTGAACACTGACAGGACAACTTGTTCATGTAGGTATACACTAAACATCGATAGGACAACTTGTTCATGTAGGTATACACTAAACACCGATAGGACAACTTGTTCATGTAGGTATGCACTAAACACTACAGGACAACTTGTTCATGTAGGTATACACTAAACACTGACAGGACAACTTGTTCATGTAGGTATACACTAAACACTGACAGGACAACTTGTTCATGTAGGTATACACTAATCACTGACAGGACATCTTGTTTATGTAGGTATTCACTTAACACTGACAGGACAACTTGTTCATGTAGGTATACACTAAACACTGACAGGATGACTTGTTCATGTAGGTATTCACTAAACACTGACAGGACAACTTGTTCATGTTGGTATTCACTAAACACTGATAGGACAACTTGTTCATGTAGATATTTACTAAACACTGACAGGACAACTTGTTCATGTAGGTATTCACTAAACACTAATAGGACAACTTACTCATGTAGGTTTTCACTAACTTGTTTATGTAGGTATTCACTAAGCATGGACAGGACAACTTGTTCATGTACTAGGTATTCACTTAACACTGACAGGACAATTAGTTCATGTAGGTATTCACTAAACATGGACAGGACAACTTGTTCATGTAGGTATAATATTCATACTTGGAGCTTATAACTTAGCCAAAACAGAAATTTCATGGTCTTTGTTTTAATACATGTGGAGAAAAATAAATGATAAATATTTATAAAGTTTGCTGTTTTCAGATGTTAATTCAACAGTAAATGTACAGATGAAGACAAATATCTATTTCCAATTTGACTACAATAACCCTTCTTCACTGATCTACAAAAATCTTAAGGAGGACATGGAAACTGAGGTATGTACATGTTATACATGTATCTTATTTTGGTTTTAAGTTTCACAGACCCTGATGTGACTTGACATGACAAAAGGGATAGGACATTAAAATTTCATATTATTCTTTATGTAGACACAGTCCTTTTTTGTAAGCATGCAGAATTTGAAGTCTGTCAAGATTTTTAGAATAAGGTAAGTTGGTATGACATTGGTTCATTGCTGTGTTTTAACTTGTATGAATTAAGCATCATTCAGATATAATAGTATAGCGGTAAATGAATCATCTTTTTACTGCATTTACAGTGAGAGCAGTACTGTGTTTGACATACAAGTGAAGTTTAACACAAATGTCACAGTGGAGTTGGAAGCACAGTTGAGTACAGTTCTACAGAACATTTACCAAACAGGAGTACAGTTACAGGGAACAAAATATTCTGTACTAGAAAACCCAGTTACATCAGTACCTTATAGTAAGTGTTGGTTGAACTTGACTAGAATCTTTACAAAGTTCACACAATAACTCATATTATATTAAGTGGGCATATACTTGGTTAAAGATTCTATCTAACAACAGTTACAAATGGTACTTACAACTAACAGTTTCGCTATGTTCATCTTTAGCGGGGTATATTGCAGGATGAACAAAACCTCAATTCATTATGATGATTAAATTTTGGTTTCATTTATACATACCAATATTATTTTTGCAGAACCCGCCCCTTGTTTATTTTGTCTATCCACTGAAAAGTGTCATATCCAGGTGAATTACAACTATGTTTGCAGGTAAACATTTCTCTAAATGCACAAGTGAGCTTTTGTGATGAAAGTTGGTCATTCATCTGTTTGTTTTCTATAAATTTCCCAGATAATTTACTTCTGAAGAATTAGAATGAGGTGGTTATAACTAGCAATATCATTTGACCATCTAATTTATACATTGTTCTGATGGAAAAGTAGCTACAATTGGTTTTGAATCCATTGTGACAAACTGTTGCTTAAAATTGAATTTTAATTTTTGTGCAATAACCTAATAACAATTTAGTCTGGGGTTTATTGTTACCAGTATATCTCCCAATGAGGCTATATAAAGAAATTGCCCTTTCTTCTGTTCATTTGTCCATCCAAGCTTGTAAGGCTGTAAATGTGTAGAGAAGCCTTAGGGCTCATACCGTAAACCAGCTATTTTATTCACATGTAAGAAATATCTGTGAGTTGTCATTAAGCTTTCCACATATACTTTGAATTAAATTTGCTGAAGTCATTATATAAGCAAGGGGTTTTATTTGTGTATGTTGATTTGGTTACTCAGGTGAGCATTGTTTGCCTTGGGCCACTTGTCATTTAAATGGTATACAGTCAAACCTCGTTATTTCGAACTCGATGGGACAGAGAAAAAACTTCGAGATATCCGAGGGTTCGAGATATCTAGGATAAAATACTTAAGAAATGCATGGTAAGGACTTCCCAGTCACTTAGACATATCCATGGTATTTGAGATATCCGTGTTCGAGATAACGAAGTTCAACTGTATTTTTTGAACAATGATATGTATGAAGGGTAAAATATTTTGCCTTACAAGAAAAAGTCTTTCATTCAAATTAATATGTGAATATGCCTTTATATCCATGACAGTCTCTGACTCTATCAATGGTTAAGATCTTCTGGTTTGTGACCAGTACATGAAGTTAGAGTCTCAAGATTATACTATTAATAGCATGACTGTATGAAAATTCTTGTTTTTATTTCTTTTACAGACCAATTTCAGGTACGTTACACTTACTTAATCTGAATTGATGTATCAGTGATAATTGTCTTTGAAAAATTATTCCTCTGATGAAAAAGCATTATTCATAATTTAATGTACAAAATATTTATATTGATTGTTTATATCTATTATTATAATGGCTCATTCTTAACTTTTCAATTTTATTTAGTAAGCACAACAAATGCAGTTCCTCTGAAAATAACATTGGCTCTGAGTTATGAACCATTTATGGCAGATACAGTTGATATAAAGTATGCTGTGTTCCAGAACTCTGTTATTTCAACTGTAAGTATAAAATTACTGCTTTCATGTCGGCACCAAACTAGTATGCAGTAAGAATGTGTCAATTTCCTTTTACCTGATAAAGGTACTTGTTGAATGAAGTGCAGTTTTCTTGAACTATAAATCATACTAGTAAGTTATACTCTTTTTTAGCTTAATGGAATATTGAACCTTCTAGTGGTAGACAGAATCCAGTTGTCAACAATATCGTAAGTGATTCAAGAATTTTGCCATAATAAAAAAATTCCTAGATTCTCATCCCCGCCTGCCCCGATTTTTTACCCCCGCCTCGAATTTTTTATTTCCGTTTTTCTTCGTGTCGATTCTGATTGGGATCGGTATTCAACTACCATTCAACTTTTGTTTTAAATCCCGCGAATGTCAGCATGATTTTGACAGCTGACAAGATGGTTATTGCTGTAATATGTATTAAACAAGGATCACTGGTTGTGAAAGACTGGTGATGATGAGTAGTAAGAGATATGCTTAAATGGGCCTCTACTATGACTTTTATATGGGCATTATAGATAAATCTGCACCGAATGATCAGGTCAACACTAAATCTGCACATTGAAAAAAATAAAAAATATAAAATAAAATCCGCCCGCCCGCCTAGATTTTTCAAAAAATTCTGGTGAGAATCTAATAATTTTTTTTATTATAGCCTTGATACTGAATTCTTATTTTTTTCTTTAATTTTTTTTCGAATACCAAGATAAGAGATACCTTTTAAACTTGACTTTTAAATTACTTTTTAAATATATTTCGTATCATAGATATACAATTGATCTTTTTAACATTAGTTGAAGCTTAGCATATGCACTGCCTGGCAAAACAAAAAAAAAATATTTTGAAAATTACTGAAAGAGAGGTGACATTTAGCATGTTAATTAATTTCTATAAACTGTTTCTGAACATGCATTGTATACGAGGGCTGTTAGAAAAGTTCGCGGACATGTTCCATTGTGAGCGCACTATTTCCACGAAACCGGTTAAACTCTCCAGATAAAAACTTTACCTATTTTCCAGTAAATATACAAAGGTTTGATGTTTTCCGGTAATCTTTAAAAAATATACAGCTATATTATTTTGATAAAACGTGCTTCACGGAGCATGCTACTTTTTCATACGTTTACATTGCATAGACTTTTTATTGAAATTAAAAATTGCACAGTTGTAGCACAGAAAGAATTATGATATTTTACCTGTCGCTACAGTATTCATTAAACGTCACTTGCCGAAATTTTGAATTAAATTGGAGGATGTATGACTGTTTTATAGCCATTTATAAATAATCAACGCGTAAAAACAAAGCCAAGAATGGGAACGTCATTGAACGTCATGGAGCACCGAGCTACTAAAAAAGTATGTGTACAGACAGAAAATGTCTAAAAATAGACTAAAATGCTCCTAGATGCTGCTGGAAATTCTCTACACGTACAAAGGACAAAAGTATTCAAATGGTAGCTAGTTTAAAAATGGAAGGATTAACATTTTTAATGATCAACTCCATCGATACCTCAATACCCCACTTATCGCATGGACGTTGCGCCTATGGATTTTGCATTGTTTCCATACCTGATCGCTTAACTGCGTATACATTTATTTTAAGATCTCTCTAATAACCGAAACAGCACAAAAGACATTATAGAAGAAAAGTAACATTTCTTGATATAGAATTTTTAATTTTTAAGAAGAAAAAGACAAGAAAAGTCGAAAGAAATTAAAGATATTTAGAACTTTTAAAAGCTTAACGGGTTTGAAATCTGGTTGTCACGTCACTTAACGTCAAGTGATTGCTCCATGAATCCTATGACCGTATTGTAAAATCGTTGTAAATTTTCAAAATTTTAGTAAATGGACCTGATGTTTTACATACTAATAAACAAAAGATAGTAATTTAATCAGACATAAGTCATACTTCACAGTACACAATAGATTTTCCGTAAATCAATGTGTCTGCGAACTTTTCTAACAACCCTCGTATGTATATTGTTTGATAATAGATCTGTCATATGGAATTAGTCCATGAACCTTATGACCTTGACTAAATTTGACCTTTGACCTATTACGAAAAAATATTTCCCAAAACTTCTTAACTGCAAGAGGCAAGTCTTTGATATTTAGCATGTTAATTAATAGCATGTTAATACACCATTCATTATGTGCTGGACTTGTAGACCTTGTGACCTTCAAATAGATCTTTCTAGACTGTAGAAAAGGGGGGAGATAATCAGAAAAAATCCTCCAACAAAAAAAAGTTCTCCCTTTAAAAAACTGCATGATCAGCTGTGAGTTAATTTGTAACAATATGATGATCAACTTTTGATATTTCAGCGCTTTATCCACTGGAACAAAATTACATGTGACAATCTTCCTGAAAACTTTAACTGACCCAGATTTTGTGACCTTGATTGCTAGAAGAGTCAATGAGAGAATAGACACTGTAGGGTGCATAACTCTTGGTGGTAAATGCATCCCTTTGTTAAAGAATACAGACATCTTTGATGGAACACAAGAAGGTTAGTTTTCTGATGTTTGTGTAGAACATACTGCATAGGGTACATAATTGTTGTTGTCTTCTTCATTAGATACCATAGTATACCTCTGTTGACTTAAAAAAAAATTATGGAGTTTTTCAGAAACAAAGAATAACACTTATATTAACTATTAAACAAAAAAATTTTAAAAAATTCTGATGTTCTGAATTTTTTTCCATGGTACTGATGTAGTACAATACACATTATAACTAGGGATTGAAATTTGTAATTGGTTAACCGGTTACTCGGTCGGAACGATGGTAATCGGTTAGAAAATCTGTAATCGGTTAGTCGGAAAAAATTAATGTATGCGTAAATTTGAACACAATATTCTGAAAATTCAATCAAAATATCTAAAATGTTAGCATTTTCATCCATATTAACAAGGTAGATACTTAAGGCTCTCCGATTTGACAGTGCGGGGGTAATTGGTCAGTTGTTAATTGCTGTTTAAACACCATGTCATTACCCAGTCTGACTTGTGTGTCTTTAATGATTTTAATTCAATGATCGTTGAGTACGGTGAACTGAATTTAATGTGTACCTAACCTCTACTATCCTTTATAGTTACCTATTAAACAAGCGAAAGTACATACTTAGTTTTGATTACGGTGACGACTTCTGATTTTTTTTTTCCACAAATGTTTATGATACTTTAGACATATTTCATGAGTATCTATTTTTTTCTTTACTTTCTTTTTTTTTTTTTTAATTTTTATTTATTTATTAATTAATTAATTATTTTTTTGCCTATTAAAATTGAAATAAAATATAGTGTTCTGATCAAATATAAGCATAATATTATAGTACCACATCTGTATAGTCTTGTTTATTAGAGTAAAGCAGTGCTTATAATGGAGGATATGTCGAAATTTTTTGATACGATTAACCGACTATTCGGTCGGAACGTCTTGCGGTTAACCGATTGGCAATTCTCTATTCGATTGCCATCCCTAATTATAACCTACAACATATCTTTTGACAAGTTGAACCAAAAAATGACCCTTACATTTATTTTGCTTCACAGTTCCAGTGGTATGCAAGACTTGCTCAGAAAATGCCACCTGTATAACTGATTCTCAGAGCTGGTGGATATGTGTGATGTAAGTAATAAAAAAAGTAAAATATTGCCTTTCTTGGATCATGAATACTTCAATTTAGATTTAACAAAACTAAGCATTGATCTTTTGTTTCTGTGGTTCTTTGGCTTAATATTCAAAACAAAGCAAACTGTAACATCATTATTGACTCTCCTCATTCATTTCATTGTAGTGGAAGTACGACTGTAATTTCCCCAACAACAACTGTGTCCACAACAACCAAAACATCAACAGGTATCAGAATATTGTGAATTCTAAACTGTTACAAGTTTTAATCTTTACACTTGCATAGTACATTGTACAGTGTTCTTAACTGGAAAATAACAAAGAATTTCTTATTCACAGTTGCTGCAGTTTCAAGCACTCTCAGAATAATCACAGAGGACAAACAGATACTCGTGGGGGTAGGGGTAGCAGTACCCCTGGGGGTCCTTTTTAGTACCTTAATTATTGTTCTTGGTGTACTCCTCTGCAGGAAGTGGCATCACTGGAAAATACAAAGGTGGGGGATTTCTCTTTCTTGTAACCAGAAACTCCAGTTCATAATCTGAATAAATGAGAAGAGGACTATCACAGCTATTAATAATGCATGCACATTTAATGTGTACTTGATGGTTAACAACAGACTTTGCTATGACTATCATGATTACAAGAGATGTTTATATTTTAAAATTCATTATGATTGTACCTGACATGCAGCATTGTTTTATAGGGAAAGAATTCAGAACTACACTATTAGCCCACAGTATAGGAATCCTGCAAACAGAGATAGGGTAAGTCAATGTGGGAAAAAAGTGCAGAGATTCTCTAAAAAATAGAAAATACTTCTTTTCAACTTAAAATGTATTTCACCATATAAGTAAGCATGCTGGAACATTTCTAACATTTAATTAGCAATTTAAAAATCATTTTCTAAAGCTATTGCTATATAGAATTACATGTATGTCTCCCTAACAGTAGGAGACCTGATGATTTTGGCATGGTTGTCTGTCTGTCTTAGCTGCATGTAAGAAAATCATGTCAGGGCTTTGATTGAAATGAATTTGCAACTTGAGTATGTTGACATCCATAACATAATGGTGAGATGTGGTCTTAATTCAAGGTCATATATCAAAGTTCAAGGTCAAGGACAATGACATGGTGAGACGGTGACTAGTTGCCTCCAATTTTGCAACTAATGTTGTTGCTGTTGACCCACAGGTAAGTTTTGATCTTAACTCAGGTCATGTCTTAGTTCAAGGTCTATGGAGAATGAGACATTGAAGTTGTGTCTTAACCTTAACTTTGGAACCCTTACTTGAAATGAATTTAACTTGAGTATGTTGTTACTGATGAACAAGAGGTGTTACAAGATGCATCTTATCTGGAATTCTGGATTAAAATGCATTAAATACGAAATAACAATGATGGGATTTTAAAAAGATGCACCTTGTAAATGTCTAAAATTCCACGACCTTGTAGAGGTGTCCCCTTCAGGGCTTTACTCTACACCTTTGAAGAAGGGGGATGTTTGGAGGTCCAAAATCCCATGCCCTCTTTTCAGATACTCACATTGAATAATCCCTCACATTGTGTTTGTGCTGATGATCAGAAAGTGTATTATGAACTTGACTCAAGGTCATTTGTCAAAGGTCAACTTCATTGGACAGTGATGTTGAAGTATTATGCAATTCTTGTAAAATCAAGAACATTCAAAAATATATTCAGCCCCTCATGTTATGTTTACTTTTGCACCACATACATGTATGTTTTTATTTTGATCAGTGATCATATAATTGCAATGATGGCTTAGGGCATAACTTGGGGGGGGGGGGGGGTGTCATCCATCCCCCAACCACCAAAATAAAGTCATTTACAAATAATTAGATATTTTGTATTTCTGCAAGTGGCCTTTCAACAACTTATTTTAAATATTTTGATTTTCTGCAGGTGGCCTTTCAACAACCTATAGGACCCATTAGACCACCTCATGCACAGGTAAATATCATATTTTCCCCTATGATATTGGTTGCACTTGTACAATGACCTTAAATGTTTCATTGTTGTCAAAAAATGTAAATTTTGCAAGTATGTCTGCATTCAATTGAGATCATCACACAGTACTTTTTAATATTATCCAACTTGGTACAAATTTAAGATGGCTTCACAATCATTCAGAAAAAATTTTGGTGATGTCTACTGAACAAGTTTTTCTTAATCTGTGAAGTATCTGTTCAATTTTTAGGTGGATTTCAGTTCATGAAAATAAAACAAAATTGGACCACCGTGTACAAATGTGCATGAAGCAAGACTGATTGTCTTTGCCTTACTTTAACACTGACCTTGAATACTGAACTTAATAAAACAGAATGACTTTCATTCATATTTAGTATTCAAACTAAGTACATTCATCCATTGATGATAAAATTCTAGAGAGGAGACTGGCCCAGGCATACATTTAGATACTATTTGAAGAATGTTTATGTTTTAAACTAATTTCAGTCCAATGTTTCTAATAGATAAGACCTACTCTACGCAATGGTATACCACCCAGCTACCCACATATCTATCCTGTCTTGCACCACCTACAAGGTACAAAATTTCCATACAAGTAGAGGCTAGCAATTTATATCGCTGTCACATTAAAATTAGCATTAATTACATATCATTTATTCCAAATTAAAGTAACTCACAGCGAGACATTTTTGTGATAGATGTTTCTGAAGAAAAAATGTTGACTTTCCTAACATTACCGGTACATTTCACAGAACATACCAACAGCATTAACTGCTTTGTAGACATGATAATATATGATTAGACTTTTAAATTTAAGTCAGAGTTCAGTTGAAAATATATATATCCCCAAAGAGCATGTGAATTAATTGAATAATTATAATTTTTTTTTAAAATAGTGATTGTAGAAAAATGATCTTTATGAAATGTTTAGAAGTGATTTCTCTCAAATTTTGACTTGGAAAAGGCTGCTTGAGTGTTTGTTCAATTGTCTTACTGAAAAGTGCTATTGATTGCAGACAAACATTAAGTCTTGATCAGAAATTTGTTTATAAGTGCATGACAGTTTTATTGTAATGGAGAGACAGAAGAGTATTGGGCCAAAATAAAAAATACCTTTGTTTCCCCTAACGCGACAGACCCAATTAAATCCTGCCGACTGAAAAGTTTTTTTTAAGAAGATTATTCAAATATTTTTTTCAATTTTTATCAACTTTTATGAAATACAATTTCATCAAAACCCGTTCTTATTAGAAATTCAGAATGTATTTTCAAAGCTGCTGTCAGAAAAAAAAAAATATTTACCTACCTACCTACCCAACTTCAATTTCTAGGGTCGGGTTAGGGGAAACAAGGATATTTTTAATGATGGCCTTGAGTAATATTCATGTCTGTTTATTTCAGACAATCGTCGATCTGGACGCACATTAAGAAATAAGGACAATGTAAGTTTTCTTTCTTTCTTTTTTTTGTTTTGAAAAAATGACTGACATAATTGATCAATTGTATGAAGTTGAGGTATAAAAAAAAAAAATCACTACAAACATTTTTTTTCTTGTAGTTTGCATTACAACGTCCTTTGGTTGATCAGAGACCCAGTCAAATATACAACTGATTACTCCCAGGTTTGTATTACAAACTTTTTTGCAGTCGACCAGAGCCTTCAAACACATTTTAGAGACGGAACATTTTTAGCACTACTGGTCAGTCAGACCAGAGGAGCCTGTCAGTCCGTCTGTCGACTATAAACAAATTTTCAAAACGCTACACCTCCTACAGTTTTGGTCTGATTACAATATAACTTGGCCTACAAGTAGTCTACACTAAGATACGTAATTCTGTGCATCGGTTTTTTTGATTTCAGTGAACGATGTTGCCATGGTTACTAAAAATAGAAATTTAAGTGTAATTCTTTCAAAAGACTACTAATTCTACAGTTTTGGTCTGATTTCAATATAACTTGGCACACAAGTAGGCTACACCACTGTACACCAAGATACTTAATTCTTTGCATTGGTTTTTGATTTTGATGAACAGTGTTGCCATGGTTACTATTAAAAAATATAAATTTCAGTGAAATCTTTTAAAATGATACTCTTCCTACAGTTTTGGTCTGATTTCAACATAACTTGGCACACAAGTAGGCTATACTGAGATACATATTTCTGTGTATCGGCTTTTGATTTTCATGAAGGGTCTTGCCATGGTTACTAAAAATAGATTGCAATAAATCTTGCCACAAAGAGACTAAACCAATTATTTTATTTATTGCTGTTGCATATTTTCTAGTGCAAGTTCTACTTTTCTCTTCCTTTGTACAAACTAGTAGAGCTACAATCTCATCAGAGACTTCTGGTTATCAACAAATGTCAAGTAAAATTTGAGCATTTTATAGGGAAAAGATGATACGAGTAATTAAAGCTTATGTGTGTTTAACATCACATTCTTTATTCAAGTTTTAATATTATTGATTGAATTATCCTGTTTTTTTTTTTTTTTACAGGACTTGGAAAAAGGGAAATGGTGAATGGTGTACATTTCGAAATCAGTTCTTCAAGTTTTGAATGTGCTCCTCATTTGTGTCCAGGAATCAAGCATGAATCAAATTAATCATGATTTATCATCTGTCATCATATTTCTGTACAACTGTACCATTCATACTCATCAGAGTGTATAATTATAGTTTAGCATAAATTGTAATATTATGTACATACATGTTGTTTGCATTTTTATGTTGTTTATTTAATGTCTCAAATTGCTCATGTTGATTTAAGATGTACTTTTGGGTCATTTACATAAGATATATTTTTGATATTGTTTACACCTTTAGATTTTTACAAGGTGATATTAATTGTTGTATTTTTTGAATAATTATATATTTTTAATTTACATTGATTTGTTAATAATTATATATGGAGTTTAAGTATACAATTATTATCAGTTGATTTGTTAACCTGTACTGTTTTTTGTTGATAATTCTCAATAAAAATTCCATGAAAATTTTTTGTCTTTGATTTTTTTGAAAAATAAATTATTTTGACTTAATCCTTCCTTGAATGTGTATGTCGATCAGTAAAAGAAAATATTCATTATTAAATTTAATTTGCTTCTCAAAACCCAAGTTAATATGGTGATTTCTGATATTTCCAAAAATTTAAAACTCTTAGTTACTAAAATGACTCAAATGAAAATAATATAAGCTGAAAACTGGAAATTTATTCAAATTTTCAGTATACAGAAATGATCATTGATGTCATACATAGTCAAGTATGGTATTTCTGCTGCAGGCTTTCCTAGTGCTGTAACAGATAAACATTACAAGATTATACTTAAAAAACAAACAAGAGGCCCATGGGCCACATCGCTCACCTGAGCTCATTGGCTAGGAAGAAGTAGAAATCAGTTCAGTATTGAACAAAGGAGGGGGGTGGGACAAACTTTAATTTACACTACCTCAGGATGCTTCCATATCAATATTACTAATCATGGCTTTGCTGTTCTTAAACAGAAGAATTTTAAAGATTTTCCTATGGTTTCCACTGTCATGGTAGCTCATTCTGCAGAGCTCTCGCTCCATGATTGGAAGGTTGTGGGTTGGAGCCCCGGCTGTAACTGACCTAAGTTGATAAAAAATAGGTAGCAACTGTTCCTTCGCCAAGCGCTTGAAACTTTGAAGTGAAAGTTGCGGGTCCTTCAGATGAGACCTTAATAACCGAGGCCCCATGTCAGGTGTAGGCACGATAAAGATCCCTCACTGCTCAATGGCCCTGAGTGCCGAGTGAAGGTCTAAATTTCATCTGTATATGGTGAGGTCTCTATATGAGTGAAAAATTCTGGAACGGGACATAAAACAACATACAATCAATCAATCCTGTGTTTTCCTACTTAAAACTCTAATCTCTCATTGTGGCCCCACCCTACCCACCCTAAACTTGAACAAATTTGAATCTACACTACCTGAGGATGCTTCTGTCGTTGTTGTTGTTGTCATAAACTTCTCACATTTTCATCTTCTTCTCAAGAACCACTAGGCCAATTTCAACCAAACTTGCTACAAAGTATCTTTGCATAAAGGGGATTCAAGTTTGTTCAAATGAAGGGCCACTCCTTCCAAGGGGAGATAATCATGAATTTGCGAAAAATTAATGGCATCATTTCAAAATCTTCTTCTCAAGAACCACTGTGCTTGAAAATATGAAACTTATATGGAAGCATCCTCAGGTAATGTAGATTCAAGTTTGTTCAAATCATGACCCCCGGGTGTAGGGTGGGGCCACAATGGGCGATCAAAGTTTTACATAGGAATATATAGGAAAAATCTTTAAAAATCTTCTCAAGAACAGCAAAGCCATTAGTCATATTTATATGGGAGCATCCTCAGGTAGTGTAGATTCAAATTTGCTCAAATCATGACCCCCGGGGGTAGGGTGGGGCCACAATGGGCAATCAAAGTTTTACATGGGAATATATAGGAAAACTCTTTAAAAATCTTCTCAAGAACAACAAAGCCATGATTGGTCATATTTATATGGAAGCATCCTCAGGAAGTGTAGATTCAAATTTGTTCAAATCATGACCCCCCAGGGAAGGGTAGAGCCACAATGGGCAATCAAAGTTTTACATAGGAATATATAGGAAAAATCTTTAAAAATCTTCTTAAGAACAGCAAAGCCATGATTGGTCATATTTATATCAAATTTGTTCAAATACCCCCTGGGTAAGGGTGGGGCCACAATGGGCGATCAAAGTTTAACATAGGGATATATACGAAAACTCTTTAAAATTCTTCTTCTCAAGAACAACAAAGCCATGATTGGTCATATTTATATGGAAGCATCCTCAGGTAATGTAGATTCAAGTTTGTTCAAATCATGACCCCTGGGAATAGGGTGAGGCCACAATGGGCGATCAAAGTTTTACATAGGAATATATAGGAAAACTCTTTAAAAATCTTCTTCTCAAGAACAGCAAAGCCATGATTGGTTATATTTATATGGAAGCATCCTCAAGTAGTGTAGGTTCAAGTTTGTTCCAATCATGACCCCGGGGGGGGGGGGGGGGGGGGGGGGGTAGGATGGGGCACAATGGGCGATCAAAGTTTTAAACAAGAATACATTGGAAAAATCTGTAAAAATCTTCTTCTCAAGAAGAGCAAAGCCACGATTGGTCATATTTATATGGAAGCATCCTCAGGTAGTGAAGATTCAAGTTTGTTCAAATCATGACCCCCAAGGGGTAGGATGGGGCAACAATGGGCGATCAAAGTTTTACATAGGAATACATAGGAAAAAGCCTTTTAAAATCTTCTCAAGAACAGCAAAGCCATAATTAGTCATATTTAAATGGAAGCATCCTCGGGTAATGTAGATTCAAATTTTGTTCAAATCATGACCGTCCAGGAGAATAGAGGGGCCATAACAGGGGATCATAGTTATACAAAGGAATACACATGATATATCAATAAAAATTGTCTTCTTAAGAAAAGCATAGCCATTATTTGTCATATTAATTCAAAAGCATCCTTTTGAAGTATAGATTCAAGTTCAAATCAACACCCCCCTCAAACCACTTTTATATCAAAACTTTTCAAGACTCTACTGATTTCTGCTTTTTCCTAGCCAGTGCTCAGGTGAGCGATGTGGCCCTTGGGCCTCTTGTTTAATTAAATATAGAGGGAGATAACCCTTACCAAAATTCAAGACACATCCCACCCTTACATGCTAATAGTAATAAATGGGAATTATGTCTAAATATACTGAGTATTTAAAAACACCTATACATCTGTTATGTATTCAATTTCATTGAATCTGTTGCTATTATGGATGGAAAATCTTAACTTCTTTATTGCTGATTCAGCATCCAACTTCTCCTCCTAGCTTCTGAATGCCTGACTTTCCCAAAGCTTTGCCTTATATACCCTTTAGTTTGGCTAGTCCATTCCAAGGGTTGTGAGGTCCTTCTATAATATCTGAGGTCTTCAATGCATTTTACTCAAATGCCCCTTAACCATTAGGCCTACACCTATGTAAAGCTTCAACCCCCTGTTTTAGCCCTGCCCTATCCCCAGGGGTCATGATTGGAACAAACTTGAATCTACACTACCTGAGGATACTTCTTTTATAATATAACTAATCATGGCTTTGCTGTTCTAGCTATAGAGAAGATTTTTAAAGACATTTCCTATATATTCCTATGTAAACTTCGACCCCCTCTTGCGGCCCTGCCCTACCTCCGGGGGTCATGATATGAACAAACTTGAATCTACAGCATGTATTGAAGCTTTCACATAACATGCATAAGTTTCATCTTTCCTTGCCAAGTGGTTCTTGAGAAGATTTCTAAAAGATGCCACCAAATTTTCACGAATTCTTAATTATCTCCCCTTGAAAGAGGGCGTGGCACTTCCTGTGAACAAATTTTAATCCCCTTCACCCAAGGATGCTTTGTGGCAAGTTTGTTTGAAATTGACCCAGTGGTTCTTGAGAAGAATTAGTCAAAAATGCGAAAAGTTTACAGACTACAGACGGACGCCGGACAATCTTTGATCAGAAAAGCTCACGTGAGCCTTCGGCTCAGGTGAGCTAAAAATCTTTGAGTGAAATATGTCACCTTTATATAAAGAAGTTGTAGACGACAAAAATTTTATACTTTTTCTGCCAGTGACCCTAAACTTGCCAGGTCAAGGTCATGACACACCCTCAGTAATAAACAATCTGAAATAAGAATGATTCTCTATTACAAAGTTATAGCCTGGACACTATTGCACGGACAGACAAGGTAATTCCCATTTACCTTTTTGTTTGGGGGTATACTATCAAGGTTCATAATGATATGTATCAGCTTGCTTTGGATGCTGGATTTGACCTACATTTTCTGGATGAGAGACAATTAAGGTTCAAGTTTTTTGAACAATCCATCCCCAAGTAACCATAAGCCACACCTTCACCAAACTTGCACTGATGATGCATCTAGGGATGACAAATTCAAGCAAACAAAACAAGACTAACAAGAAAGGTTTAGAAACGGATTTCATTGGAGGCTGTAAATTCATTTAGAGATTAATGAATTGTGATATAATGGTTCATGCCTATTAAATTTGTATTATGTTATACAATTATTGCTGTTTTTCAGTCAATACGAAGATTTAGCCACCTTCGAAGTACAAAATTCACCTCACCCTTCGCACTTGGTGGATATTGTACTCCTCAGGTGGCTAAATCATGGTATTGACTGAAAAAACAGCAATAATGATTCAATGATTAAATGATATATTATATATCAATTAAACTCATTAAGCAGTTCATGCCATCTAACTTCTTCACATTTACTGAAATCCTACGCAAATGCAACGAGAGAAGCAGGGTCAAATAAACATTATCAGTTGTACTAATTTGGAATTGTTTAAATCTACTTTAGTTGCTATTAAAAAAAAAAAGAAATAATGTCAGGCTCTTTTATAGGATCAATTTTGAAAGGGGGGAGGGGGACTGACAATTGAAAAAAATCTTTGATTAGCCCCCACAAAAAGAGAATTCTCGTAAATTAAAATATTGTTAGGGGTTAGGGCTGGCGAATTAAGGTCCATTAGTGAGGGACCATGCAGCCTTTCAATCCACTACCCCCACCCAAAATTATATATTCCCTAATGTTATGTTCACCTGAGTGGAAGTCGGTAGCAAGTGAAATATTTGTATGAATTTGGAATTTCCTGATCTATTTTTAGACCAATGTAGAAAAAATACATCCTTATGTTCACCTGGAAGGTCACATGCAGGTGAATATACTAGTATTTTTTCTACATTGTTGGATCTTAGCCAATCAGAGAGATAGGAATTATTCAATCATACAATAAAATTTATTATTGCTATTGAACATTTACTACTGCCATCTACATTGATCCTTTCACTTTAATTAACATTCAAGTCTTTTTTCTGTCTTTTGACATGAAGCATTTTTCTGGCAGCAATGTTAACACTCGGTATTGTCCTTTTTTTAAAACAATAAGTCAATAGCTTTCTTCTCTTATGCACAAAGCACTTCACATGGATAAATTGTTCTCTTCAAAAAACTGTCCTCATTTCATTGCATCTAACGTTGATCTTTGACTTTAAAAATCAATAGAATCCATCCTTTAGCCACCTAATGATGCTTATGGAAACATGATTTTTGAAAGGACAATCAATGGTTTTCTTTATATTCTGACCACAGTCAGCATATGGATAGCTATAGAATTCAATTGAGGCCACATTGACATTCTTTTAGCCCCCCCCCCCCCCCCCCCCCCCCCCCCCCCCCCCCCCGTCGCCTGCGTGGTGCAGTGGTTAGAGCATCTGCTCTAGAGTCGTGGAGTAAGGAGTTGATCCTTACATCACGGGTTCAAATCCACTGCAGTACGTGGAGACCGGTCCTTTGGAGAGATCGACCGTATAAACCGAGGTCTGTGTCGCAGTTGGTGTTGGCACGAAAAAGATCCCTCACTGCTCAATGGCCCCGAGTGCCGAGTATAGGTATAAATTTGCAGCCTTCCACCGGCAAGTGGTGGCGTCTCCATATGAGTGAAAAAATTCTCGAGAGGGACATTAAACAACAAACAAGCAAGCAAGCCCCCCCCCCCCCCCCCATTAGATGACAAGATTTGCAGTTCAAAAGTGCATCAACTGGCATTTAGGTTTAACACTGCAATTTTATGATTTGGACACATTTGACAACATTTAGCTCTAGAATTTCAAAATGAGGTCACCATGACCTACTTTGGAATCATGACACCTCTCTTTCAAGATTGATCTAGGCATCATTGACAAGCATAGCCATAAATTTTAAAATGAAGTTTTATAATAACTTTTACAGAGAAATATAAACAATTCATATAATTATATAAAGTCATAATAGTTGTAGACATAACTCTGTATATAATTACATTATAAATGATAATAATAAATGTGGAGCAAAAAAAAAATGTCAAAAATACAATTTGTTTGTAAAAAAATTATAATATCTCTGTAAACTTTTCCAAAAATAATCTAACAAATAATATTCAAAAGATAAATGTATTTTTAACTCAACAATGAACTTAATCATTGAATCAGCAATATATAAATATATATACATATACATGCCCTTCATCTTGTAAAAAAAAGAAAGAAAGAAAATACCTTAATTATCACTATTAACTGTTGGGGAAAAAATATAAGAAAGACAAAAATATCCAAGTCACACTATGATTGTAAACTAAAGATCAAAGAACCTGTCCGTAACTTGGAAATTCGGAAACATAAAGCCTATAGCAGGGTATCATTAAAACACCAATCACCCTTCCTCCATTTACAGGGCCTGTAAAAAAAAAAGAAGAGTTTTAAGGTACATGCACTGAAATTCAACCAGAACTAAAGATTGAATGAGTTAGTTAGTGAAACTGCACCTGTATTTCATAGTGTATTTGTTTTATTGGATATGCTAAAATCATTCTTGAAATGTCTTGCCTTTGAAGACTATCATAGGGTTCTATATAATTATATATTACAAAATGTATACAGTATTACATAACAGCAAACCTAGGAATTGTATATATGACTGGGTCTCTGATCCACCAAAGGACGTTGTAATGCAAACTGTAAAAAGAAAATATAAAAGAGATGTTGAGTTTTCTTTCTTATAACACTTGATACATATTTCAATTAATGCACAATATTTACATTTGCAAATGTTTTCTTTTATATAACACTACTAAAAGCAACAGGTATCTATATCCGTATAAACACAGGTTCCTCGCGTCATAAACGTTCGACGTAATTTCTCAGTGACGTCATAAAGGGTCAAACACGTGCTGTTGGGTTTGAAAAATAGAACGTTTCACGCGTTAAAGATTATAATCAGGCAAATATAAAATATGAATAAGTCACAAATGTAAATATAAGTAATAACGTATCATTTTAAAACATCTATCGGGCTATAAATACGGGTTGGTACGAGATCAAATTTACCATAAAGCCCTTTGGGCTTTATGGAATTTGATCTCGTGACCAACCTGTATTTATAGCCCGATAGATGTTTTAAAATGATACCTTATTTCTTAATAAATAGCAGACTTTGATCAATAACATCTTACACTGTCCTTTCGTCTTGATGTTCGACCTGATCTACGATCATCTGAAAAGAAAAGTATTAGAAAGAGGTCAAATTTTCTGCTTTTTCTTGAGCACATGCATATATTTGCCATTTTTTCCCCCAAATATGCTTTCTGAATAGAGCAATTGATACATGTTTCCCTGACATGTTATTTTCCAGTTACAAATGGTTGAAATCGGAGAGAGATCGATCTTTTGAAAATATCACAAAGTGTAATTGTAAAGAGAATAGTAACATAATGGTAATTCATTGTTCACTTTACTGACATTCATGATCTCGAGTTATTTCATAACTACCCTGGAGGTATTGTCAATACCGAGTTTTAGTAGGATACTACAAATTATATTCAATAAAGTGTACTACTGGGGGTAAATAATACACCCATCTGGACCTACATAATGCACATATATTCATGGTCATAAGCCATGACCATCATTTATAACTACACATGAATAAAATTTTGGGTTATCTGACACTTCCCCCCAGAGGTTGAAATTTTTCTGGAAAACCCACTAGCCCAGGGGCTACTGATCAGTTAAAATTTACTAGCCCAAATCTCAAAGTAACTAGCCAAACAATTTTCATGCAAATTAATGAAAACATAACAAATTAAAGTGTGAAATGCTTTAATAATTGGTAACAGAAACAAATTAAATTAGTTCTCAGTCTAAAGAAACCAGTCTACATAGCAAAGCTATGATAAACTAACGATCCAGAATTTTTTTCTGTTCTGCTAGTCCAACAGACTATCATTATGTTCCCCAAACGAAGTTTGGGAACATATTGTTTTTACTCTGTTTCTTCTTCTTCTTATTATTATTATTCTTTTTTTCTACTTTCTTCTCCGGTACTTTTTTGTCCGGGAGTGTTCTCATAGAACCACTCATCCGATTGACATGAAACCTTTTTAGGGTTAATAGGCATGTTGTGTAGGTGTTCGGAACGAAGGTCATTTTGCGCGCACATGCATGCAGGTGCGCGCGCGTGCAATGAGTGAAATGACTGATCTACTTGATGAAGCCGTAACTTTTATATTTCTTGATGAATTGCTTTGAAACTCAAAATATAAAGATATATTAGTAGTCTAGACAAGATAACACGGTCAAATTAGCGTGAACTCACGCGCATGCACGTGCGCTCTTCTCTGATTGGCTGAAACAAAAATCTCAATAATTTCCTTGTTTTTTGACAAAATACTTTGAAATTTAGAATATAAGTATATATTATAAGGTTCTACAACATGTTATATAGGAAATTTCTTGAAAACACGCGCATGCATGTGTGCTGCAATCTGATTGGTTGAAACTTTGAATGTCCATAACTCCCTTGGTTTTCAACAAAACAGGATGAAATTTACGACATGGATAGGCACATAGAGCTCCTACATTATGATACTATCAAAATTGAATGCAAGGCCATGCATGCGCGTATGCTGAATTCTGATTGGCTAATACTTAAAGGGTTACATCTCTCTTATTTTTCAACGAAATTCTTTAATATTTAACACAAATGTATGTATTATGACACACTATAAGAAAATTATTGTGAAAAATGTAGAAAACATGTGCAAGCACATGGGCTGAAATTTGATTTCATTTGGCTATATCGGAGTAGTTTTCCAATGAAATACCCTTAAAAATAAAGTGTCCATCTATATAACAAAAGTATTGTCTAATTTATTGAAGCTTGTAGGGAATGGGGCATCATAAGGGATTGGGGAGCCGTTTGGGGAACATCTGTAACGGTTCCCGTTACAATTAGCACTAGTTACATTTAAATTAGGTAGCCCGAGTCTTAAAATGACTAGTCCCAGGCATCGGGCTACCGTACATTTCAACTCCTGCCCCACCCCCCATCTCCCCCAGATAAATCAACTGGACAAGTTGAGTAGTCCTCGATCAGAGTGTTAAGATATAACGCAAACTTGATTTGAATAACACAGTCATAACGGACTATAATCGGTAATGACCATTGTCTGCCCTTGATGGAGAAATCTCAATTATGTTCTAAAGCAGGGGGATATCCGCAAACTTGAAAGCCTGATATATTTTCATCAGTCATAATGCCATATGTTATATATGACGTCAAAAAGATGATGTAAATTCATATAAATGTTGATGATTTTGAGAGAAAAAAGTGTATTTTACATCAATATTTTGATTAAAAATCATTGAGCGCAAGTCTGCACCAGTTCGATCTTTTCATATAATGTGTAGAATTAAAATACATATAAAACATGTGAATATTCTTCTGAGGCAAGCTCGCACACAGCAATTTCTACACTCAAAATTAAACAAATTTTGTCCTCTTTCTTGAAACTACCAGAAAATCCTAAGTTTGTGACATCACAGAAACAAGAATTGCCAATTATCTACTTCCAAACTTTAATAATTTTTGTCAATTAAGATTTTTCATACAATACATACAATTGTGTACATTTCTCGAGATTTTCAAAATTTGGCTTTTATGGGGGCACAAATATGCTTTTAGTGTATATAGTTCTCAAGACTAAATTAAGGCCATGGTGACCTACTTTTGGGTCAGGATACACCTTCCCCTAAGATGAATCAACCAAGGTTGATGGTCCTAGGCCTCTCAGTGCACAAGATATGAACAAAACAGGGAAAAGCTGATAGACAGATTTAGACATTGTGATGTATTTATAAATCAAGAGACTTTAAGTTTTAGATAAATGTTTTAACATTTTGTACCTTGTAAGTGGTCCAAGACTGGATATATACGTGGATAGCTGGGTGGTATGCCATTGCGTAGGGTGGGTCTTATCTGTGAAACAAACAATATATCAGTTCACATAGTCACCAATCTTCTTGTCATCTGGAAGGCTTTATCACTGGGTTATCAGTGGTCATACATGCCAAATATGGTCTATTTTTGAAATTGTTCAATAGTTATGTTTGATCCAGTTTGAAAATATTTGCCATGTTATCATAAATTTGCTGTGTAATATTATATATGGTGATTAGAGATCAATAACATCTCATGAAAAAGAAGATAGGTAATCACAGATTACAGAGCTCACCTCAACAAATGTTGTCTTTAAGTAAGGCAAAGTCCCAAACTAATAATCTAGTAGTGTGCATCCCTAGATGTAACATTTATGCAATTTTGGTTTGATAGGTCTTGCAGTTACTTGGGAATGGACTTACCTAACAAGAGGCCCACGGGCCACAACGCTCACCAAAGTAACTTTGGCTCTGCTGTTCTTCACCAGACTTTCCCCAATGTAATACGTACTGTGGCCCCACCCTACCCACAGGGGTCATGATTTTAACAATTTGTAATCTTCACTACTCCAGGATGCTTCAACATAAATTTCAGCATATCTGGCCCAGTGGTTTTTGAAAAGGAGATCTTTAAGGATTTTTCGTATAAATTTCAATGTAAAAATTTGATTCCCTATTGTGGCCCCGCCCTACCCCTGGGGATCATGATTTTAACAATTTGGAATCTACACAACCATAGGATGCTTCCACATAAGTTACAGCTATTCTGGTCCAGTGGTTCTTGAGAAGATTTTTAAAGATTTTTTTTCTATATATTTCAATGTAAAACTTGGATTCCCTATTGTGGCTCCGTCCTACCCCGGGGGGTTGTGATTTTAACAATTTTGAATTTACACTACCTACCCCAGGATGCTTCCATATAAGTTTCAGCTTTTCTGGCCCAGTAGTTCTTGAGAAGAAGATTTTTAAAGATTTTTTCTATATATTTCAATGTAAAACATCAATTCCCTATTGTGGTCCTGCCCTACTCCCAGGGGTGTGATTTTAACAAATTTGAATCTACACTACCCCAGGATGCTTCCATATAAGTTTCAGCTTTTCTGGCCAAGTGGTTCTTGAGAAGAAGAAAATATTTTTTCTGTATGTTTCAAAGTAAAAAATGGATTCCCTATTGTGGCCCCGCCCTACCCCCGGGGGTGATGATTTGAACAATTTAGAATCTACACTACCAAAGGATGCTTCCACATAAGTTTCAGCTTTTCTGGCTCAGTGGTTCTTGAGAAGAAGTTGAAAATGTGAAAAGTTTACAGATGGACGGACAGACGAACGGATGACAGACAACAGGTGATCAGAAAAACTCACTTGAGTTTTCAGCTCAGGTGAGCTAAAAACTTTAAACTAGTCACTCATCCAGAAAATTTAAGTCATATCCAGCATCTGAAGCAAGTTTGAGAGAGTTCCCATGATGCATCATCCATGCAAGTTTAGTTCAGATAGCCCTATAGTTTACTTTAACCTGGTCATTCATCTAGAAAATATAGGTCAGACACCGCATCCGAAGCAAGCCTGGTAGTGTGCATATTTAGATGCATCATCCATGCACGTCTGGTCAACATATGGCTTAAACTTGCTTGGAAATGAGACCTGCTCTAAAAACTTTAACCTGGTCACTCATCCCAAAAATGTAGGTCAGATCCAGCATCCGAAGCAAGTCCAGTACTGTGCATCCTCAGATGTATCATCCATGCAAGTTTGGTCAATATAGGGCTTATAGTTACTCGGAAATGAGACCTGCTCCAAAAACTTCAACCTGCTCCCAAAACATTATCCTGGTCATTCTTCAGCTGAAATTGCAGCATCTGAAACCTTGACTGGTACAATGAAACATACTACAAGCATCCTCCATGCATCTCTGATTAATACAGGGCATAGGAGTACTTGAAAAGAAATCTGCTCCAAAAACTTTAACCTGGGATGCCAATGCTGAGGGTATTACATATGCTTCCCCAACTTCCTTGAGGTGAGCTAAAAATGAGTCAAAAGAATCAATACCTTCATAAATGAATTTAATCAGTTTTTATTTTTCAAATTTTAAAACAATTTTGGTGTGCTGACCTCAGACAACTGTTCTGTTGTCAAAAACTGTGAAACCTAATTAATTTGAAACAAGCGAGTCAATTACTCGAGATGTTTAGTTACACAAAAGCATGCTGTTTAGTAGCCTGAATACAACTCTTGCAGCAGTCCTGCTAGTTGGGTACATGTACATGAGCAAAGTTATATGATATACTTAAGATGCCAAAGTTTCAAGTTGTGCATTAGAAATAAAAATTAATGGACAAACTTCTGTGCTTATACAGGAATGATTCTTCATTAAAGTGCTGGTAAAAGATTGAAAATGTCTCAAATAACAGAAACACATGAAGCAGGTCTAAGTCCAGGCTGTTCCAAAAATTAATACACATTAATGTGAGTTAATGTTATCATAACGAAATTTCTAATGACAAAAAAAAATCATAAAATTGTGTTTAATATTTTACAGTATTTTGACATGTGCCAAGAAAATACTCACTTGGGCAGAAGGTTGTCTAATGTGTCCTATAGGTTGCCGAAAGACTACCTGAAAAATATGAAATTCTATACCTACGATTGTGGGGTTTTTTTTGGAAAGTTTTACCTATTGCTGGAAGAGTATCACATGAAGCCATGCATCCAAGATTTTCATAAAATTAAGGTTTTCCAAAACACTAATGTAAATACATGACTACATGACTGATGTGAATTTTCTCAAGAAAATATCTTTTTTAACATACCTCAACCATATATTTTTATGACAAATCACATGGTCAAAAATACACAAAATTATATTAACCATATCACCTTTAATTAATAATGAATAAATTCTAGAATGAAATGTAGATTTCATACAGAATGAAATAATTTTTATTTAGAATTGTCATTTTATTCACAAATTAAGTTTTATCTGATGTTTATACTGTGACACTTACCCTCTCTCTGTTTGTCTGATTTCTCTGTTGTGGGCCTGCAATATAGTTCCGAGTCCTATTCCTGCAAAAATGTACCATAATAATGATCATATACAGGTCCAAACTAAACACAAGATTACATGAGAAAAATTTACATAAAGATCATGCTTCTGAACATGACCCTGGAACAATATTTACATACTAGATATGAGTCAAAATCATGATGACAGCAGACTGAAATTTGAATTATTCCCAGTCAAGAGTTACAAAGTTTATTGCTCAGAAATGTTTTGCAATGATTTCTACATTTCATTGTATTGTAACCTGGATATTTGACCTGTGTCTTCAAATACAGGTGATACATCTCACTATAAATTAAGTCATGGAAATATAGGAAAGAGAGAAAACTTTTGTCACAAATGAATGTACTTCTACATTCAATTGTTCTAAATCATTGAACTTCGTGGCTAATCTGGGTAAAAGCTTGAAATGTTGCTTCAAATAATTTAAACATTTGTTTTTTTATTCAATTTAATTTATAGATCAAGATTATGTACAGAGATCATTATGGTGCAGACTTTATTGATAACATCATGTTAAACATCATAACCACAGTGTCATTGATAAAAAAAAGTTTATGCCCCAAAAATTTTCAACCAAAATTGCAAATGTAATAATTCAAAACTTTGAGGTCAAAGGTCAAATTGGCTTGAAACACATCTTTTGATGATACATGTTAAATATAATGCTGAGTTAAAAGATCTGGCCATAAGGAAATTCCCTGCCCTCAAAATTAACAATCTGAGGTCAAACATCAAGGCAATATGTGGGTCACAAGTGTATGTGAAAAGTTATTTCATGATAATAATATCCATCTGCCAAATTTCTTCTGCCTTTGATATAAATCTTGAAATTTCATTGGTCGAGAAATATATACTGCATAAAACCATATCATGCTGCCTACTGACATGGTATTGTTAATATGGCCCCCACCCACACATGTGACCTACTGACCAGGTATCAAATAAACATCCCCCTTCCAAATGTCCTACCGATTAAATATCAAATTCCATATACATTTTCACTTGACCTCGCAAGGAGCTTAATAACTGACATCACATAAGAATCAGACAACATCACAATGTAAACAATTGTTACAGAAAGGTTTGCTCAGAGAAAATGAATTTTACTGAAAAATCTTCGACAGGATAAATTTGTTAAAAAGACACTTAGAGGGGTAATTAAAAAATATATGGGGTCCTTGAAAAAATGCACAGTATTTGGATCAGTTTATGCCTATCATATATGATCTGTGCAAGGTAGACACTTGAACAATCTTGCAGAATGAAGAAAAAACATTTCAATTATGAACTGGAATTTCTGATATTCTAATTAAGGAGAGGTCACCAACCTTTGTATTTTCCAGTGATGCCACTTCCTGCACAGTAGTACACCAAGAACAATAATTAGGACAAGGAAAAGAACCCCCAGGGGGACTGCTACCCCCACCCCCACAATTATCTGCTTGTCCTCTGTAATCGTTCTGGGGGTGCTAGAAACTGCTGAAACTGTCAATGAGAAATGTCCTGTTCTCTTAGATTATCAATATTTTACATGAATATTTTGTTTCTGTAAAAATTAAACTGTTTTAGAAAACAAAATACTGTGCGTCATTCATACTCTGAATGAAGTACAAATTTAACAAAATTTATATAAATTAATGTATATGTTAAAGGGTTGTTATATAATATATATTATATAAACAAGTTGAATTTGCACATGTTCTAGAAGTAGGTGCTATCAGAAATACTTGGGATACTGTGAGCACCGAGCTCACAAAATGATACCCCCACCCACTCAATTATGAATATAATGTGGAAAGTGCATTTCTTGGCAGCATGTAAATGTGATTCTGTGAAAGTACCATTGATTTTCAATCTGGAGTTTAGAAGGAATTGTGTTAACAAAATAGTTCCCCTTTTATCAAGTATAATGGCAAAGTCAATGTTTTCCTATTGGAAACTTCAAAAATCTGTTCAATCAAAATGTAAAACAGGAGGTGCAGAATATGGCACTATGTAATAAAGATTCTGTGAAAGTGTTTCATTAAATCTTATTCAGTGGTTTATGAGGAGTTGTGGATAAGAGATGGGTAACCAAAATATTATAGAAACTTTAAGAAAGAATGGCAGTGTCCATGATTTGCTATGGGAAACCCTGAACATGTGTCCAATCCAAATGCAAAATAGGAGATGTAAAAAGCCACTACATAAAACATTTTGTGAAAGTTAAATTAAATTGTATTCAGTGGTATTGAAGGCATTGTGAATAAGGGATGGCTACCCCTAAGTGTAACAGATGGACACTCCCATCCCTATATAGCCGCCCCACCCCTCAAATTTCAAGTTGGGGTATAATTAACAAAATACATCCACACAATTAAACCACAGTCTATACATTATCTGTACCTGTTGTTGTTTCAGTTGTTGTAGGAACAGGTGTTGTAGATGGAATTACAGTAGTACTTCTGTAATAAATTAAATGTATAATAGAAACAATGCCATATTTGGGCTTTGATTTTAATTCGCCATATCTAAGAAAACATTAAGGTTTCAAATAATCAAATTAACATAAAAGGTAATCATGATCTAATAAAGTTACTATTTTACATCTACATACAATAAAACTTGCCTGATCCGGACACCACTGGTTCCAAAGAAATTGGCTGGATTAGACAACATTCCGGATTAGACAACACTTTAAACAAATGAATTTACTGAAAAGGACTTCAATTTTACATTGTATTAGGCAAGATTTTGGATTATACAACATCCGGATTAGACAAGTTTTACTGTACTAATATGTGAGGATAATTTCTCCAAATTTACATTGTATGTCTGTTCTATATTTTGAACTTCATTTTAATACGATACGTTCAGCCATTTACTTACATCAAGCAATTCCACCAGCCTGGAGAATGAGTGATACAGGTTACATTTTCTGAACATGTCTTGCATACCACTGGAACTGTATTAAATAAAATAAATTCAAGGTCATTTTTTGCTGGCAACTCAGAGGTGAATTACCTAGCTCAGGTTAGAAATGGAAGTCAACAATACTGTGAAATGTTAAACATACTGGGTAGGGCTATCGAATTTTTTGATTTTTCCTGTAGAATGCTTATGCTGTTTTGAGTTTAAAATTCAGAAAAACTTTCCCCTGAAACTTGACAAATCTAACTACATGTACTACAGTAAAACTTGGTTATGCAAACTTGCTTATAAGGAAATAAGGTTATAAAGAGACTTGAATAAATCCCGTAGGTAACTTTTCACTGTGTTCCTTATATGGATATAAAAAATCTCTGTTATAAGGAAGCAAAATTCCAAGTCTCAGAGACTTCTTTATATCCGAATTTTACTGTACATACAATCATGGCTACACAGTTTGCAAGACTTTTATCTAGAATAGAAAACTGGTTTACTGTAGCCTAGCTTACAATAAAATCTTTCTGTTTCCATCTTTCATTTTACAAGCACTGAAGTAATCTAACCTTCTCGAGTTCCATCAAAGATGTCTGTATTCTTTAACAAAGGTACACAGTTACCAACAAGAGTTATGCACCCTACAGTGTCTATTTTCTCGTTGACTTTACTGGCAATCAGGGCCACAAAATCTGGGTCAGTTAACACTTTCAAGAGGACTGTCACATGTAATTTTGTTCCAGTGGCCAAAGCTCTATAATACAAGAAATATTTATAAATCTGCTGTGCCTTTTAAAGGGTTCAGCTTACAATTGTAATATCCTTAATCAACTGTACCTATACACAAGGAAATTTTTATACTCAACTCCTCATCCTCTGAGTGAGTGACAAACTCAAACATTGCCTATATAATATATAATTTCACAAAGGATGCACACCTCCAAAAATTTCAACAAAATGTCTTAAAATATGAACATACCAAATTATTTGATGATGCGTGCACTAAGAACTAGAATTATAAGGATGAAAATATATTGGCATTAATTTTCAGGTCACTCACAATATTGTTGACAACTGGATTCTGTCTACCACTGTGAAGTTCAGTATTTCATTCAGCTAGAAAAAAAATCATATCTTTGTTAGTTCCATCTTTCTTGTGATCCATGCAACAATTTGCATATCATGTACAAGCTAATGGATATACTTCTTTTTTTATATACAGTTGAACTTCGGCATATCGAACACTGATATCTCGAATACCATGGATATGTCGAAGTGATTTTAAAGTCCCAACCAGTTATTCTTAAAATATTTTACCCTTGAAATCTCGAATCCTTGGATATCTCAAAGTTTTTTCACGGTCCCATCGAGTTCGAGATAACAAGGTTTGACTGTATGTTTACATTTTAAAATTTCTTTGTCCAAGATAAAACTACAATTAGTAAAAATACTTGATTTCTACATGAAGCTACTGGTTTATCGATAGGCTTGGTTAAAAAAATCATGTGTGGGGTGGGACAGAGACAGAAATAAGCGGGGTTTGTAGCACGTGAATTAACAGAATCAAGTGCATGTAAATATATGGAATAACTCAGATTTTTTGGTATCATAAATGCCTTTGGCATTTATGCAAATTATCACACAAGCCAAATATAAGGAATAACTCAGATTTTTTGGTATCATAAATGCCTTTGGCATTTATGCAAATTATCACACAAGCCAATTGCTTGATCACATCATGAAACCAAAACTCCTTAAATATTGTAGGTGTAGCATTAGACTTACTGTTGTGATGACCGAGTTTTCAAACACAGCATATTTTATATCTGTTGTATCTGCCATAAATGCTTCATAGCTCTTAGCTGTTGTTATTTTCAGGGATACTGCATTAGTAGTGCTTACTAAAAAAAAAATTAAATTTGATGATTAAGTTACACACATGTATATATACATGTACTAATGTAAAGAAATTGAATATAAATATTATGTAGGATAAATATTCACTTTCCTATTATGAAAGAATAACTAGGTGTTTCACATAATACTATCAGTTATAGCTATATTAACTTTATATAATCAATTTAAATAAATTTGTTGCATACCTGAAATAGTTCTGAAAAAAGAAAGAAATTATTACACAAAGTTAACACTTCTTCACACTTTAGTGAAACTTATTTTTTCATGCAGATAAAGCACTGAAACTTAATTTGGGGAAATAAACTTTATATTACCAGAATTCATGAAAATTTTGTCTCACTTATAAATACCATATGGCTATAATATAAAATTCTTGCAAAAATAAGGTGTTGCAAAAATTTGGTGATCTATACTGTAGTACGCACAGCCACTTCATAAAGTAAGGAAAAAAACTGACTGTTAAATAAACTCATACGAAACTTCCTCAAGTGCATTGAATAGAAAAAAAAGTACCTGCATACATAGCTGTTATCCACAAGGATGTGACATCTTTCGGTGGAAAGACAAAGTACACAGGGGGCAGGTTCTACAGAAAAACAAACAAAAAACAAACCCATTACCAGCTTCAAATTAGTTATAAATAAGGGGTCTAATAATATACCAGTATACCACGATATACAAAATTGTACTCTATTGCGATACATGTACAAAACTGTATACCTGTGCACCACAATCTTTTCCTAAATAAACCTTATAAAATTGATTTTCTTTAATCATTCAATCTGTTTTCATGTGTTTAGAGCTTATTAAATGTTACATAATGTATTTATGAAATTATGAACTGAATCTACAACTTTATATCCTTTCACACTGTAATAGAGAGGTCCTCATTTAAGAACAAATCCCTGCAATAGGTGAAATATCATGATTTTCATATGATACAGTCCAAATGTATAATGATACATTATGATACACTCTAGCTGTATCTTTACTCCCTATTAGTTATCTGTTGAAGATGGGCAAATAAATAAACATGCATATTAGAAGTTCTGTTATATTCTTATTGAATTTAAAAGCCTGCAAGGAAAAACTATTATAATAATGCATTCTTTGAAAAAAAAAAAAGTCACAATCATATTATATGTACAAGTTCATTGTGTTTACTACATTACGAGTTTCAGAAAATCTGAAATGTAGATGAGCTATTCTGTTAATAAAATCAATCTAATGAAGCAATTCAATTTATCAAGTGAATAGTTCTAAAAGGATTTCCCAATTATTTATCTGAGCTTATACCTTTCAAAACATTCTATCCAAGAAGTTAAAAAGCCTTGAAACCATTTTTTTTTTTGTTTATCTGCCCATGATCTTTTAATTATTGTAATTGCAGGTAAATTTTGCAGCTCAAATGCTTTTTAATGTAAAGCATTCTTATTTCTGCATTTGCAATTTTTTGTGATTCCATTCCATATATAATACAAAGATATAAGAATTCAGCATTTTATGATTCTAATTTTCAACAGAACTGCAATATTTTCTGAAGAATGCATAACCCTCATATGATATACAGTATTTGGTGTTAAAAAATAGCAAAGTAAGAGAGTTTCCCTAATGAGATTTATTACCCCCCCCCCCTTTTCAAAAAATGCATTCAAACCAAGTACAGCATATTCTGTATTTCTACATAGACGGGCTCTTAAACCTGAAAAGAAATTCACTACTGTATAGGGGGAAAATAACTCGCAGTGTTAATATTTGCTATATTCACGGTGTAATTAAAATCTGTGAATTCAAGAAACAGTGAATAAGTTTTCAATAACCTCCATTTTATATTTGGAAATTTGAGAATAGACTACGATAGGTATATATACATGTAGTACATGGTCATTTCAGTAATTATGAGTCATACTTGTCATTCAATTATTTTAATTATCACGCTTAACTTTAATTTAGATTAGCAGATAATAACTTGTAAAAAAGCTATTTTAATAGCCAATGCTACGTTTCATCAATCAAAACACAGGTTTTGATTACCTTGCATAACTATGTTACCACGGGTATTTGTTACCTGCATTATCACGTTTTTATCGACATTTTGGTTTTAAAAAATCATTCAAATAACTATCGGAACTTGCCGAAGATGTGGAAGGGCATTATTTCGTCGACCTACATTTACAAATTCTTACCGTCCAGTGTCTTAAAAGTATTATCTCTTCGGAAAAAAGATCTTGAGGTTTACATGCACTCATTGTAATAGCATATAGGAAAGTTATTCGACGCTTATGGTCAAAGACTTTTAATAACTGCACTTGTTTTGATTAGTCAATTAATTACTAAATCTAACTATTTTATATAAACCTACCCTGTTCTTCGTGAAGTGAATACATAACGCTGATTAATGTCGTTCTAGCTATGCTATAGATTAAACGGATATAGACAAGGGAGGTAACTTTTATTATATACAGATTCCGCGAATTCAACAAACCGCGATCGTGTCAGAGGAGAAAAAAACATGAAAATTACAACCCATGAAATTAATCCCCTATACAGTATTCAAGTTCTTGCACCACTGACTGTCCATATGACTTTTATATTCTTCAGCCACATGCAACCATACTGTGTCAAATATGAACTTCTAATATCCTCAAATTACAAACTTATGAGCACAATGCTTTACTCTGTCCTTAGCTTGTACCTCTGTCCAGTTAACTTGGTCAGTGTACATGCTCACACATGGCCATATTAAGCAACCTTTTTCTCAAGCACAACCTATAAAGTTTGTACATCTCAGAGTTATGGGTCACAGAAGCATTTTTTAACACTGACAATCAAGCTTATATAAATTCAGAAAATATCCTTTGGTCATTTGCATGTTTTGTTTTAAGCAGTAGCTTTAGCAATCCCTACAATACAGAATTATGGCCTGGATAGGAGTTTGCACTTCTGAATCTAGTGACCTTGACCTTCTACAAATAAATCATTTTCAAGCTATGACCTTGACTGATCTGACATATTATATCCTCTTATCATTAACAAACTTTAGGCCTGGTAGATAATTACAAAATTATTAAGCTTAAGTAGTTAGTCTAAACTCTATGATAACATCAAAGCACCTCCCAATATTTTGATCTTTTGTTTACAGTTTTGTAAAGACTGGTCAACACTTACTATAAGGTACTGATGTAACTGGGTTTTCTAATACAGCATATTTTGTTCCCTGTAACTGTATTCCTGACTGGTAAATGTTCTGTAGAACTGTACTCAACTGTGCTTCCAACTCCATTGTGACATTTGTGTTAAACTTCACTAGTAGGTCAAACACAGTACTGCTCTCACTGTAAAATAGTAATATAGTGGGAACATGATGATCGATTAACTAACACTTTATCTGATGTTTTAGTTAACAAAAAATAAAACATATGTTGTGCCTTTTAACTTACCTAATTCTAAAAATCTTCACAGACTTCAGATTCTGCATGTTTCCAAAAAAGGAACGAGTCTAAACAAAGATAAATATGGATTACGATCTCGGATTACTTCTGCCACATTTTGTCACATCCAAGATTTGTGTAACTTTATAACATTAAGGAATTTATTACATACCTCAGTTTCCATGTCCTCCTTTAGGTTTTTGTACAGCAGTGAAGAGGGGTTATTGTATTCAGATCGGAAATTGATATTTGTTTTCAACTGTACATTTACTGTTGAATTTACATCTGTAAAAAAGCAAAGAACTAATTTTGTAATGGCCAATATCTACCCAAAAAAAACAACTTTATTGGATCCATGGATATTAAGTCATAAGTTGAGGTCAGGTCTAGTAAAATTTTAAGGTACTTGTCTGACTGGTCTAGTATGTTTTAAAGTTAATGTTGAGCCCTGCTTAAATGATCAAGTTGTCCTGTTTGTGTTTAGTGAATTCCTATAATATGAACAAGTTGTCCTGTGTATGTTTAGTGAATACCTAAATGAACAAGTTGTCCTGTCAGTGTTTAGTGAATACCTTCATGAACAAAGTGTCCTGTCAATGTTTGGTGTCGAATACCTACATTAACAAGTTTCCTGCACATTTAGTGAATACATACATGAACAAGTTCTACATGAACAAGTTGCCGTCTGTGTTTAGTGAATACCTACATGAACAACTTGCAACTGTCCTGTCAGTGTTAAGTGAATACCTAGTACAAAAAACAAGTTGTCCTGTCAGTGTTTAGTGAATACAACATGAACAATTTGTCTTGTTGGTATTTTAGTGTATACCTACCAGTGATTTTTCTACACCCAATTTAGGTCCGAATATCGGCCCTTTCCCCTATCAAAAATTACCGATTTTTTCCCGATTTCAGTTGCTTTTTCCCCCCAGAAAAACCGTTATTGATTTTGTTATATTGAATTTTTTATGTACGACTTATCTAAATTGGAACGCTATTGCTCTCGGTCATTCATACTCTTAAAATAATAGTGAAAAACAGCAGATCATTTTGTGCGTTTACAAGACATAGAAAAACACATGGATCATGTCAAACGTCAAACTAAATACATCGTAAGAAAGTGTAAGATGCATGTGAGCAGGCGAAACATAGCTTTATTTGTAAATCCAAGAACTAGTAGTTCTACAACAAGCATCCCTGATTCCATGAAAATCAAACTGTTTCTACACCCGGCAGATGCAACTAATATTGCAGGGTAATTGCAGCACAATGATTAGGGTGATTTAGAAAGCTAGAAGAAAATGATTTGTTTTAAATCATGTCAGATTATATCATCTTCAATGGCTATTATGAGTAGGATTTTTTTTATGTCTACCATTATGGCAAAAAAAAAAAAGAATTGAAATATAGGACGGTCACAACTAATGACAACTTTCAAAGATTAAAAAAAAGTTAAAAATGTAGAACTGTGTCTAATTTGTTATTTTGTAGTAAATATTTTGAATGAATGATGTTACATTTACTTATATATTTTATTTTACCTGTCAATTAAGGTTTATTTCAATCTTATTGATTTTTCCCAATTTTACACAAATGTCGATGATTTTTCCCAATTGTAAAGGCCCAGGCCCCTTTTAAAAAATGTAGAAAAATCACTGCCTACATGAACAAGTTGCACTGTCAGTGTTTAGTGTATACCTACATGAACAAGTTGTCCTGTCAGTGTTTAGTGAATACCAACATGAACAAGTTGTCCTGTCAGTGTTTAGTGAATACCTAGATGAACAAGTTGTCCTGTCAGTGTTTAGTGTATACCTACATGAACAAGTTGTCCTGTCAGTGTTCAGTGTATAGCCATTAGGACAGAAACAGAAAGCTAGTCCTCCCTCCACTCTACATCCATACTGACAGGAATCACCCGTGCCAACACAGGGGGAGGTAGACAAATCTGCAAACAAGAGAAAGAATTCAAGCAATTGTTAACAAAATTCAATATATGGGTCACATGCCATTAGTATAAGCAATATGGTGATGAGATTACATTTCATGAATATAATGCACAACTACTACAACCTTATACACAAATATCACATTTACAATAGTTATTTCCCTTTGTGAGGTCAGTCAGTGTAACCCAGTGTTTTCCCTCTGTAATGTTACTAACTTTATGGGGCATTAAATCTGTATGTTTATGTTCATTATGTTTTCTTTCATGCCTCATACTATGGCAATACAGGGACAGTATAAAACAGTTTGAAAGCATTTGAAGGTTTAAAATATTTACAGGTAAGTTACAAAGGATATACTGTGGAATCATTTTAATTCATGGGGGGGTCAATGTTCGAGGGCAAGCAAAATTTTACTTATTCGTGGGGACGTAATTTCGTGGGTTACTCATTTATATGGTAGATTCAACGATTCAATATGTTTACAAAAAATATGTTCATGGGGATATTAATGCATGGGTAAGGGTGACCCACAAAATCCACAAACATTGGTCCCCAGCAATGATGATTCCAGAGTAGTGAGAAAAATGAGTGTTACACCAACAAAGAGAGATAACGCTTAAGAATGTGAAAAAAGTCATGCCTCAAAATATGTGCTATATAATGCATTCTTGCTGTCTCTCTCTCAAAAAAAAATATTACAATTCAATATTCATATACAAAATTTATGGTTTTCCTCACATATGTTGCAATACAGTATTGTAGGATCAAAGTCAATCAAATATATCATAATTCATTTGCATTAATAGATGTACATGTCAGCTGGAATCTTAACTTTGTCACTCAAAAGAAAATATTTAAAGTAGCATGAACTATTTCAAGCAGGAATTGATGAGTTGGAAGCTCCAACTTCCCTGAAGAAGAAAAATAATTACCTTTAATACATTGATTGGAACCAGTCAGGTAGAATCCATCATAACAGAAGCAGTAGTAGCCTCCTATTGTGTTAAGACACTGTTGTTGACAGTCTGATGTCTCCAGTGTACACTCATCAACATCTACAATCAAAGGTTAATGGAATATTAGATACAGATGAACTCTGGTATCTCGAACAATGATATCTTGAATACCATGAATATGTCAAAGTGATTTGGAAGTCCCAACCACTTATTCTTTAAGTATTTTACCCTCGATATCTCAAATCCTCGGATAATCAAAGTTTTAACTCGGTCCCCTCGAATTCTAGATAACAAGGTTTGAATGTACTTAGAATTAATTAATGACACAAAATAGTGTTTTCATTTCCAATTCACTATAAGCTTTTACATTTAGAGACAAAATAGTAAAATACACAAATCTAAAAAACCCACTTTCAATTAATGAAATATTGCACCATACCTTCACAAGTTCTATTGTCTGATCCGAGTTGGAACCCATCAGTACAGGAGCACCTGTAGCTTCCCTGTGTGTTAATACATCTCTGTGTGCAAAGGTGTTGGTTAGTAGAACACTCATCAATATCTGAAACAACAACCAAAACACCAGTCACTGAATGCTGAAGAAGGTTAGTATTACAGATTGTTAAATCAAAATGTATCTATACTTGTCTTTAGAGACTATTGCAGATTTTTGGATCACTGAGTCAAGTAGGTTCATGAGAAATGTTCTACCTTGACACAGATTGTTGGAGTCTCTTTGGAAACCCTTTTCACAGACACACAGACGAGAGAAGTTGACATGAACACACTTCTGGTGAGTACCACATGAGGTGTTACTACAGTCATCAACATGTTGTGAGCAGTGGGGACCAGTCCAGCCCTGTTTACACACACAACCAGTCACAGGGTCACATCTTAAGGCACCACGTCCACAGCCACAGGAATTTGTGCAGTTATCTCCCCATTTTCCCATATCAGCACAACCTTAAATGAAAGGTAAGTATCAAAAGATTGGTCCAGGTAGGACCAATATTTACTTGGAAATTGACTTGCTCTAAAAACTTGAGCCATTCATGTGAAAAATATGTGAGTCAGAACCCCTAAATGCGTCATCCATGCAAGTTTGGTTCAGGTAAGGCTTACAATGACTGGAATGGACCCCCTTCAAAAATTTCAACCTGCTCATTCATCCAGAAAATATTGATAGATGCAACCTCTAATGCATGGCTTGTAATAAGCATAGTTACTTAGATGTATCATCCATGAAATATGGTCCATGTAGGGCTTACACTGACTTGAGCAAAAGACATATGCTCCAAAAATTTTACCAGAAACAGCAACACTAGGGGAATAGCATTAGCTCTGAGCTAAAAACTCTTTCCTTTAGCTCTTTATTGTGAGCATATTCAATTGATATGGCCAATATTTTAAATGGGATAGTTAATTTCGCATCTCATTCATTGTTTCATGTGAGATTTTGCACTACACATTAAAACTTCCATACTTCATGAAACACAACTCTGCAAATAGAGATAAATTTAGCATTTCTTACTGATACAAGTCTTCCTATCAGTGTCCAGAGTGAATCCTTTGGGACACTCACAGGTAAATCCACCCCAGGTATTTGAACAACTGTGAGAGCAGCCAGATATACCCATCCAACATTCCTGAAGGTCTGTGAAAAATATATCAATGTCAAATCCACAAAATTATTTTTATCAAGCCTTTTTAGACTACTCCCAAAGCTACAAATTTATACATGGCCCTTAGTCACATCTAACACTCATAGGGAAGTGTACAAACAAAATGTTCTGTATAAGTCCTAGTGGTTAATATTTTTAGTATGAAAGGTCATGGTCCATTTCTCTAGGCTTGATGTCACATCACTGGTTCCTTAAATAGACAATATGCCAAATATGGAATATTTAGTAATTCTTATAAGTGATAGTGCTAGCTAATGCTATAAATGTCAAAGTTGCCAGTCAATTTTATTAAGTCTTCAATATTATCTGGTATATAATGAAATCATATCTTTCTCCTATACCGAAGATTCAACCTACCATTACAGAGAGTGAAATTATCCTTTTGTACAGGAGAGTAACCAGCCCTACAGAAACACACAGGATTTCCTCCTCCATCCACAGTACACCCCCCATAGGTATGGTCACAGAAGTTCCACTTGTTACTACTTCTGCAGGGGTTAGACACTGAAAGCAGGGGAAAAGTGTGATCAGCAACCTCTAAAGGCATAAAACAGCTACCATGGAATTAGAACTCTTCAGTGTGCAGTGCTTAGAGCCTCCTTAAGGTCCAATGAAAGTAAAACCAACCCTACTTACATTGTGGGAGACACTCTTTTCCATTGATCTGTTGGCTGTATCCAGTTTTACATGTACACCTGAAGCTGCCAAATGTATTCACACACTCATGATGACAATTGTGTAACATTTCTGAGCATTCATCCAAATCTGTCAGGATGAAAATATTTGTGAAATTTGGTTTCTCACAAAACTTGAAATTCTCTCACAGATCAATGTGTGGAGTGTTCGGTATCTATTTTAAATAATTACCTTGACAAGTGTCGTTAACTCTAATAAACCCTTCAGCACAGACGCACATGTAATTGTCTGTAGTGTCCACACAAAGTTCATCTATTGGGCAGGCATACTGAGCCCAAGAGCTGCAAGCACTGGAATCTGTGATGCACATTATAGCAAAAGAATTATTAAACAGGCCTCCAAGGGACCTCTAAAATTTAGGTGCCAACTGGCACCTTATCAAAAAAATTTAGTCACCAAAGCAAATTTTTAGTTGCCAGGCAACTTTTTTCATTACGGCACCAGCTTTAAAAATTAATAGTATTCAGTATAGGGACCCATGGTGTGATTAAGAAAACATGACATGTCCATTGCTAAAAATAATTCCCTCTTCTTTTAAATTTCTTTTCGCTTTTTCATAAAAATTGTTAAAAATGTTAAAATTTCCAGAATTCGACGATTGCCAAGTCAAATTAAAATGGTCGCCAATTTGGGGACTTATGAAAATAATTTAGGCGCCAATCAAAAATTTTAGGCGCCATGGCGACTAAATTAGTCGCCAATTAGAGCCCTGTGAGAGTAAAAATTTTTCTTTTGCAGCTATATCCATATCGCTAGAGAGACTTATGAAAATATCAAGTGTTCATACATGTATTTAATTGAACAATATTATTGAATTATGAAAATTTTAACAATTATTGTGTTCATGGTTTTGAGGAATTAAGAAAAATAAAATATACTGGTACTGTAAACACAAACTCACATTCACAAAGTCCTGTATTGGTATTCCTCTGGTAGCCATTTTCACAAACACAGGCAAATGATCCATAGGTGTCTGTACAGACCTCAGGTGACTGACACAGGCTGACATCCTCACACTCATTGAAGTTTTCTTCACAGAACCTCCCAGACCAGCCAGGCTTACACACACAGCCAATCACACTGTTACAGTACAGGGCATGATGGGTACAGTCACATGACATCTCACAGTTCTGTCCCCAGTGATCAAGGTCACAGACTAACAAATCAAGATTTAAAGAACTGTGGATTTTTTTTTAAAAATGGATGTGTAGGTCTCAAACAGTGATAAATGATAAACAGATTCCCAAATTAAACACTGAGAACAAACAATGTAACACTGTAAAGTACATACCCCAGCATTTAAGCAGTACATTCAGTGTTTTCCCCAGAAAATTTTTAATGCATGGGGGGAATTTTGCTGAATTGACGGCGCGCGGCGTGTCTCGTTGAGTTACTTTTGCATGTATCTGAATTTATATTTAAATGAAAAATACAAATGCATCATTCATTTACCTTTTTTTTTTTTAAAATTTAAATGATATATTTTGAATATATTGTCAATTTAACTTTTAAAATAGCTTAACAATTGAGCTCTCTTTTATAAAAAAAGATCTAAACACAAAAAAATTGTTCTATTTTATTTTCCTCTAAAGCTTCTGTCTTTTTATCACGCTTATGAGCTGTGTTATTCTTGCTTTCTACAAACTGAATAGGCCCCTAGTGACCCCCCCCTTTTTTTTTTTTAATTTAATTTACTTCTTTCTTTTTTTTTGACTTTTACAGTCATTTTTAAGCAAAAAGGGTGAACATTATGTAGCACCATTGCTTACATGTAAATATTGTGACAACATATTTAGTACATTGGTGTCAGACTTATTTTTTATTCAACGTAAGCTGTTGAATGTGGGTCAAGCATGTGCGCTAAACAAAGTATTTGCCCATAATTCATAGAGTAAATAAACAATGATCATAATATTTATTGGACATGTTTACTTTAAGCATATTTATGCTAAAAAATGGCTTTAAAATTATGTGCTTAACTAATGAATTTTTTTTTATGTCGGAACATCAATGCTATTTATAGAATGACCTGTGGATGTTGGAAAAACCCACATGTGCATTAACAAGTGTATTAATTTCACCATGTGTACTATCTGACAGCAATTAATAAATTTTTCATGCTTATAAATATTTTTAATCAAATAAAAGCTTAATACTTAGTAACATATCAGTAAATTGCAATAAACATAAATTGACAACTATTCCATCATAGCCCGTACCGCGATTCGCATCGAGTTCACCACAGGTGCGCAACATGTATACAGTACATGCTATGATTCTAATGATTTGAATTGTTTTATTGAAAGATTAATAACTGATAACATTCAAAGTATATCTTCTTCTTAAAATAGTCTAACATTAATAATTCATGCATTGCGGGAAGCATAGCGGCAATGTGTGATGCATGGCGGGGGATCGTGAATGCATGGCAGTACCGCCATGCAAAAACGGCATAGGGAAAACACTGCGTACATTTATACTGCAAACATAGGCTGCATAAACTAGAAATATGTCCATAGGACATGAATGCCCCACCGAGGTTATATTAGTATTGCAACATGAAAATTTGTATTAGTGTATGAAATTTGATGAGAATATCTTGAATAGTTTCTTTAAAATAGAAATTGAAAATCTAAAAAGTTGTATATAGATGATAAATTTTTACAAAATTATGTATTAGTGCATAAGCTTACATAAACATATCTTAAATGGTTTCTTTAAAATTAAGCAAAATGCAAATTTAAGAAAAGTGAGATCAAGGTCACAGGAACGTTCAAGGTCAATCGTTTTTGCAGTTGAATAGTTCTCACAAACACGTATCAGCATATTAAGTTTGATTAAAATATTTTGAATGGTTTATTAAAAACTGAGCTAAACACTAATTTATAATAAATGAAGTTAAGGTCAAAGGAAAGGTCAAGGTCAAAAAATGTTGATGCAGTTGAAAAGGTTACATCAGTGTGTATTAGCATATGAAGTTTGATAAAAAATATTATGAATGGTTTCTTTAAAACTTAGTTAAACACAAATTGAGAAAAGTGAGGTCAAGGTCAAAGGAAAGGTCAAGGTCCAAAAATATTGATGCAGTTGAATAGCTTACACCAGTATTTATCAGCATATGAAGTTTGACACTAATTTAAGAAAAGTGAGGTCAAGGTCAAAGGAAAGCAGGGTTCGACACTAACGGTGGACCGGCGGCCCGAGTCCACCAAAAAATTGGAAGGTCCACCAAATGTTCTGGACTAGGTGGACCATCGGTCCACTTAAAAATTAAACACCATATTTAAAAAAGAAACGGTAATTCCACTTTTTCTATAAATTGACATCCGTAAATCAACAATTAATTCATCCATATTTATATTTTACAAGAGATAAATAGGGTATAATTTATTTTGGGGAACCTAGCGACTAAATATATATTTTACATGTAATATTGATGACTACAATATCAATAACATTGACTGCAAGAACATTCAACACGGATCTTGAAAAAGAAGCATGTAAAATTCGAGCCAAATTGGTCAGTCTGTCCTTTGTTTGTTTAATGCACAGAAAGGTGTTAAAATATACACTGGGTAACAGGAAATCACTTCACGCCTGACTTTCTGATGGCCAGGTCTGGAGATAATGAGAATTGATTGACAGCTGCATTTATGCATTGTCCTCAAACAGGTGTGATTTATATTTTATGAATACGTTATCTGCAGTTCCTGTTTTTTTTCTGCTATACATTATATCACATAAAAGAATCATATGATCGCAGTTTATTTGAATAAATAATAAAATAAATAAATAAATAAATAAATATACTTTTGTCAGTTTTGCATCGTATAAAAAGTATTCTAGCCATAGATACATGAAAAATTCATTTGTTTATATGAACAACTCAATTATTGGGATTATAAATTGTATCTACCGTTGGAAGCTAAATAAATGCAGGTTTTTACCATTGTAAATAAATGATATTAAAATAACAAATTGTTTGAAGATGTAGATTGTGTTCTTTTTTTTAGATATTGAAAATATGTTTCACAATATTGCTAAAAACTCCTGACTACTAGTAATTGATTTGTTTCTGTTGACTGGTTAAACTAATACTTTATTAGTCTGACGAGACTGGGTACATAAGTTGGTTTCAAGCCTTGTGTAATGAATTCATTCATTAATTCAAACATTTATAAAGGTCCACCAGAATTTGAGAAGGTCCACCAATATTTTTTGACTAGTGGACCTGCGGTCCACCAAGGTAAAATAGTTAGTGTCGAACCCTGGAAAGGTGAAAGTAAAAAAATATTGATGCAGTTGAATAGCTCTCATCAGTATGTATCAGCATATGAAGTTTGATAAAAAATTGAATGATTTCATTAAAACTGAGCAAAACACTAATTTAAGAAAAGTGAGGTCAAGGTCAAGGTCAAAAAATGTTGATGCAGTTGAAAAGCTGACATCAGTATGTATCAACATATGAAGTTTGATTGCACTATCTTGAACGGTATCTTTAAAACAGAGCTAAACACTAATTTAAGAAAAGTGAGGTCAAGGTGAAAGGAAAGGTCAAGGTCAAAAAATGTTGATGCAGTTGCATAGCCCATATCAATATCTATCAGCATATGAAGTTTGATAAAAATATCTTGGATAGTTTCTTTGAAACTGAGCTTTGAACAGAGCTAAACGCAAAATGTGACGGAAGGACGGAAGATGGACATGACAAACACTATATGCCCCAGCCATATTCATGGCGGGGCATAAAAATGTATGCATATACAGTGTATAATATAGTAACATAAAAAAAAACCCACACATACCCTGACATGACCTGTGGTCTGTCTGAAGCTGATATCCATCATAACATCCACACTCCACACTTCCATTAGTGTTCTGGCAGCTGTGTGGGCAAGGTGCATCTAAACACTCATTGATATCTAGGATAAAAATCAAATCATGTCACTTAAAACCCAGGAAAATGGAATTCAGCAAATCAAATCTACATGTCGATTCATCTAGCTTCATCAATTTGGAATGAGCATTTAAATGAAAGGTTGAGTCCTTTATATGACTGAAACTAATATCCAGAAATTAATGATATCTTTGTACAATTAAGAATGATATTTATTGTAAAGGGGCTTAAATTTGTGGGTGTATAATTCTGCTTGTTTTTCCTCTGGCACCAATTTATGGGTGCCTGAATTCTTTCACATTTCAAGTATGTCTACAGTGTGTATATCATGACTTCTGAAAGTAAAAACCTTTCACAGATTCTTAAAAATATAATTCTATTAGATAGGGGTGGGACGATATACCGATACAACGATACATACCGATATTTTCTTCTAAGATACGGTTTACGATACAGGTATTAAAATATCGGTACGAAACGATACACGAACGACCTATCCAAAAATTGAAAATGAAAGTAGTTGTCCTTGGAAAATGGCGACTTGTATGAAGCGAAGACATGATATTGATATTGAAAACACGCTTTAGAACTAATAATGTGTAGATAAGGGGTAAATCATTTTCACTTTTAAGCATCCTCGGAAGATGGGACAAGAAAAGTTCAGTTTGGAAAGCGTGTTATATATATACAGAACGTATCGTTTCCACAACAATTGATATTAGTCCATCTGGTACTAACAGCTCATAACAATGTATGGATTCTCTAATTTCCAAAATTTGAAATTTTGAAACAAATTGTGGATTTTTTTTTAAACTCAACTTGGTTACAGACTTTCAGCAATGAATATTAATGTACATGTGATGTTTTTTAAATGAATTTTTAGACAGTGTTCTTGATGAACTAGTACACAACTATTTGTAAACAACTTGTATATAGACATTTGGCAATTATGTACATGTAACAATGTTTTTGTAAATTTTAAGTCAATGAAATTGATGAACTTCAAGTATTAATTTCAAAGCACAAATGATTTGATATAGAATAATTTGTAGATTTAATATCAAGACAAAAATGAAATAAAATACAAAGTTTTTTTTTTATATAGTTTTATAATTTATCATAATATCGAGATATGTATCGTATCGTGTTATGTGTATCGAGATACGTATCGTATCGTAAGATCTGTGTATCGTCCCACCCCTACTATTAGATGTGCAAATATAACCAATATACTGAAAATCAGTATTTTAAGAAACTATACCTTCACAAGATGAGTCTGCCTTCATTCTGTAACCAAGGTAACAGAAGCACTCTGGTTCTCCTGTGCTATTAATTCTACATCCCTGGGGACATTTTCGAGCAACGCAAGGAGGTTCTACAGAGTCTAGGTATCAAAAAACAAGTTTAAATTTGAAAGCTAAGATAAAATAAACAATTCACCCAATGAAAGTACATCAATTACTAATAGATTCTTCTCAATTTGCATGAATTAACTCTGGTACCTTTAAGACATGTGTGTCTGTCTGTGTGTAGCTGATACCTTGTAGAACAGACACAGTAGTAGGACCCCTGGGTGTTTACACACTGATGCTCACAACCACTTAATATAATTGTCCCCTCTCTGCATTCATCAACATCTGAAGTCACATGAGGTGTTGTTTTTAATATTAAGAATACACATTTATTAAAAGATGAAATTCTCTTTCATGATTTCTTTTTTCACATAAGGGAATCAAACTGTATAGATTTGATGATTTGACTAAATTCTGTCTCTCCCCATGGAGAATCAGGCCATACAGAATTGTTGATGATTTGACTTAGTTACATCTCTCCCTGTGGAGAATCAGGCCATATGCACTTATAAAAGATTATGTTCAATTACATCAGTATACACATACAGCAGCTGATTTAAATGTTTAATTCTAAAGGCCAAATTCATTCTCCTTTAATGATATCTTTAATGACAAGCAAGATGAAAGCTATAGCTTGTATACTCTTTTAATCACAATATATGAAAGAGAAATGAAATGAATGGAAATTACATGTACCTAAACACTGGTAACCATGTAGTCTAAAACCTGCCTCACAAGCACAAACAAAAGACCCATCTGTGTTCACACACCTCTGAGTGCACGGATTGGTGCGTAAACCACACTCATCAATATCTGAAGAAAAAAAATCATATTCCTGTTGAATATAAACATGTAGCTGATGTAGCTACAAGCAAACATCTCTTTTAAAAAAAGTTTAATTATTTTCTTCTAGTATTAATATAATTTATAAATGACACATGACCAGTCTCTCTGTTTCAACACACATATGTTATGATTTTCACATGTATGTATATACAATTCATTGACAAGTTAATTTTAATATACAATGTAAATGAATAACATATCCTTGATAACCAAGGAGATTGAAGACATGCTTACTACTTACCAATACACTTTAAAAAGCTGGACAAGGTGTAGCCCACAGGACAGGCAGAACACTGATAGGTCAGTCCCCGGGACCTCTGGACAGAGGGGGTCAGATCCTGGCAGTCTGAGCTTTTGTTACACGGATTACCAAGGCAGCCATTCTCATCCATATTACATGTTGGACCTGTTAAACTAAGTCTGATCAAGTGCAAACATCTACATATTTTTACCTTACTGTTTACTCATCGAGACTGATTAATCAAATTAAACCAAGGCATCTAATTTATCAACAGAATACATTCTTGACATTTTCATGAAGCTAGCTAGTAATTCCTGCAAACTCTCTATCTTAAAAAAATTGATTTTGAAAACAACTAATGCAATGGGCTTTTTATTTGGATTTAAAAGGATTTCTCACCTGTCCATCCTGTTTCACAGACACACTCTACAAGGAAAAAGGAGGGTTGTTCCTGTGGGATTACATCATCAAAGTTACAGGTGCCCCGCCCACTACAGCCTGGACACAGAATGATGTCAGGGATCACAGTGGCAGATACAAGGGAATTCTGATCCATGGCATAGATCCTGTCAACAATAATGTACCCTATAATATGTCCTACAGATAAGATCTGGTTGACAACAGAGTACACTAGATTACTTATAATATGCTCTACAGCAGAGATCCTGTCAACATCAGAGTACACTAGATTACTTATAATATGCATGCACTTTGATCAGTGAGACTAGCTTTCTGTATTAATTATGAATATAAAATTCTGGTTCTGTTTCAAAATAGTTGCAACAGTTCACAGAAGAGTTAAAGTTACTGCAAATCTCATTTGAAAGTATACACTACGACTGAAATAGCGATGCATTGAGTGATTTGACAATTGAACAATTGAACAAAGGGGTTACATTCTATAAATCATGCGTTTTGATTGGTTGATTGGGGCCCGCCCACTCTCGTGTTATATCCTTTGCCTATACATAGCTGGAAAGCATCTAATGGCCTAGCCATACTTTTTGAATTAAAAAACTATAAAATCATATTTTAGCATATAATAATATTTTTTCACAGACGGTATGTCTGGCACACATATATTGTTAAATGGCACACACTATAAATTTATCCTACTATATATGTATTTCTGCCGATTTTCTTTGCAACAAATAGACGGCATTTTCTGTTTTCGGGGTTCGTTAAATTGAATAGTCTCCGTGACTTTTCAGCCCACTAAATCTTTTTCTTTATGTTTTAGTCCCTAGTGTATGTAAATTAGCAAGTACACTGGGTAGGCAAAACCCAAGCAAATTGAAAACTCAGATATTATTGTAAAACATACCTGTCTGATACTGGAGCACTTTTTATTAAAACAGATAGGACTCTGAAGTCAAATCAAAAAAGCGGGTGTAAACATGACTCTAAAAAAGCGCGTGCCTGGGGACCGCCTAGATCCCCAGCTCTGGGATAAACGGTGGAAAATTCTGCATTCTGAGCATATCCGGGTAGGGAGAGGGTGTAATAAGTTTTCAGAACTTGTGCCCAATCCCTTTGTAATTATAAATTACAATGAAATATGTTCAAATCAATATCCTGGCAATTAATTTTCACTTTGAAATTCCTCTTTTTTAAAGGATTTTTTAAAAAAATGTTATGTGTTACCTACTCTTCATCAATTTTTCCATAAAATTTCTATCAACTGGCAGAATATATATATTTTTGATGACATTTTAATGTTTCTTTATTCGTGTTGCAAGATTCTCATATCCATTACCACAATCAATGCTTCTAGTTAAACCTCCAATGATTGGCTGAATTAATATCTTAATTCGAAGAACCAATGAAGTAGGTATAAAGTGGAGCCAAAGTGTTTTTCAACGTTTAATCACAGAAATATACCCTGGGCTATCAAGTCAACTCCTGGCACAGATTTCATTTGCAAGACCATTGTACAGTTTACCATCACTCACGATCATTTTACAAAGTATTGCATCGTCTCGCTTGTTCACCAAAAGTTGATACTTAGCTCACTATAAGCACAACTTTTTTGCCCGTTTTCTATCATTCCACATTTTCAGCAATACATTTGAGAATGTGGGAGGACCTATAAAAAATGCACCAATCATATTCTTTGTTGGATTTTGCAATTGTTATTCAGTCCGATTCAATTGTATTTCAATCAGATTCAATAGTGTCATCACTCAACGCATCACTATTTCGGTCGTAGGGAATACTTTCAAGCAAGATTTGCAATAAAATCATGAAATAAATGAAAGTGTTAATGCACTTGGATGGAAGGTCACACTCACCTTACAAATCTATTTAATTTTATTCAATAATGCAGATCTATGTAAAAATATAAAATGTTACAATACTCACTGTATACTTTTAGGGGAGGTATTCCTTGGAGTCCATCTATACAAAATGGCTGATATTTGTCTCTCTGTGACATTGGCACTAATTGATCCAGATAAAATCAAGCTCACATAATCATTTCCTGTGACCTGGGCTATTGCTGTGATGTCCACCATTTCTCCCACTGTAGCAGTTAGTTTCAGAGGGTAGTAACTTATCACTGGGGAAGCTTCCGCTGGGATTGAAAAAATATTTTAAAGTTGAATCAAAACTAGAGGGGATACAAGAAGCAGCCCCCCCCCCACAACACTCACCACAGTTATACTGGAATAAATCCATTAGCATACAGACATTAGAGAGAGACAACATGACCAAAAACAGAATTTTCTTCCAACCCTCTAAAGATTTAATGCTCAGTCTGAATGAAGCAACTCTTTAATTGTTATTGTTCAGTAGATTCCATCAGAATAAAATATCAGAAAAATTTATACAAATCATCTTTTGCAGCTGAAGAAATGTATTTCAAAGTAATTATTTCATTTTACCTGGGGAGACTGGACTGTACTTGTTGCAGTTGTCAGAGGGACGTTGGATGAAGAATTCTTCACACATTCTGGCCTTAATACAGCACCAGATGTAGGGGTTTATATCAGTGTCAACAGCCTCAGTAGGGAAAGTCAAGGGATTGTATAGGAACACATAACCAGCTCCCAGGGAGGAAAACAGAAGAGAATCGAGGGAGGAGTAACAGCATTTCTGTAATAAACAACTCTTTGTAACACACAAGTCTGCCATCTAAGTAAAGTTAATATCTACTGAATCCTTACCCAAGTCAGAAGACATGCATAGAAATTTACAGAGTACAATGTATTGTTGTACTACATACATGTTCAATATTTGCTTTTATTAACATTCAGTGATAGCTAAAAACTTTCCACTGTGACAGTGGCGTTAAAGGCATATCCACCTACCCTAGTGTAGTTGGTGTTTGCTGGAGAGGTCTGTACAAAGTAACAGTTGGACTCAGTCCTGGACTGAATAAAGTCCGAGTCCAGATCTGCATGTACCGTGTTACAGGGACAAGGGGGGAGGAGGGAGTCTGCTTGTGTCACCAGACTCTGTTGTGTCACACTGTCTGACGTCATCCACGAGTAACATCGAGCACGGTAATTCTCTTCTGACTGAGTACAGGTGTCTAGTCTGTATATCCACATCCCACTTACATTGTTCCCTAAATCAAACAGGGGAAACAATCAGAAAAGTACATATAGTTCCCTGAACATTACCTAATATATTCACACTTTTCATTGCTTGCAACAGATTAATGAATGCTGAGGAACAGAGTATCCAGTACTTTAGTTTTTCACACCGAATGGTTATTGTAGCTGAGTAGAAATCTTAACAATTAAAACAATTAATATCAACAAAGGAGACAGCTGAAGATGACAAACATTACTGAACATGCAAATAAAATCTGGTTAATCAGAAATACATCAAAAGTATTTCAAGTTACTATTGTATCCCTGGGATATGACTGTTTGGTAGATCTGCCTGGAGAACGAGGCTGGATGACTGTAGGTATCAGATAGAGTGTCTCCACACTGGTACCCCATCACTGCTGGCTTTGTGGTGTCCCAGTTAACAGAGTGGAATAAAAAGGAAGTGTATGTAGCAACACCATCACTGACAACAACCAACTGGAATGTGGCATTCTGAAATAGGATTACTTGATTTAGTGGACAAATAGATCTGGGTATGATACAGTTAGAGCTACAATGGTAATTAAAATAATGAATCACTTCAAAATCAGTATTACTAAAATCAACTTTATATTGATTCTCCCAATATTTTTATTGATTTTCTTTTGAAGATGAACACTTTTGTCAATAAATTTAAATCATAGCAAATCAATGCTTATACACACCTTTGTTGGATATAGGGACCTTGGAGAGGGCACTACATTTTCCCAGGTGATAATCAGAGCTGAGTTGGGATCAAATGAATTCCCTTCTTCTTCTTCCTTTATATTGCTGACAACTAGACCCCTAGCCATTTTAAGAACATTTGTAACATCTTGGTCTCCAAACTTCTGATAGAGCTGATACCAGATACGGGAGTCACTGGACAGGTCAATGTCTGTCCAGAAAGGGGCCAGAATCTTGTTGTTAACAATGGATCCTGAAGTATCTGACAGAAGCGTTGGTCTTTCATCATCAAATCTCTTACCAACAGAAATGTACCCATTGGAATAAATCTGAAAATAAGTTGAAAGTATCTAGCTATGAGCTCACACTTCATAAAGTATCATCGTCTCTGTATTGTTCTGTATCAAATTGCTCTGGTTACATTTTTTATAAATCTGGAAATCCTCTTCATCAGGTACATTATACTTCCCTCTTTTAGCAGTAAATGAAAGCAAGATACAAGCTGACTTACATATATCTGTCTGCTGATTGAACAGCCACACATGAATCCTATGGGGTTAAACACAACTGCCTGTAAAGCATCATCTCCTGTGCTGGCTAAATAGTCACCATGCACTGAACCATAAGGTAGCAATACTGTAAATAATATATATCAATGCATATTTTTATTAATTGCACCACAACTTGAATTGATAATTAGTATGATGAAAGGTTTTTGTGCCTTTACAAAGGATTATCATTCAACTTACTTGTGTCAATATCAGGCTGAGTTGAAGTTGGTGCTGTTGTTGTGGTAGTGAGGGTTGAACTTTGTGTCAAAACTGTCATAGTTGTGGATCTCCTAGTCGAGGTAGTAGTAGTTATTGTAGACAGCTGTGTTGTAGTGGTAGTTGTAGGCTGCTGTGTTGTAGTGGAAGTTGTAGGTTGAATTGTAGTGGTAGTTGTAGGCAGCTGTGCTGTAGTGGAAGTTGTAGGCAGCTGTGTTGTAGTGGTAGTTTTAGGCTGCTGAGTTGTAGTGGTAGTTGTAGGCTGCTTAGTTGTAGTTGTAGGCAGCTGTGTTGTAGTGGTAGTTGTAGGCAGCTGTGTTTTATTGGTTGTTGTAGGCTGCTGAGTTGTAGTGGAAGTTGTAGGTTGAATTGTAGTGGTAGTTGTAGGCTGCTGTGTTGTAGTGGTAGTTGTAGGCAGCTGTGTTTTATTGGTTGTTGTAGGTTGCTGAGTTGTAGTGGAAGTTGTAGCCTGAATTGTAGTGGTAGTTGTAGGCAGCTGTGTTTTAGTGGTAGTTGTAAGCTGTTGAGTTGATGTAGTAGTTGTAGGCTGCTGTGTTGTAGTGGTAGTTGTAGGCAGCTGTGTTTTATTGGTTGTTGTAGGTTGCTGAGTTGTAGTGGAAGTTGTAGCCTGAATTGTAGTGGTAGTTATAGGCAGCTGTGTTGTAGTGGTAGTTGTAGGCTGCTGTGTTGTAGTGGTAGTTGTAGGCAGCTGTGTTGTAGAGGTAGTTGTAGGCTGCTGTGTTGTAGTGGAAGTTGTAAGCTGCTGTGTTGTAGAGGTAGTTGTAGGCTGTTGAGTTGTAGTAGTAGTTGTAGGCTGCTGTGTTGTAGTGGAAGTTGTAGGCTGCTGTGTTGTAGAGGTAGTTGTAGGCTGCTGAGTTGTAGAGGTAGTTGTAAGCTGCTGAGTTGTAGTAGTAGTTGTAGGTTGCTGTGTTGTAGTGGTAGTTGTAGGCAGCTGTGTTGTAGAGGTAGTTGTAGGCTGCTGAGTTGAAGTAGTAGTTGTAGGCTGCTGTGTTGTAGTGGAAGTTGTAGGCTGCTGTGTTGTAGAGGTAGTTGTAGGCTGCTGAGTTGTAGTAGTATTTGTAGGCAGCTGTGTTGTAGTGGTAGTTGTAGGCTGCTGAGTTGTAGTAGTAGTTGTAGGCAGCTGTGTTGTAGTGGTAGTTGTAGGCTGCTGTGTTGTAGAGGTAGTTGTAGGCAGCTGTGTTGTAGTGGTAGTTGTAGGCAGCTGTGTTGTAGTAATAGGTGTAAGCTGTTGAGTTGTAGTGGTAGTTGTAGGCTGCTGAGTTGTAGTGGTAGTTGTAGGCTGCTGAGTTGTAGTGGAAGTTGTAGGCTGCTGTGTTGTAGAGGTAGTTGTAGGCTGCTGAGTTGTAGTAGTAGTTGTAGGCAGCTGTGTTGTAGTGGTAGTTGTAGGCTGCTGTGTTGTAGAGTTAGTTGTAGGCAGCTGTGTTGTAGTGGTAGTTGTATGCAGCTGTGTTGTAGTAATAGGTGTAAGCTGTTGAGTTGTAGTGGTAGTTGTAGGCTGCTGAGTTGTAGTGGTAGTTGTAGGCTGCTGAGTTGTAGAGGTAGATGTAGGCTGCTGAGTTGTAGAGGTAGTTGTAGGTTGTTGAGTTGTAGTGGTAGTTGTAGGCTGCTGTGTTGTAGAGGTAGTTGTAGGCTGTTGAGTTGTGGAGGTAGTTACTGCAGTTTGCTGGGTTGTACTTATTGTTGTAGTTACAATACGACCACAAGACTTTCCATCACTAGCCAGACTATATCCTTGGTCACAATAACAGAAATAACTCCCTTCAGTGTTACTACAAGCCTGGCTACAGTTGTGGTTGTTAGTTGTACACTCATTTACATCTGTGAATAAACATTTTAAAACAGTTGTAAAATATAAAGTAAAAACACAGTCATTCAACAAACTGAAGATTCCTGTCAACTGGTATTTATTTTTTGTTTTCAAAGCAGTAAATTTAAAGCAGGACTAATAGAACCTTGACACGAGATTCCGTCTGACTTCAGCTCAAATCCAGATCTACAAGAACAGTTGTAGCTTCCTTCTGTATTTGTGCACAGTTGCTGACAACTGTCCTGGTTATTGCTGCATTCATCAACATCTAGAAAAATGATGTTAACAATCATTCAAGAAACATTACCATGGAAAAGAAAAAACACTTTTTCTGCATGTATAAAGGTAAGAATTTCATGTTTTTTTTTAAAGTCAGTCACCTACAAACAAACAAAAAATTATCTACCTTGACAGCCACCACTTTGGTTACTCTGAAATCCTGAATCACATTTACATATGTAGGAGCCTTCAGTATCTACACATATTTGGGTAGCATTACAGGGCCTGTTCAAACATTCATTGATGTTAAGCTCACACAGTGTTCCTGTCCATCCTGGCAGACAACGACAACCAATCAGGGGGTCACATGATGAGGTTCCTACTGCACAGTTACAAGGGGTAGTACAGTTTGGTCCCCAGGTGTTGGTTACACTGCAACCTGAGGAAAAAAACAACCAACTTTTGATTTGCTTTGAACCATTTTTTTAACATAAAGGCACACTATCTTATCAAAATAACTTAATAGTGAAAAAAATGTTGAAATTTCCATAAAAATTTAATAGAAATGAAACAAGACTTCAAAGTTTAAAGTTTTTCATCATAAAAATGTTTACTTTCACATGTTTTGTGATCTGTTGTCAGTTTGTACCCATCAGGACAATCACAGTAGAAGCTACCACTGACATCATTACAGATGTGGGAACAGCCAGAGATGTTGGTCACACACTCATTGATATCTACAACAGAGAACTACAATATCAGCAGATATCACAGCCAAACCAGAAAACAGAATTTAGTGCTACATTCATACGATATAAAATCAATCAAAATATCCAAAAAGACACTTTTAAATGTGATATCGTACTTGGACAAAGTGAGAATCCTGAAGCATTGACCTGGAGGTCGTATCCATGGTCACAGAAACAATAGGCTACATTGGAAGAGTTGACAGTACATCCTCCATGAGTGTTGTCACAGGTTCCATCCACGCTGGCTCCGAGACAGGGATTTCTGGCTATACAAAGGAAAAAATAACATGTACGCTCAATTTGATAAAGTGCACTGATAGGTTATACAACATGCCTTCCAGAACTACATGATACATATCTATTCCTTAATACTCAATGTCATAAAATTTGCAACTGATACAATTAAGTTACTGTAAAATAACTTAAGTTCTCTTAAAAGGCTTGCACTGCTGTTTTCTTATCTCTTGCACATTTCAAGGCCTGAAATCATCAATCAATGTCAGTTGATGCATCTTGGGGAGGGAAGTACTGTGGAATCATTTTAATTCGTGGGGGTCAATGTTCATGGGCAAACAAAATTTTACTTGTTCGTGGGGACTTAATTTCGTGGGTTACTCGTTTATATGGTAGATTTAATGAATTAATATGTTTACAAATAAATGTTCGCGGGGATGTGAATTCGTGGGTACGGGTGACCCACGAAATCCACGAACATTGGTCCCCCATGAATGATGATTCCACAGTATATGTCCATACTATGATCTATAATGTGGACTTGATTTGACGATGTATAGCTACAGCATATTCCAAAATGAAATCACAACCTCCTTTTGGGACTTTGGGTTGTGAAACATCTTCCTCCAAGTAGGATCGACTGACCAGGACTGATGATGATCTTAGGCCTCACAGTGTGAAGGACATGACATGAACATGAAAAATCTAACACAGGACAGACAGATGGGTGGACCAAAAAGCCTGTATCATATAATATGGCCCATTAAAAGAAGGGTATACAAAAAAGATTATTCCATTTCGATTTCAGATATCATAATTACATTTCACACATGTTCTCCTGTCGTCTTGTAGCTGATATCCAGTATAACAGGTACAATAATAACTCCCTACAGTGTTGTGACAATTCTGGTTACAGGAATCTGTCCCTTCTCCACATTCATCAATATCTGGAAATCAATAGAACTTTCAAACATAAAATATTATTGCAATTTTTTTTCACAAAGAAGATGTATTTCTAAAACAAAAACAGAGGCAGATTTCAAATTACATGATATGACCCCCACCTAAAATCACATACATGGATGAATTCAAAAAAAAATGACCAAACGCATATTTATCAACCCACACTAAAAATACAGGCAATGAAAATAGATTTCTATGTCTCAGCATATGTCTTTAGATAGTGTCTAAATACCTGCCAAATATCTCGTTGATATCTCAATTAACAAAAAAGTTATGCCCAAAAATGATGCTAAAATTGTCAGGAGTGCAACACCTTTTTGTGACATTTTGAAATTTCAATATTTTTTGGAGATCTGTGAAATAAAAAATAATGCTTCATGTTGAAAATAAAGACTTTCCTGATAATATTCAAAGTATTGAGCTTTAAATGTGGACTGTCATAACTTTTGTTTAATCAAGTTGTGGTCATGGCTGATGTTTAAAAAAATGTTATACCATGTCAGGAGTGCAACAGAAAAAATGTAGTGTTGCCAAAAAAACATCAATTGTAAAATTCTGATAAAAAATTAAGACAAAAAAGAATTTTGGAAGTGTAAAATAATAACTAATATACATTTTAAAACTTCAAAATGTTATATAAATCATGAACAGCATTAATGAGAGTCAAGTATATGTGCATACCCAAAAATGTCAGGAGTGCAACATTTGATGTTTTGCTCCCAAGCATGAAAAAACTATTATCATTATATGATTTTCTGATTTTTATTTTGGAAAATAAAGACACAAAGAACATAATTTTTATCAAATACTAGATTTATCAATTACAGGATCTGTCTGTGCTTCAGATCCATATTTCTATGGTCAGGAGTGCAACACATTTTTTTTTAAAGATTCAAGTTGTACGTGTGACGAAAAGACTTCTATTCATGCTTAGAAGTATTCATTAATTAATAATGATCTTTTGTATAATTTAATGCTAAATTATTGACAGTTTTATTATTAAAATCCTTCCTTTTTCAATTTTATCCATTCAGATGTGTTTTTATCTTTTTTGTGATTTTTTTAATGAACGTTAAAAATAAACACACTAAAACATTGTCATAAAATTCAAGTAATTCCTCCTCAACTTCACTGAAACAACAGAACAAGTTCTTGTGTAATTTTCACTTCACAATTCTACTTTAAAGGCCCCATTGCTTTTGGTCAGGAGTGCAACAAATATGTTAGAATTATAAATCATCCAATAAGAATAAAAATAAAGAAAAAAATATGAGTAGAATTTTTCTGGTGGGTTACTGTGATTGTCTTCTAAAGGAAATATGCTTTAAAATATATTTTATCTTCTAAATATACATTTAAGCTAGTTTTTTGGCATAAAATGGGGTATAATTCCAGATAAAATGCAAATTTAAAATACTTTCATCTGTTTTAGTTATGAAGTATTGGACTATAAATATTGCACAATTTCATTACCACTTAATGTTGCCAACACTCTATGAATTTTTGTGTTCTATGGTTTTAATTTTAAACTTTACTGCAGTCAGGAGTGCAACAAAACTGCTTCATAATTACCGATGCTTTTTTACTATCTTTACTAAAAAATAAGTTGAAAAAAACTGCTTGATACTATTTGATATTCAAAACACTATGTCTATCAACAAATTACAGAAATGTTACAGTCAATTCAGAGATTAGTTTTCATCATTTCACATATATTTTAAATACATTTTATATATATTACACTTTGCAAATAATCATGTTTTAAGATCTTCAAAATATGAAAAACCTGCTGTAAACGATGAAAAATATCAACACGACAAATTGATTTACAAAGTAAGAATGGGTTATTGTGTGTTATCATTTTTAAAACAATGTTAAATAAAATACATATCAGATGTCAGGAGTGCAACACAATAATGTAACATAGGGTCACTTCAAAATCTAGTATTTTTTGTAAGAGAACTCGTATATAACAATTCTTTTTTGGCTTAGATTTAAAGAATTGACTTGAACGGACAAAAAAGTGAATTTGGGGAATTTTACTGCTTCATATTTTTTTATATTAAAACTTTTCAAACCAGAATTGAAAAAAAATGTAAAATAACAATCAAAAAAGCCAATTTTTTGTCACATGTACAAGAGAAGATACTCATTTAAGGTCTAGATTTAATCATTTGTACACCTTCTACCATTTTGAAGCATAAAAAAATATAATTTCTTGTGATTATGTATTTTAGAAAGTCTTTTAAGGTGTAATGATATTTTCTTTTTTCAAAAGAAATTTTACTAATAAAAATTCTGAAACTTTTTAATCCAATTGTCTATTCTATTGCCACTTCAGGATTTTAAACTAGAATGCATTTGCAATATGATGATATAAGTGAAAAATATGTTTTAAGTAGTTGAATTTTGCCAAAAAAATTCAGTTTGGTGGTCATTTTTTTTTTAATTCACCCACATGTAAAACCATTTATGCGATATGCAAGACAATATAAAACCTCTACCTTGTATAGTTCAAAAGCAATGACAAATATTAGAGATATACTGATATACAAAGAATGAAAAACAGTTATACATTTTATAAATGGATCTTCAGTTTAAAGCCATAATATCTTTGATGGTCTAGGAAGCATAAATATTAAAACTTTTCAAAAAACCTTCACATGCCCCAGAGGTGGTATTTCTCTGGTAACCCACTTGACATGGACAGAGGAATGAACCTGGTATGTCCTGACAGATCTCTGTGGAGGTACAGTTATGGAGGGCTGAGCTACACTCATCCATATCTACAGAAAAAGAAACAGATCAAAGTGGGATTTGAGTTACTAATTGTTAGATACACAAGAAATGTGTATGGTAGAAGAAGTTACTTCATATAAATATAAAGAAGAGATCTAATGATAAACAAAAAAAAGCTACTTCTTACTTTGACAGATTTGTGAAGCATTTCTCTGATATCCACTGACACACTGACAGCTGTAGGATCCTGGGTTGTCTACACACACCTCTGTAGCTGAACACAAACTTGGATCCACACATTCATTGATGTTAGTGTCACACAGGGTTCCTGTCCAACCAGTCTTACAAACACATCCTCTTACACTGTCACAACGCAAAGCATTCTGGGAACAGTCACATGATTTGTTGCAATTGTAGCCCCAATGCAGGGAATCACAACCTTCAAAGAATCATCCACTGACAAGTTTAATTTCATAAAAAGGCACAATACTGTGATATCAACTAACTTAGCAAAATTGAAACATCTTAACAAACAAGAGGCCCAAGGTCCTTAACGGTCACCTGAGTATAATACAACAATTTAGAAGTTAAATACACTGACAGATGAAGCTTTGTTCCCCTAAAGCAAGAGAAGTAGGAAGATCAGGATCAACAAAATAATTAGTCTAGTATTCAGTATCAACTCATAACTTAAGTTCTAATCTGTCCCCCATGCAGATTATTAACAAACTATTAGTGCTTCTGTACTATTTTTAAACCCATATTAAGACCTCTAGCATTGACCTCTCTTATGGTCTTTGAAGAACTTTTAATAAGATAAGTTACTTTTGTCTCATTTTTATTTATGTATTACTTACAGGTCTGCCTGATTATTAAAACTAAGAAAGTACTTCTTGAATTATACGATAAACATTCTTGCATAATTATCTTATTCTATTAATCTTTCAAATACATTATTTACATTGATTAATTATCAAAGGTGAATGGAAAAGGGGAATAACTTCTCTCAGTAGAATACAAATTAATAGAGCCCTGTCCAGGACCAGAATGCTTAGACAAATTGTCCAGATGTTCAAAAATCTGGTAGAAATACGCTTACTTATATCATTTAAACTTTTACTCAGTTTGCTTTCGATATGCCCAGAAGCAGAGAAGAATTTCACAGGTACAATGCATTTTCACTACAGATTCAACAAAGCCTTACCCTAACACCAGAACCCAAGACCAAAGGTCAAGAAATTTACAAATTTGAAAGAGTTACCCTCATCATCATAACTATGGACTTCAAAGAATTAACACTTTTCCACTATATTATCAAAAGCCCCCCCCCCCCTTCCTCGTTATGCCAGAACCCCTGACCCTAGGACCACAAGATTTAAAAATTCTGTTCGAAGCTCCCATCTTCATCATAGCTAAGCAATTTATTTATCAGCTCAACACTAAGGAGCAGACAGGATTAGTTAATGATTAATTAATAGAATTAATGCATTTTCACTATATAATCAATACAGCCCCGCCCTTACACCAGAACCCCTAACCCCGGGGCCATGAATTTCACAATTTTGGAAGAGGCACTCTTGCTCATCATAACTATGTACTTAGTTACCTTATTTAATACCCAGGAGCAGAGAAGAAGATTTTCAAAGAAATAATGCACTTTCACTATATGATCTATATAGCCCCACCCTGAGGCCAGAACCCCTGACCCTGGGGCCATGAATTTCACAATTTTGAAAGAGGCACTCTTGCTCATCATAACAATGTACTTAGTTACTTTATTTAATACCCAGGAGCAGAGAAGAAGATTTTCAAAGAAATAATGCATTTTCACTATATAATCTATAGAGCCCCGCCCTAACACCAGAACCCCTGACCCTGGGGCCATGAATTTCACAATTTTAGAAGAGGCACTCTTGCTCATCATAACTATGTACTTAATTACCTTATTTAATACCCAGGAGCAGAGAAGAAGATTTTCAAAGAAATAATGCACTTTCACTATATGATCTATATAGCCCCACCCTGGGGCCAGAACCCCTGACCCTGGGGCCATGAATTTCACAATTTTGGTAGAGGGCTCAATGCTTGTTACAATGATGCCAACAGTTTGACTGGTTGATGTCCAGGAGTAAAGAAGAAGATTTTTAAAGATTGCATTATTTTTGGTGGTTTTAGCCCCACCCCTCAGGCCCCAGGGGGGCAGGGACCATGAAATTCACAATTTTTGTTCCCCTTCACCCATAGATGCTATATGCCAAATTTGGTTGAAATTGGTTAAGCGGTTTCAGAGAAGAAGCTAAAAATGTTCAAATGTTAACGCACGACGCATGCCGACGGACGAGAACGGATAGCAATAGGTCACCTGAGTGACTCAGGTGACCTAAAAAGATGGCTGTACCTGTGCAAGAAACTTGGTCATTTTGCAGCTTGTAACCAACGAAACAACTGCATGTAAAACTGCCGTCAGTGTTTGAACACACTTGGGGACATTGTCCACTATTCTGACATTCATTCACATCTACAATTGCAACATGAAAATACATAACTTAAAGCTTCACATTACGTCTACAGTTTGCTGAAAAAACTGATAATTTTTCTTATTCAAAAATTGACTCACCAGTACAATTCTGTCCGTCTGGCAGCAGACTGTAACCTTGGTAACAGAAGCAATATGGAGAACCTGTGTTGTTGACAGAACATCCTTGACTACAGTTCATACTGGTGCAGGACTGCTGTGGACCTGTAACATGACAGCAAATATGTTGAATGAACATCTTCCATTTAAATGTTCCTCAGAGAATTTATGATTTCACAGTCCAATAAGATCTCTAGTCTCCCAATGCTATTGACCTTTCTTATCATATTGTACCATAGGACTGGCGGTAAATTCAGATTTTACTTTGATGTTGCTGTGGTGTATTTGCCAGAAGAATCAGTTTTTTTTAGTCACGCCCACTTTTGGCATCAAGCCATAGTGTCAAGACCTTGACTAATGAATGAATGATCAGTGTAAATTTTAGACCTTATCTGCTGAATGAATGATGTCAATTTCAGTCATAGTTTGACAGGACATTCAAAACTGCTGAAAGAATGATGTCATTTTACACCAACAACTTTGCACAATTGCACTAAATATACAATTTATTCCAAATACAAATTAAAACATTTATAAATTCACATTTTTGTAATTTTTTTCTTAGATTGTCTTATATTGTGTACTTCACATAATTATGCAGTAAAAACATTTCAACTTTGATTTTAACATAACATAATTTCACATTTCTTTTTAATTTCTGTGTACCTCACAAATTTTACCAAAAAAAAACAAAAAACACACACATGATTGATTACTCGGGAATTTGGCATTGTACTGTCAAAATTTGAACTCAAACACACAATTGTTATATGCAGTAACACCAGTGTAGGCAGATTTAGAACACATCCTCTCAGTGGATTCGGACACCTCCATTTCAACTTTCACGCGTTTCACAGGTGGTTCCAAAACATTCGAAATTTCTTCCAACATTTCTGCTGAAGGCCTCTTGTATTTTCTTACGCTTTGTACACTACGATGCCCAGTACGGCCCATTATTTCCTGCTCTTGAATTCCAGCTTGATAAAGTTGCGTTGCACAGGTTCTTTTCCCTGAATGGTTACTGAATGCGCCTTTGAGCCCCCCTTCCTCACAAATACTTTTCATAAGCTTTGATAACTTATTGACAGACACCAAGACACTGCTGACTAAATGTTTTTAAGTTATTCTTGTTTTCCAGAGGACGCCTATAAAATGGTTCAGAACCATTCTCATCAGTAGAAATCATTCGAACAAGTTGAATGTATTCCTCGTAAATAAGGAAAAGCTTTGGGTCAGAAAACACGTGCTTAATAGTTTTTGGAGAAATGTGCCTTTGATTCAGCCCACCTAAAATTAAAATACCAATTTAAATTTCTTATATTTTTTTCGTTCCTATGAAACTTTTCATTTCTTAGTCACAAATGTGTTTAGACCCCCCCCCCCTTTTTTGCAAGATAAAACAAACAGACAATTGAGAAAAATCTTCAGATATTTAGCAACAATAATTGAAAAGTAGGCCTAAGATACGCTTAAATATTGTCACAATTTATTTACTCTAAAGAATGAAAATATAAATATAAAAGTAGAAAGTGTAACTTACCCTTGTAGGTTTTGTTAGCTCTCCCATAGAATGTAAGACTCATTGGCTCTTTGTCCAGTTGAAATTGATTCAGCTCTAAGTTTCTATGTTCGTCCGTCCCCCTCATCCGAAACAGTTTGCAATTGTAGAAGAAAACTGTATATAAAAGTGATTTTGCTGTTCCAAACACTCCCTTTAACCAGAGTTCCTCCTCATTGTCACGAGATATGGGGTCTGCTTGATGTGTTACTGTTCCAACTCCCTGCTTTGTTAACTCAGCCATTCTTGCACTCAAACTTCGTCGAAACGGAAAGAAAACAGGATTTTTTTCATCTAGAAAATTCATAAAAGTTCCGCTTTCTTTCTGTACTCTCATCAGTCCGGCACAAAGTTGATAAAGCGTGTTAGGAGGGTACGGTGCTCTATCCTTGCGTCTGGCTTCAAGTACAAATCTGCTCAACCATACATTTACATCATTTTCTGTAAAATTTTTGATTTCAGGTATAGGGACGTTTGTCTGGCTTATTCTGTACTCTCGCCACTCATCAAATGTTTTCTTACTCCAATTGGAGTTTTTTCTTGTATGTTTACTCTCAGTATCCTTAATTAGACAATTTATGTCCTCTAACTCCTCTTCCTCTTTTAGATCTCCGAAGCGCGACCCAGCTGAGTTCACATCAGAATTCTCCGTTTTTATTTTCACATCAAAACTTGTAATATCAATATTTTCCATTGACAATATATTAAAATTTCCGAAATCAATGTCAAGGAAATCACTTAAGGACAGGTTTTCAAAATTTGATTCAGCCTCAATAAATTCTGCAGCCTGACTCAAAGTTATGTCATCTATCTCATGAACATTCAAGAAATCCATTTTTGTTAAACTACTGTAAATTTTAATTGTTTTAAGCTTTTATACAGGAGTAGGCAGTACAAAACAATATCTGGATTTTTCATTGGTCCATACACTGAGTGTTGAATGTTAATATTTGATCATTAATATCTAGCATGCAGTAGGAGGTACAAAACGTTAGCTCAACTTTTTGATTGGTCTTCTGGTACAAGTAACTTACACAAAAGATATTAATTGGTCATTGGTAAATACACTCACAGTTTTTAATTCACTCGGGGCTCCACCGCTCGTGAATTAAAAACTTTGAGTGTATTTACCAATGATCAATTAATATCTATAGTGTAACTATAACTTGGTACATCTTTGTTTTAAAATCTTTTCTTTTTCAGTAAGAATGGTTATACATTTTATAACATCATTTAATTTATAGTATTTACAAATAAAAAGATGTGTTGTGAAATATCGTATATATCAAAATGCAAGACCTGTACATTGACTTTGTGAAGTATAAAGTTTAATCTTGTGAAAACTTTCAATGAAGAATCGAATGGACTGACAAAATTGTTTTTTGATCCCATGGGTTTCTAAACCAGGGATAAACAGAAATTCTGTCAATGACACTTACTTTGTATAACACAGAAGAATCCATCTGACTGGAGAGAATAGCCATCCAAACAGGAACAATTGTAATAACCTACAGCATTCACACAGAGTTGTTGGCAGTTACTGGTTCCTTCTGTACACTCATCAATGTCTGGAAAAACATACAAAACAATGAATAAAGTGCATCTAAAAAAGACTTTACAAACAAATAAAAATCATTATGAACATGTAAGTATATTGTATACAGCATTTAGTGCATGCATTCACATGAATGTTTATTCTGACATTTTCTAAGGAAATTTAAATCAATTAATTCTCATAATCACCTAAACATGATGTCCCTGCTGATCTGTATCCTTGATAACATGAGCAGGAATAACTTCCTTCTGTGTTTGTACAGATCTGGTTACAGCCATTCAGAGAACTGTTGGAGCATTCATCTACATCTGTAAGATTCATCAATACAAATCAAATTAGCAATTTCAAGTTCAGATCTTTTAATCTGTGAAACAGCTCTTGTATTAATTATACTGTTGTCTTATGTTGCAAGTTTTATTCAGTTTCTGAAAAGAAAAAAATTGATTAATTTGTGGACAGGTACCTCATCCTATTCTACCCAAAGTAAAATTTATAGTTCATTGATCATGTTGATCACCTAATTTTGTGCTCAAACTCAACCAGGAAAACTGATCTTCAATGACAAATAATGAAATCAGTTTACAGTATCTTGTACATGGCCATTATAGCATAAAGGTTGTGGATGAGACAGCCATTTTGGTAAATGGAAATGACTTAATATTTCTGTAATTTACCCAATATTTAGTTCCTTGAAATTCAGTCCACTAAACTTACAAAAAAAAATATTCAAAAGCCTCTTTAAAGTGGTTAAAATTTTCTAAGTATAGTAATTTTGAAAGAAACTAATTATGCACATGAAAACAGTTCACATTAGTTATGTGAGTAAGACGGGAACATATTGCAATACATTTACCTTACTGAAAGCTAATGACAAACAAAAAAATAAATAAAATTGAGTTTAAAAAAATGAACTTATTTCATTTTTTCTGAGAACATCATAAGGGAATTAATTCATAGAACACCTACATTAATGATATTAACACATAGAACCACCAAGAGATACTGTTGTACTAATAAGTATTCTGTAAACTAGAAACATTATCATATTCATAAATATCATTATACATGTAAATGAAGAATATACAAAAAGCTTTATACCTAAACATTTGAAAGACTCTGTTATCTGATATCCCTGGAGACAATTTTCACACTTGAATGCCCTTCCTGTTGACTGGTGCTCAGCTGCTGGATTGTCTGTACAGTTACTGAGGGGATCACATGGGGAACCAGCACAACCATCAATATCAATCTCACAGGAGTTACCTAAGATGTCGTAGTAAACTAAGTGCCTGGTTTTTTTTTCAATAAACTTCACATGTAACATTCATTTTAAAATATATTGTAGAAACATAAATGGAAAATTGTCATGAGCTACTCTACTAACAAGAAAACTGATGGAGTCAACCCCTGATTTGAAATTTTGCTTCAGATAGAACATATTTGCCAAATGTATGATACAATATTGATCAACTTCGATTTCAATATATGTTTACTTAGTTACTGCTTCCTCATTTTTTAATATGAATTCTTTCTACATAATATAGTCAATCAATCATCAAGTACATAAAAGAACAAGTCTCAATAAGGCTTATCTGTGGTCCCCGGTTACTCGTCAAATTTCGAACATTTATTAAAATGTTTAAAAATTAAATTTTATTATCAATTAATGTCTTTATTATTTGAATCATCATCTAAAAATGTCAAACAATAGATATAGGCAGCATACGAAGCTGCGCGTTAAAGGTAGGATCCTTTGATTTTCATGAATATCAAAAGAAATCAGTGACATGTACACACTTCAAAGCTTTCGTAAACACCGAGCACAGGTTTGTTCAGAGTCGAGTTTGAAATATAATGTGTATATTAAATGTGTAAAGGTTGAGTGAAAATATCTTTGTTGAACAACTTTGTGCTCTCTGTTTTCTAATTAAAAGTATTGTGATTTTGAATCTCTTCGCTGACTTCATTTTCATGCGATTAACCTCTCTATGACCTGTTTAGAATCATAACAAGCCACGTGCTTTTGTATCGTTACAGGTAAATGCCCCCAGTGAACGTGCTAGTTCTCAGTTGAAACGTACTCAGTTTTATATCGATCAGCATGGACTTGTTTGGTTCATCTTGTTATAGCTTTTATTCCCAAAGTTTTGTAAATAGAAAATTGTATTTGTAATTGATTGTGAATCTTGAACATATAATTCGTCTTTGAAAGAAAAATATTATACCAAGATCATCTTTTTATAGTATCTAATCTAAATGTCTCCGCCCATTTCCATGTAATAGAGAAACCGTGGTCTGATCGGGGGAAAATGTTCCGGCATTTTTAAGTGCGATAGGTGTTAAAAATAGGCTTGTATTTTCTGATATGTTTAATTATTCATTATAAATACACAATGTTTTAATTAGAAATACTTCGTTGTACACAATGAAAATAAACAAGATACCGTATGCTAATATTTAACCGGTAAACCAAGGGTGTAAAAAGGGACCACACTACTATACTTAAGTAGAATACTCCTTTAGCAATAGCATTTATTAATTACTTTATATCTGCTTAAGTATTCAGTTTTAGGCATTTCTGTCTCAACCAGAAAAATTCCTCCTTGTTAGTCTTATTTTACTTCCCATTATGCCATAAAAACCTGTATGTACTTGTTATATGTTTTCTTAGTTGAAGCATTTCTCCTTCCAATTCAAGAAAAAAAAAATATTTGCAGTGTCCTGCAATTAATTATTTGCCTCTTTTTGAAGTGACCTTTTCAATATTTTCCCTAGATAGGTTACTCAGTACAGATTAGGCTCTATGCAATTTTGAAATGCTCTTTTTTCCATTTTTTATCCAGACATCTCTTAATATTTACCTGTCCATCCCAGATCACAAGTACATGGCACAATAAAGAACGATGAGATACTGGTGCTTGTTGCTAGGGAGTTGTTACAGTTGCCACGGTTACTACAGTTATAACACTGGTACACCTGCTCATACAGTACCTTGGACACTCCATTCAAAGAATCAATAGCATACAATCTGAAATATACATGTAATGTATTTCTGAAATCCACATAAAGGTATCCATTGTATTACATAACTTAGCAACAAAAAGTTACATGGCAAGATATCCCTGCACTTTGGGCTTAGGTCAGAAACAATTATATTAACAAAATATAGCAAAACTTTAACAAGAGGCCCATGGGCCACAGCGCTCACCTGAGTAACTTTGGCCTTGCTGTTTTTCACCTGATCTCTCCCCCCCTGTAGTACTTATTGTGGCCCCTCCCTATCCCCAGGGGTCATGATTTGAACAATTTAGAATCTACACTACCCCAGCATGCTTCCACATAAGTTTCAGATTTTCTGGCCCAGTGGTTCTTGAGAAGAAGATATTTAAAGATTTTTCCTATATATTTCAATGTAAAACTTGGATTCCCTATTGTGGCCCCGCCCTACCCCCGGGAGTCATGATTTGAACAATTTAGAATCTACACTACCCCAGCATGCTTCCACATAAGTTTCAGCTTTTCAGGTCCAGTGGTTCTTGAGAAGAAGATATTTAAAGATTTTTCCTATATATTTCAATGTAAAACTTGGATTCCCTATTGTGGCCCCACCCTACCCCCGGGGGTCATGATTTGAACAATTTAGAATCTACACTTCCCCAGCATGCTTCCAAGTAAGTTTCAGCTTTTCTGGCCCAGTGGTTCTTGAGAAGAAGATTTTAAAAGATTTTTACTACATATTTCAATGTAAAACTTGGATTCCCTATTGTGGCACCGCCCTACCCCCGGGGGTCATGATTTGAACAATTTAGAATCTACACTACCCCAGCATGCTTCCAGATAAGTTTCAGCTTTTCTGGCCCAGTGGTTCTTGAGAAGAAGATTTTTTAATGACCCCACCCAATTTTTGTATTTTCTTGATTATCTCCCCTTTAAAGGGGACTTGGCCCTTCATTTTAACAATTTTAACTCCCCTTCACCCAAGGTTGCTTTGTACCAAGTTTGGTTAAAATTGGCCCAGTGGTTCTTGAGAAGAAGTTGAAAATGTGAAAAGTTTACAGACGGACGGACAGACGGAAGGACGGACGGACGGAAAGACGGACGACGGACAACGGGTGATCAGAAAAGCTCACTTGAGCTTTCAGCTCAGGTGAGCTAATCATATATACCTGTATTTATAGTATGACCAAAAAGGACTCATTCATGGAGAAATATAATATAATTAAATTTTGGCAAGTCATATCTAAAGAATTACGAATTGAAGCATACACATTCACTGACAAGGGCACAAAACAATCATGCAGAGTTTATATGCTGCAGTCTTTACAGAAGGAACTTACTCCACAGCATAAGGAGTCATGTCTTGTGGGGTATAGGTGTAGGAGAAGGACACATTCCCAGGTAGAGTAGCAGAGGTCACATTTACTGGACTCAGCATAACTATAGTCACATTGTCACCATTGACATCTGAGGCATTGGCTGTTATTGTAAAGCTCTGACCAACTACTGTATAGATAGAACCCAATCCATCAATGACAGGCCTAGTGTTGGCTGCAAAAAGATGTAATATGTTTTAGTTCACATATGCATTACAGAAAATGATACCAATTTATTTTCAATTTAAATATCTGCAAAATTGATTGTCAAAAGCCATAAACATGTACATCTAAAAACAGATTTTGTTCATTTCATACCTGCACTTCTCTCCTCTTGTAGAGCTGTCTGATAAACTATTCTAGTAATATTAGCAATGGCTTTGTTTTCTGTGGCCAGGAAGTCATAAATACAGTTGAAGTTCTGGGGGCCCCCACACTCCTCTTGAGCTTGGGTTATTTCTTGCTGAGTGAAGTCCTCCATGAATATGGGTGTAAAATTTGTTGGCTGATAGGAGGCACAAGTCAAGTCATGCTGATAGACAAAGAGTGACTTGTCACAATCAACTCTCCCTACAATTCAAATCAGGTACAAAATTAGAGAGTCACTTTGTAATGTTGAAACCCAATTCCTCCATTTCTGGTACATGGAGATCCGAAAATGTGCACACGATTTTCCAAAAGAAATGCAGATTTTTTTTGCAAAAAAGAACTATGCCATACAGCTAGATTTGTATCTTTCATATTCTAGATATAATAAGAGACCTATAGATGTTGACAGTCACCTGAGTATTAGAAACTTATCTCTAAGGTTATGAAAAACTACATGTAGAAAGAACTCTGGACTCTCATGTAATAAATTTCACAATTTTGTGAGCAGGGCTCGACATTAACGCTTGTCCGCATGTCCGGTACCAGTGAAAAAAAAATTACGGACAAGTGAATATTGCTGTGCACTTGTCAGATTGGACAAGTGCATTTTAATGTAAAGGACTCTCTAAATAATAAAAAGAACGACTGTTCAAAGTTAATTGGTAGTTTCAAAACGGAAGCTGTACATGAAAACCGATTTACAATCGATCGGGATCCAAGTCCACTAATTGCATACTACTGAAAAGGCATGGAACTTACGAACTTAAAAGTTTGGATTCTGTTTGATGTTGACAGGTTCACTTGTTGTTGTCAGATAAAATTTCATTTTATGTGTTTGTTGTATTTATCAATAACATCACGAATAAATCAAGCACATGACATGTGTAAAGGACTTTATTTTAGTTTTCAGTTTTCAAGTTGACAGTATTAGATCTCTATTGAAAAATTTTCGGACAAGTGAAGTTGAAGTTCGGACAAGTAAATGTCTTGGTCTCTTGTCCGAATGGACAAGTAGGGAAAAAACTTAATGTCGAGCCCTGGTGAGGATACTGTGTTCCTTGCCACATTGCATGATGATTGTTCCCTACATGCTTTAAGGGTACAGTAACAGTCAACTTAACCCCAAATGGGGACTCGAATCACACAAAGTTCAAAGTTTGTGAATTTGGCTCATACTTTAATCAGTTGCATACCTTTTGCTTGCTAAATGTCAAGGAATTAAAAATAAACTGTTTTTCAAATATATATACATGCAATAAAATTTCAATATATGACTAACTTTCCCCACTTTGCCTGCTAGCTAGATGTCTATTAATGAAAGATTTGGAAAGGTGTAATAGATTTTCAGTATATAATCTGAAGTCTCTGATAAAACTGAACCTCAAACTACTCATAAATGCAAAAGAGAGAGTTGTACCTGGTAACCTTAAGACTCTGGTTAGGTAAAAATAGAAACATTGTGTGTTCTTAAGCTAATATATCACCATGCACATATGATAAATTGTATTAATTAAGGCAAAGATCTTACAGAGCTCTCCAAAGTTGTGGTAGATTTCCTTTTCTGTTGAGTTAGAAGGGAGAAGAGTTCCGTTAGGAGTTTTCAGGTCATCATTTATGTCTCCGTTCACATTTCCCAAAAGGCCAAAGTTTGTTGTAGTCGAGGACAATGAATCTGGTATACCAGTGGTTAACTCCAACATTCCAAGATTCAAAGACATGTCAAAAGTAATACCTATAAAATGTCAGAAGTCTTAGTACCCTTGCTGAAATCATTGATAACATCAGTTGAAAATTAACCAGCAGGTTTATTTGAAATCCATTAACACCAAGATCAGTTATTAGTCCAAATATAATAAAATTTTTAAGACCATTTAAGCATGAATGTAAGTACATGTACCTGATGGGAAGAGAATCTCTACTCTGTTAGTTCCTGTTTTTGTTATAAATATTGAATTTTCTCTGTAATATGTATAGGTGACACTGGCATAAAATTGTGGGGTGATGTCTATTCTGTCTGCATATAAAATCATGCCTGAAAAAATGAAATATGATATAGAACAAATATTTTAACATCTTTAAACCATTGTTCACCTTTCAACAACTAGGACGAAGTAGAGATAACAATCTCTAAGCATACTGCAGACATACATTTTTATGCATGGGATTAATTTACACAATGTACTTAAACTGCATTTAAGGCATACAAAGGCAATCCAAGAAATTCACATAATTTCTTCCTGCGGATTGAACAGAAATTGTGATTCCGCAGGATTTTGACCCTAAAGAAAAAAGTATGTTCACTTTACAGTATCTCTAAACACACAGAAAATGTAGGAACTACTAGTAATTTCAATTGGAAAACTTCTCTGTCAAGATTATACTTTGGTTCACAAGCACTTCCATAAATGATCCAATTAATGTACAATTTTCTTTTTATTTTCTGGACATCTAGAATATTTTATCAAACAAAAGGTATGAATATTGTGTTTATTTACCCTAATTGTACCAGTCATACACCCCTAGGAAAAATGTTTTCAAACAATGAAAGAAGAGGCCCATAGGCCACAATGCTCACCTGTGTCATTATTGCCCTGTTGTTCTATTCCCTATATATATTCCTTTGCAAATCTTTGATTGCCTATTGTGGCCCCACCTTACCCCAGGAGGTCATGAATTGAATAAAATTAAACCTACACTACATGAGGATGCTTCCATATCAATATGACTAATCATGCCTATGCTGTTCTTTTAGAATATTTTTAAAGATCGTTTCCTATACATTCCTATTCAAAACTTTGATCGTATATTGTGGCCCCACTCTACCCCTGGAGTCATTACTTGAACAAACTTGAATCTACACTACTTGAGGGTGCCTTCATATCAATATGACTTAATCATGCCTCTTCTGTTTTTGAAAAGAACATTTTTAAAAACTGTTTCCTATATATTCATATGCAAATTTTTGATCATCCACTTTGGCCCCATCCTACACCAGGGGGTCATAATTTGAACAAATTTGAATCTACACTACCTGAGGATACTTCCATATCAATATGATTAATCATGCCTTGCTGTTCTTGAGAATAAGGTTTTTAAGAATTTTTCCCATATATTACTATGTAAAACTTTGATCGTCTATTGTGGCTCCAGGGGTCATGATTTGAACAAACTTGAATCTACATTATGTAATAAAGCTTTCACTTAAGTTTAATTTTTTCTGGCCCAGTGGTTCTTAAGGTATGTCACTCGTGAAATTGGTTATATCAAGGACTTTTTGAGAAGTACATGTATGTTTTAAATAAGGACTCATATAGCATGACTCAAAATCGCAAAGAAAATGGGGGGCCAGTGTGCATCTTACTGAACTACGGTACAATTAAGTTCACCTTTTTGCACTTAAATTGTAACTCTTTGGTTAATCACTTTTATCTTTATCATATTTTATGAGATGTAATTATGGCAATAAATATAATCCTATTTTACATAAAATAGTTTGAATAATACTTATCATTGAACAATTCATGCAAATTAATGCGCATTAATTATTGCAGCAATTTTTTTCTACCCATTGGGAAAGGGTCCGGTACCGGTTCAATTGGGAAGAATACCATTGATGTAGAACAAAGGAAAATTTTCTGTCTTTAAAACAAATGAAACATATTTTGCGTCTATTACAACCTCATTACCTATTACTCCCTGTTTTAAAGAATAAACAAGTATTTATTGTTTTTTCATATCAATGTCCCTTGTTTTTTCATGCTTTCAATTTGTCAAAATGTATGACACTACGCTGTCGAGCTGTCTTCACCGCAGGTCCCGCCATATTACAACTAATCTCTATACTTTCGATTTAAGAGGAAGTGAAACAATTAGTCAACTTGTACAATGTTTCATATAAAAAGAAATACGACGTCATCGTAGTCTGTTGCTTGGCAGTTGAATTGGGAATTTTTAGTCTCAAAATTGGGAAAAATTAATGTTTTTTGGCATTGGGAATGGTACCTTTATCGGTACCAGTTATATAAGGAAAAAAATCGCTGTATTGTGTGACCTTTTTGCACTAAAAAAGTATCACATTTAGGGTATAAAAAATCTAAGTAGGCAATAAATTATTTTCTTGTATCAAACTTTTTATGACTAAGTGCTGATCGGTTGGAAGTATCAGGTTGTTAAAAGTAATGAAAGAAAAGGTTAGGGTCAGTGATGTAAATTTTGAGATATTGGTCAAAATGTGCGATTTTCAGGCAAAAAACGGTGTAAATTTTATCTTGACTTCTTTAATATATCTTCATTTCTTGGCAAAGTCTGTTGAGTGAATGTGTAAAATTTGTTCTAAAAATATAAATTGAGACCCAAATTTAATATTCCTAGCATATCATTACGGAAAATATTCTCTAAGTTAAAATATGTGGGGCTAAAGTTCCAAGATATTAAATTTAACAAATGTGTAGATTTGGAGAATTTTCTTCTAAATATCGATCCACCACAAGAAATAGTCCCTCATAAATCTTACTTCTTTATGAATTTATGAGCAGTTTTTTAATTGAATGTTAAATAATTTGCATTGTTTACTTTAAATATGTTATAAAACTTGAATTGTAATAAATAGTTTTGAAGTCAAAGGATCAGACTGAACTTTTCTAAATAGCTGATGAGTGACATACCTTAAGAAGATCTTTGAAAGATGCCATTAAATTTTCACCAATTTTTAATTATCTCCCCTTGAAAGAGGATGTGGCCATTCATTTGAATAAACTTGAATCACCTTCACCCAAAGATGCTTTGTGGCAAGTTTGGTTGAAATTAGCACAGCAGTTCTACAGCAGAATATGAAAATGTGAAAATTTAACAATGCCACCAATGACAGACAATGGACAAATTTCTATCAGAAAAGCCCACTTGAGCCTTCAGTTCTGGTGAGCTAAAAATCACAGTTGCTTTAAATGGTGAAAACACATGCAAATAAAGTGTTCTATTAATTTTACCTTGGCCTGATAAAATGTTTGTGAATAAATTACAAATTGAGTAGATTTTAATTTTTTTTAGTTTGAACCCAAGGGTAAAATAACAAATCTGATTAGAATTCTTTAGTGTGCAGTGTATGGAGAGTCCTTAAGGAGGAGTGACCCTTACTGCCAAAAAAGATACTGCTGAAAGAATAGATTACTATTTTCTTTATATAATTTTCTCCTTCAACAATAATTTGTCTCAAATTAAGCCCCAAATGATATATATATACTAAATGTGCTTGAATTTCACCCCTCTTTTGTTTGTTAAATTTCATAATACCAGGAATATTCCAGTTTAGTACATACAGAGTTATTTTCCCGATATTTAAAACATCAAGAAAAGAAATCTGCACTTACCTGTTTCTGCTAGATTGACTTCTACCTGAGCTTCTCCTCCATTCTTTTCCTTGAAAACAAATGCATGGAAGACTGTGGCATTTATCTTGGTTCCATTAGCATTGACAGCTTGTGCTGTACGAGTCTGTATCTCCAGTAGGGTGATGTTTGTTCCTGGTTCTACCATAGTCAGCATCACATACTCTCCCAGTCCATTAAATGTATAGGTCAGACCATCCAGTGTTCTTACATGGGGGTCTCCAAAAGAGGATCCTTGGGGAGGAAAAACAAACAACATTAAAACTGACAAGAGACCCAAGGGCTTTAATGGTCACCTGAGTATAATACAGCACTGTAAAGGATCCACAGAAGTATAAAATAAAACAAAATAAACTGATGAATGAAGATTGTTGCCTAAAAGCAAGAGAAGTAGGATGATCAGGGATCAACAGTTAATTTAGTACTCATTAATAACAAATCATAAAGTAGATCTATTTATTTGCCTGTACTTGCCAGTGCTAGTGCACTGTCATTTGTCACTATAACCATGCAGGCTTAACAACACATTATTAGTACTTGAACACATACAGCTAACCCATCACATTTCCTCTCCCATATTTGCTTCTTTTGATCTTTGAAAAACAGTTAATGTACAAAGAAATGGTATTTTTGTCTCATTTTTTATTTATCCATTATTTACAAGTCTTTCTGACCAATAAAAACTATGAAGTACTTTTTGTATTATACAATAGAAATTCTTGTTAAATTGTTGTATTCAATTGACCTATCAGTTATATAATCTATGGAGATTAATTATCATAGGTGAAAAGCAAAGGGGAATAACTTTTCTCAGTTGCATACAAATTTTCCTACAAGATCAATAGAGCCCTGCCCATCACCAAGAACACTTAACCCAGTAGTCCATTATTTCACAAATCTGTTAAAAAACTTGTGCATGTTCATTGCAACTTTAATTGTACTCATTTGCCTAATAGATTCCCAGGAGCAGAGAAGAGATTTATAAAGAAATAATGCATTTTTGATATATAATAGAGTCCCACCCTAACACCAGAACACCTGAACCAGGGGCCATGAATTTCACAATTTTGGAAGAGGAACCCTTGCTTATCATTACCATGCAACAGGGATCGAAATTAACTTTTTTGACCACTAGCAAATTTTATCTAGTGGAATATTTTTTTACTAGCAATATTGAACTTTCACTAGCATTTTTTTCTTCTCATAGTAATTAACATAGGAATTATTTGAATGAGTTCACAGAAAACTTATTTACACCTTTAAGGTCGTTTTATACAAGGTGAAATCTGACCGGATACAGGGGTGTGCAATTAAAAAATTCAAGCACTAGCCCACAGACTACCCCAAGTAAAGTTACTAGCTCAAACGTAGGGGAAAAGAGTATCTTAAACAATGAAAGAAAAATAGTTTATCGTTGAAAAAGTCCGAGTCTTAAGGTCATTCTTTTTTTAAATTTAAAGTTTAATTCTCACTAGAAAAATTGAATCATATATAAATCAATTATGAATGAAAATAAAATAAAAATTAATTTAAAAATAAATTATCTTTCATTTTTTTTTTCATCTTAAATCACTATAAATACTCTTGAAATATATTTTTTGAAAAACACATACATGTGTAAGACTTTTTCTCTAGTTGATTAAGTGATCGTAAATAATTAAATGGGATATCTACATGCATTTACCATAAACAAAGGAATGGAGGAAATTCGGATTAGGAAAAAACGATCATTTTTGGAAGTAAATAAGTCAGGTAGTACTGCAAAATGGATAAGATTATGGAGATTTACGAACAACAGGAGCATGCTACCTAGAAATTTTTGTTTGAGAATTTGATAGCAAAAAAAGTTAATAAAATACCTGTAGTGCTTTTCATGTATTAGGCTACATGGGTAATCTTAATTTTTACTAGCCCGTGGGGCACCTCTGTGCATAAAATCACTAGCCCTACCCCCAAAAATGGTAGCCCCGGGTGTGAGGCAATGCTTATTGCACATTCCTGGAATAAACTAAAAAAAAGTCCGAAAAGGACTGATTTTATTTTACTCGCAAAAGTTGGCGACCAGAGGTCCCTTTTAACTCGCAATTTCTGTTTTTAATTCGCATTTAGCGAGTATTTCCCGATAATTTCAACCCCTGATGCAACTAATTTATCTACTAAAAACCCAGGGGCTGAGAAAAAAAACTTCAAAGAAATAATACATTTTCACTACATAATCAACAGAGTTTCGTCCTAGCACCAGAGCTCCTGACCCAGGGGCCACAGAATCCACAATTTTAGAAGAAACACTCTTGCTCATCATAACCATGCACTTATTGCTTAATACCCAGGTGCAGAGAAGATTTTTCAGACAAATAATGCATTTTCACTACATGATCAATAGAGCCCAGTCTTAACACCAGAACCCCTGACTTATGAGATATGTTAAGTTAGCTACTAGTAACTGGCTACGACAAGTGGGTAAAGTTAGCTACTAGTAAATGGAAATGGCCAATTGGAGAAGAATCTAAAACCTAGCGCACATATTAGATATCTTAAGCACTTAAAGTAACCTAATTATGTTCCCCAAACGAAGTTGGGGAAGCTATGAATTTTACAATTCTGGAAAGATATCCTAGCTCAACTATGCATACACTTATTTGTGTGCTAAATACCAAGAGAGGTAATTTTCAAAGAATTCATGCAGCGGCTATGAATTCCACAATTTTGGAAGAGGAACCCTTGCTCACGATAACAATGCACTTAGATTGCCTGTTAAATAGTCAGGGGCAGAGAAGTTTTTTTTAAAAAGAATTTTATTATGTGCACCGCATGTACACTACTGTGGAATCATTAAAATTCATGGGGGTCAATTTTCGTGGATTGCTTAAATTTTACAGGTTCAAGGGGACGTAATTTTGTGTATTATTATATACCCAAGTGTGTATCACTCAATTTTACTGTAGATTTCATACAATCACGTGACGGTATGATCCGACTTTCCAGATCACCACACTGTGGTTTTCTGAATCCATATCACCCCTCTCTGAAATTGATGACGTAGTACCAGAAACATGACGTTATTTTTCATGCGCATCAAAAAGTTCCTTGACAAAATGCTTTGTTTAATGGAAAAATCTTATAAAAATTGATCTCAAAAGTTTTTTTAAAACTATATTTTGCTAGTTGTAAGGGGGGTATATAATAAATTTATCATTATAACAGTAACTTGATCCGAAGAGCCGTATCATGTCAAGTTGACTCTTCGGATCAAGTTACTGTTATAATAATGTATATTTCTTGTATACCTACAAAAGGAAACATGATTTTGTAACCCTAATTTATTAATTCGTGGATGAGAGGTACCCATGAATTCCAGGAAAATTGAGCCACCACTAAAACCAATGTCTAACATCAAAGCACCTCACCCAGGGATTATGAATTTCACAATTTTGGATGAGGAACCCTTCTTATCATCATCATCATGCACTTAATTTATCTGCTAAATACTAAGGGGCAGAGAAGAAAATTTTCAAAGAAATTATGTATTTTCACTATATATATAATCAATAGATCCCAGTCCTAACACTAGAAGCCCTGATCCAGGGGCCATGAAATCCACAATTCTAAAAGAAGTACATGTTCTCTTGCTCATCATAATCATTTGCTAAATACCCAGTAGTAGAGAAGAAAGTTATCAAAGAAATAATGCATTTTTATTAGCATATTATCAATAGAGCCCCGCCCTAATACCAGAACCCCTGAACCAAGGGCTATGAATTTCAGAAAAGGCACCTTTGCTAATCATTACCGTGCACTTGTCTGTCTGCTAAATATACAAGGGAAGAGAAGAAGCTTCTCAAAGAATTTACACTTTTTCACTATATGATCACTATATGATCAATAGAGCCCCCCTCACTCCAGAACCCCTGACCCAGGGACCATGAATTTCACAATTTTGGTAGAGGACTCACTGCTTATTACAATCATGCCAACAGTTTGACTGCTTGGTGTCCAGAAGTAAAGAAGTTTTTTAAAGATAGCACTAAATTTGATGGTTTAGCCCCACCTCTCAGGCCCAAGGGAGGGTCTGAACCATGAAATTCACATTTGTTCCCCTTCACCCTTAGATGTGATATGCCAAAATTGGTTGAAATTGGTTTGGGAACAAGAGAAGAAGCTGAAAATGTTCAAATTTTTACGACCAATGAATGACGAACCTGAGTTGTTCAGGTGACCTTAAAATACTAAACTTCTTCAATCTACAAAATGATATTGCTTTGTACTTTGTAGAGACACCAGTTACAGACAGGTTATAGATGGTCTAGAATGAAATAGAGAATTTACTGATCTACAGTCAAACTTGACAAGTGAAATCTGTTGGGACTGACAAAATTCTCTGAAATATCTTGGGGTTTGAGATACTAAAGTTGAAACCTAAGTATATTATAGGGTTGGGAAGAATAAGGTCATTTCAAAATATCCTTCAATTCAATATACATGTGTCAGTGTTCCAGATACCAGTGTACATCTAGCTCCATGCACATTCAATGTAAGAGTTGTAAGAGTGGAATATGTTTTACTATTTAATTCTAAGCACTTGTTCCCTTATCCATGTTATCAATAGAGATTGTTCTATTTGACGTATCCGTATACGTATCCGTATCCGTATCGAGGTGAGAGAGGCATCTCGATCCCGATGTCTAAATTATTTACTATAATTTCCATCGTTATTTGTTTGGTTTTAGAGCAGCCCCATTCATTTAAGAATAGCATATGGTATTTTTTCTAATAAAAATGTATTAAGCTGCTGTAAAAGTCTGGCATTTCGCTGGAATTTTTTTTTAAAAAATAGATAATGAAATTAAATAAAATAAAAATTTCTTTTCATTATATTGTTTAAAATTTTAATTGCAATTTTGTTTAAAAACATTTATTGGGATCCCCCTTTCTCCCTCTTAACATCATTTTATTGATTGATTCTGTAATTTACATTAGATGACATAAAAGTTACCCCCCCCCCCCCCCACACTCACACACTAAAATGCAAAAGACTTTAATATCCACAATCAATAAAACCGTGTAGCTGTTTTCTAAAGAGAATTCGCTTCCAGACCCTTACCAGTATATGCTTAAAAATGCCACCCCCCCCCCCCCCTCGGGAACACACACAAACTTTCATAGTGTCTGTTGACTTTCTTCATTCTTTTTTTCAATGAACTATTTGACAAATACCTGTATATCTCCCCTTCCCCTCCCCAGTTGAAATTGCTTCTTTCGTGCCTATTCTCATACGGCTTGATTTTGCTTTATATTTTGTCCTTTCAGCAGTATTAACTTGAAAAGACTTCATGGCGACAAAAAATAGGTAATGAAATGAAAATGCAATTGTTAAATTTATTTTTCCTTTTAGTTCTCTTGTTGTCGTACATGCGTATTATAATTCATGGTTTGATATAGAAACTGTTTCAGAATACGGTATTCATTATCTTAACTCTCTTTTTATAAAAAAGAAAAGAACATTAGACTAAAAAATGCCAAAACATTAGATTTATCTATTTCTTCTATGCTACCTTTTTCATCCAGCTGATTTTAATTTATTTTTTTTATTTTATTTTTATTTATTTACTTATGCATTTTGGCCCAGATCGGGACAAGTGCGAGTCAATTCAACACACAGTTTATAGAATTAAAGAGAAGAGACTGCTTCTACGTAGCAGAGAAATAAAAAAACACAGAATAAAGGATAAACTTTATACAAAACATTTAATTGATAAAGTATCAGCATTTTTTCAGAGTTTTGATCCCGCTTGTACACAAAGAATTACAGTCATCTTAATTTCAAAAGATAAATCATTAAGTTAACTTTAGTCAACATGTATAAAAAGTAATGTATAAGACATAAAAAATTTTCTCCGTTTATCTCCTATTATCGACTGCACAATTGTTAATTCATCCCCGACAAAATTTGCGTGTAATTGCATAACTTTCGGAAATGGTAGTCCTTTCTCAAGCTCTCTGGAATTTCGGATACGGCTATCACCTAACAATTTAGGGAAATTTAGAGTCTTCAAACAACCCCAGAATTGCCAGCTTTCCAAAGCTTTTCTGGAGAACTATGTCCATCACATATAATCAAATGATATACAGAATGTTGAAAATGATAAAAAAGAAAATGAGGATGAAGATTTTCAGTGCCACCCCCCCCCCCCCCCCCCCCCACCACACACACACACACAGAGTATGCAGTATGGTCAAATTAATCTTTCACAGTTAATGTATCCGTAATTATTTTTGTGGAAAGAGGAACTCAAAACTTAATATCCATACCCCCCCCCCCCCCCACACACACACACACATACCCAGTAATAGGTTTGTTTTAAGAGTTTGATTAATTTCTACACCTTTTTATTGTCATATTGTCAAAGTTTTGCTAAGGTGACTTGTCATTTTTTGGTTTCTCCCTGCCTCGGCCCAGCTTCCCCCTTCTCCACTTTGTTAATCAACTTTAAGTGTCTGCTTGATGTAGACAAACTTATACTCATCTAGAATGTTTGGTATCTGACACCTCGTACAGTTAAACTTTGTTAAATCAAATCCTTGGATATATCGAAGTTTTAATTGGTCCAATCAAGTTTGAGATAACAAGCGTTGACTGTATGCATTATGGGAAATATATCTTGTACTGGTAAAGGTTACTTCGAGAATGATACAATAATATATCCTGATATTGTGAGAGAGAGAGAGAGAGAGAGAGAGAGAGAGAGAGAGAGAAGGGGAAGTCCCTTTTTGAACCTTTTTTTTTTATTTTTAAACAATTTAATAAAAATATACATACTTTTTTTTTTACTAATTTTATTTTTTTTAAATCCTTCCATAAAATGATAGGTGTGAACAGCAACTTAATACGTTTCATTAGGAATATTACTATATATCTTATTTTCCAATGAATGAGGTTAAAATCAATCAAGAAACGATAGAAATGTTACCCAACGGTTAAATCATCGGGATCGAGATGCCTCTCATACCTCGATACGTATACGGATACAGATACGGATACGGATACGTCAGATAGAACAATCTCTATTACCAGTCTAGCACAATCCCATACCTGATGTGAGCGGACTGTAAAATTCACAGGTATCAGAAATTCTCAGCTTCAGGAATTCACTACAAAGGTTGGACTGTACACAGCAGTAGTTGTGTGGTTCTTCATCCTTCAGATTGGCCATGGCTTCATTATGTATGGGGTGCTCCGTGTAAATAAAACCAGCCTCTCTCCCAGTGCTGATCAGATTGGAATGGGTGGAGTTTCTTGAGTAACAGCATTTCTTAAAAACAGAAATAAAAAAAAAACAAAAAAAAAAACAATTATACTGCATTTTATAATAAATTCAGATAAGATACATGAAATCTTGTAACAAACACTGAACACATTCCTGAGTACATTACTGCAGATAAGGGTGAATTAAAAAAAAATGACCACCAAACTGATTTTTTTTGGCAAAATTCAACTACTTATAACATATTTTTCACTTATATCGTCATATTGCAAATGCATTCTAGTTTAAAATCCTGAAGTGGCAATAGAATAGACAATTGGATTAAAAAGTTTCAGAATTTTTATTAGTAAAATTTCTTTTGAAAAAAGAAAATATCATTACACCTTAAAAGACTTTCTAAAATACATAATCACAAGAAATTATAGTTTTTTTATGCTTTAAAATGGTAAAAGGGGGATAAATGATTAAATCTAGACCTTGAATGAGTATCTTCTCTTGCACATGTGACAAAAAATTGGCTTTTTGATTGTTATTTTACATTATTTTTTCAATTCTGGTTTGAAAAGTTTTAATATGAAAAAAATATGAAGCAATAAAATTCCCCAAAATTCACTTTCTTGTCCGTTCAAGTCAATTCTTTAAATCTAAGCCAAAAAAGAATTGTTATATATGAGTTCTCTTATGAAAAATACTAGATTTTGAAGTGACCTTATGTTACATTATTGTGTTGCACTCCTGACATCTGATATGTATTTTATTAAACATTGTTTTAAAAATTATAACACACAATAACCCATTTTTACTTTGTAAATCAATTTGTTGTGTTGATATTTTTCATCGTTTACAGCAGGTTTCTCATATTTTGAAGACCTTAAAACATGATTATTTGCAAGGTGTAATATACATAAATTGTATTTAAAATATATGTGAAATGATGAGAACTATTCCCTGAATTGACTGTAAAATTTCTGTAACTTGTTGATAGACATAGTGTTTTGAACATCAAATAGTATCAAGCATTTTTTTTTCAACTTGATTTTTAGTAAAGATAGTTAAAAAGCATCGGTAATTATGAAGCAGTTTTGTTGCACTCCTGACTGCAGTAAAGTTTAAAATTATAACCACAGAACACAAAAATTCATAAAGTGTTGGCAACATCAAGTGGTAATGAAATTGTGCAATACTTATAGTCCAATACTTCATAATTAAAACAGATGAAAGTATTTAAAATTCGCATTTTATCTGGAATTATACCCTATTTTATGCCAAAAAACTAGCTTAAATGTATATTTAGAAGAAAAAATATATTTTAAAGCATATTTTCCTTTAGAAGACAAACACAGTTACCCACCAGAAAAATTCTACTCATCATTTTCTCTTTCATTTTATTCTTATTGGATGATTTATAGTTCTAACATATTTGTTGCACTCCTGACCAAAAGCACTGGGGCCTTTAAAGTAGAATTGTGAAGTGAAAATTACATAAGAACTTGTTCTGTTGTTTCAGTGAAGTTGAGGAGGAATTACTCGAATTTTATGACAATGTTTTAGTGTGTTTATTTTTAATGTTCATTAAAAAAAATCACAAAAAAGATAAAAACACATCTGAATTGATAAAATTGAAAAAGGAATGATTTTAATAATAAAACTGTCAATAATTTAGCATTAAATTATACAAAAAGATCATTATTAATTAATGAATACTTCTAAGCATGAATAGAAGTCTTTTCGTCACACAACTTGAATCTTTAAAAAAATGTGTTGCACTCCTGACCATAGAAACATGGATCAGAAGCACAGACAGATCCTGTAATTGATAAATCTATTTGGTAAAAATGTTCTTTGTGTCTCTATTTTCCAAAATAAAAATCAGAAAATCATATAATGATAATAGTTTTTTCATGCTTGGGAGCAAAATATCAAATGTTGCACTCCTGACATTTTGGGGTATGTACATATACTTGACTCTCATTAATGCTGCTTGTGATTTATATAACATTTTTAAGTTTTAAAATGTATATCAGTTATTATTTTACACTTCCAAAATTCTTTTTTGTCTTAATTTTCTATCACAATTTTACAATTGATGTTTTTTTGGCAACACTACATTTTTTCTGTTGCACTCCTGACATGGTATAACATTTTTTTAAACATCAGCCATGACCACAACCTGATTAAACAAAAGCTACTACAGTCCACAGTTAAAGCTCAATGCTTTGAATATTATCAGGGAAGTCTTTATTTTCAACATGAAGCATTATTTTTTATTTCACAGATCTCCAAAAAATATTGAAATTTCAAAATGTCACAAAAAGGTGTTGCACTCCTGACAATTTTAGCATCATTTTTGGGCATAACTTTTTTGTTAATTGAGATATCAACGAGATATTTGGCAGGTATTTAGACACTATCTAAAGACATATGCTGAGACATAGAAATCTATTTTCATTGCCTGTATTTTTAGTGTGGGTTGATAAATATGCATTTGGTCATTTTTTTTTAATTCACCCATAACACTTTTTGTGTTTGATTTTTGTCTCTTACATTTCTATTATGATTTTTCTTGATTATATAGTTTTCATATCTTTTGTACATACACAAGAGATTTCAAACTTTTTAAAAAATATTTAGGATAATTAAATTTTAGTACGCTTGATGCAAGAATGTATAATGGCAATCAAACACACTTGAAATTTGCAGCTCTGATAATTTTTGGAAAAAAGAAATTTCTGAAGAAGCTGTTAAAATATATGGTCTAAAATGCTCTAGAAACATTTAAGTTGTGAAATTCTACCTAAAATTTTGAAGGATATAAACTTCAAAACTATGTCTTATACTGTCTATGCCCCTTTATACAACCATAATTTATATTTTTAGGGCAAAAAGGGAACTCTACTGTTAGCTGAGTACATGTATTAACTTTCCAGTTGTTCTTTACATTCATCTTTGAAATTTTATATTCTTACTGACACAACTTTACTTTACACATTTTCCTTTCCAGCAGGATATTAACCCAGAAATGAAATAAAATTTAAAATGCATTAGACATTACCCTTGTCCCTGTTATGGCAGAAGGTGAAAACTTCAATACATAACAGTTGGGCTCCTTTGGGTACTGAACAAAGCGGCCATCTTTTTGTATCCTGTCTTCACTACAGGGACACTTTGTTAAATTTGTATTGGCCAAAACAACAGCCAAGAATCCTGGATTTCCAGAGTTTTGCATCCATGTATAGCATTTTTCAGCAAAGTTTATAAAGTTGTTCATTCTGTCCAATTTGTAAATCCATAGTCCTTGCTTACTTCCATCTGTAAATAAAAAGCATGCCATGAGCATATGATTTGCCCATCAAGAAAATATGATCATAAATTACTGTAGAGTTGTGATAAAAAAATGTCTGTAGATACATAATTAAAACAATTAATGTTTCATGATTCTTTTCTGAGAAATATGTAATTGCAGTTTTCATGTAAACTCACTGACCCAAAAAATGCCCAAGGCTACTCAAAACTGGTCTTGGCTAGAAAAAAAAAATTGGCCCAATATGAGGTACCGACTAGTGATAAATTATGGAATGATGATGAAGTGTTCGTAATTGAATTATAATTCTAGAAATAAACAATGTTTGAGTTAAATTCCCTGTTTATCTTGTCACTATTATGCTTTTTACTTTGATGCTTAACACAGATGTTGAAAATTTTTTTCAATGAGTGTGAATAAATCCTTGACCTTTAAAATGAATACCTTTGATGTTTTGAATGCAAACACTGGCTAGTAAAAATGTCAAACCCATTAGTTCTACTGGCTAGTACCTCAAAAAAGGTTTCCTGGAGATCATACTTGTATAGCCATGCAATTGCAAAATGAGGTCACGGTGACCTACTTTTGGATCACAACTCACTTTCCTCCAAGATGCATCAACTGACCTTTAGGCCTAACAGTACGAGAGATACAACAAAAAGTTATCAGAAGGACAGTTGGATTGAGAAAGCCAATACCATATGACCCTGCAACAGACATGAGTATAAATGGATTAGAAATCCAATACAAATTATCAACAATTCAGCCAAACAAAAAACAAAATCCTACAAAAGTAACACACACAAAGATAAAGTATTGCATGTATTATATTATATATATAATAATTATGTTAAAAATGCATACTATCTGACATCATTCTTAAGAATTAAGGTTCATCATTTTTGGGGGAATCAATGAAGAGTTTAGAACACTCAATGCTGTGCATCATTTAGAATACATTCTTCCTATAATTTTGCTGTTGAATTTTGAGAAAGTATGTACTCTAAGACACAAGACATTGTATGAAAATAAGCATGGAAAGGTATGTCTAATATGGGCTTTTTAGTTAGTGAGTTGTTTTAGGTGTTCAAATGAAAAAAAAAAATTGATTAACAGAAATTACTGAAAACCAGACCCATTTAATAAAAAGGAAATTAGCAAAATAAAATTATATTCTATAACAATATATATTTGACTTTCCAGCCTACTGTACAGTGGCCTTAATCAGCCTTGGGCGGCCTCTGTTTTTGGAGGATAGCTTAGATTCAATATAGCGGCCAAATTTTTTACCATATATGGAAACCACATTGCATTGTGGGATAGTTTATCCTCCGATTTCAGAGGATAACACAGGTAATTTTCAAATTCCTTGTGTTAGTCACCCGCGGTGCAGTGGTTAGAGCATTTGCTTTAGAGTCGCAGCGTAAGGAGTTGATCCTTACGTCACGGGTTCAAATCCCACTGTGGGATGTGGAGACCAGTCCTTCAGATGAGACCGTATAAACTGAGGTCCCGTGTGGCAGTAGGTGCTGGCATGAAAAAGATTCCTCACTGCTCAATGGCCCTGAGTGCCGAGTATAGGTCAAAATTTGTAGCTCTCCACCGGCAAGTGGTGGAGTCTCCATTTGAGTGAAAAATTCTCGAGAGGAACGTTAAACAATAAACAAACAAATTCCTCATGCCTACCTTTAATCAAAAAGTGCAAGCACCAAAGTACATGTAGATAAAAGTTCAAACATTAAACAATCGATTGTATGTGGCGATTTGAGATTCCATGTCTAGATATTTTGCAATTTATTTTCAAAGTTGGCACTTTTTACTCTCCATTATTACTGAATATTTCCTGTTATTTTGTGTTTTTATGATTTTTTTCCTATTTAGACAAATTAAAAAGGACTTTAATATTTCTTTCATATTTTCTTTTAATTCAGAAAAGGAGGACAAAAAGAAACAAAAAAGGAAACATATTTTAAGCGTATTTAAAATGCAAAATATACTCTGACTTATACTTTAAGCAAATAAAACCATAAATTGATTGAATAATTATAAAAATAAATAATTTGAATAGCATAAATAAATACAATAAATAATTTAACATGTTTACTAAGAAATTAACATATATTCATATAGCCATGTGTAGACATAAACAAATAAAATATTACAAAGTGATGTGCTGAAGAATTATTAAATGAAAGAAATATGATAAATGATTAAACAGTGCTCGACATTAACTTTTTCCCCTACTTGTCCATTCGGACAAGTGACTAAGATATTTACTTGTCCGAACTTCAACTTCACTTGTCCGAAAAAAACTTTTCAATAAAGATCTAATACTGTCAACTTGAAAAATGAAAACAAAAATAAAGTCCATTACACATGACATGTGCTTGATTTATTCGTGATGTTATTGATAAATACAACAAACACATAAAATGAAATTTTATCTGACAACAAGTGAACCCGTCAACATCAAACAGAATCCAAACTTTGTTAAGTTCGTAAGTTCCATGCCTTTTCAGTAGTATGCAATTAGTGAGCTTCGATCCCGATCAAATGTGAATCGAAGTCCGGTTTTTATGTACAGCTTCCGTCTTGAAACTACCGATTAACTTTCAACAGTCGTTCTTTTTATTATTTAGAGACTCCTTTACATTAAAATGCACTTGTCCAATCGGACAAGTGCCCAGCAATATTCACTTGTCCGTAATTTTTTTTCACTGGTACCGGACATGCGGACAAGCGTTAATGTCGAGCCCTGTTAAACTTAATTTTTCAAAAAAAAAATAAATAAATAAATTGATTATCAAAATTTCTAAACCATATTTACTGCTTATCACATAATTACGGTACTGGAAAATCAGCGGGGTCATAATAAACCTCAGTCACAGGCAGGTTAGTGTAATATTTGTTTTCCAAGCTGTATATGGAATAACTGATTGACAGCATGCAATTACAAAAATAGTAATATTGATTTTCAATCATCATATGAAATTATACCTATTTGTTTTGATTGCAAAATCAGCGTATGGTTCATAAATGCAATTGCAAGAGTTGCTGTTATTTTTTGTTTAAGAGTTAACTGCCCTTAGTTTTGAAAATTCTGGTAGGTGGTAAGGCCGCTATATCCTCTGTTTTCAGAGGATAAAATCTATCCTCCAAAAACAGAGGCCACTTAGACCTGTTAATTAGTCCCAAATGTCTGGGTCATTACTGATAAAGGTAAGGAAACAGAAATATTCTGTTATCTCTCATACCATATAAGGGCCTACTTTGGATTTCATTTGTTTTACAAAATCAGGAAATACGAAGAAAAGAGACACGAGTATAAAGATGGAATCACAAAATTCAGACTTGATGAAATGCTCTCAGTCTAAGAAATGTCAATGTGGTGCTATTTATTTCAATAAATTAGAATACCTGAAAGTGTTGTACCGATAATCAGAAAGCATCGATTGTCAACGAAAAAATGCTACCGATTCCAATGATCGATTATAATATTTCATACTGATCATCGGAAACATACTTCTAATACAATACATTCCGAAATTATCCATTTCTGGCTTAAAATTTATTTCTTCTTAATGACAGAAAATGGCATCTGCATCTGATACTAGCCAACTAGCACAAAGCAGAGGTGATTAAGAACCAAAATGTGCATATATATAAGTGTAAAAGAAGCAAAACAACAAAGAAAATAATATATTATATATTTTATATATTCATGTTAAAGAAATAATATGAAATAATTGCAATAGTCTGCTTTTTTATTACAAAACTATGACATTCGATTATAATCGGTAAAATCGCATCGGAAGCAGTAACCGATTCCAACCGGTGATCGATTATGAAAATTAACCGATGTTCCATCACTAATACCTGATGCTGATGAACAGCCCCACTTACACAAGAAACCCTTGAAGTATTAAGTCAGTAAGAGCTCCCAGGTGAGTTCAAACATGGTGGGCAGTTGCAGGCCTTATTGATTTCATAGTATAGATGGGTATACAGGTACCTGTATATACTCATCATTTTGTCAATTATGAAGTTAGATGGGGTTTGCCTATGCGCAATGATATTCTTTAATCATTCACAATTCTCTGTCCCTACTGATCAATCTCTCTTACAATGATAGCAAGTGCTGCGAGCTTTAACAACATCGCCTGGGCGAAGAGAAAATTCGGACTTTGCACACTGATCCAAATGATTTTTTTTTGGCAGTAAACTCTGGACCCACAATCCTTTGCAAATTGCATCTCGCTGCAAACTACGTTCTTGCGGTAACAACAAAAGTTCACCTAAATAATAAACTCATCTTTATTTAATGAATATTGCAGATAAATAGTAGATTAAACGTTCTTTGCTAAAAATTTTTATTTTTCAGACTTTAATTGTTATGGTAATACAACTGTTGCAACAAACATACAATGTCAGGCGACATCAGATCTAGACATTCCAAATGTCATGTGCAGTTTGAAGAGGCGGAACTGAATTAAAACAAAATAGGTATTTGCACTGGCCCTAACGATAGCACCGTCAACATATTATAACATATATAAGCTTGACATTATAAATGAAAACTTTATGAGTGCAGAAAAATAAGAATTATAACGAAAATGATGTCTATTTATGAATTATAAATGAGTGCAGACTATAAAAAGCAAAACAAACACAATGTTTACTTATGACATACAAATGAGTACAGAATATATCCTTAATTTTCATTAAATCGCGGGTTTCATAGTATCGCGGTATTTTCCAAAAATTAGGATACATAGCTCATATCCTTTTTGTTGATGGACTATCTGTCTGTCGTCTGAATGTTGACTTTTGTGATGATTAAAAAGTATGGAACACCCGCTGGAAAAATATTTATTCAAATAAAACGAAATTTTACAGATTTCCATTCCCGTTTTTATTTTATTTAGACCATTGAATATATAACCAAGTAAAATCCATAATAAAGTTCAAATTTTGAAAGCCTTAAGTTTGTATTATTGTTAAGTTTTCATGAAGATTTACATCATAAATTAAAAAATAAAAATTGTACTTTGTTACAGTGCAAAACCTCCATGTTTTTCAATACCGCGATACAATGAGACACTCTGTTTTAAAATAGACTACAAAGTAAACGAAGAAAGCTTAGAAAATAATTATGAATAGTTTTTGGTGAAAAGTTAATGTAAGAATTTGGAAAAACTTTTTTACGCCAAAGAAATAAGAACCGCGATATTATGAGACACTAATCTCGGTGGAGATTCGGCTGGGCTAGATATTTGGTCTGACGACCAAATATCTAGCCCAGCCGAATCTCCACCGAGATTAATGAGACACCAGTATAAAAAGCAAAACAATGTCTATTTATGAATTCGTCACGTTGAGACAATAACTTTCCAAGGACACGTTTTGAAATAAAATTGTACCTGTACCGGGTATAAAATATTTGCATCTTTAGTCATATATTTTCAACCTCAAGCTCAGCTGTTCCCCTATTTTTTCTTACCCCGACTATCTCTCACGGTTAACCACGGCTGCCTGTTGAATTTTGGCGGTCTGGTCATAAAGCCCAATTTCAGTACTCCCGATCCCGATCAAATTGTACACGTATAGGACTACGTTCAAGCAGTTTTGTGAAAATTTCAAAGAGACAACAGATAAGTATAGTGAAAATTACTGCATAAAAGCAGTAAAATATCATACACTTACAAATAAGAACACCGTTTTAGTTGAAAGTTTATGTTTTTTCCTTTATTTTTTTACTTTGGGAGCAAACTGGACCAGGCTCACCCACAGGTGCTTAAAGCCTTAAACATTTAGGTCTCGAGCTGTTTTTTCATGTTTTATTCTTCAAAAAATTTCAATTAACGCAAAATAAGCTCTGTATAAAAAAAATATATGGTATATACATGTAAATAGAGTTGCCTGAACATGCTTGGACCATCTTCTCTATAAATTTATTTCTGATTCATATATATGGCATATATATTTTTTATACAGATGTTATTCCGCGTTAATTGTGAATTTTTGTAGTGCAGTACACATCAACAAAAGCTTGAAGGCATAAAACATAAAAAAAACTCTGGAAGCCCTAAATAATTGGGGGGAGGGGGGGTCATGTCCCCAGGCACCTGTGGGCACACCCAAGGGGTTTTGTTTCACATCTATGGTCACACCATCTATTAAAAGTGATAGGGAACGAACAGATTAGAACTGCCAAATAACATGTTAAAAAAATTGAAGAACTGGAAAAACAGCTGAATATATCTGCTTAAAGTTAAGCAGTTCATTGACAAGATTTTACAAATAGGCTGACCTTGACTGTTGGTTGTTCTGAGCAAACTATATTAAATAGACTGAGTTCAAATAATAAGTGTACATGTATTTTGAAACAAGCATTGGTAAAACACAGAATATAAACTAACTTAACAGCTTAAGATTGAGTGAAATTAATATACACAATTGTATTTTATAAATGATAAATTATGCTATAATGTTACACATGCATAATTTTATCAAATTAGTATAATTAAGGTCACACTTACTGTTATAACCATTGTTAATGACATCCTGTAGAATGTGATTGGTCAGAGAAGCAGGGTGACTGTAGAAGTCATCTGACCCACACCTGTAGCCCAGTAAGACAGGTTTAGGAGGAATCCAGTCCATCTGTTTAAACAGAAAGGCTGCATAGGTGGTCACTCCATCACTGGCTATCAGAAGCTGGAAACTGGCATTCTATTAAAAAAAAAAAAGATATGTCTTTTTTAAAAAGGTAATTAGGTTATTCTCCTGGATTTTTTAAGCATATATGATAATATTATTTACAATAGAAAGCAAAGTTCTAATGAACAACTAGCAAATCTGATCATCCCTAAGCAAATGTTTCTCACAAATTTGATTGTTTTCAAACATTTAGTTATCCATGCTTTCAGAATACTGTAGATGTACATTTTTCTGTGTGGAATTAATTTATGATATTATACTTTCATGTAAATTAGTTGAATCTGATTCGTCGAGAAACATTTGTTAAAAAACACTATTACCCGCTGAATAATGAAGCCACGCCCACCAGCGTAGCAACAGTTAACATTGCTTGACGACGGGTGTTATTCCAAAAAATAGCAACTGCGCAGAATTTATGCGCGCAGGGTTCACTGTTATACATGTATGTATTTATATAAAACATTCAGTATAATATAATAAATATTGCATGTAGTTGAGTGTAACATTGAAAATTTTCACCCCTCGAAAACCATTGTCAACCTCGGCTGCGCCTCGGTTGACAATGGTTTTCTTGGGGTGAAAATTTTCAATGTTACACTCAACTACATGCAATATTTATATACTACGTACCGGTCACAATTTTTTGAGGAAACTTAAAGGCAGCATCTAAGACATTAAGGCAGTTCAAGAAATCTGCGTAATTTTTTACCTGCAGATTGAACAGAAATTGTGATTCTGCTGAATTATGACCCTGTGGAAAAAAGTACATTAGTACACATTAGTACACTACCTGTGAGGAATATGATGACACTGGAGCAGGATGAACATTCTCCCATGTCACGACTAAAGCTGTATTAGGGTTAAAACTAGAGGCTGTAGCTGAGTCTCTGTAATTCTCCACAATCAGAGACTGGGCCTGGCTCAGAACTGAGGAATTTGCTGTGAATTTATTGTAGAAATGATACCAAATTCTGGAATCTCTTGTCATGTCAATGTCTGACCAGAAAGGAGCAACCATAGAGCCTGGTTGTACTTCATTCAGATTTGAAAACAGATGAGGTCTACCACTGTTGAATTCACCATCAAGAGTAATATAGCCATTTGTGTAGATCTGGAAAATGGATAAGTGTCTGCAACATTGTAAATGGTTCCTTGATCATGCCTAAATTTGTCCATAGCAAAACCATCTGCACTTTCTACTTATACATGTACTGGCAGCTTTCATGTTATTAATTAAGACATATCTTTTTGAAGACAATAAAAAAAAATCTTTTCATTGAATAAAAATTTCAGAATCCATATATCTTGTTCAGAAATGTACTTTTTTATATTTACATTTCCAATAAATTTCCCCTATGATTCTTTACAAAATAGAATACAGTTCATTTTCTCATGAACTACCATGGATGAGCATGAATATCTCCATTGTTACGTCATAATACCTTACTTGACGTCAAAACTATAGTGCAAACTGTTTTGCTTTAAAAATGACAGTTGAATGGCATTATTTGTGGCAAATCATCAGAAAAAAAAATAATGTAAATATAAGAAATGAATTTCATTTTTGAAAATTCATGAGGTACATGAACTACAACGCTTCACGCCGGCATATTTATCATGAAGCGCTAACGCGCTTCATGAAATATGCCGACGTGAAGCGTCGTAGTTCATGTCCTCATGAATCTTCAAAAATGAAATTCATTTCTTAAATATGCCCGTCTTTAGACGGGATGTATTATGTTATGGCGTTCATGTCCGTCCGTCTGTTAGCTTTTCTCGTGTCCAGCTCATAACTTTAATACTATTAGGCCTAGGATTATCAAACTTTGTCAGCTGATACTTCTTGGGTAGGTGTGTCGCGCACTAAAAGTGGGTTGCTCTGACCTTTAATTAAGATGCTATGGCCAAATATGGAAAAATCCTGTCCGGCTCATAACTAGAAAACTATTGGAATCATCAAACTTGGCCAATTTATGCATCTTAGGTAGAAGGTGTGTCGCAACCTATTTCAAGGTCACTGTGACCTTTAATTTAAATGAAATTTAAAAAAAAAAAAACTGTCTTTTTACTATTAGATTACACAATCCCAAAAATGCAAGAGTGTTGCAGTATCCTTATTAAAAAAAATGTTAAATCAAGAAAATACTTATTTTTTTTCATTGTATACTTTACAGCAATCTATAACAAATGTAATGTTACAAGAGAAATTCCACCTCTCCCAGGGGTGTAATTATCAAGCACTGGTCAAGGAGAATTTGATAACAGAAGAGTGCACGTCAAATTAGAGAGAAATTAATGAGTTTAGTGTGAGGAGCTAACTGGTAGAGCATCTCTGATCAAGCAGGTGTTATCTATATCTCTTGGGAACTGGGCAAAAAGAATCAGCCGTGTTGGATTAAATAGTTGGCTAGCCTAACTTTTAAAATGAATTTGGTGAAAAGTAATTAAAACTTATTTGATATTGTATAATAAATTAATTTGATATTGTTTAATAAACTAATTTGATATTGTATAATATAATTAAAACTAATTATACTTGGGGGGCGGGGGTGTGATATTGGAATGAATTGCAGCTTAAAACCAGTCTGACATTAAATCTAAAAAAATCAAGTATTTAAAAAAAATGTTTTAATTATGGTAGATAGTCCCTACAAATCTAAGAGTAATGCAGGAACCTTATTAAAAATGTTGCATCAAGATTACACATTTTTTTCTTTTTATAAATCTTTGTAACAAATTAAAAAAATCTTTGTTTTCAAATTTAATTTCAGAATGACATAAATGTGCATTTTTATGGCACTACAAAGCAGATAGTATGTATAGATCCATTCATCCGTTGGGAGTAATGAGTGGACATGCATCCAGTTAAAGATTAATTAATGAGTTCAGTGTAGGAAGGCTAGCTGTCTCAATCATTTCTGTTAGATGATCTCTGATCAAGCAGCTCTTATCTGTTTCCTTTGGGAATTAGACAGAAGAACTGCTTGTAAGTTTATAGCATATGTCATTTGATGGCCAGCCTTTTATTTTTAATATTAATTTGATATAGATTAAGTTGTTAAGACTAAATTGATATTGTTTAATGATATTTTTATTTAATTTTTTAGCTGGGGGGGGGGGGGGGGGGCTGCAGATGGGCATTTTTCAAGCTCTAACACAAACAGTTGAGGATCTATAATGTAACATTTGTTATAATTAATGCCTACACCACAGGAGATGTATAAACAAATATTATAAGGAATGGAAAAATCATTGAATTCCTTGTATCTAGGTTGACATGATTTTCTTGCACTCTAAACTGTTTATGACAATTGAACAATATTTGACGGGCGTATCATGCTGTAGCGGGGCACTTTACTTAATTTGACAACCAAAATTTACAAATTCTTTATATATAAAAGCTATTTGAGAAGAATTAGGGCTTAATATCCATTGTATCCAGGGCCAGTAAAAGGAAACTGTCCCAATTGAAAATTGGCTCTTTTTTTCCCAAAATTTTTGCAATTTTCATATAAAATTAACTAGGGATGTCAATTTTGTCAGTAATTCATATTCGAATATTCAATGAAAGTATTCGATTATATTCGAATATTCGATAGGATTTGGTTAATTTCATATATGCATCATCTTACCCTCATGACAGATTTGGAAGAAAAACTGGGTGTAGAATTTTGTAGGTATACAGTAAGGAATTTTACATTTGCTATTTGTCGATGTTTTAAATAAGTATATTGATTTGAATGTACATGTAAACATCCCAAATATAATTCTACAAATTATATCTTGAAGCTCTAAATGATGAACTGATTGTCTTATCAAGGGCAAAGATTGTCGTATACTGTTCAGATTTAAATGTATGTTATTAGTTACAATTATCTACCCAATAAGAGTTGTAATCATAATCCTTGATTCAATATTTTCAAAACGCAAACAAACACTTCCAAGGACAATTTTCATAGGTAATTAACTATTTTCCCGAAAATGATTTTTAGAATATGGAATATGTACAACCGAGATAATCAATTTAAGTGATTAACGCAATTAATTCTGAAATTGATCCCTTTACGGTATTACAGACAATTAATTAAATGATCAATGAATTTATTTTGTCAAGTAAACTCTTCACATCTTTTAGATGTACAAAGAAGGGTTTCATTCTGTTGTCCTCGAAATTAATCATAGTTATCTCTTTTTTGTGAAATCTGGAAAAAACGAATATTCGAATCGTAAATTCTTATTCGAATATCAACTCATCGAATGAATATTCGAATAATCGAATATTCGTTGACATCCCTAAAATTAACATATTTTGCAGTGGCGGATCCAGGAATCTTGAAAAGGGGGGGAGGGGGCAACTAGTTTGGGGTCGGGGTAGGGGCCCACGGCCACACAAAAAAAAATTGATTTATTAAATCTTATGTATATTTTGGACACAAAAGGGGGGCCCAGGCCCCCTGGGCCCCCCTCTAAATCTGCCAGTGTTTTGAGATTACAATTCATAAAGATGTAAATAGGGAATGTCTACAATCTAACTTTATGTAAGGTTCATCAATACTCTAAAAAGAGAGATAACTCACAATGGGTTAAATGACTATTATTCCTTTATAAAATTGTCAAGTTAACAGGAAGTTCCTGTCAAAGTTTGCCCAACAAAATATGCTGAAATTGAGTGCATTTTATTTATAAATTAGATTTCTTTTGGATAAGCATTAGGGACAAATTGTATATGAATGAGCAGAGGGATGAACATTAATCAACACTTTAACATAACAGAAGTCATCAATATTTCAAATTTTGCCACTTGTTCGGTTTAAAATTCCCAAGTGAAAGGGCACAGGAACCTGTACCACAAGGGTCAATTAAGCTCTGCAGAATTAGGATAATACAAGTAGAGTCAAAATATTCAACATTTGAGATATATTTCCAAATAAATACTTTTTTCCTAGGGAGGTTACGTCAGCATGCACCGTGCACATCAATAAGACATTAGTTTTAGAGTACAATTCCAGTTCCCCAGGAATCACTCATTTGTATGAGATAAATGAGTGTCACACAATTTTCAATAATTTAACAGAATGTCTCCAGTCAGAAGAAATTAATTAAACAAACATTGCATCTGTCTTCTGTGTTATTTACACTTTCAAAAAATATTTAAGAATAGCATACATTTAATCCCGAAAGAGCTCTCTTTCTCCCCTGTATTATGAGAAGTAGAAACAAAAATAAAGATTAATAAACTGTATAATATTTTCTGTAAATTTTGATAAACACCTGTACTAATTTTCTGCAACTTACATAAATTTTATGAGTCAATGAAGATCCACATGTAAACCCCACTGGATTTTCTAGCTTAGCCAACAACAAATCATCTCCATAGGAACCTCGGACATCACCAAAATTTTCTCCATGTTGCAGAAAATCTTAAAAGGATAGTACAGTCATAGTTTGAAAAGCAAACATTAGAACCACCAACTTGAAATGGATGAAATATCACACATATTAAACATAATTCTTAAAAATATTATTCAGTAAAGTCAGAATAAGTCTTCTGAATATATTTTTTACACTGACAAAGAAAAAAAAACAGAATGGGGATCATTAATTAAAAAAAGATATTCAGAATGGTAAGTGAGCTTTTTTGTTAAATGTAAAAGTAATTGGAAAAATATTTGATGCTACAAACATACCTAAAATCATTGGACTTGCACTAGTTGTAGAAATTAACATTTCACTAGATGTTGATGTTTCAGTAGAAGTAGTCAAGACTTCTGTAGTGGTAGTTGTTGGTGCCTGTGTAGTTGTTGTAGTGGTTGGAGTTTCAGTAGTTGTGGTAGTTGTTGGTGCTTCAGTAGTAGTGGTCAAGGCTTCTGTAGTGGTAGTTGTTGGTGCCTCAGTGGTTGTTGTAGTGGTTGGAGTTTCAGTAGTTGTGGTAGTTGTTGGTGCTTCAGTAGTAGTGGTCAAGGCTTCTGTAGTGGTAGTTGTTGGTGCCTGTGTAGTTGTTGTAGTGGTTGGAGTTTCAGTAGTTGTGGTAGTTGTTGGTGCTTCAGTAGAAGTGGTCAAGGCTGCTGTAGTGGTAGTTGTTGGTGCCTCAGTGGTTGTTGTAGTGGTTGGAGTTTCAGTAGTTGTGGTAGTTGTTGGTGCTTCAGTAGTAGTGGTCAAGGCTTCTGTAGTGGTAGTTGTTGGTGCCTCAGTGGTTGTTGTAGTGGTTGGAGTTTCAGTAGTTGTGGTAGTTGTTGGTGCTTCAGTAGTAGTGGTCAAGGCTTCTGTAGTGGTAGTTGTTGGTGCCTCAGTGGTTGTTGTAGTGGTTGGAGCTTCAGTAGTTGTGGTAGTTATTGGTGCTTCAGTAGTAGTGGTCAAGGCTTCTGTAGTGGTAGTTGTTGGTGCCTCAGTGGTTGTTGTAGTGGTTGGAGTTTCCGTAGTTGTGGTAGTTGTTGGTGCTTCAGTAGTAGTGGTCAAGGCTTCTGTAGTGGTAGTTGTTGGTGCCTGTGTAGTTGTTGTAGTGGTTGGAGTTTCCGTAGTTGTGGTAGTTGTTGGTGCTTCAGTAGTAGTGGTCAAGGCTTCTGTAGTGGTAGTTGTTGGTGCCTGTGTAGTTGTTGTAGTGGTTGGAGTTTCCGTAGTTGTGGTAGTTGTTGGTGCTTCAGTAGTAGTGGTCAAGGCTTCTGTAGTGGTAGTTGTTGGTGCCTGTGTAGTTGTTGTAGTGGTTGGAGTTTCAGTAGTTGTGGTAGTAGTTGGTGCTTCAGTAGTAGTGGTCAAGGCTTCTGTAGTGGTAGTTGTTGGTGCCTCAGTGGTTGTTGTAGTGGTTGGAGTTTCAGTAGTTGTGGTAGTTATTGGTGCTTCAGTAGTAGTGGTCAAGGCTTCTGTAGTGGTAGTTGTTGGTGCCTCAGTGGTTGTTGTAGTGGTTGGTTTTTCAGTAGTTGTGGTAGTTATTGGTGCTTCAGTAGTAGTGGTCAAGGCTTCTGTAGTGGTAGTTGTTGGTGCCTGTGTAGTTGTTGTAGTGGTTGGAGTTTCAGTAGTTGTGGTAGTTGTTGGTGCTTCAGTAGTAGTGGTCAAGGCTTCTGTAGTGGTAGTTGTTGGTGCCTGTGTAGTTGTTGTAGTGGTTGGAGTTTCAGTAGTTGTGGTAGTTGTTGGTGCTTCAGTAGTAGTGGTCAAGGCTTCTGTAGTGGTAGTTGTTGGTGCCTCAGTGGTTGTTGTAGTGGTTGGAGTTTCAGTAGTTGTGGTAGTTGTTGGTGCTTCAGTAGTAGTGGTCAAGGCTTCTGTAGTGGTAGTTGTTGGTGCCTCAGTGGTTGTTGTAGTGGTTGGAGTTTCAGTAGTTGTGGTAGTTGTTGGTGCTTCAGTAGTAGTGGTCAAGGCTTCTGTAGTGGTAGTTGTTGGTGCCTGTGTAGTTGTTGTAGTGGTTGGAGTTTCAGTAGTTGTGGTAGTTGTTGGTGCTTCAGTAGTAGTGGTCAAGGCTTCTGTAGTGGTAGTTGTTGGTGCCTGTGTAGTTGTTGTAGTGGTTGGAGTTTCAGTAGTTGTGGTAGTTGTTGGTGCTTCAGTAGTAGTGGTCAAGGCTTCTGTAGTGGTAGTTGTTGGTGCCTGTGTAGTTGTTGTTGTGGTTGGAGTTTCAGTAGTTGTGGTAGTTGTTGGTGCTTCAGTAGTAGTGGTCAAGGCTTCTGTAGTGGTAGTTGTTGGTGCCTCAGTGGTTGTTGTAGTGGTTGGAGTTTCAGTAGTTGTGGTAGTTGTTGGTGCTTCAGTAGTAGTGGTCAAGGCTTCTGTAGTGGTAGTTGTTGGTGCCTCAGTGGTTGTTGTAGTGGTTGGAGTTTCAGTAGTTGTGGTAGTTGTTGGTGCTTCAGTAGTAGTGGTCAAGGCTTCTGTAGTGGTAGTTGTTGGTGCCTGTGTAGTTGTTGCAGTGGTTGGAGTTTCAGTAGTTGTGGTAGTTGTTGGTGCTTCAGTAGTAGTGGTCAAGGCTTCTGTAGTGGTAGTTGTTGGTGCCTGTGTAGTTGTTGTAGTGCTTGGAGTTTCAGTAGTTGTGGTAGTTGTTGGTGCTTCAGTAGTAGTGGTCAAGGCTGCTGTAGTGGTAGTTGTTGGTGCCTCAGTGGTTGTTGTAGTGGTTGGAGTTTCAGTAGTTGTGGTAGTTGTTGGTGCTTCAGTAGAAGTGGTCAAGGCTGCTGTAGTGGTAGTTGTTGGTGCCTCAGTGGTTGTTGTAGTGGTTGGAGTTTCAGTAGTTGTGGTAGTTGTTGGTGCTTCAGTAGTAGTGGTCAAGGCTTCTGTAGTGGTAGTTGTTGGTGCCTCAGTGGTTGTTGTAGTGGTTGGAGTTTCAGTAGTTGTGGTAGTTGTTGGTGCTTCAGTAGTAGTGGTCAAGGCTTCTGTAGTGGTAGTTGTTGGTGCCTCAGTGGTTGTTGTAGTGGTTGGAGTTTCAGTAGTTGTGGTAGTTGTTGGTGCTTCAGTAGTAGTGGTCAAGGCTTCTGTAGTGGTAGTTGTTGGTGCCTGTGTAGTTGTTGCAGTGGTTGGAGTTTCAGTAGTTGTGGTAGTTGTTGGTGCTTCAGTAGTAGTGGTCAAGGCTTCTGTAGTGGTAGTTGTTGGTGCCTGTGTGGTTGTTGTAGTGGTTGGAGTTTCAGTAGTTGTGGTAGTTGTTGGTGCTTCAGTAGTAGTGGTCAAGGCTTCTGTAGTGGTAGTTGTTGGTGCCTCAGTGGTTGTTGTAGTGGTTGGAGTTTCAGTAGTTGTGGTAGTTGTTGGTGCTTCAGTAGTAGTGGTCAAGGCTTCTGTAGTGGTAGTTGTTGGTGCCTGTGTAGTTGTTGTAGTGGTTGGAGTTTCAGTAGTTGTGGTAGTTGTTGGTGCTTCAGTAGTAGTGGTCAAGGCTTCTGTAGTGGTAGTTGTTGGTGCCTGTGTAGTTGTTGTAGTGGTTGGAGTTTCAGTAGTTGTGGTAGTTGTTGGTGCTTCAGTAGTAGTGGTCAAGGCTTCTGTAGTGGTAGTTGTTGGTGCCTGTGTAGTTGTTGTAGTGGTTGGAGTTTCAGTAGTTGTGGTAGTTGTTGGTGCTTCAGTAGTAGTGGTCAAGGCTTCTGTAGTGGTAGTTGTTGGTGCCTGTGTAGTTGTTGTAGTGGTTGGAGTTTCAGTAGTTGTGGTAGTTGTTGGTGCTTCAGTAGTAGTGGTCAAGGCTTCTGTAGTGGTAGTTGTTGGTGCCTGTGTAGTTGTTGTAGTGGTTGGAGTTTCAGTAGTTGTGGTAGTTGTTGGTGCTTCAGTAGTAGTGGTCAAGGCTTCTGTAGTGGTAGTTGTTGGTGCCTGTGTAGTTGTTGTAGTGGTTGGAGTTTCAGTAGTTGTGGTAGTTGTTGGTGCTTCAGTAGTAGTGGTCAAGGCTTCTGTAGTGGTAGTTGTTGGTGCCTGTGTAGTTGTTGTAGTGGTTGGAGTTTCAGTAGTTGTGGTAGTTGTTGGTGCTTCAAGTAGTGGTCAAGGCTTCTGTAGTGGTAGTTGTTGGTGCCTCAGTGTAGTTGTTGTAGTGGTTGGAGTTTCAGTAGTTGTGGTAGTTGTTGGTGCTTCAGTAGTAGTGGTCAAGGCTTCTGTAGTGGTAGTTGTTGGTGCCTGTGTAGTTGTTGTAGTGGTTGGAGTTTCAGTAGTTGTGGTAGTTGTTGGTGCTTCAGTAGTAGTGGTCAAGGCTTCTGTAGTGGTAGTTGTTGGTGCCTGTGTAGTTGTTGTAGTGGTTGGAGTTTCAGTAGTTGTGGTAGTTGTTGGTGCTTCAGTAGTAGTGGTCAAGGCTTCTGTAGTGGTAGTTGTTGGTGCCTGTGTAGTTGTTGTAGTGGTTGGAGTTTCAGTAGTTGTGGTAGTTGTTGGTGCTTCAGTAGTAGTGGTCAAGGCTTCTGTAGTGGTAGTTGTTGGTGCCTGTGTAGTTGTTGTAGTGGTTGGAGTTTCAGTAGTTGTGGTAGTTGTTGGTGCTTCAGTAGTAGTGGTCAAGGCTTCTGTAGTGGTAGTTGTTGGTGCCTGTGTAGTTGTTGTAGTGGTTGGAGTTTCAGTAGTTGTGGTAGTTGTTGGTGCTTCAGTAGTAGTGGTCAAGGCTTCTGTAGTGGTAGTTGTTGGTGCCTGTGTAGTTGTTGTAGTGGTTGGAGTTTCAGTAGTTGTGGTAGTTGTTGGTGCTTCAGTAGTAGTGGTCAAGGCTTCTGTAGTGGTAGTTGTTGGTGCCTGTGTAGTTGTTGTAGTGGTTGGAGTTTCAGTAGTTGTGGTAGTTGTTGGTGCTTCAGTAGTAGTGGTCAAGGCTTCTGTAGTGGTAGTTGTTGGTGCCTGTGTAGTTGTTGTAGTGGTTGGAGTTTCAGTAGTTGTGGTAGTTGTTGGTGCTTCAGTAGTAGTGGTCAAGGCTTCTGTAGTGGTAGTTGTTGGTGCCTGTGTAGTTGTTGTAGTGGTTGGAGTTTCAGTAGTTGTGGTAGTTGTTGGTGCTTCAGTAGTAGTGGTCAAGGCTTCTGTAGTGGTAGTTGTTGGTGCCTGTGTAGTTGTTGTAGTGGTTGGAGTTTCAGTAGTTGTGGTAGTTGTTGGTGCTTCAGTAGTAGTGGTCAAGGCTTCTGTAGTGGTAGTTGTTGGTGCCTGTGTAGTTGTTGTAGTGGTTGGAGTTTCAGTAGTTGTGGTAGTTGTTGGTGCTTCAGTAGTAGTGGTCAAGGCTTCTGTAGTGGTAGTTGTTGGTGCCTGTGTAGTTGTTGTAGTGGTTGGAGTTTCAGTAGTTGTGGTAGTTGTTGGTGCTTCAGTAGTAGTGGTCAAGGCTTCTGTAGTGGTAGTTGTTGGTGCCTGTGTAGTTGTTGTAGTGGTTGGAGTTTCAGTAGTTGTGGTAGTTGTTGGTGCTTCAGTAGTAGTGGTCAAGGCTTCTGTAGTGGTAGTTGTTGGTGCCTGTGTAGTTGTTGTAGTGGTTGGAGTTTCAGTAGTTGTGGTAGTTGTTGGTGCTTCAGTAGTAGTGGTCAAGGCTTCTGTAGTGGTAGTTGTTGGTGCCTGTGTAGTTGTTGTAGTGGTTGGAGTTTCAGTAGTTGTGGTAGTTGTTGGTGCTTCAGTAGTAGTGGTCAAGGCTTCTGTAGTGGTAGTTGTTGGTGCCTGTGTAGTTGTTGTAGTGGTTGGAGTTTCAGTAGTTGTGGTAGTTGTTGGTGCTTCAGTAGTAGTGGTCAAGGCTTCTGTAGTGGTAGTTGTTGGTGCCTGTGTAGTTGTTGTAGTGGTTGGAGTTTCAGTAGTTGTGGTAGTTGTTGGTGCTTCAGTAGTAGTGGTCAAGGCTTCTGTAGTGGTAGTTGTTGGTGCCTGTGTAGTTGTTGTAGTGGTTGGAGTTTCAGTAGTTGTGGTAGTTGTTGGTGCTTCAGTAGTAGTGGTCAAGGCTTCTGTAGTGGTAGTTGTTGGTGCCTGTGTAGTTGTTGTAGTGGTTGGAGTTTCAGTAGTTGTGGTAGTTGTTGGTGCTTCAGTAGTAGTGGTCAAGGCTTCTGTAGTGGTAGTTGTTGGTGCCTGTGTAGTTGTTGTAGTGGTTGGAGTTTCAGTAGTTGTGGTAGTTGTTGGTGCTTCAGTAGTAGTGGTCAAGGCTTCTGTAGTGGTAGTTGTTGGTGCCTGTGTAGTTGTTGTAGTGGTTGGAGTTTCAGTAGTTGTGGTAGTTGTTGGTGCTTCAGTAGTAGTGGTCAAGGCTTCTGTAGTGGTAGTTGTTGGTGCCTGTGTAGTTGTTGTAGTGGTTGGAGTTTCAGTAGTTGTGGTAGTTGTTGGTGCTTCAGTAGTAGTGGTCAAGGCTTCTGTAGTGGTAGTTGTTGGTGCCTGTGTAGTTGTTGTAGTGGTTGGAGTTTCAGTAGTTGTGGTAGTTGTTGGTGCTTCAGTAGTAGTGGTCAAGGCTTCTGTAGTGGTAGTTGTTGGTGCCTCTGTAGTTGTTGTAGTGGTTGGAGTTTCAGTAGTTGTGGTAGTTGTTGGTGCTTCAGTAGTAGTGGTCAAGGCTTCTGTAGTGGTAGTTGTTGGTGCCTGTGTAGTTGTTGTAGTGGTTGGAGTTTCAGTAGTTGTGGTAGTTGTTGGTGCTTCAGTAGTAGTGGTCAAGGCTTCTGTAGTGGTAGTTGTTGGTGCCTGTGTAGTTGTTGTAGTGGTTGGAGTTTCAGTAGTTGTGGTAGTTGTTGGTGCTTCAGTAGTAGTGGTCAAGGCTTCTGTAGTGGTAGTTGTTGGTGCCTGTGTAGTTGTTGTAGTGGTTGGAGTTTCAGTAGTTGTGGTAGTTGTTGGTGCTTCAGTAGTAGTGGTCAAGGCTTCTGTAGTGGTAGTTGTTGGTGCCTGTGTAGTTGTTGTAGTGGTTGGAGTTTCAGTAGTTGTGGTAGTTGTTGGTGCTTCAGTAGTAGTGGTCAAGGCTTCTGTAGTGGTAGTTGTTGGTGCCTCAGTGGTTGTTGTAGTGGTTGGAGTTTCAGTAGTTGTGGTAGTTGTTGGTGCTTCAGTAGTAGTGGTCAAGGCTTCTGTAGTGGTAGTTGTTGGTGCCTGTGTAGTTGTTGTAGTGGTTGGAGTTTCAGTAGTTGTGGTAGTTGTTGGTGCTTCAGTAGTAGTGGTCAAGGCTTCTGTAGTGGTAGTTGTTGGTGCCTCAGTGGTTGTTGTAGTGGTTGGAGTTTCAGTAGTTGTGGTAGTTGTTGGTGCTTCAGTAGTAGTGGTCAAGGCTTCTGTAGTGGTAGTTGTTGGTGCCTCAGTGGTTGTTGTAGTGGTTGGAGTTTCAGTAGTTGTGGTAGTTGTTGGTGCTTCAGTAGTAGTGGTCAAGGCTTCTGTAGTGGTAGTTGTTGGTGCCTCAGTAGTTGTTGTAGTGGTTGGAGTTTCAGTAGTTGTGGTAGTTGTTGGTGCTTCAGTAGTAGTGGTCAAGGCTTCTGTAGTGGTAGTTGTTGGTGCCTGTGTAGTTGTTGTAGTGCTTGGAGTTTCAGTAGTTGTGGTAGTTGTTGGTGCTTCAGTAGTAGTGGTCAAGGCTTCTGTAGTGGTAGTTGTTGGTGCCTCAGTGGTTGTTGTAGTGGTTGGAGTTTCAGTAGTTGTGGTAGTTGTTGGTGCTTCAGTAGTAGTGGTCAAGGCTTCTGTAGTGGTAGTTGTTGGTGCCTGTGTAGTTGTTGTAGTGGTTGGAGTTTCAGTAGTTGTGGTAGTTGTTGGTGCTTCAGTAGTAGTGGTCCAGGCTTCTGTAGTGGTAGTTGTTGGTGCCTCAGTGGTTGTTGTAGTGGTTGGAGTTTCAGTAGTTGTGGTAGTTGTTGGTGCTTCAGTAGTAGTGGTCAAGGCTTCTGTAGTGGTAGTTGTTGGTGCCTCAGTGGTTGTTGTAGTGGTTGGAGTTTCAGTAGTTGTGGTAGTTGTTGGTGCTTCAGTAGTAGTGGTCAAGGCTTCTGTAGTGGTAGTTGTTGGTGCCTGTGTAGTTGTTGTAGTGGTTGGAGTTTCAGTAGTTGTGGTAGTTGTTGGTGCTTCAGTAGTAGTGGTCAAGGCTTCTGTAGTGGTAGTTGTTGGTGCCTCAGTGGTTGTTGTAGTGGTTGGAGTTTCAGTAGTTGTGGTAGTTGTTGGTGCTTCAGTAGTAGTGGTCAAGGCTTCTGTAGTGGTAGTTGTTGGTGCCTCAGTGGTTGTTGTAGTGGTTGGAGTTTCAGTAGTTGTGGTAGTTGTTGGTGCTTCAGTAGTAGTGGTCCAGGCTTCTGTAGTGGTAGTTGTTGGTGCCTCAGTGGTTGTTGTAGTGGTTGGAGTTTCAGTAGTTGTGGTAGTTGTTGGTGCTTCAGTAGTAGTGGTCAAGGCTTCTGTAGTGGTAGTTGTTGGTGCCTCAGTAGTTGTTGTAGTGGTTGGAGTTTCAGTAGTTGTGGTAGTTGTTGGTGCTTCAGTAGTAGTGGTCAAGGCTTCTGTAGTGGTAGTTGTTGGTGCCTGTGTAGTTGTTGTAGTGGTTGGAGTTTCAGTAGTTGTGGTAGTTGTTGGTGCTTCAGTAGTAGTGGTCAAGGCTTCTGTAGTGGTAGTTGTTGGTGCCTCAGTGGTTGTTGTAGTGGTTGGAGTTTCAGTAGTTGTGGTAGTTGTTGGTGCTTCAGTAGTAGTGGTCAAGGCTTCTGTAGTGGTAGTTGTTGGTGCCTGTGTAGTTGTTGTAGTGGTTGGAGTTTCAGTAGTTGTGGTAGTTGTTGGTGCTTCAGTAGTAGTGGTCCAGGCTTCTGTAGTGGTAGTTGTTGGTGCCTCAGTGGTTGTTGTAGTGGTTGGAGTTTCAGTAGTTGTGGTAGTTGTTGGTGCTTCAGTAGTAGTGGTCAAGGCTTCTGTAGTGGTAGTTGTTGGTGCCTCAGTGGTTGTTGTAGTGGTTGGAGTTTCAGTAGTTGTGGTAGTTGTTGGTGCTTCAGTAGTAGTGGTCAAGGCTTCTGTAGTGGTAGTTGTTGGTGCCTGTGTAGTTGTTGTAGTGGTTGGAGTTTCAGTAGTTGTGGTAGTTGTTGGTGCTTCAGCAGTAGTGGTCAAGGCTTCTGTAGTGGTAGTTGTTGGTTCCTCAGTGGTTGTTGTAGTGGTTGGAGTTTCAGTAGTTGTGGTAGTTGTTGGTGCTTCAGTAGTAGTGGTCAAGGCTTCTGTAGTGGTAGTTGTTGGTGCCTCAGTGGTTGTTGTAGTGGTTGGAGTTTCAGTAGTTGTGGTAGTTGTTGGTGCTTCAGTAGTAGTGGTCAAGGCTTCTGTAGTGGTAGTTGTTGGTGCCTGTGTAGTTGTTGTAGTGGTTGGAGTTTCAGTAGTTGTGGTAGTTGTTGGTGCTTCAGCAGTAGTGGTCAAGGCTTCTGTAGTGGTAGTTGTTGGTTCCTCAGTGGTTGTTGTAGTGGTTGGAGTTTCAGTAGTTGTGGTAGTTGTTGGTGCTTCAGTAGTAGTGGTCAAGGCTTCTGTAGTGGTAGTTGTTGGTGCCTGTGTAGTTGTTGTAGTGGTTGGAGTTTCAGTAGTTGTGGTAGTTGTTGGTGCTTCAGTAGTAGTGGTCAAGGCTTCTGTAGTGGTAGTTGTTGGTGCCTGTGTAGTTGTTGTAGTGGTTGGAGTTTCAGTAGTTGTGGTAGTTGTTGGTGCTTCAGCAGTAGTGGTCAAGGCTTCTGTAGTGGTAGTTGTTGGTGCCTGTGTAGTTGTTGTAGTGGTTGGAGTTTCAGTAGTTGTGGTAGTTGTTGGTGCTTCAGTAGTAGTGGTCAAGGCTTCTGTAGTGGTAGTTGTTGGTGCCTCAGTGGTTGTTGTAGTGGTTGGAGTTTCAGTAGTTGTGGTAGTTGTTGGTGCTTCAGTAGTAGTGGTCAAGGCTTCTGTAGTGGTAGTTGTTGGTGCCTCAGTGGTTGTTGTAGTGGTTGGAGTTTCAGTAGTTGTGGTAGTTGTTGGTGCTTCAGTAGTAGTGGTCAAGGCTTCTGTAGTGGTAGTTGTTGGTGCCTGTGTAGTTGTTGTAGTGCTTGGAGTTTCAGTAGTTGTGGTAGTTGTTGGTGCTTCAGTAGTAGTGGTCAAGGCTTCTGTAGTGGTAGTTGTTGGTGCCTCAGTGGTTGTTGTAGTGGTTGGAGTTTCAGTAGTTGTGGTAGTTGTTGGTGCTTCAGTAGTAGTGGTCAAGGCTTCTGTAGTGGTAGTTGTTGGTGCCTGTGTAGTTGTTGTAGTGGTTGGAGTTTCAGTAGTTGTGGTAGTTGTTGGTGCTTCAGTAGTAGTGGTCAAGGCTTCTGTAGTGGTAGTTGTTGGTGCCTCAGTAGTTGTTGTAGTGGTTGGAGTTTCAGTAGTTGTGGTAGTTGTTGGTGCTTCAGTAGTAGTGGTCAAGGCTTCTGTAGTGGTAGTTGTTGGTGCCTGTGTAGTTGTTGCAGTGGTTGGAGTTTCAGTAGTTGTGGTAGTTGTTGGTGCTTCAGTAGTAGTGGTCAAGGCTTCTGTAGTGGTAGTTGTTGGTGCCTGTGTAGTTGTTGTAGTGGTTGGAGTTTCAGTAGTTGTGGTAGTTGTTGGTGCTTCAGTAGTAGTGGTCAAGGCTTCTGTAGTGGTAGTTGTTGGTGCCTGTGTAGTTGTTGTAGTGGTTGGAGTTTCAGTAGTTGTGGTAGTTGTTGGTGCTTCAGTAGTAGTGGTCAAGGTTTCTGTAGTGGTAGTTGTTGGTGCCTGTGTAGTTGTTGTAGTGGTTGGAGTTTCAGTAGTTGTGGTAGTTGTTGGTGCTTCAGTAGTAGTGGTCAAGGCTTCTGTAGTGGTAGTTGTTGGTGCCTCAGTGGTTGTTGTAGTGGTTGGAGTTTCAGTAGTTGTGGTAGTTGTTGGTGCTTCAGTAGTAGTGGTCAAGGCTTCTGTAGTGGTAGTTGTTGGTGCCTGTGTAGTTGTTGTAGTGGTTGGAGTTTCAGTAGTTGTGGTAGTTGTTGGTGCTTCAGTAGTAGTGGTCAAGGCTTCTGTAGTGGTAGTTGTTGGTGCCTCAGTGGTTGTTGTAGTGGTTGGAGTTTCAGTAGTTGTGGTAGTTGTTGGTGCTTCAGTAGTAGTGGTCAAGGCTTCTGTAGTGGTAGTTGTTGGTGCCTCAGTGGTTGTTGTAGTGGTTGGAGTTTCAGTAGTTGTGGTAGTTGTTGGTGCTTCAGTAGTAGTGGTCAAGGCTTCTGTAGTGGTAGTTGTTGGTGCCTCAGTGGTTGTTGTAGTGGTTGGAGTTTCAGTAGTTGTGGTAGTTGTTGGTGCTTCAGTAGTAGTGGTCAAGGCTTCTGTAGTGGTAGTTGTTGGTGCCTCAGTAGTTGTTGTAGTGGTTGGAGTTTCAGTAGTTGTGGTAGTTGTTGGTGCTTCAGTAGTAGTGGTCAAGGCTTCTGTAGTGGTAGTTATTGGTGCCTGTGTAGTTGTTGTAGTGCTTGGAGTTTCAGTAGTTGTGGTAGTTGTTGGTGCTTCAGTAGTAGTGGTCAAGGCTTCTGTAGTGGTAGTTGTTGGTGCCTCAGTGGTTGTTGTAGTGGTTGGAGTTTCAGTAGTTGTGGTAGTTGTTGGTGCTTCAGTAGTAGTGGTCAAGGCTTCTGTAGTGGTAGTTGTTGGTGCCTCAGTGGTTGTTGTAGTGGTTGGAGTTTCAGTAGTTGTGGTAGTTGTTGGTGCTTCAGTAGTAGTGGTCAAGGCTTCTGTAGTGGTAGTTGTTGGTGCCTGTGTAGTTGTTGTAGTGCTTGGAGTTTCAGTAGTTGTGGTAGTTGTTGGTGCTTCAGTAGTAGTGGTCAAGGCTTCTGTAGTGGTAGTTGTTGGTGCCTGTGTAGTTGTTGTAGTGGTTGGAGTTTCAGTAGTTGTGGTAGTTGTTGGTGCTTCAGTAGTAGTGGTCAAGGCTTCTGTAGTGGTAGTTGTTGGTGCCTCAGTGGTTGTTGTAGTGGTTGGAGTTTCAGTAGTTGTGGTAGTTGTTGGTGCTTCAGTAGTAGTGGTCAAGGCTTCTGTAGTGGTAGTTGTTTGTGCCTCAGTGGTTGTTGTAGTGGTTGGAGTTTCAGTAGTTGTGGTAGTTGTTGGTGCTTCAGTAGTAGTGGTCAAGGCTTCTGTAGTGGTAGTTGTTGGTGCCTGTGTAGTTGTTGTAGTGGTTGGAGTTTCAGTAGTTGTGGTAGTTGTTGGTGCTTCAGTAGTATTGGTCAAGGCTTCTGTAGTGGTAGTTGTTGGTGCCTGTGTAGTTGTTGTAGTGGTTGGAGTTTCAGTAGTTGTGGTAGTTGTTGGTGCTTCAGTAGTAGTGGTCAAGGCTTCTGTAGTGGTAGTTGTTGGTGCCTCAGTGGTTGTTGTAGTGGTTGGAGTTTCAGTAGTTGTGGTAGTTTTTGGTGCTTCAGTAGTAGTGGTCAAGGCTTCTGTAGTGGTAGTTGTTGGTGCCTGTGTAGTTGTTGTAGTGGTTGGAGTTTCAGTAGTTGTGGTAGTTGTTGGTGCTTCAGTAGTAGTGGTCAAGGCTTCTGTAGTGGTAGTTGTTGGTGCCTGTGTAGTTGTTGTAGTGGTTGGAGTTTCAGTAGTTGTGGTAGTTGTTGGTGCTTCAGTAGTAGTGGTCAAGGCTTCTGTAGTGGTAGTTGTTGGTGCCTCTGTAGTTGTTGTATCTACCTTTAAAATATTTGCTTTAAAATGCATACTTTTTGTTGTCTTTTATTAAATGTTTTTCATATATACGAGAGTTATCAAAGATTTCGAGTACTAGTAGGAAAAAATTAGTTCTAAGAGGGATGTGCTTACAGAATGTGTATGTATTTTTAGTATACCGAACATGGTCTCTCTCTTAATTACAAAAAACGTTCAATCTGCTCTGTTGGACAGAAAAAAATTTGGATATTGTAGACAGAGATATCTCATTTCATTGGGAAATTATAGGCTTTTTCTATTTTTCTTTATAATCTGGGGTGGGCGGGGGGGGGGGGGGGGGGGTCGATCCACGCTTCAGGTGCCTGTGCACAAACATGTATCGTCCATTCAACGCAGTTACCCGTGGCAAGAAAGCAGTCAGGGGTAAGGAATCCGAAGGGTATATCCCAGTGCTGATATCGGTGATAGGAAAACTAATATGGCGTATGCCTATTGTAATTTTGCGAGAAGCACTGACTTTAACACTCGACGGCTTACTAATGTGCTATGTACGGAGGTACGGAATTGATATTATATTAGATAACATTACTAGTGGTCATAGGTATGGTGTTAGGGACACTTACATGATTTACTGGTATCCAATCAACTTAAGAGATGATGGGAGGTGAATAACATAACTTAAAATACCTTATTCGTTAGGGGTAGTATTTCCTTTCAATCTCATTTTATGAAGGAATCAAATAAGGAAGAAAAAAACATCCGGAATGAAAACTTGGCAGTAGTTGGTCAAATGGGAAGGGAGGGGGTTAGTATAGAGTGTTTCTCCTTCCCCTCCCTAGACAACGTAATATGTGCTTTGAAATGCCCAATTATTATCGTTTAATTAACTGTTAAGCTAAATATTTATTTCACAATAGAGCTGCCGTATATTGTCCCAGTGTAAAAGTAAAAGTCAGCGCTTCTTGCAAAAGTCCATTTACGAGTCTTGTTCAGCTTCAAGCTGATTTGGACGTAATAATGGCTCTCCGGATTGAGATCGTGGGGTAATTGGTCAGTTTGTGTAGTGTTAATAACTGTTTAAACACCCTATCATTACCCGACTGTCCTGTACTTCTGTAATCACCGTTGAGCACTGTGAATTGTTATGCGTATCTTGTACAGTTATTATACAAACATTGTAGATTAAGTGATAGTTAAGACTTAGTTCTAATAGGGTTACAATGCAGAATAGACCTTGTGACATCTACTCTAGAAAATTATCAACGTCAAATTCCTAAAGAATATTTTAAAGTTTTCTTAATTTTTTTCTTGTTTATTGAATTAAAAAATAAAAAATACATATATATACATGTGGGGGGAGGGGGAGGGGGGTTCCTCAAGATTAACAGAATGTTTCTAACCTCTAACGTATTTTTGTCTTCTTGTATATACATGTATGCATTTGAATAGAACAACTTGAAAAAAAAAATGTCAAGAAATTTGCATTTTGATACGGTTAAATGGTCGGTCGGAAAGTCTTGCGGATAACTTATATATATATATATATATATATATATATATATATATATATATATATATATATATATATATATATATATATATATATATATATATATATATATAATATCTAATATTATATTATTTTATTAAATATTATAATATTATGTAATGTATAATATATAATGTGTGTGTGGGTGTGTGTAATCTTAGCACGGGTGGAGGGAGGGAGGTCCTTAATAATTCAGCCATTACTTACTTTAATATATGAATAAATACAAAACGAATAAACAATTGTGTCTCTTAAATTATTTTGCGATTATATACTCTTAAATTATTGCGATTATATACCATACACATAAGAATATAGTCCGAAATAGCTGATGTTTTACAGGCTTTTTTTTACGATTTTGATATTGTTCGTGCCAGGAAAACGTTGGTGAAATTTCCAGTTTTCGAAATGGCACCGGTTCCGACGTTTTCCTGGCACGTAAAATATCAAAATCGTGAAAAAAGTTTGGAAAACGTCAGATACTTCGGACTAGGTCACCCGGCGCTGTCGACAACGTCTATGCCTCATTTCCTGCTTCCTCTGTCCCACACTATTCTTGACGAGCTATCCTTTAGTTTATTACTATAGATAGAATCCATCATATTCTTTATGATTGTGCAGTTTCGTGAACAGCTGATTCCAGAGCACAATATTGTATACGGAGCGACAAAAGAGAAATATCCTTACTTGGCTGTGTCATCTTACATGTAATCCGCTTGTCGGATGAACAACGTCGCTTTTCTGTGTGGTGACTGACTGATTTTGACATCCGGATGAAAAATGAAATGAAAACAGGTAATGTGGACACAGTTCGTCTCTCTCTCTCTCTGGCCAGTTTAAAAGTTTAGACCAGTTTTTTTTTCAAAGTAAATTTAAGATTGCGGGAAAAAGACCCCCCTCCGGTCTCACGTCATTTTTTTTTTTTAGCATTGTGCATGTATATAGAATTTACGATTAAGATTTCAGAGAACTGGGGGGGGGGGATGAGATGTGTATTGTAAATCTTAAGAGACAATTTATCACATCACAAGTGAATTAACGGTTATTATTCGATGATTAATTAATGGTCATATCTAGAGAGACTCACGATAGAAGTACGTCGTACATGTATTTTGATGTTGCGGTGCATGATCGTTGCTTATTAAAACGTTGATATGTCATTCAAAGATGAAAATGTGCGAGTTTTTTTTTTATCCTATGAACAGAAATAATGTTGTTTAATGTGTAGAAAATCACTGAAGGACCATAAGCAGTATTAATTTTATGACGCTCCTACTCCTGGTAGTTAATACAATGCCTGTCTATTGTGCAGTTCATCTACAGGAAATTTTGCATAAAAACTGTGGCTTATCTTGCACAATTTTGAAAGATTTCTTATGTTTCTGATTGCAACCCAAGCATTTTCAGATAGAAATTAAAATTTGAATATCTGCACTTATAATCAAGCAAGGCTTTGAAAGGCTTTGAAATTGATTTCATGTAGTTCTTATTTGGACAAAACTATTAATTTATCTCCACATTTCTTTGAAGATTGGAAATAATGCAACTTGTTTAAAAAAAAACACCTCTGAAGGTTTTAAGAATCTGTATTCAGATTAAAAATCCAAGAACTATTTTGAAAAGATTTATAAATTATATTACCTCTCTTTTGACTCTTATTTTGCTTTTGCCTTCTCTCTTGACAGTGCGATCTTCTAGTAAATGCCTCCATGTCGATGATTCACCTGAAAATTTATTGAGTGAGCATTTGCGGATCAGAGAAGACATATAGTAACAAACAATGCAAACAAGAGCATTAAATATATTTATAATTAAGGTTCATTGGCCTTCTGATAAGAGAGATAACTCCAACTTGGATAAATGACTACTATTCCTTAATAAAATTGTCAACTTTAAAGGACATGTCTGTAAAATTTTGCCCTGCAGTACATGCTGATATTGTGTGCATTTTAATTATACATGTAAGTTTTATTTCTTTTGGAAAATCATAAGCGTTAAAGCAAAGTTTTATATGAGTGAAAAGAGTGATGGGGAACCTTATTCATCCTTTTTCTGAAGATTTTCAAGAACGTTTCAAAAAATTGTACACGTAACATCCCTTATTGGCCTATCCTAGTCCTACGAGTCTTGATTTGAATGTGGATTAAAACTGAGATGCAGTTTACTGAAAGGTACTGATGGATTGGAGCTGCTATTAAACTTGCAGTCGCTGTTGACGAGGCAGACAAAATTGGACCGCTGAATTGACGTTTTGGCAAAATTACAAAGGAGACAGACAGTTCAACACAGAGAAAATCGAAGAAATCCAACAACAAAAAATCAACGCAACGGAGAAAGAAGGACTTTTGGCTAAAAGCACCGTATCATTGCCGAGGTTTTCTTTTCAAAGAACCTTCAAAATCAACAGAGGCTGCAAACTACAAAATAAACGTTTTACTTGGAGAGACCAACCAACAAACTGCACAGGGCACATTTTGCTACAGATAGTTTCCAAAAGACACAATTGACTTGAATCGGTATAGCACACATTTAAAGTTTGAGCAGTACAATGTTTGTAGTATTCCAAGTTCCAAAATATACACAAAGAGATTTGTGACAACACCAAAATATGGACCCATGACCCAATGATACATTTTGAAAGGTTTGTTGAAATTGACCCGGTGGTTCTGTAGAATATGTGAAAAAAGGGAAAAATTTACGCATGCACCATTTATGACTGATGACGGAAGAAAACAAATAGCAATAGAATAAGGCGACCTAATTAGACTTTGGAAACAAGTTACTACATGTATTTTCATACCTGTCAATATGTTATCATTTCTCTTACATTTTCCAACATGCAGGACGTGGAGTTTTTCGTTGTTGAGGCAATTAAACTCCTTCATATGACACTCACTAAGAAATGTTTCATTGTTAGAGGCACACACAGTTGTATTTATGTACCATGAACAGTTACTACATAGGAACACCCGAGGAAACTCGAGAGATGTGTCTACAAAAAATTTTATAGTTTAATTTTTCATCTATCACAAAAGCCTCTTTTTTCCTAGCAAAAATAGACTTTCTGTAAATTGCTGTATTGCAGTCTACTTAGCATGCAAGATCCAAGTCTCTATTGGTGTGGTGCCGTGACCAGGATTTGAGAATTTTATCAACGGCTTCTTAATTCATGGGGACTGAGTCTGACGCAATCCAGGCCCGTAGCAACGCTTTCAAAAGTGGGGGACATACCTTCCAAATAAATATACTCAGAAAAAAAGTGAGGACGGGCACTCCCCCCCCTCGCCGCGTTCTACGGGCCTGCAAGCAGTTAGGTTGCTTGATTAGATCTCAGTACAAAATATAATTCTGCCCTCTCTCATTTCCGGAGATGTACATGTACGTATCAGTCAATTATTTCGGGGCACTCACCTGAAAACTTTTCCCCTTGATTGAATGATATCCTTGTCGATGTGTTTATTCCTGTAATTAATAGTACCAATACTATGATGCAAACCCCTGTTGTACATGTCCGCTGACATTCCTTGAATAAAATAAAAGCACTGAAAGTATTACAATGCAGAAAGGGGGGTGTTCTTGTAATAAAACCCTCTATATGCGCGACTTGTGAACAATGTGAAACTCAATCAAGGTTACATACTTCACAAATCTGGATTTTGTGTCTATATCTTACACCTTATCTAGCTTCCCATGGCAATTACTGAGCATTTTATGTCTTCATCACTCTTTTTTTTTTTCAAACATTAAATTTTTTGTTTCAAAAAAAAAAAAAAAAAAAAAAATCACGGAAATTTTACTAAGGGGGTGGGATTGCAACCCCTCCTCCTTCCCTGCTGTTAGGAAAAAAATAAGCTTTGTATTTCGTTTCACTTCTTGTGATACTATACGGAAGCGTATTAGTACCACGTAATATTTTTTTAAAGTTGGAAATTCCAACATTATACATGTAGTTGAAAACTCCAACTTTTAAGTTGGAAATTCAAACTTTAAAGTTGGTAATTCAAACTTTATTCTTGGCTTTTCCAACTTTAAAGTTGGCTTTTCCAGCTTTAATTTTGGCTTTTCCGTCATTAAAGTTGGCTTTTCCAACTTTTTCGGGCTTCATGCGTTTTATTCGTATACTTTGTAGTTAAATGGACTTGTGTTGCTGTTTATCATAACAATGGAAATAAACAATTTATTTATATAATTATGATGAAAGAAGGAAAAATTTTCATTGTGTTTTCATATACGGAATTGATACATTTCCTGCAGTTGTATTTAACATGAAAATATTGTGTTGATTCATCCTATAAATCAAACACCAAACATGCATGGTCTCGTTTGTTTAAACTCATTCTCAACAAATTTATATAAGTCTGATCTCTTAAATAGGTATGTATGAAAGGCTCTCATTAACAGAGTAATACGTTTAAAGTTACTATATCCTCTTTAAAATTATATAAGATGGACCAAGAGAAATATAAGGACTTTTGAAATTGAAAGTTGTATGTAAGGTAATAGGGAAGTGAAGGTCCAAAATAATTCACACAGTTTAATTGCTCATCAATGTGTTTCAGTACATTAAATTTACATTTAAAAAGTTGATAATAACATCAAATAAAGGGGAAAAAACTAAAGGCAATAAGGTTAGAAAGATTAAAATTGGAAAAACCAACTTAAAGTTGAAAAAGCCAACTTTCAAGTTGGAATTACCAACTTTCAAGTTGGAAAAGCAAAGATTAAAGTTGGAATTACCAACTTTAAAGTTGGAAAAGCCAAGATTAAACTTGGATAAGCCAACTTTTAAGTTGGAATTACGGTACCAACTTAAAAAAAAATATAAAATATTATGTGGCACTAATACGATTCCACATCATACAGACTGATCATGATACAAGTTTTCTTAATCTCCACACAGAAATACAAGAAACATTGACAAGAGCGACGCATGCAAACCATATTTTCTGCAAAACATGCAAGCATTCAAGAAAAGTGTCGAAAACTACACTAATATCAGTACTTTTGTTCTTTTGGAAACGAACAAAAATCGTAACACCTTAAATTGCTATACACATTTTATAAAGGCAATATCTAGGGTGACACCTTAAATTCCTATACACGTTTTGTAAAGGCAATATCTAGGGTGAAGTTTTGATATTATATGAGAAAAGAAAGGTACATGTAAATGTATTTTATCGAAAAAGGAGCATTTTGTATATATACTAAATAAAATTTTTAAAAATACCTTGCTGGTCTACGTATGGATCTTTTTATCAGCTACACATTACGTATGGAAAATATATTAGTTCTTTTGGATAATTTATAAACTGTTTAAGGAATGTCTACTGGTCAATATTTATTGCAATTTAAAGTAGACGCGTTTGGAATAAATCACACATTTGAAAGAATGCATAGATTTAAGTTTCATATCGGTCATAATGTACGTGCACGTGGAAAATAGCCACATGAACATATGTACATAAGCCCTTAATCACTAAAGAAGGTTTTTGAAATGCACCCCCCCCCCCACCTTTTTTTAGGGATGTATGTCTTAAAATGTGAGGTGCTAAACTTCAATCGTATTTACTGAAGAACATTCTTTTGCAGAGATTTCCTTTAATTTCCGTACTATTTTTTTCGAATTCGTACGAATAATCGATGATAATGATACACATGTTTTCGTTCACCATGTTCAATAAAACGTGATCTTTATATAGATTTAAACTGAAAAACTTAAACATACCTTAATCTGTTGATACATGTCATAACCTGTTAATTCTACTTTCAGTATTTCCAAAATCAGCTCTCTCCGAGAGTAACTGGTGAGTAGGCACGAGACCCACGATTGTTCGAATGGACTACTTGAATAAAGGGTATAATCGTCACGCTTCAGTGGTACGGGATCTATTTCGTCTTGTCTCGGTCCATTCATTTTTTTTTCCAATGACTTTTTTTTTATATCAGTAAAATTTAAACCCCATTACTTCTCTTTCTTTCTATGCATTTAGATATAGATTCCTGCTTTTATAATCATTATGAACAAAATAAACTTGTTTACCGTGTATCTTTACTAGTTTCTGTTGAAGTATTATATCAATATGTTTTTTACTTGTAAGAGTTTACTCTCAAATCTGATGCCAGTGGGAAAGCATTCCATTGTAAATACATACCTATCAAGGCCGGGGAGGGAGGGGGCTGCTCCCCCCTTAAAAAACGCTTAGAAATATTATTTTTGAAACAAAAATAAATATTATAGCTGGGACATGTTTTTTTTCACTGAATAATAATTTATGGCTAGGAAATCATATTTCACAATCGTTTGTGGATCTGTTGGGAATTATTGATCACCCAGCCTCCCTTACGTTCTCTACAAATCTCTACCACTGAATAAGACTGCGCGCATTATTTGATCTTTTGATAGTGTTCATCAAGTTGATGAATCTACGTGATCTCTCTTCCACTGAATTAATAATATCATTGAATCAGTTAATGAGCGCAAAAATTCTGTAAGAAAGAAAAATCATTTAATAATATTTCAAATTATGATCTCTTTATTGAATTGTTGCTCTCTTTAATGGAATTAATGCGTGCATTAATTCTTCTTAGAAATTTGTTGACTCTCACCCCCCCCCCCCCCCCAGTGCCAAACAATACATGAGCAAAATATCAAATCCATTCTTTTTACAGTTCTCAAGATCTAAGGTGTGTCAGACAACAGACACCAGATAAAAAGATCCCTAAGTGTTACTCTGGTCTGCGGGTGACACAAAAATCAGCACAAGAGTATTTTTATAGCCTCATCAGCATGCAATCACAAGAAAAGAAAATGTTTCAAATGTTTTACTAAATCCTATTGCTCATTTAGACTGTAATATGAATTCATGTACATGTAATAAATAGGATACTTTTCAATTTGTTTCAGAATTTAAAGTTTAATAAAACCAACAAAGATAATCAAGAGTCACACAGCTGTTGAAAAAAAAATGATTTGCTACTGCTATCTGTATTTGCTAATTTGTGTTCAAAAATTTTGTACTCTGTATGTAGAGAAAGCATGTTACAAAATTATAAAAGTATTTATAAAAAAAAGATGACATATACAGATTTAATTGAAAAATTCATACATGTTTATAAGAGTAGCCAGCGCAATGTTTGCAGAAAATAGAATACACAGTTACATAGTGCTACAATAAGCATCTAGTATCCAGCTACAGGTAGGTTACAAGAAGATAGAATTAATAACATGTACATCACTAAGCCCATCATAGTAGGTTTTTAAATTTATTTACATACAACATGGAAAAACAGTCAAACACAAATGTACAATACATTTTTTTTTTATATTTGTGAATAAAAATAGAAGTAATAGCAGTTTACAATCAAACTTACAAAATGCTTTAATTTAAATTGCTAGTAAATGACTGGTAATCACCTATCTTTATAGAGTGAAACTCTAACACATTACATAATCTAAATTTCAGATAGCTCTATAGGGAAGGAAGTTTTTATTTTGTATCTAGAGCTTTATTTAATGGAATATCCAATGTGTAAAACAGTATTGTAACAACCTTATCTCTGACACCATTATCATCATTATACCTTTGACTGGAAGTAAAAAGGGACACATTAGTAGATGGTTTTCCCTGTGCATATTTTCTGTACATGATCATAATGAAAGCACAAGGAAATCTAATTTTAATTACAATCTTCATAACACACAGTGTCAACCACTATTTACAAAACAGTGTGTCCAAAACAAAAGATTAGAGACTTAACAAGGAAGGGCACGACTAGAAGGTCATAAATAAATGAATTATGTATGTGGGAAACTTCAACAAAAATTGGGATAAACAAAATTTTTTTAAGAAACTAACATGAAGATTACAACAAATGAATATTTGGTTAAAAATAATAAGAATAAATACCTACACCTTATCTTTAACCTATACTTTGTTGAAAACAGCTAAGGTCATAAAGTCCTCATATCCCATCCTGACTGTGCCCACTCCCGAGGGATCTCGGGATCTGAAAGCATCAGTCAGCGACTTCAACATTACACAGGACTGAATAAAATTATCAAGCGTCAGGCTCCGGCGACCCATGATGTCAAACTTGGCAATGACTGTTTGAGCAAACTGGGGGCTTAGGTTGTATCCCATTTGTCTGTAGGCTGTGAAAAAAAACAAACGCAAAAGAGATAATTATTGACATTTTTTAGCTCACCTGAGCCAAAGGCTCAAGTGAGCTTTTCTGATCAAAATTTGTCCGTTGTCTGAAGTCGTCGTCGTTGTCGTTGGCGTCATCGTTGTTGTAAACTTTTCACATATTCATCTTCTTCTCCAGAACTACTGGGCCAATTTCAACCAAACTTGCCCCAAAGTATCCTTGGGTAAAGGGGATTCAAGTTTGTTCAAATGAAGGGCCACGCCTTCTTCCAAGGGGAGATAATTAAGAATTCGTGAAAAATTAATGGCATCATTAAAAAATCTTCTTCTCAAGAACCACTGTGCTTGAAAATATGAAACTTATGTTGAAGTGTTGATTCAAGTTTGTTCAAATCACTTATGTGGAAGTGTTGATTCAAGTTTGTTCAAATCATGACCCCCGGGGGTCAGGTGGGGCCACAATGGGCGATCAAAGTTTTACATAGGAATATATAGGAAAAATCTTTAAAAATCTTCTTCTCAAGAACAGCAAAGCCATGATTGGTCATATTTATATGGTAGCATCCTCAGATAGTATAGATTCAAGTTTGTTCAAATCATGACCCCCGGGGGTCGGGTGGGGCCACAATGGGCGATCAAAGTTTTACATAAGAATATATAGGAAAAATCTTTAAAAATCTTCTTCTCAAGAACAGCAAAGCCATGATTGGTCATATTTAAATGGAAGCATCCTCAGATAATGTAGATTCAAATTTGTTCAATTTATGACACCCCCCCCCTCCCCCGAACCACTTTTTTATTCAAACTTTTCAACCTTTCAAGACTGAACTGATTTCTGCTTTTTCCTAGCCATAGTGCTCAGGTGAGCAATGTGGCCCTTGGGCCTCTTGTTTTTATTTAGGAGACGGACATGGTATATCCAAATACATGTACATATAAATACATTTTCTAAACATATGTTGTATTCATCTATTTGCTTTACAAGTTTGTCCCCCTAACAAGGAATGAAACACACACTCTATTATCTGTTTGAGCAGATTAAGATATCTGATAAGACTGCTTTCTTTAACTAGATGAAAATCATGAGAGTTTTACTACAGCATCTTCTGTAATTCATTTATAAATGAATCAACTCCCCTTGCTCATTATTAAGCCCCTATATACTAAGTTTCATAACCTGGAAATGATCTACACTATACACATGCAGACCATATGTACATGTAGTCTGATAAGAAACTTTTTTTAAAAACATTAAAAAACTTTACTAACCATTACATAACTCATTATAGTCTATTGCTCCAGATCTGTTTTGATCAAATTGTTCAAAAACTCCTTTCCATTGCTGTATATAATTCCATAAGGCCTGGAATTCATGAAGCTCTATGGTGCCACTCATGTCTTTGTCAAACAAACCTACAAAAAAAGGTATTTTTACTTAATGGTTTGGTATTCATACACATCAATATTTCCAAATTTTGCCATTTTTTAAAACAATAAAATGCTTTCTTTGGGTGTTAGTACAGGAATTAATGTTGCAGCTGTTGCCGAAAAAATGCATACAGGTAACAGCTTTACAAGTTTGTAATCATGTAATTTTTTTCTGCAATAGCTGCAACGTTAATTCCCGTATTAACAAACAAAGAAAGCCATTTTATTGTTTATATTTATATCTGTACAAATAATCAGTTAAAGTAGGATTTAAAGATGAAATAGTGTATTATTGACATGTACACCATTGTAAGTTTCATTGATAGAACAGCCACTGCTCTAGAAATCATTACAGGTGATATGCTTAGTGTTAATTACTGACTGATTAACAGCAATGGTTTTCTTAAGAAATGAAGGAGATAATATTCGGTGGATGTAAATATTCAATTATGAATTCCCAATTGAAAGGGTACAGGATCCTGTACTAAAAATGGTCAATTAAGCCCTGACATTCAATGGAATTCCATATGTATAAGGTGTACATAATTTTAATCATGTAAATATATTGCACCTGTATCTATATGTGTTACTTCAACCTAGAACTCTTGGTCAACAAATTGACAGAAAAAATACTATATTATACACTGTGAATACCACTTCAAGGAATAACTTATGTCCTACCTATCATTAATCGACAAGTTTCCGGGTTGAAGTGTGACCAGTTGCCATTCACCAGAGCCTGTTGTAACTCATGTGCAGTGATTCGTCCACTGCGGTCAGTGTCTACAGTCATAAACCACTGCTGGACCTGGGGGTCAATCTGAGGCTGGCCAGCAAAACCTATTAATATTACACTAAGAGTTATACAATATGATCATGTTTTTTAAAACTGCATATATCTCAGACCAGACCATGCAAAACATGATATGTTAATTGTCATTACGAAAAATATACTTTTATTAATAGCTCATTCTTAATCTAAAATATTTACCATGTTCCTGTTCAATAAATAATAAAATATACAAACCTCCAGCTCCATATCCTGCAGGGGGTGGGGGCTGACCTCCATATCCTGGTCCTTGAGGAGCCCCATATCCTGGCCCTGGGGGAGCCCCATACCCTCCTGGTGGTCCCTGAAAAATATGGTATATGGTCAACTCATAACCTGTCAGACTTGTAATCAAGTCAACTCAAACCCAATATGTCAACTCGTAAAATGATAACTTAATTGTAACTAAATGATGCTTTTCAATTATAATGCACAAATTGATATTGGAAATATTCAGTTATTTATTTGTATAAAACCAGAAACAATATAATTTGTCACTGATGACTGAGAACTTTGAATGAAGTAGAATGCAAGAAAACTTTTATAAGGACATATTCTATATACTTTAAAAACATAAAACATTTATTTTGTATGAAAATCTTATTTTAGTACTATAATCATACTACTACTATGATTATGTTAGTACTGTGATGATAAAAATATAAAACACTTTAAAACCATACAGTCAACTAGTAACCAGACAACACAGGTTACAATTCAAATTTTTATTTTTCCATTCTCTGGAGTAGTCATGGGTACAATTTAACATCTCCCAGGCCCTCAAACATGTAACCAGGGTCTTGGTTACGAGTTGACTTTGCTGTTAGGTTACAAGTTGACATGCTGGGTTCGAGCTGACTTGGTTATGTTTACAAGTCTGTCAGATTACAAGTTGACTTAATACCAAAAACATCATATAAGTTCACTAAATCATGGTACACAGTAAACTGCTAGGGCTGTCAAAAAACATATAATGAAAGCTTCATATGAATTAAACCCCTTTTAAAATCTGAATTAGTCTTTGACCTGAACAGATTATTGCACTGCTAACTTGTGCATCTTATTTAGTGAACTTCCTGGTATACATTGTCACATACTTTCAAACAAGTTGTCAAGGATATACCTGAAAATTTTAACTGATGCCTGAAAAATTTTTAAAAAAGTATGAGCTTTCTTTAAGTGGGAATACATATGTAAGTCTTTATGAGAGGACACTTTCTTTGAGATGTCAGCAGCAGCATCAAAAACGAACGTACATACAGCTTTAAGATAAAAATGCCATACTTTCTTGTATGCTTGCATCAAATATTGTGTTCAGTCAAATTGACAGTTACATAAATAGCAAAAAAAATTGCTTATCAATGCTTCAAAATTTCTTCCATTAAAAATACTGCCATTTATTTCACTTCGAAGTACGCACCTGTCCGTAAGGGTAAGCCATATTTCCTCTGCAGAATTAAGATTACTATTTGCAAAAACGACAAATAAAGTACAAAAAAGCTTAAAATATTTTTTTGTCACTTAAATTTGTATAAAAAATATTCAGATATATATTTTAAGGCACCCTTTAAAAAAAATATTTAATATCAATATTACACTAATTTGAAAGATTCGTTTTCTTACCATATAAAATCTTAAATTTGAATGACCGGTGTTGATCGGACCATCTCATGACACGATTGAATCAGCGTTTGGAGTTACTATGTAACTAACCTTACTAGGTCCAAGGTTCAATTTATACAATTATCTTCCACTTAGTTCACTGTCACTCACCTAGAAGCTGCTGATGCTCTTAGGGGCAAAATATTACAACATGCTGGCATATTTTCAGTTTCTAGTGATTTGTCTGTGTTGGGCTGGAGTATCTATTACAAAGGTAGGTCGATCTACTTTCATTTGATCACCCTTTGGTAAGATTTAATTCTTGAACGCTTCCAGTTGTCCACTTTTTCAATGTCAGTGTATTATTTTAACAATATTCTGTCTGGCGATGTGCGTATTGACTCCATAATTAGTTAAGGACTCCAAAAGGAGATTGAAACAAGAGGGAGAGAACAGGAAAAAAACAGTACATATTCAACTACATCTCAAGAAGACTCATACATCAGCCTGTACATTGAGATTATGATAAGAATCTCTGCATCATGAGGAGATCGCCTGTAGTTAATACTCATGTTATACTCATGTTTTTGATAAACCTGTAGCACTGTGTAGTTCATCATATGCAAATCTGTATGTTTTGCTCAATATTTGTACATGTATCATGCCCAGAAGGATTAGAAACACCTTTTACTTATATGTATTGTAAAGCTTTTTTTTTTTTAAATTATGAAAACAACAATTTCAACAGTCTAATAAGTAGTTATATAGAATCAGGAAATTGTCATTTAATGTATGAAAGTACTTATAATGATGACTGATTTAATTTATAGCCATGATAGACCCCCACCCCATCCCCTTCAACATACACAAAGTAATAGATAATTTAATTACCAAAGATAAACATGATAAAAAGTTAAAATCTGTGAAATTTATTTCTTATATCTTTGATAGATCTTTCATCATCATCATATTGATTAGTACTGTTACAGACTTGAAACTTCTGACTGATTTTATCCCAGGGCCTTTGTTTGCTCTGTTCCAAAATTTGTATCGTTTAATGGACTTCTGAGCTTGAATACTGTTTGTTATCTCCATACTGTCAAGAGGACAGAAATTTAAAAAAAAAGGAGATAATATCTTCCAGTGGGGAATTTATTCAACAAAACATTGATATTTTTTAAAAAATAATGAATCCTTTATTTTTAATCTAAAACAGGAAACAATAATATTCTTTCCTTTTTGTTGTATTACACATAATATCTAATCTTAAAGGAAATATATTTTTAGCTCACCTAAGCAGAAGGCTCAAGTGAGCTTTTCTGATCAAAATTTGTCCGTTGTCTGTCATGGTTGTCTATGTAAACTTTTCATATTTTCATCTTCTCAAGAACCACTGGGTCAATTTCAACCAACTTGGCACAGAGTATTCTTGGGTAAAGGGGACTCAAGTTTGTTCAAATGAAGGGCCACACCGTCTACCAAGGGGAGATAACTAAGAAATAGTGAAAATTGGGTGGGGGTATTTCAAAATCTTCTCAAGAACGACTGGGCCAAGAATGATGAAACCTATGTGAAAGCTTCCTGATGTAATGAAGATTCAAATTTGTTCAAATCATGTCCCCTGGGGGTAGGGTGGGGCTGCAATGGGTGATCAAAGTTTAGAAAAATATAGGAAAAATCTTTAAAAATCTTCTTCTCAAGAACAGTAAAGCCTTGATTGATGATATATATAGAATATCCTTAGCATGTTAGGTAGTCTAGATTCAAGTTTGGTCAATTCATGACCCCCAGGGATAGGTTGGGGTCACAATGAGCGAAGAAAGCTTTATATAGAAATATATAGGAAAAATCTTTAAAAATCTTCTTCTCAACAACAGCAAAGCCATGATTGGTGATATTTATATGGAACTATCCTCAGGTAGTGTAGATTCAAGTTTGTTTAAATCATGACCCCAGGGGGTTGGGAGGGGTCACAATGGGCAATAAAATTTTTACTTATAGGTATACATGTATATGAAAAATCTTCTCAAGAACAGTAAAGCAATGATCAGGCATATTTTTATGGAAGCATCCTCAGGTTGTTTACATTCAAGATTGTTCAAATCATGACCGTCAGGAATAGGGATAGTGTTTCAGAATCGGACGAAAAATACTATCGATTATCGAATCGAATCGAAAACACCATTTCGATTCATAATCGAAAATAATTGGACATTTCTTATGTTTCTTTTTAATATGTACATTATTAAAGGCCCGGTATTGTGTTTATAGTTATTGATAAGTATACATGTAGGCCATGTATTTAAGTTTTAATGAATCTGCCGATATTTTTCTATAATTATTAAAGGAAAGAATTACACGTGCTTAAATTTCAGTTCAAATAAAAAGAATTTTAGTAGTATATAATTATTAAACTGATAACTTAATAAACAATGTGTTTCATTTTTTATGACATCTATCATGTTTATATTAAACTATTGATCAGTTGATAAATTTGTTTAAAATTTTTGATTTTTAAAAGATGATAAATTCTTCACTTTTTTAATTTATTCCTGTTTATATAAAAAGAAAAAAAGTAAAAGTTCAACACGTTGACTACCTTCATAAATGTTCATATTTGGATTTATTCAGAGAAATAATTTACAATATTTTATTTGCATATGGGTATGCACAATAAAAATACCACTACTTCTTGTGAATTCGTTATTTATAATCAAAAAAGCAGTAGCTTTGTGTTTGACTTCTGACTTACCTCTTACTTTTTAAACCTGTTAAAAAATAATACACAAAATGTGAGTAGAAAGTTGAAAATATCGTTTCAAGTGTGAGAGCAGAGGAAATTCAGCTTAAAAGACGATTTTGTAAGTGGTACTCTTAATAACTATATTTCGTCGTCAATTCTTTTGTTTCCTAAATGAATTATGCCTTGCATTAATGGAAGGGAATTTTATTTAGATTTAGTCATGATTATAATTTTCAAAGCATTTTTACGAATCATTCACTGACTCAATACATTATTAAAATGCATCGTTTACATGTAGTACAAGCGACGAACAGGAACTCATTCTAAATATGTGTGCACATGAAAGATGCATAAAAATAAACAGTGTGTCATCTTTGTACAAAAGAAAAAAAGGAACACTACATGAAAAAAAATAATATATATTAAGATTTAGCATTATGTTTAAAGTAGCTTTGTATAGCGACTATCGATTTTGCTGCTTTGCTATCGATTGTCGGCATCGCCAACCTTCCAACGACGATTTTTCGATCGTCGGCGACTATCGCTGAATCACTAGATAGGGAGGAGCAATAATTGGTGATCAAAGTTTTACATGAGAATATATAGGATAAATCATTAAAATCTTCCGAAGAATAGCAAACCCATGATTAGTGATATAAATTTAGAAGCATCCTCAGGTAAGTTATATTTAAAATTAATTTTGTTCAAATAATGTCCCCTGGGGGTAGGGTGGGACCACAATTGAAGATCAAAAATATTGAAAAAAATCTAAAGCCATGATTAGTCAATGAAATATGAAAGCATCCTCAGTTAGTGTACATTCAAGTTGAATAAGTCAGGCCCCCCTTTCCTGGGGGGGGGGGGTTATTTGTGATCACTTATATATTTAACTTTTTCAATGCTAAACTGATTTCTCCTTTTTTTGTGCTCAGGTGAGCGATGTGGCCCATGGGCCTCTTGTTATAATGGGTATAAAATTAATGTGGTTGTCCTGCAGGATCAATCACTGATAGCCAGATAGTTGTATTCTTAGAGCACCTGTCAAGGTGGAATTAGGAGACCCATGTCAATAAAATTTTCTCCATTCCATAAACTGCATCCAGGACTCATTGTAGAAAAAATTTCTACCATCAGAATTCACTCTACCATTTTTTAAGATAATTTTTATATTAATTAAGATGATCTTTTGTTACAAGATCCGTTAAATATCTTAATTACATGGTAATATATTAAATAATTCGATTTTCCCCTATAAAATTTCATCTTATTGACAAATTATTATACATATCAGTTGAATAAAGTATCATAGAACATGGTTAATAGAATTCAATCAGACTAGGAAGGCTTTCTATATATATATATATATATATATATATATATATATATATATATATATATAATTTGTTATTGGGCCAAAATAGAATTGGAATTGCCTCCTGTCTCATTGAAATGGCCCATCATGAAAAAAAAAATATATTGACCAAAAATAAGATTTTTTTTTTTTATTTAATCAATTCTTGGCCTTTTATCACATGCACCACCAAAACACTTAATGTAGTGTCAGATCTATGCCAATTCAGGGTCCTTAGTTGTTTGGAGATTAATACATGTACTTTTTTTTTCCTTCAAAAAGTCAGAATATAATGAGATTTTTTTCAAAAGTTTTAAATTTAACTTCAATTTAAAAAAAAGAAATAAAAAAATTCCCTCCGTCCTTCCTAGGTCTAAAACCTTCCAGGTGGCAGTTCCAAACAAACAATTTTTTAAGGTTGGCCCTGAGTATTGACCTGATCAGATAATCTGGTCAAGATAGACAAATATTTTTGATAAGAGTATATATATAAGTTCACCAGGCTTTTGTTCATCTGAACAATGTTACTTTCTCATGATTTGCTTAATTTATCTTGCTTAATGTAGTTATCAATGTCACATGTGAATATCATGCATACAAACATTGGTACATTATATATGTGTCCCTTATTTATTAGGTCATATTCTGGACTGCATTTCTACATTAACCTTCATTATTCATATGAGATACTGTATAGTGTAGTAATATTATTTAAAGTGATAAAGACCAATATATTGTTTAAGGAAGTAAAGATTTGGATTTTGACACTTAATTGAGTAATTATATAAGAACGTATATTCTAATGGTACAAAGTCCAAAGAAACCTAGTAATTTTTTAATATTGTTTTTTTTATTCTGAGTCATGGTCAAGGTGTTTTAATTTGAAGTAAGATATGTGTGCACAATATACATAATAATTAATATATATATTATATAAAACAATAAGCTGACCATTTTGAGACAGTAGTTAGAAAAGATTGTATGTTACTGCATGCATGCCTTTTTTTGTTTACCATACAATTTAGTGAATTTACAACAGTACTGTTACAGCTACATGTACCACTAAACCCTTTTTAATTGGTCATGTGAATCTGAAGTAGAAGACATCATTATATATTTAATCCAAGTAATCACAACTTTTACAAGAGTTGAGCACCTCTAACTTATTTGTGAAAAGTTTTGAATTTTATTGGTACATCACTAAAATGTACTTGTTTTTTTAATTCTTCATATTTATTAAGGATCAGTATACTAATTTCAGAGAAATTACAATTAAATAACTAAATTACTTAATTAAGTATGCCAAGTTAACATGTACATTAAACACATAGTCATTTTAGTAATGCTGAAGAAACCTTATTTTTGCCCTTGTGTTTAATATTGCAAAATGTTCATATAGGTATCAAACTGCCTCCATGAATTAGTGTATGGACTGTTGTTCAAACATTTTTACATGTATTTCAGCAATATGAACATAATATGAGTAAGTTATTTTGTGAGTAGTGCTTTTCACAATAAGTTATAATAATTATTAATATTATACTTTGATGTAAAATACTAGTACTTGAATATGATTCATCTCGAAACATTTATTAAAAAAACCCACTGTTTACCCCTGAATGATGAAATGATGTCCTGTTTACCTCTAAATGATGAAACCATGCATGTCCTCATGTGTGATAGAACTTAGCAACAGTCAACATTGCTTAACGATGGGTAATATTCAAAAAAAAAAAAACCCCAGAAAATAAAGAATTTATGTGCACACTTGACTTTTCCTTGTATTTGTATAAAACATTCAGTATAAAATAATTAATACTGCATATAGTTGAAGTAACATTGAATTTTTTCACCCCTCAAAAACCATTGTCAACCTCGGCTGCACCGCAGTCAGTTGACAGCTCGGATCATGGTGTTGAATGTTATATTTCAATTGCATTCTGTTTTTTTCTTCATATCATTATGTACTGATAGATTCATTTTACATTAAAAAAAATCCAGCATTAGATAGCTACATTGCTGCTTTTAAATGGTTAGACCATCATAAGGGCAGTGATTAGGAAGGGCTTGCGCCACAACCCATAGTCCCATTGAAGTGAAAATTGGTGCATTAAATTAACCATTGGCGGCGCCAAGGTGTGCATTCAACTTTTAGCGATGTTTAATTGGAAATATTTTGCATACAACTTTCTTACTTGTTTTACTTTCATAAAATGCAGTCATTTTAATAAAACCAGTCTTATTGGTTAAAACCCAGCAAAAACTGATTCCTGTTATGTGAAGCACCTAATACAAAACAAAAAAGGTACATTATCGCATTAATTTCCAATGCTCAATCCAAATTTTTACGTTATCATACCAAAATACGGGTAAATTATATTGCATTCATGTTCCTGTAAATGTGCTGAACGGCATACGTGAAAAATTAGATATGGTTAATAAAAAACGTGTTTTATATTGCATATTCGTTTGACAATTTTCATTTTCAATTGTTATTTTTTTTAAATGGCCCTTCAAAATATATAGATGACCCATTCATTTTCAAAATGGCCCATAAAAAATGTTGACAGTTGCGCCATAGTCCCATTGACCTTCATGGCCTTCCCGATCACTGTAAGAGCACTTTCAAGTTAACAAAAATACACTGTTCCATATGTTCTATAAAAATAGTACCTTGCTAATTGTTCATTATATACAAATTCATGTGCAAACTTCATTATTGCAGGCTGAGAATGGCCAGTGTATTTGGTATGGAGAATGTGGTTCTACTTCTGCAGGGAAAGTTAATTGTTTGTATGAAGGTCCGTCCAAGGTCATGGAGGATCCAGAGGGCATGAATATACTCCAAACTTACTGTCCGGATCTAGTCACAGGTAAAACTTTAGTGTCACAGACATTCACATGCAGTAATGTCAAAAAGTATCACAGTATTACAGGTGACAAAGGCTTTCATGTCTCATAGGTAACGATGGCATAGACAATTGTGTCACAGTGTCATGTGTAACACAGATTGTAATATAGACATACTTTTTTCTACATTGGGATTAATTTGAGACCCTTAGAGTTATGGTGGGAACATAATATGGAGTCATAATTTTTCATGGGATTATAAATTTAAGAGGCCGTGTCAGTAACCATTGAGCTTTACATGGAAAGTCAAAAATTTTGAATTGGGCAAAAACCACCCTAAAACATTTGAACAACAACAAAAAACACATTTTAGACAAATTTAACAAATTTATTCATTATCATTGGTTTCCATGGCAACAAATGTGATTTGCATAGTAAATTCTCAATGAAACATTGTAAAATAATACAAATTTAGACATATTCAAGTGCAGAGGGGGAACAATTGGAAGGTCTAAATTTGTTTTTGATACAGAAATAATGAAAGATGCATAAGGAGAAAATATCTGTATGTCTGTAAGTATTTTATGAAATTTTGATATGGTTGCTATGGTAACCAAAAAATGACAAGGTTTTCATGATGGGAATATCTGTGGAAAATTAAGTTTTTCAAAAGTTGAATACTTAAAAACGCAACAACCCGAGATATTGTATGTCATATCAAGTTGAAGATATATCCCAATACTATGAAATAATAAAAAAAAAATTGGTAGTCGGATGTCCCAATTTTTTTTTTCAGAAATCAAAATTCGCAATTTTTTCAAAACACTTTCAATGGATTTTCGCACGTTTTGGCAATTTTTTTTTTAATATTACAACAGATATTTGACAGTTAGATACCAAATTTACAGAAACATAGTACTGTACGATAATCTCTACAAAATGTATGACTTTTTTACAAAACAATAGGAAAAGAAATCTCCATAGCAACGAAATTTATACCCTAGCAACTGACTTGACTGGGATCAGCAAAACATGAAACATGTACCCAGGAAAATAAAGCCTCTCAAGTGGAATATTTGGGTCATGGCATACTAATCAACTGTCAACCCTGTTGTACTTACCTATCATATAAGTAATAATAAGTATCATTGCTGTACAATGTCTCATACAATATAGTCAAAATGTGGACCAAATACGCGAAAACTTCACCATATATAACGAAAACCGAAATTATATGTCAAAATGAGGCAACAACCCAAAGGGACTCCAAAGCTCTATCTACTGGCTAATTTTCATTGCTATACCATGTTTGTTATTCGTTATGAACCTAAAAACGAGAGGTAGTGTCGGTGAAACACAAGACTACCTTATACTCATTCACATGAACATAAACCTAAACATCAGCAAGGCTCCCTTGTGAAAATGTAGCTTAAAGCATCTTTATATTAAAGTTTATCTTGTTTTACTATCAAAGATCAATCAACTGGTCAAATATCAATGCTCACTAAAAGTATCAAAGATATGAACATAAAAAAGAGTGTTCCATCGAATATGTGTGTCTCCTGCGGATGACTTATTTCAAAGTGTGACAGACAGATGGACTGATGGACAGACGGTCAGACTGACAGACGATGCAGAAGTGATCCCTAAGTGTCCCCTTGCTATGCAGGCGACACAACTAGGCACCACTATAGCATATCTGGTATCTGATTCTGAGACTAAATGTTTTCTGAAGTGTACAGTCAAATATTTTACAGAGATATTTTGCTAGAAATAATTATAAATGTTCTTCAGTGTACATTTATGCACAGTAAACAAGAAGTATGACACATTCGATTTCAGATATTATCTATGTTAGTCTAAGTTTAAGCAAATTCTTTCATAACCATTTCTTTCTTTATCATGTTTATCCAACCAACTAGAGCTAGAGCAGTACTAACAGGACAAATGCCCCCCCCCCCCCCCTTATGGGGCAACATCACTCACTATCAACAGTACTATACGATGAATTTAATCAGTTACTCAAGCATAAAATGAAGGTCACATGCAGCATCCGCCACATTCATTTTACACAGCAGTCATAGACAAACCATGCAAGCAAGTTTGGTTTATATACCACTTGTAATAATGTGGGAACAGACATAAAAGCTGTACTTTACCAAAGTCACTAAAGCATAAAATGTAGGTCACTTGCAGCATCCGAAGCATTCAATGGACACACCATCCACAGACAAACCATCCATACAAGGTTGGTTTGTATACCACTTGTCATAAGCAGGAACAGACCTAAACACTGATTCGCTGAACGTATCCAAGTGTTGTCCACAGACAGATAGACAGATGGACAAGCAAACAGGGTGATTCCTATATCCCCCTTCCAAAAAATTTGATATTAAAATCTTTATTTTAGTTAGAAAATGTATTTTAGTTCACTGCTTTAAGAGCCACATCAGAAATCTGATTCAAATTGTTCATGTTCCCTTCAGCTGTCAAGTCATTTTCTTCATAGTCAGTGTTAGACATCTGCCTTTTCTTTAACGAAAGTCTGCTAAAAAAACTTGCAATTTGAGATGCTGAGAGAAAATCTCCATAGTGGAAAATTCGTTCACCATTGTCATTTTTTACACTCCTCATCTCTCGTGCCACTTCTTCAGGTTCACATTTGAATCCTGTTGATTCACCTTGGTTGAATTTCTTGGTCATAAAGGATTTTTGAGTTTCAGTAAATCTTTTGACTTCTCTCTTTTTTTTAAGAGCCCATCCTCTCTCCAAAGTGCTCACACCTGAAGAAGCATCTTTTGATCCATTCAAATTTGGACCAGTAAGTCTATTTTCAATTAGGATAGCATATGAAAATCTTGAGCGATCCTGCAAGTCCATTCTCTCAACTGAAAAAGTGTGGTTTCCTGTATCTAAGTGGTTACACAAATGGCCGTATCTTAAAAATGTAGATATGCATCCATCCTCTGGACAGGTGAATACATTGCTGCAGTCATCTGCACACGACAATTCCACCATTTCTTGGTTGCTGACATCTATACATGAAGATGCTGTTGCATCTTATTCTTGACATGTGGGTGATGAAGAATCTACGTTTGTCTGTGTTTCCATGGGTGAAGATGTTAATGTGACCTCAGATACAGACTTAGGAGTAATTTCAGGGATTACCCAATTTAAATTAATTCCTGCAGTGTCATAATTTATTGTTTTGCCTTTTCCGATCTCATACTGCTTCCAAGCAGTGAAATTTCTGTTGTCATAACTGAAATCAAAAAGCTGACTGATGTTTTGTAATTTCAGCAACACTTTTGGTGGTTTGGAAATTGGTGGCAAAGACACAATAACTTGAACATTGTTCATCTTATTTTCAAGAGCAGCCTTGAAGTCACTGGCATTCAAGACATTATTTCCTTCATTCACAAATCTTTTTATGTACCATTTTATATGAGCAGCTTTTCGATCACAAATTGATTTACCGCCTTGTGGGTCACAGAAATCCATTCGTTTTATATTCATATCATTTCTGTTCATTTGGTTAATGCAAGGAACAACTCCAATGCCATAAACTGAATGGTAACAGCCAGCATTGTCAGACCGTACATAAACATTCTGTATTGCTGCATTAAGATTCTTTATTCGACCCAGAGTATCTTGCAGAATGGCAGCTGATGTCATTGCATCCTGATTTGCAATATCAAAAACATGAACAAAGGTAGCTGATCTTAAGGCTTCCTCTTTCCATGACAGAACACTGATATGCCATGACAGCCCTCTTTTAGCAAACCATTTTGCTTGGGATTCTCTGAAATAAATGAGCAATACTAAGTTACAATGTATTTACATTACAGTCAAAGACACTGTAAGTTTGTCACTTGAAATGTTTCTCAAAATCTCATAAATTTCTCAAAATATTGTAACAAGAGACCCTTAAGTTGCCAATGGGAACCCACCCCCTTAGGTCCTGGGCAATAATCCTGAGAACAATGATGCAATTTTATTTTACAACTGCAGAGATACGGTCTGGACAAACAGATGATAGACAGACAGACATGGTAATTTCAATGTAACACCACCACCCCCAAACTTGTTTGTGGGGGAGGGGGGATAAAATGAAGCACTGTCTTACTTCTAGATTGAAAACAAATTTTGAGCTTCACTCCATGAAAACCTGATCACTTGCTTGACAATGAACGGAATAAACACGGATACATGTTTGAAGTGTGTTAGTTGTGAATAGAGAAGATTTTTCACACAAAACCTGCTCTATGAAGGGAAGAATATCATTCCAATTACAAACTCATTTCTGAGGATTCGCTTTATCATGTGGAACTAGAAGTTATTAGTTGGGACCATAAGAAGAAAGTGGGTATGAAAGTGGGACAATTTGTTAGAAATTATAAAGGGGTGAGGGTGCTCAGCTATATATATAAATATATAAATATATATATATATATAAAGTATGAGCATGTGTGGAGTAGAGGAAAGCGGGGGTGGGGGGGAGTCTCACGTATTCAAAATGATAAGTGTTAGGGACATTTGGTGATGGGGGTGGCAGCTCAGCTATGGAGGCAAGGACAGTGTTCATATGAAGTCTGAAATCTATTGGATCAAAACTGTAACCTGTATCCTGCTTATAATGTATTTTCATGCAAACACATACACACAGAGAGACAAATCCAAGTACCCATGAACGCTGGCATTACAATATCCCCCTGCAACCTTGTTGTGAGGGGATAGTGACCTATGAATTACAAAAGAAAAATTACGTGAAGGTATATAATCAGCCTAAAAGTATTGCAAAACCCTGAGAAAATACCTGTATTGTAGGGGAAGGAACTTCATAGCCCAATCTCTTTCTAGAAGTGCTTCATGAGACTTCATATTTTCCAAAATATTCGTTCTTGCTCTGTCTTGGTTTACTGTGCGAATAATGTGCATTTTCCATTCTTTTATCAACTTCACACTCTGCAAGTAGATAAGTGTATCACATTAAGTTCTGATTTTGTTACATGTAACATACATC